AGTGGGATGAAGCAAAGCTAAGGAAGTTTTCTCAACCTTCGCTTTCCCAGTTCCTCGAGGTTCCCTGGGCCTACATCTATGACTTTAGGTGAACTCTCCTCAATGCAATTGCTGAACTACAACCCAGAAAGCCATTGTGCAGTTCTTCACAATGCCTCTAGCTTTCTCCCCTGCAACCAAATAGAGTGGTACCTTGGTTGTAAAACCATTCAAAAACCAAGGTGCGGCTTCCGATTAGCTGCAGGAGCTTCCTGCACTCAGTAGGAAGCCGTGTCGGATGTTTGGCTTCTGAAAAACGTTTGCAAACCAGAACACTTACTTCCGGGTTTGCGGCGTTCGGGAGGCGATTTGTTCAGGAGCCAAGCCGTTCAACAACCAAGGTACCACTGTAGTGCCTCTGTCTCCTGTAGCTGAAGTTCTACAAAACGACAACAACACAAAATCCCCACTTTGGCATGAAGCTTTCAGTGTGGAACTTTGGCCGGTCACTCACTATCTGTAGCCGAATCACCTACCTTCCTGTTTTAAAGAAATAATGGGCGGAGGTGACGGAACGCCTTGGAAAAAAGGGCAGAATAAAGGTTCGTTTAATTCATTCAATGATACTCTCTCCTAAACATTTGCTCCTATTGAATATTGAGGCTGAGATGTCTTGCTATAAAAAGGGGGTGAAGCATGGAGATATAGGCTGAAGCATCCAGAGCAGGGGTCAGCAAACCTTACCAGCAGGGGGCCGGTCCACTGTCCCTCAGACCTTGTGAGGGGCCGGACTATATTTTGAAAAAAAAAATAAATGAATGAATTCCTATGCCCCACAAATAACCCAGGGATGCATTTTAAATAAAAGCACACATTCTACTCATGTAAAAACACGCTGATTCCCGGACCTTCCGTGGGCCGGATCCGGCCCCCGGGCCTTAGTTTGCCTACCTATGATCCAGAGGGTTACCAAGAAATCCGCACAATGTCTTTGCCGCATAAAACCTATCAACTTTACCTGTGCATTGGAAGGAACCCAAGGGCTTGTTTAATCCATTAGTGACCACCTGACTGTAATACTGGGAAGATGGACACGCATCAAGCAAGCTGCTTAGGAGGTGCAGGGTCATTCCTTGTCTAGATGTAATTGCTCACAATACAGGGTAAAGCGTACGGATGGAAAAAGTCCAAGCTTACTAAAGCTGGGTTGAAAGTCAGGGCATACTGTCCTCTCGTGGCCTTCTTCTGTACTACAGTCAGAAATCAGAGTACTTGAAACGGTCTCCACATTAACAGTGAAAATATTGTCATAGACCTCCATGGTGCTGTCTGGAGGGCAGAAATCAGACACCCCAAGACCCTCTGCACAGGTGCAAAATATATCATACCAGGATCCTGTTCTACTTCCTTTAAAACATTGTACTGTTTTCATAATCTCTCCCTCTGCAATGCCCGCAATATCATTTTCTTTATCTAACTTGCTTGCTGTACAGTGGAAACACGGTTTTCGAACTTCTGAAATGTTAAAAAATCGAGAATCGAAGGGCTGTCAGCAAGTTCAATGGGGAAAATTGAGAAAAGTGCATCAGAAGCCATTCGACTTACGAGGTGTGTTCAAAAACGGATGCATTCACTTCCAGGTTTTTGGTGTTCGGCTTCTGAGACACTAAAAAACCGAGGTTTGACTGTACTAGAAATATTGTTTCTTGTTCTCTGTACTCATAAGCGCTTTCCATCCTTTTCACACTTGTTTATCTCCCTGCTAAAGATGCAGACAGATGTACCCTATTCTGCTCGGGTCATAAGTTGCCACAGCATATATTTAAAGCACTCACATACCATTTTTAAAAGTCTTGGATTTCACCCCGGCATTTGCTGGTCGAAAGATACCGCTTCTGGCAACCTTGAAGTCATCTGCGAGGGTGCATCTTCTTAAAAACAAATTCAATTGCAGTCCACACAATTGCTTCAAATGCATTGGGTGTTGTGACTAGAAAATAGGGGTGTCTGTGTGCCTAGAATGATGGCCCAACTCCCCAAGTTTATTACCAGTCAGAGATAAATGAGCCGAGGCAGAAATCCAGTGAAAGCAAGGCTGGTTTTCATTCTCTGTTGCAACAGAGTCCTCGTACCCACTTGTCAGGAAGTGAAGGACCCGGAAGAAAGGAGTAGAACTCCTCTTAAAGGTTTGCATTTTGGGCTGGTTTTTCCAGTCATGTTTTTCTTACTACCATTGTATGGAAGAAAAGGTAAAGGTACCCCTGACTGTTAGGTCCAGTCGCGGACGACGCTGGGGTTGCGGCGCTCATCTTGCTCTATAGGCCGAGGGAGCTGGCGTTTCTCCGCAGACAGCTTCGGGGTCATGTGGCCAGCATGACTAAGCCGCTTCTGGCGAACTAGAGCAGCACACGGAAACGCTGTTTACCTTCCCGCCAGAACGGTACCTATTTATCTACTTGCACTTTGGCGTGCTTTCAAACTGCTAGGTTGGCAGAAACAGGGACCGAGCAATGGGAGCTCACCCCGTTGCGGGGACTCGAACCCCCGACCTTCTGATCGGCAAGTCCTAGGCTCTGTGATTTAGAGCTAAACATGTTTTTTCAAGGTCTCATAATTTTGTGAAGTCTTGCTATTACTCAGCCTCTTCACATTTTATCATGTGAGACTTAAGTAGCGTTCAATACTTGCCAAGCCAATCTTGTAGCAAGGGAGAACTTCCTTTAGAAAGGAGAGCATTACAAAGTTGCTGTCTGCCTCAGAGGCAGCAGCCTCAGAGTACTTCTCTCTGCCCCGCACCCCTTTAACAAAAAGGAGAGCAATAATACATTCCAACGTTCTGGCTTTTTATTCTCTAGGGCAAGCAACTATTCAGAGTATTTCCTGGACAGCTGATGCCTGTTCAAAGCCTGATTCAAGCGTTTTGCAACACTTCCCTACCATCAAGTCACTGCAAAAGGAAAAATGCAAGACTATAGTTTTAGTAAGTTGAGAGAAACCCAACTAATCTTTCGGCAGTGGTGGCAGGGATTACGCAGGATTGACCACACTCTAATAGTAAAGATCAGGCACTAGGCAGGAAATACAGTGGTACCTCGGGTTAAGTACTTAATTCGTTCTGGAGGTCTGTTCTTAACCTGAAACTGTTCTTAACCTGAAGCACCACTTTAGCTAATGGGGCCTCCCGCTGCCGCCTGAGCACGATTTCTGTTCTCATCCTGAAGCAAAGTTCTTAACCCGAGGTAATATTTCTGGTTAGCGGAGTCTGTAACCTGAAGTGTATGTAACCCGAGGTACCACTGTATAATGAACTTGATTGCCTAACGAAGAATTATAGACCCAGGCTAACACTGAGGTGATCCCCACCGCTCACAGCTATATCACAAACTCTGAAGCTCTGCTGGGTTTAACAAGAGGTTGACTGTTGCCTAAAGGACAGAGCCTCACAGGCTATAAACAGCCATTATATTAAAAACACAAGCACAACAGATTTATCCCCCAAAACCTCATTTCCACCCAGGAAATTCCTTCAATCGATGAAGCCCTTCAACTGATTCCTTGCGCTAGCAGAAGCCAGTGCCAGTCCCACTAGAACAACAGGACAGAGTGCTTTCCCCAGTTTCCATCCATGTTGATCTGTGAAGATTAGCCAGTACCCTTTTCACATTTAAAGGGTTTTCTCCAGAGAAGCCAGCAGATGGCCATTTCAGCTTCAAGAAAAGGCAAGGTGCCGAAGTTACTTGCCTGTAACCAGCGCTTGAAACTCCCATTGTTCTAGGCACATTTTGCAACAGGGAACTTCATTAAGGTGAGCAAATTCAGAGCTCTGGGCGTGCGCATAAGATTTCTGATTAAAAACTGCAGAGTGGAAGGAAAGGAGGACCTTTTTCTGCCTCCTCACTTCCAGCTACTCTCTGAAGACTAGAGAAGAAACCCTCTTAAGAATATTAGGAGGGTGGGGCAGGGGAGGGACTAGACCATGTGAAACATGAATATTTTAGCTGCAGTTCATTCATTTTCAGCTTTGTATTCTTGTTATAAAAAAGCACACTTAGACATTGCATTGTTGGGCCCACAACCTATGTTTAAGTTGCCATTTAGCTCCTAGCTTTCATATCTCCATTTCTAGCACTGCCTGTAGCTGTAGCTCAAGTAGCTTAAAAAAGGTAAAGGGACCCCTGACCAGTAGGTCCAGTTGTGGCTGGCTCTGGAGTTGTGGCGCTCATCTCACTTTATTGGCCGAGGGAGCCGGTGTACACCTTCCAGGTCATGTGGCCAGCATGACTAAGCTGCTTCTGGTGAACCAGAGCAGCGCACGGAAACGCCGTTTACCTTCCCGCCGGAGCGGTACCTATTTATCTACTTGCACTTTTGACGTGCTTTCGAGCTGCTAGGTTGGCAGGAGCTGGGACTGAGCTCACCCCATCGCAGGGATTCGAACCGCCGACCTTCTGATCGGTAAGTCCTAGGGCTCTGTGGTTTAACCCACAGTGCCACAAGTGCACTTAATATACATTTACTATCAGAACAATACCAGATGCTGTTCTTACCAAGGAACAGTCTTTGGGGTCACTATAGTTAAGAGGCAGATGAGAACAGGTGGAGCTAGTCAGGTAGGATCCAGCCAGCAGCATGGCAGGGACAAAGGTGAGCATCCTTTTCCACCAGCTATCGCTATTCTAAGTGTGTTATCTAGAACAGCACGCAACCAAACTCCTTTAACAAGTTTAGTACTGGAGACAGATGGTGACAAAAGCAAAAACGATCACTTTGCTTCTCCTAAAGAGCCTGCCCCTTGTGGGAAGAGGAGGAGTAATCCAACCATCGCATTGCTCCCTAGCTCTTTACACACCCATTTTTTCATTTCAATTTTTAAAAAACCGTTTCATCATGCTTTCAAATTGTCTCTTTTGTTGCATGCTTTATTTTCCCAACTGAATTGTTACTGCGTCTTTTAATCATTATATTTTATAGCTCAACAGCTACAGGCACTATTTTGCATCTTCAAAGAAGAGATTAACAACTTTGCTTATATGCAGATACCAGTTTATTAAGTTTGAACAAGAACTCTTTAAAAAGTATTTGGAAGGCTTTGCCCTGAAAGCCAATGAAGCACAAACTCCATTGAGATGGCTATGTTGCCAGGATATGACCACATCCCTTGTGCTCTGGGTGCATGTGTGTTTAGCAGGCTAGGGAGGTTATCAGGAAGTCCAGAGCCCACATGCTGTTTTTAAAGTTTTCCAAATAACATATGGAGCAGCCTAAATTCCAGCAAGTCCTTTGCTGCTGAAGGTTAGTTCAAAGAAACAGAACTGAAGAATTTACAATTATACAAAAAAACAGGTAGAGGAGAGGAAGACAGTTGGCCAGTTCACAAAGCATAAACACCCTGCCATGAACTGTTCAAGTACATTTCAGTTGTAACAAAGTGCTACTTCACATTTCACGTAAAAAAAAGAAAGGCAGTAAAAACAAGATGAAGGAGACAGACAAGACAGATTAGAGAGGTTGAATGCTGTGTCACACGGAACAGCTAGAAGTTGAACGCGTTGGAAGTGTCCTGAATCTGGAAATTGTATGCATCGGTGCTGGATTCCGGGACGACACTCTCATCTTCTCCTTCCTAAACAAGCAGAAGAAACTTTTAAGTATAATAATCAGTGTGCAGATACAGCAACCAATAAGATGGCTGGAGCCAGTTAGGAGCAAGGTCAGTGTGTCCGTTAGCTGGCACATACAAACCTTTTTTAAAAAAAGGTACAAGATGGACTTTGTACATCTGGCACGACCATTCCTCCTCTTTGCCACCCAATAGCTTTTTTTTGCTTTTTATTTACAGTGCAACAATTTAACAACCAGCTAAAACCCTACAGTAGTAAAAGTAAAAACAGTCTAGTCAAAGGCGACTATGGGGTTGCAGCGCTCATCTTGCTTTTCAGGCCGAGGGAGCCGGCGTTTGTCCACAGACAGCTTTCTAGGTCATGTGGTCAGCATGACTAAACCGCTTCTGGCACAACAGAACATCATGACGGAAAACAGAGCGCACGGAAATGCCGTTTACCTTCCTGCCACAGTGATACCTATTTATCTACTTGCACTGGCGTGCTTTCAAACTGCTAGGTGCAGGAGCAGGGACAGAGCAATGGGAGCTCACCCGGGATTCGAACCGCCGACCTTCCAATCAGCAAGCTTAAGAGGCTCAATGGTTTAGACCACAGCGCCATCCGCTTACTGACAGCTATCAGAACACGCTTTAACCCCTGATCAGTACGATGGGATCTCTTATATGGTACAACTGCCGCTGTTTCACAACACTGCAACTGCCACTTGGCCAGCTCAGAGCTTGCTCACCTCTGCCGAGAAATACTTTTCAATCAGGTTTGCCGCAGACTTGTACACCTGCTCGTTTTCATGGGACTGTAGAGCTTCAATCTTATCCAAGCCACCATACTCCTCAACCATGAGGCAAAGCTTCTCGGTCTCGCCTATCTTCTCAGCTGCCTGTCGAAAGAATACGTAACATTTGGTAGCACCGTTATCGATCCATCTGCAAACCCCATCCTCGATTCAAAGCATTATAGTACAGATAACGGCAGTTATGGAAAATACTGTGTATGACTATACGACCATAAGCAGAGGCGCTGGTGCAACTTTAACCATCATGGGCTTCCATGCTGTAACAGTTAGAAGCAATTGCCCAATACTGCGGGATACTGTTGAGGCAGTTCCTTTGAGTAGGCAAATTGAGATTTCACGCAGGTGAAATAACTTGAGACCTGCAGCTTCTGTTGGCCAATGTTCCTTCACACTCACAGAGTGCTTTTTATGGGGGGACGCAGGGGTACGCAGACCCCTAAACATTTTTGTCCACTTACTGTATTTATTTTTCACAATTTGAACTATAAAATGGTGGTTTTTATTGTGACAAAATGAGAGTATCCCTAAACATTTTAAAAGAAAAAAGCACTGTGTGTGTGTGCGTATATGTATATGTGTGTGTGTGTGTGTGTGTGTATATATAACAATTTAGAATATTCATTTAAACAACCTTAAAATATCAATGACTTACCTTCTCTTTCCATGGTTCATTTTGCATAACATAAATCACTGCATATTTTACATTCAGTATTCCATAATTACTTCCATTAAAACTTATTTACACTGTTAAATTTATCTTAATGCTGCCAACGTTTTCAAGCGTACACAATCCCCCCCCTATATTCAACAAACATTTTCCAATCTTCTTTAAACGATGCTCCTTCACTTTTAACAGTACTGAGCATTTGGAACCGGCCTCCAGGCTTCTTTGGGTCAACTTACCGCAAAAATATTATTAATGGCATCCAGGATCACTAGGATGGTTTTGCTATCCTTAACCACCAGCAGGTTCAACAGTGGTTCCACCACACCAGCCTGAACAAGGTATATGATCTGGCCAATGGTTCCACCACTTGTGAAGTTGGTCACAGCCCACACCGCTTCTTTTTGAGATTTGAAGTCTCCCTGTTTTAATACACACAAGAGTATTATTACATAGAGCTAGCAATGATGGTCAGGAAGAAGTCAAAGGGAGGTTTGGTCACAAGATACTTCACGTTGAAAAACTCAGGAAAAAATACCTGGAGAGGTGCTTACGAAAGTCAACGAAACCGTTTATAGCTAATTGTTACAGCTTCTGTTCAGCCCTTCAAAGTGCTTTCTAATAATATTTTTTTTTAAAAACCACATTGATGGTTGTGAAGAGTTGCTTGGGCTCGTTCCAGTTCATGAATGTTACTATAGTTGAATGTGTTAAATGCGGCCAATGAATGCGCTTGAGCAAAGTTTTCTTTAAAAAACGCAGTATTAAAGCAACGGTATTTTTTTATATACTTTACTGTGTCCCAAGAGGGCCTTCCTTTTTTTGTTTTACCCTAAGCCGGAGGTCAACCAACCTGGTGCCCATGAATAAAATGGTACTCTTGCAACCTTCACCTTGTGCCCATGAAGATAGAGCCCCCGCAGAACTTATCATTTTTCTTTCTTGAAAAATACATAGGGCTAAAAGGAGGAAGTTGAGAGAGTGATGCTCTTTCCTGTTACTTCTTTTAAGCTCCGTGTGCTTTCCAAACCTCAGCCCAAATCTCTGGGATCTAACTGATCCAAACATATTGGCAACAAAAATATTGGTCTTAAAAGTTTTAAAAAGCAGTGTTCGTCTGCGGCAGAAATGGCACATTGGGGGGGGGGGATTAGGTTTAGGTTCCTTTTTTTACCTTTGTCAAGATGCCAACGAGATACTGGACAAGCCCGTGGTCCACAACCTTCTGGATTTGGTCCTGCCGTCCGGCAGTGATGTTAGACATGGTCCAGGCTGCTTCTTTCTGGATGTTGTTTTTGTGGTGAGTAAGCAGGCTGGGGAAGACAGCGAGTGCTCCCGAATCTATTACAATCTGTGTCTGTTCATCAGTCCCCGTGACAATGTTCCCTATGGCTCTTAATGAAGGCGTCTGGGGGGGAATGGTTTAAAGCCATTTGAGAAGCATATTCATAAACCACACATATTAAGCTAGCTATATCATACTATTAAAGAGAGGAATCAAAGGGTGACGCTGCCTAATCCAGTGTTCACCGATAGCGGTCAGTCTCCAGCTGGCTAGGGACCCAACCTAAATGGATCTTCTGAAAGAGTTTCTTACTGTGTGCAGTATATAGATCTAGCTTTTAGCAGACCCTTGGCTATTATATTAAGGGTCCTATTAATTAATAATAGTAATAATAATAATAATAATAATAATAATAATAATAGGTATTACAGCTCTTTATTTCAGTGCCTAAAACACAAACAACAAGTTGTACATTTCTGACGTGGTATCATGCAAAGCACTCAAGAAACGAGACAGCGCTTTTTTTTTTTAAAGCGCCTTGCTCCTGCTATATTTATGCACTCCTCCTGATGAGGCACATTCTTTGGGTGCATTTCGAGGCAGCGTTCTGTGAAAATGTCACCATGCAAAGGGAGGACCAGGAACTCTTCGAACTGGGCCCCAAATTGTTAAAAATGGGCATCAACCCAGAGCACGTTCACCTGTACGGATGGCTGGGCAGCCTGGAATTTTAGCCATCCATTATTGGGGAAGGGGTGTGTGTCCTGAAATATTTATAAAGTATATTATTTTATTATTTCATATATTATTTTAAAAGTATGAATTGCTTGCATGGAATGGGCATCGTGGCTGATCCCATGCCATACAAATTCTAAGGGCCCAATTATATACTGTAAAGTGGCCTAGGTGTGCCCAGAGGGGAAAAAAAATCAAAGGAGTCCTTTCGTCATGGCTATCAAAGTGTGAGGAAAGGGACCCAAACTTGTCGCAGAGCCTTCCTCGATGTGCTTGCACCATGAATGAATGAGGTATCCATTGATGCAAGCTGTGTGGCTTGGACAACTGCCCTGTATTACAGATTTTTCCCTTTTATCCAGATTCTGGGTGCCAACTTATAGTCTACTTTCCCAGTATCCAGCACGAACGCTACTCAGGAGAACTAAAGAGTGTCAGCCACCACGTTCGGCAGAGACAAAAGGGAGGTACATTTTGGCCTCTGCCACCAGTCGTGAGACTTAAGGCTGTGGGGAGGCTGCAATCCCTGCATCCCTGGAAGAGAGAAAACAACCTGGCTCCATTCATCAGTCACAGAAGGAACACATGTTCTTCAACTCTTGCTCTCTCCCCATTCCTTGAGTTTTTCTGCTGTGTTTATTAAGATTGTGAGCCTGGGAGGGGGCAGGGATTGTTCAAGATTTTAACAGCACACAGAAAATGCTAGGCACTTTATAAGCGTTAAACAAAGCATGGTCTATCGCTGATGCTTATAAGCACAGAAAAAAAATTAGTCCTACCCGGTGCTAGTCAGAGGAAATTAAATTATGTGTTATTGCCACTCCCTGCCCTGGCAGTTAGTGTAGCTGTACTTAACAGTCCCTGTAGTTAGAGGTGCATTAGAAGTGCAACCTAACCAAGTCTAGTTGGACGTAAATCCTGCTGCATTCAATGGGGCTTACTCCCAGGGAAGTAAACTTTTTTTTTACTTCTAGGTAAGTGGGCTTTAGGGACACGGGTGGCGCTGTGGGTTAAACCACAGAGCCTAGGGCTTGCCAATCACAAGGTTGGCGGTTCGAATCCCCATGACGGGGTGAGCTCCCGTTGCTCGGTCCCTGTTCCTGCCAACCTAGCAGTTCGAAAGCACGTCAAAGTGCAAGTAGATAAATAGGTACTGCTCTGGCGGGAAGGTAAACGGCGTTTCCATGCGCTGCTCTGGTTCACCAGAAGCGGTTTAGTCATGCTGGCCACATGACCCAGAAGCTGTACACCGGCTCCCTCGGCCAATAAAGCGAGATGAGCGCCGCAAGCCCAGAGTCAGCCACGACTGGACCTAATGGTCAGGGGTCCCTTTACCTTTTAAGTAGGCTTTGGACTGCAGCTGTACTAACTGAAAAAATTCCAGGTCATAGCGTATTGGAGCAAAGCTTAACATTAAAAAGGACGCATTCCTAAGGAACAATGTGCTGTTTGTGCTGAAGATAGCTGCTTGTGATTAAAAGCAACGATCTAGTCAGATCAGCCCAATAAAGCAGGGTTTCTTAACCCTGCCAAACCTTCATTCATATGTTCTTGTTGTATCCAGCTTACCATTATGGGAATTTCTCCACATCCCAGGAGCTTCACCAGCTGCGGCACGAGCCCTGTTTTCACCACCACTTCAATCCTGTCATTCGAGCCATCCGTCAAGTAAGAAATAGCCCAGCATGTATCTGCCAAGACTTCATGGTCATGGTGGTGCAGCAAGCGAACCAAAGTGGGAAGGATCTGTTCAATAGCTTCTATGGGCGGCGCAGGGTTCTTGTTACGGCAGAGGTTTGACAGAGTCCAGGTTACGTTGCGCAGGTAGCCAAGCTGAAAGCAATCACGAAGTTGATTTGTTAGAGCTGCTGTTGCTTTAACACAGAAGTGCCTGGCAGCCAAATTGCCGCCACAACGCTCAAACACTTACAGCGATAGAGGAGAGATCAGGTACAGCAAGCAGAGCCAAAAGCGGTTCGAGGGCACCATATTTAATGACCAGGTCTCTGTAGGCAGAACCATCACCTGAAAGTAGAGATTGAGATCGACTGTTAAGATACACACCACCATGGTATTTAAATTGTACACAGCCATGAATTTTTTTCTTTTGAGTCTGTACTTTGTAAATAAAACGTTGACAGAAGAAACCCACAGGGAAGTGTTGGCATAGGACAACTTGGGCGCAGTTAAAGCATTAAATCCACAATGCAACAGATGCTGGCCATCAGATTCCACGATATAGGAGTTTCTCAACATCAAAAATGGCACAATTGGATAAGGCCCTATACATCAGCAGAGAGATTATCTTCAGGTTGCTGCAATTCAGTCTGCAGAATCCCTGCATTAAGCACCCCCACGCTGAAGAGTGCCCAGATCAAAGACGTACTAAACAACCGTAGCCTGAGTTTATAGAGCAGCATGGATGACCAAAAGGACAGTGTTTTCTCCACCTGTCCCTTCAAGTGCTTTCCACACTCATCCTTCCCCACTACACCTCAATTCCTGTCAATAAACACGGGATTTCTTGAGAAACTTTCACAGAATTATTCAACTACGCAAAAGTTTCCTTGGTTACTGACTGAACAGCTTTCAGATCTCAAAGTTAAGGCCGTTGGAGTAGAATTTCTTTATGGTCAAAATATCAGCTTCAACCATAAAGTGACACGCTTTAATCAATGTAAATAGGAAATTGCCACCTAATAACAATAATAATAATTTTTTAAATTCATATCCCACCCATCTTGCTGGGTTTCCCCAACCACTCTGGGCAGCTTACAACATACAGTACAGTGGTACCTTGGTTCCTGAATGGCTTACTTGTTGAACCAATCAGCTCCTGAACGCCGCAACCTTGGAAGTAAGTGTTCTGATTTGCGAACGTTTTTTGGAAGCAGAATGTCCGATGCGGCTCCCGATTTGAGTGCAGGAAGCTCCTGCAGCAAATTGGAAGCCACGCCTTGGTTTTCAAACTGTTTCGGGAGTCGAACGGACTCCCGGAACTGATTAAGTTCGAGAACCAAGGTTCCACTGTATATAAAAACACAACAAAGCATTGAACGTTAAAAAGCAAAATATCCTATACTAGCAACAAATAGAAACCAATAAAACAATACTAAATATTGTTTAACATTTAAATATTGTTTAAGAGTGCATGCCCAAGAAAGCAATGTGGGGGATTTCTAGATCTGACTAACGAATGACCTAATTTCTAGCTTTGATGACGTTGTGTCCTGATGGTACCATATCCAGTTTCAAGTGCACGATTTCAAGTGTATCATCCATTTCCACATTTTGCATACACGTTTAAAGTACACATAGACAAAGTAATCCACAGAATAGCTCAGTAGTATTGGCCTACCTGCAATATTTCCTAAAGCCCACACAGCTTGCTCACTGATGTGCATATGGGGGGAAGCCAGCAAGGAAATAAAGGCAGGTATTGCTCCACCATCTACGACAGCTTTTGTCTGCTCTGATGTGCCAGAGGCAATGTTGGTCAAGGCCCAAGCAGATTCAAACTGAATAGGGCTGCAATCTACTCTTCCCAAGAAGGTCACAAGCTTTGAGATCAAGCCAGCTCTGATTATCTGGTCTATAGGGGGCTGCTTTTCTCGGGATAGGAGCTTCCTGCGAGGAAGAAGAAAGCAAGTTGGTTTCGCTCATCAACATTTTACAGACAGTCCTCAAATCCATTATAAGCAGATAGTCAGCCCCGGATGTGTGCTATGCACAACTAGCACCCCACCTAGAAATGGTGCCCATTAGTCTAGTGCTGTTTCATGAAATAACTTGCCATTTTCTGTCAACTCCTGCACATGGGCTTAAAGCACCCCAACTTCAATTACAAAATCCGCAGATTGTTTTGACACCAGGGTTTTTTTTGGGGGGGGGGGATTCTTACATGAGAACTGACATTTTCAAGCCATAGGCGATGTGACTGAATGCACAGTTCCAGAACTGATCTCCTAGCTCCAATGACTCAAAATTAATGCTTTCAGAGACACCCTCTCATAATCACATTGTACCATCAGCCTGGTTCATAGCTATATGAACGCATTAGCCTGGACTGGAGAAGACTTAATAGGCATCACAGTGACAGATGCTTGCCCGAAGCACCCCAGATAGGGATCTGCACCATAACATTTTAGCAGTTAAATTATCTTTATCACTTTTATTGTTAGCCAGTTTTGGAACTACAAGACAAGGAGCTGAGGTTTAGACAGCCTCCAACGTGCGTTCACATTCAGACTTGTGCCGTTTAGCTTTAGTTAGGGTCATCCTCCAACAAGGCAGCCAACTATTTAATGTTTAGAAGACATGACAAATAAATAATAATAATTTTTTAATTATTATTTATACCCCGCCCATCTGGCTGGGTTTTCCCAGCCACTCTGGGCAGCTAGATGGTAAGATGTTTAGGTAAGACAAGAACGTTATGTTAGAGAAAGCTTGCCCACTCTCTTCCGTGCTGAGAACTGTAAAATGCCAGAAATTCACTGTAAATATTAGTTTCAGAACCTCAAATTATAATCGAAGTCACAGCTCTTATTGCAAGTCATTCGCTTGCCATAGTCAAGGTGCAAAGAACATGGATGTCTCTGTATGTTTACCTGGCAGCCTGTGTTGCCTGCAGCTGGCATTCCACATTACTGCTGTTGATGCCTTTAACTATTTCTTCGACAGACCAGTGGACAGTGGCCTGCAAAAGAAAATTCAAGTTATACACACCTACACATTAAGTCTCTTTGCCAATTACCAATATCCCAGAGCAAAGTCATTGGCAACATACAAATTACACGTGAAAGCTGTTGTATGTATGCCTTCTGGATTTCTGATTTCTATTCTTTCCTAACAAAAAAAGAAAGTCAGAATTCCTTCCAACACTCCAGATGGTTTTCCAATATAGACAATGCTCAAATTAATTTTGTCCCTAAAAGAAAAGGAAGATTTAAGCCACACATGCTGGCTACTCTTTATTCAAATACTAGAACCAATGATTTTCTCTATGCTGCATAAATAGCAAAGGAATGTAGAGTTCGGAGTTTTAATCCTTGGAATCAGGGAAAGAATCCTGCCTGAAAATCTGAAGAGTTGCTGCTGGTCAAGTCAGAAAATACAGAGGTAGGTGGACTCAGTAGAAAGAAGCTCCTGACGGGTAATATCCAGTGATGGCAGGTTGTTGCTGAAATGAAATTGCTTAGGGCGGGAGGAAGATAATCAGCAATCCCCACTTGCCCTGCAACTACCCAAATATCTTCTAGATCTGGCCCAGAGGTTCTCCCCAACCCTCTAGAACAGATTTAAGGTGAACAATGAAATAAATAATCAGCTGAGAGATTCCATTCTATTAGCAGGCAGTCTCCACTGGTACTACCTATGTTCTTAAGATTTTTTTTAAAAAAACAAGACACCCGTATAGCCAGAAAGGGAACCAGAGGGGCCTCGACTCATTGCTTACTTGATTGTTCCGGTTGTTCTCCTGTAGAGGGGATGTGGCATCGTCAGGAAAAGTGCTAACATTTCTCCTTTTAAGCATCTGATCATCTTTTTTGGCTTTCCTCAGCTCCACGTTGACTTCCACCCGCCGCCTCCTCATTTCCTGGTGAAAAAGCAACCTTTAAAAAAACTGAACTGCATTTTTGGGCACACAAACAAAACAAAAAACTAACGACAGTCAGGTTTACTCACATTAGAATCCTTTCCCTTATTCTTGAACCTGTTGAGACGGGCAGCATTCTCATTGGCAGACATCTCGATATAGGCAAGATTTCAAATCTGCAAAAAGATTTTTGAGTTTATTTGTTTATGGCATTGATATATTGCTTTTCCGGCAAGGCACCCAAGGAAGTTTATGTTTTATGTCATTTATCTGTTATTTCAAAATTGTAAAGCCTGTGGAGTTGTTAAAGGTATTGCCACCTGTTCAAGAACATGAACTACTCTTCACCCAACTCAAATAAGGCAAGTCTACTTAAAGAGGATAGACTCAAATATGACCAGGAGCTAGTCCTACTGAGCTCAGTGGCTCTCAACTCCAAGACAGTGTCCTTCAGATTACAGCCTTGGGAGCCTGCAAAACACTTAACATCAGAAAGAGAATAAACTTGGGTTGCCATGTGTCCTCTTTTTCCAGGACACACCCTCTTTTTTCATGGATATTTAAAATGAGAACCATCATAGCAATCCATAGTTAAAAATGTGTCCCTTTTTTTGCTCTTCAAAATATGGCAATCCTAGAATAAGTTATATCCTGTTTTGTTAGGCTTCAGTTAACTCCCCCATACAAGTTTGCTCCCCCTCTTTCATTCAGGCACCCTAAACATTTGAAATAACTACAAAATCTACAGCATTCCTGTGATGCTGTGTCAGTTATTACGGCTGGAATCTTAGGAACTATTTACTGGGAGCAAGTTCCACTAAACTCAGTGGTGCTTACTTCTGAGTAAACAAGAATGGGTACTCACTCAGTTTCAAATTCTCCTTCCTTGGAGGAAAAAGGAAGGAATGACAAAGTGACAGGTAAGAGTTATCCCTTGGGGCTTTAACAATAGAATGGACAGCTTTGCTACAGTTGGGACCTCAACACTCCAATTCAGGATTTGAAAGCCAAGCTTCCTCAAGTCTTCAAATTTTCAGGATCACTTTCACATTTCCCTGAGCTGCAATCCTACTGGTTATTACTTATTAATAGGAAAGTCCCGGACCGGTGCCCCTCCTTCTGTTCTTACGCACCCTGTTCAAAACTCCCATTGTTCTAGGCACATTTTACGACAGGGAATTTCATTATGAGCTCTGGGCACAGTACTGCACCTAAGATTTCAAATTAAAACTGCCAAGTGGAAGGAAAGGAGGACCTTTTTTCTGCCTCCCCACTTCCAGCTACTCTCTGAAGACTGGAGGAGAAAACCTCTTAAGAATATTAGGGGAGTGGGCAGGGAAGGACTAGACCATATGGGAAACGAACATAATATTTTAGCTGCAGTTAATTCGTTTTCAGCTTTGTATTCTTGTTATTAAAAAAGTGTGCCAAGACATTACCTTGTTGCGCCCATAACCTAGGTTTAAGGTAGTCTTTAGCTCCTAGCTTTCATATTATTGCAACTGCAAGTGAACCGTTTTAAGCCTGATTCAAGTGCAACATACAACGTGACGCTAGATGGCGATGGCGAGCCTTATGGAAAATTCAATGCGTTTTTTAAAAAGCGCTTTAAAAAAAGCGTTTTCAGATTATTTTTCCACGTGTGTAGATCCTACCTCAGTTTCTAACACTCCTTACACCCTTTCTTAAACCTCTCCTGCCCCAGCTCCCCTTTAAGCGAACACGTGCGAGAGAGAAAGAGAAGGTATCCTGCCCGTTTCTCCACCAGGAAAGGACGGACTCAGCTGCCTAAACGGCTCAGGCTCGAGTCACTTTCACTCGCCCAGCGTCTCTAATAATAATAAAAAATTATTTATACCCCGCCCTCCCCAGCCAAGGTCTTACAAACAATAATAAAAACAAGTTGGATGAATACAACTTAAAAACAATATTAAAATACAACATTAAAAAGCAGCCTCACCAACAGGTGGAGAAAAGGAAAAAGAAAACCTTCTCTTGAGCCGAGCCAGAGCGGCTTATGGGGGACCACCCACAAGGCATCCCTACCACCCACCCGCCACGTCGCCCTCGAGATTCCAGAGACGCGGCACAAAAGGAAAAAGGACAGCGGAGGGAGGAGGAAAGGGCAAAACCCAGTTCGGATAAGCGAGCAAGTGAGCGGGAAAAGAAGGTGGGGAGGAGAAAAAGCAAAGAATCCACTCCCGTCCCCTCCCCCTAAAAACCTTCCAGAGGCGTCTCCCTCTTCCCCAAATGCCCCTCTCTTGTCCTATAAAAGGTGGGCCCAGCGCGGTCCCGTACGCATTCCCCCCAATTTGGGTCCCTCCAGGGCACCGTCGGGGGTATCCCCTACCCGAAAAGGGAGCCCCGGCTTCGTCGCGTCGCAGCAGCAGCAACAAGCAGCACCAGACACGGCCTCTCGCTCCACGACTATTAATACTCCACCCACCGCGGTGCGCGATTTGAACTTCCCTGCGCCTTCGCTCTCTCATTGGTGCGTTCGAGTCAAGTCGGAGCGCTCATTGGTCCGTTTGAAAGTAAGGACGCGCTCCGAGCTCGCGCTCGCTCCTGAAAGGAGGAGGAGGAGGGGAGGGAACGTCCCCGCCGGTGCCAAGACCTCGCGAGAGCTGTTAAGAAAACCGGCTCGCGGGACTACACGCCCCAGCATTCAGCGCGGCTGTTTAGTGCTTTATTTGAATGAATCCGAGCCGGATTCGGATCGGGAATGGAGGGCAGGATTGCGGAATCGTTAGCTGCTCCCAGGGCAGCCGGTGAAGAAAAATACAAGAATAGAGGAAGGAGGCTGGCAGCTTTAAGATAAATTCAGCCGAGCAGACAATATTTGATGGATGTCAAAGTGGAAAGTTGATGTGAATGGTGACAGTAAAATACGTAGGAAAGTATGATGCGTCATATGAACCGTGGAAGGAGAAGAAGGGAAGTCCTCGGGTGCTTTAAAGTTTGTAAAACGTTTTGATTTGAAGTGGAGAAAAAGGAAAACTCATACTGTATGTACACACACAAACACACACACACCCCACAACAGTTATCGCAGTGGCCAAGCGGGAAAAAGGCCTGCAAAAAAAGTGCAGCAGGAGCACTTTTTCCGCCTGTGATTCCCAGAAACCGGTATACAGAAGCGTAGTGTCTCTGAAAGTGGAGGTAGACATAGCAGCTGCGGCTAGTAGTCATTGAAAGTCTTTGTTGTTGTTGTTAAGTCGTTTAGTCGTGTCCGACTCTTTGTGACCCCATGGACCAGAGCACGCCAGGCACTCCTGTCTTCCACTGCCTCCCACAGTTTTGTCACTCATGCTGGTAGCTTCGAGAACACTGTCCAACCATCTTGTCCTCTGTCGTCCCCTTCTCCTTGTGCCCTCCATCTTTCCCAGCATCAGGGTCTTTTCCAGGGAGTCTTCTCTTCTCATGAGGTGGCCAAAGTAGTGGAGCCTCAGCTTCAGGATCTGTCCTTCCAGTGAGCACTCAGGGCTGATTTTCTTCAGAATGGAGAGGTTTGATCTTCTTTCAGTCCATGGGACTCTCAAGAGTCTCCTCCAGCACCATAATTCAAAAGCATCAATTCTTCAGGGATCAGCCTTCTTTATGGTCCAGCTCTCACTTCCATACATCACTAACGTAGGAAAGTATGATGCGTCATATGAACCGTGGAAGGAGAAGAAGGGAAGTCCTCGGGTGCTTTAAAGTTTGTAAAACATTTTGATTTGAAATGGAGAAAAAGAAAAAATCATACTGTACACACACACCGCAACAGTTCTCGCAGTGGCCAAGCAGGTAAAAGGCCTGCAAAAAAGTGCAGCAGGAGCACTCTGTCTGCCTGTGATTCCCAGAAACCAGTATACAGATGCTTAGTGTCTCTGAAAGTGGAGGTAGACATAGCAGCTGCGGCTAATAGTCATTGAAAGTCTTATCCTACATTAATTTGTCTAATCCTCCTTGAAAAGCCATCCAAGTTGGTAGCCCCCACTTCGCTTTGTGGGAGCAAGTTTAACATAAATTAGCTGCATGAAGAAGCATTTTCCTTTGATATTTCTAGATTTGTCTGGCAGGGCAAGAAGCCTAGAATAAAATTTAAAATATTAATGGATGCAAAGGAAAGAGGTGGATTTGCCCTGCCAGACCTTAAACTTTATTATGAATCAGCAGCTTTTTGCTGGCTGAAAGAATGGCTGCTTCTTGAAAACACAGATATTTTGGATTTAGAAGGCTTCAATAATGTATTTGGATGGCATGCATATTTGTGGTATGATAAGGTCAAAGCACATAAAGCATTTAAGAATCATATTGTCAGGAAAGCATTGTTTAATGTCTGGATAAGATATAAGGATTTATTGGAAAACAAAACTCCAAGGTGGCTGTCACCGATGGAAGCAAAAGCACTGAAAAAGCTCAATATGGAGGCCAAATGGCCGAAATATTGGGAAATCTTGGAACAAGAGGGAGATAGACTGAAATTGCAGAGTTTTGAGAAACTAAAAACAAAGTGCGAGATTGGCTTCATTATTATCAGATAATGGAGGCATATAATTCGGACAAGAAAATTGGCTTCCAGGTGGAAAAATCAAAATTAGAAACAGAACTGTTAGAACCCAAAACTAAGATTTTGTCAAAGATGTATAACTTGCTGTTGAAATGGAATACTCAGGATGAAACGGTGAAATCTGCTATGATTAAATGGGCACAAGATGTTGGACATAATATAATGATGGCTGACTGGGAACAGTTATGGACCACAGGTATGAAGTTTACGGCATGCAATGCCTTAAGAGAGAATATTATGAAAATGGTATACAGGTGGTACATGACTCCAGTCAAGCTTGCAAAAATCTATCATTTGCCCGATAATAAATGTTGGAAATGTAAAGAAACTGAAGGTACATTCTTTCACCTTTGGTGGACGTGCCCAAGGATTAAAGCTTTCTGGGAGATGATCTATAATGAATTGAAAAAGTATTTAAATATACCTTCTTGAAGAAACCAGAGGCCTTTCTCCTGGGCATAGTCGGCCAATTGGTGCCAAAGAAGGATAGAACTTTTTATGTATGCCACAACAGCAGCAAGAATACTCATTGCAAAGTATTGGAAGACACAAGATCTACCCACTCTGGAAGAATGGCAGATGAAGGTGATTGACTATATGGAACTGGCGGAAATGACTGGCAGAATCCGGGACCAGGGAGAAGAGTCGGTGGAAGAAGATTGGAAGAAATTTAAAGACTATTTACAGAAATATTGTAAAATTAATGAATGTTAGAATGATGTTGGATAGAAATTAAGTGGTTTTTAGCTGCAATACTATAAGGGAATATGAAAAATGGATTACTAACAGGTAAAAATTTAATGTTACAATATTTTAAGATTAATGATTAGGATAGACAAAGAGGGAAGGATTTGCTGAACCAACAAACCGACGTGGACTACAAAAATGGGAGGCGTGAGGAGGTCCGGGAAACAAGCTAATGAAAAATAAGTAATGGAAAGATTGAGTTGTTTTTAACTATTTTTATTTTTTGTGTTTTTCTTTTTTCTATTTTTATTTTGTAATATTTTGAAAATCTTAATAAATATCTTATATATATATAAAAAAGTCTTATCCTACATTAATTTGTCTAATCCTCCTTGAAAAGCCATCCAAGTTGGTAGCCCCCACTTCGCTTTGTGGGAGCAAGTTTAACATAAATTAGCTGCATGAAGAAGCATTTTCCTTTGACCCGAATCTTCCAACATTCAGCTTTACTGGATGTCAGAAGGGAGAGAAAACGTTTCTCGATCCACTTTCTCCATGCATGGCACGCCTAATTTTATAAACGTCTATTACATCACACCTTGCTTGCTTTTTTTCTATACTAAAAAGTCCTAAATGCTGTGACCTTTCCGTGGGTGTAGACAGGTTTTATGTTATGGGGGGGGGGCAGAACACCCACCTGTCAACATCATCTGTCTACCAGATTCGGAATGAAATGTATCCACAACAGTTGTTTTAAAGTACTTTGTTTTGACCCCAAGCATTCAGAAAAATCCGTCAAAATTTTTCTACAATCTCTACTTTGAGTTAAGTATTTATATATATTCAGTGGTACCTCGGGTTACATACCCTTCAGGTTACAGACTCCACTAACCCAGAAATAGTGCTTCAGGTTAAGAACTTTGCTTCAGGATAAGAACAGAAATTGTGCTCCGGCGGCGCAGCAGCAGCAGGAGTCCCCATTAGCTAAAGTGGTGCTTCAGGTTAAGAACAGTTTCAGGTTAAGAACGCACCTCCGGAAAGAATTAAGTACTTAACCCGAGGTACCACTGTATTTATAAACACATTTTTAAACAAATACAAACACAATAACCATTAAACAGCAGTACAACGAATGTTTTTTATCCAGTCTCTAGCCATATACACTTACACATTCAGCATTCAAACATATCACTTAGTACTCCGCTGAGGATAAAGAAAGTTGTTTTTATATATACTTGATTTACGGAGGTGGGGGCAGCTGCCCACTTTCCATCCCCCTTCTGGCTACCCCATGAACCTTTCCTCAGGGGAAGCTTACAATCCCCTTTCACCAAAGTGTCATCACTTTAGGACTGTTGCAGGGTTGCCATATTTCAGAAAGTGAAAGAGAAAATCCACAGTTGTTGAGCTTTTTTCTCCCTGTTGCTTTTTTTTAAGTTTTGGCCAAAGTTGTTGGGGGTTTTTGCAAAATCGCAAAACAAATTGGGCCATTTTGGCAAAACGTTACAGGGAACCAGGCAGAGGGCCTTCTTGGCAGTGGCGCCCTCCCCATGGAATGCCCTTCCATCAGACAACAGGCAGATAAAGAATTACACAACTTTCAGGAAACATGAAAACAGCCCTGTTCAGGGAAGTTTCTAATGTCTGACATGTTATTATTTTTTGTATTTTGCTGGAAGGCACCCAGAGTAGCTGGGGAAACTCAGCCAGATGGGCAACAAAAATAAAACAATAATCAACGACCCTGCCGGCATGAGCTGCCATACAACTGGATTTCACCGGACATTAGGACATCTCTCGGAAGCACAACCGCTTGCTGAGTCTGTAGGTCCGGGGAATCCCGGACGTATGGCGATCCGACTGCAGACTTGGATAGTGCAAATCCAGGTTACACACGTCGCTTGTGAAAATCATCCCAAAATATCTAGTCCCGAGGACCGCGGGGTCAAGCGGGAGACCTTCCACGTGTTGACAGGTCCCTCACGTGAGTCGACGCCGTCCCACGGCCAAGCTACGTTAGCCTGACATGCGCAGTAGAGCCTGCGGCTCCGGGGGTGGAGTTAAAGCCAGTCCGAAGCGCGAAGCGAGCAGTACGCAGGGAGGGCGTGGCTTATTGTCTCAGGGGCGGAAGACGAAGTCAGAAGAGGGAGGATGGACGCGAAGTGGGCGGAGCCACGCGTGTCCGGGCGGGGCCCTTAGAATGCGGCGCTCAGCCATTCTTGCCAGGTGACCCAGTGGCCTAATGGATAAGGCATCAGCCTCCGGAGCTGGGGATTGTGGGTTCGAGTCCCATCTGGGTCGTTCCTCGTTTTTGCGGCAAGGCTTTCAAAATTCACCAAGCGCTTCCAAGCAGCTCGGCGATGGCTTTCTGAGCCGCTGTTGCTGCACGCTTTTGCAAGCAGTCGCGCCGTTCCCTGCTGGACGCGGGCGCAGAGGTCTGTGGACCCAGGCTGCGGAACGTACTACAGCAAGGGCTTGCAAGCTCTCGTTTGCACGAAAACGAGGGAGAAGTTTGATCAGGCCGGGTGGTGATCGCGCGCATCCTAAACACAACGCGATCTTGCGCCCGGAGAATGTGGGGCTTGAGGCTGCAGCTGCAGACGCCCCATTAAATAAAGTGCACAGTATTGTGAATGGGAATCTAGAAAGCTATTGTGCAATCAAATATCAGTGTTTGTTTGTTTCTTCGCAACCTGTTTGCCCTTTAACAAGACCTAGAACCAGAGAGGCCAACTTGAATAAAATATTTTTTTGGGGGGGTAAGCCCCGCCCTACATAAGTGATCACATGACACGCACACTATTTGAATGGCAGTGTCCATCAACTTTTGGGGGGGCAGCCCCCTCTAATATTTTATTGGGGGAGGGGCAAAGGGACCCCAGCCCCTAGGAGCTCATAGCTTCCAACATTTCTCCAATGAAAATAAGGACGTCCCATTATATAATACTATTTATATTATGGACTCTCTTTCCTTGGAGGTCTTTAAACTGAGGTTGGATGGTTATCTGTCATGGATGCTCTAGCTGAGATTCCTGCATTGCAGGGGGTTAGACTAGATGACCCTTGGGTCCCTTCCAACTCTTAAGATTCTATGATATCAGCAGCCTTCAAGCTGCCATCCCATTCAGTAAGCAAACTTGCTTTATTGTCACATCTTTACATACTACTGCTGGATGATCACCTTCCATCTGCCAGTTCACCTACTCCAAAGGGAAGAAAAGGGGGGGGGGGGAGCAGACACTGCTGAATATCACAGCTGTTGCCAGCTGTGTTTTGCTGGGCAGTAGAAAAGGGTTTTCTCCTTGGCCTGCCCTTGTATCCACTCAGCTACCAAGTGCTATTGCGACATCACAAGCAGTCTGCAGCCAATGGCGACAGCTGGGGAGGCATCATCCTAAACCAGTGTTTCCCAAACTTGGGTCTCCCTCTGTTTTTGGACTACAACTCCCATCATCCCTAAACTAGCAAGACCAGTGGTCAGAGATGATGGGAATTGTAGTCCAAAAACAGGTGGACCCACATTTTGGAAACACTGCTTTAAAGGAACTGGTCTAATCCATTCAAACCTACCACAATTGTGGGTATACCTCTAGTGATTTCAAGTGCTATATGCACACAGAGAGAGAGAGAGAGCCACACACACAATTTATATATATAGAGAGAGAAAGAGCGTGCGGAAACATCATAAAACTGCATTTTTTTGGAGGGATCCTTCCAGGGGCCGTAGGCCAGTGTTGGGCAGGGTCAGAGGCCCAGGGAAATGGAGCAACAACTCTTTATCTTTGTACTGTGGGCTCCATTCTGGCTGTACAAAAGGCCAGAGGTTTCCATGGCCCCGATGCCTCTCAAATCAATTTCATCATGCCCCATAAGTAAATGGTCCTCTGCCTATCTTAGGACCGCCTGACACAATCAGTCACAAGATGCAGCACACACACAAACCCCAATTGAATGGCAATGCCTATTGACTTGGGGAAGGATTTTATTGGGGGGTCTTGAAGGGATCTCAGCCCTTAGGAATTGTCTCCTATGGGTGGGGGGAATCTTTGACTCTCCAGATGGTGCTGAGCAACCACTCTCCTCAGCACCAGCAAGCATGGTCAATGGCCAGGGATGATGGGAGTTGTAGTTCAGCAACGTCTACACACCTGGTCTGTTTGGGGAGAGTTCCTATGGCGTTCCCTTGCTCCTTTCTGCATGGTACCACTATTTCAGTCTCCTCCTTCTTTCGACTAAACCTCAGTTCAATTAGTTTGCTTTTTGTTTTCCCTCTATTTGCCAAGATAGCTCATATATCTCCATTTTCTCTCATCTTCCTCTTTATACTGTTATTGGCAGCTGGAGGTACATCCCACAGCCCCAATGTTCCTCTTGCTATTCTTCCCATCCTCCAAAATCGTGTTTCTACTACTCTTATCTGGCTCCATTCGTCTCTCGCGGGCTGTTAAACTGTCACTGGTCTGTTAATAAATCCTTTCATCTCCATAAATGATCTCCCATAGCACTCAGAGGAAGTGGGATAACACTTTCCTTTTTTTTTGTATACGCCCCGTGATTCTAGTCCAAAGTGGTAATGGTTCTTTTTCAATATCTTATTTTTCTTCCTCTCCCGGTGAATCACATTTGATCTCTTATCTCCTTTCAATATTTCTTCAGCAGCAGCCATTAATCACCCCCTGTCCGTATTTCCAATTTTCTTTCCAAGTTTGAATATTGGCTCTGATTGTCTTCCTTCTTCTCTGCCAATCATTAATTATTATGGTTAATTGTAATATTCATTCCAGTTTGGCTTCTGTTTAATATTTTTTAGCGCTTTGGCAGTTTTCTTGATTCTTTTAGTCTCTTCTTTTCCTGTCCACCCCTCCCTGGATTATTTCAGGCCCTTGCTGCCATCATCGGACCAGGGTTAGTTGGAGGAAGATGCCCCTTGACAGGATTGCAGAGCCAGGCTGCTCCCAGGAACTGTGCCCTAAAGATGGCCAAGAGACTGATATTGATTAATTGGAAAAATAAAAGATACGATACCCGTTAATTGACTGGCATCACTCGCAACCTCTGAACTGACTGCTACTGGGTACACACTTAGATAAATATAATACCCAGAAGGATTTTATACAAATGCACTAGGCCATTAACCTTTACATAAGTATTAGGATAACAAAACTGTACCAGTTTCTAGAAGAACGTGTGGGAATGTTGCATAGTGCATTTTTGCACATTCTATTTTTTATATGTGTGTCTTTGTTGTTCTTTCCCCCTCCCCCCCCCTTTACTTTTCCTCTGTAATTCTTTTAATGGAAATCGCTTCAATAAAATATAAGTAAATAAAACAAATGATGATGATAATAATAAAAAAAGCTGGGTCTTGCTCCAGGGAGTGACTGATTCCCGTTTCCCCTAAGGATGCCTCTCATTAGCATGAACAGGGGGAAGGGCCAAAAGAGAGAGAAAGGAAGAGAGAGAGAGAGAGACACTCTGGCTCCCTTGGAGTTTGGAAAAAGATTTCCGTCACAATGACATCCCCAGGTCTTTGGCTGCTGGGCTTCGCGTTGGGCTTCCCCTTCAGCTCTGGGGCAGGTAAGGTGTTGCCAACAGCCGAGGAGGCCCCGCGGGGACAGACACGCACTCACGCGCTTCCCTTCCTCCTGCCCAACTTTCGCCTGCACCAGCTGCAGCCCTTCCCACAGACGCGGAGGGAATTCGCCTCACAGAAAAGTCGTGCAGCTTTGCTGAGCAAAGTTGTGGCGCTTTATTATTATTAGCCAAAGCTGATGAGCTGCAATTATTATTGTTATTATTATTATTATTATTATTATTATTATTATTATTATCATCATCATCATCATCATTATCCACAGTTATTGAGCTTTATTATTATTATTATTAGCCAAAGCTGATGAGCTGCTATTATTATTATTATCCACAGTTATTGAGCTTTATTATATTTATTATTATTATTATGATTATTGGCCAAAGTTGATGAGCCATTCTTATTCTTATTCTTATCCACAGTTATTGAACTTTATTATTGTTAATATTATTATTGGTCAGAGTTGTTGAGCTTTTATTATTCTTATTATTACTCACAATTATTGAGCTTTACTATTACAGTATTATTATCATCAGTGCTTTTTTCTAAAAAAAATGTTTAGGGGGGTACTCTCATTTTGACTCAAGAAAATCACCATTATGTAGTTCAGATCGGGAAAAATAAATACAGTAAACGGACAAAAGTACAAAGATTCGCAAATTGTTTAGGGGTATGTGTACCCCTGCATCCCCTCAGAAAAAAAGGACTGATTATTATTGCCCAAAGTTGTTGCGCTATTTAAATTATTATTATTATTATTATTATTATTATTATTGCTGCTCAAAGTTGTTGAGCTAATAATAATAATAATAATAATAATAGTCTTGCCCAAGGTTGTTGAGCTTTATTATTGGCCAAAGTTGTTGAGCTATTATTATTATTAATATCATTGCCCAAAGTTGTTGAGCTGTTATTATTATGCCAAAGTTGTTGAGCTTTTTTATTATTACTATCATTATTTTGGCCCAAAGTTGTTGAGCTTTTATTATTCTTATTATTGCCCGAAGTTGTTGAGCTTAATTATTATTCTTATTATAACTATTGGCCAAAGTTGTTGAGAATGACGTTTTTGAGATATGTTCATGGAAAATCAGCAAAAACACCAACACAGGTTGCTGTACGTCCGGATTTTCACGGACATACCCCCGATTTCCAGCCAGGCACCACTGCCGACTGCAGTATTCCGGCTGCGCCCGGAAGATTCCGGACTTGTGGCAACCCTCAACTCCCCCCCCCCCCGAGCCTTGGGAAGGAACCTTTGCACCTGTGTGCGCGCCTGAGGGAGAAAAACTGTGCACCAGCCTCTGGCCTGTTTGGGATGTTAATTCTGTGTATATATATATATATGTATATATATGTGTGTGTGTGTTTTTCTGGACTAGCAGAATAGAGACATCTATAAAAGTTGCCCCTTCCATGGCATCTAAATTATGACAATTGGTGAGGTGGTGAGGCTGTAGGGTTGCCATATTTCAAGAAGTAGAAATCCAGACACAAAGAGCTGTTGAGCTTTTTTTGGACACACACACTTCTCGGTTCTGTTTGCGAAAACCCAGACAATTTGCCATTTTAAAATGAAAATCCCCCACCTGAATGGTAAATTTCATCTTTGGAACCCTGGACATGTTCAGGGGAAAACAGACATATGACAACCCTAGCGCAACAGGGACTATGACCATTTGTTCCTCACGCTGGCGAGATAGTGCAGCGAATCCTAAGCCTCCAGAGATAGGAGAGGAAGGGGGGGAAAAGAAGAGAGAGATAAGAGAGAAAGAGAGAGAATTTGCAGAGGAGCTGCTTGACGCCTTCCCTAGCAACATAGCCTTCGACCGAGTGAGTCCATCTAGCCCATTGTTATCTGTACTGACTGAATAGCTTAGTTGGTTAATAATAAATCATCATAATCATAATCATAATCATAATCATTATCATCCTATTATTTGTACCCCACCCATCTGACTGGGTTGTCCCAGTCGCTCCAGGCAGCTTCCAACACACACATAGCTGTCAAGTGTCCCTTATTTGAAGGGACAGTCCCTTATTCCAGCGCCATGTCCCGCTGCTGTCCCTTATTGATGGATGTCCCTTAAATTATGTCCCTTAAATTTCAAAGGAAGCAGCTCCTCTCCCTCCCTCCCTGCCGGCCAGGGAGGAGGGAGGCTCCAACTGTGTTGCTTGGCTGTGTTGCTCACCCAATAAGAAGTCTAAGAACGACTGGGGGGTGGAGCTTGCATGCCTTGTGTGTGGCTAGTTAATGCAAGCTGAGGGGTTTTTGAATGCTGGACGCCATTTTGTTGCACGTGCTGCTGCAAACTTTGCAGTGCAAAGCCAGGCCGGGGAGCCATCTTAAGTTGAGGCTGCATAGGCCTTGTGGTGCATGTGATTCATATTCTATTCAGTTGAACCTCTGGTTACAAAGTTGGTTGGAGAGTGTTCTCGAAGCTACCAGCATGAGTTTGACCAGACTGCAGGAGGACAGGAAGACTGGAGTGCCTGGAACAGGTGAGGCTGCAGGTCCCTTATTTTGACTGCTGGTCCCTTATTTTCAAGGCTGCTGGTCCCTTATTTTCAAATCTGTAAGTTGACAGCTATGAACACACATAAAAACATAATATGGAACTGATGATGTCAAGGTTGCAGGTTCGATCCTTGTATGGGGCAGCTGCATATTTCTGCTTTGCAAGGGGGTTAGACTAGATGACCGTCAGGGTCCCTTTCAACTCTATGATTCCAGCGTTTCGGGTGAAGGACATTCCCAGCTTGAAACCTGCTTCATCCCAGTTTAATTTTTTCCTCCCTTGTGCTTGGGCTAAACTTGCAGTCTTATGCATTCTTACTGGGGAATGAGCCTCACTGAACTCTATGTAAGCAATGCAGGGAGTAAACAATGCAAAGCAGACGGCTGTGCTCCAAGTCACCTATGTGTATTTTATTTAAAATTAATGTATTAAAATTATTCACACAGAGACCCCTCTTCCTCCTCCTCCTAATATACATAGCTTAGTGACTATTTTAATATTCCACAGTTTAAAAATGCTTTTATATAAAATAAAATGTGTGGTTCTAGAATGAGGATGACGACGATACATTGTACACTTTGGGCATTCTTGCACTATGTTCATCAGTTTTGTGTGGGGAGGGGGACTCCAACAGGAAATTTTACCAAGCCTGGCAGCAGCACTCATAGATCTAGGGCTCCTTCTGATAGTGATAAGGATCCTGGAGATCCAGAAAAGTATAAAGCAGAATGCTTGTATTACATTCTTCTAGGTCAGAATTAGCTAGAGCGGATCAGGCCGAGTCAATCATTGCACAAGAGGGGAAGAGCTGTAATTGGAAATATAAAAAGATCAACATTTGCCTTTTTATCCTGCCTTTCCTCAAAGGACCTCCAAGCAGCATGCATTATTGGCTACCTCCCAAAACAACAACACACATATAAAAAACGTTCTGAAAATGCTTTTTCAAAAAAGCGTTTTTAAAAACACATTGAATTTTCCATAAGGCTCGCCATCGCCATCTAGTGTCACATTGTATATTGCACTTCAAACGTACTTCAAACGTTTTATTTGCAGCTTTATAGCTGAGTCCCTTGTGAGGTTAGGTTAAGTTGAGAGAGAAACTGACCAGCCCAAGTTCACTCACTGGTCTTTGGAGCTGAGCAGGGATTTGAATTCAGGGCTCCACTTGCCAACACATTTAAAGCAGTATCATGGCCCTTTAAGCAGCCATGGCTTCTCCCAAAGAATCTTGGCAACGGTGGTTTGCTAAAAGTGCTGAGAATTGTTCAGAGGCCCCTATTCTCACAGAGCTACTGTTCTCATAGTTCTCAGGGAACAGGGATTGATTGTTAAACTACCCTGAGAATGGTAGCTATGTGAGGGGGAACAGGGGTCTCCTAGCAATTCTCAGCACCCACAACAAACTACAGTTCCCAGGATTCTTTGGGAGAAACCACAACTGTTTAGTGATAAAACTGAAGAGTCCTAGGCCCCATCTGCACTAAGGAAAGGTATATGATTCATTAGAACACCCTGGGATGAGACTGCGGTGAAATCTAAACACATTTTTTTAAAAAAACACACACCATGAAAATGCTTTAAAAAAAAGTTTTGAAAAATACATTGAATTTTGCATTGCTCACCTTCGCCATCTAGTGTCACATTTGCATATTGCGCTTTGCAGCCCATTTAAAATGCTTATTTGCAGCTGTGTAGCTGAGTCCTGTGCAACCCTGAACTTTCCTTTTCGCACGGCATGCAGTTGGCCCTTGTGCATATGAACACTTAGCTCTACGGTAAATGGGGCACCCAAGAATATACGGACAGGAAAATTTTAATGTAAGCGCCATCTGATAAAAGCGCAACCCATTACATGACAACCTACCCCTTGGAATCACATGCGATGGACTAAAAAACAGAAGTGGTGGGTCTGTTCAATCAAAGGAGTGCAGGGTGGGGAGAAATGGGCATGGTTAGATGGAAAAGCCACCATTTGGCCTGCAAGGGATTTTCCTCTCCCTTCATGGCAATGTTCTGCCTTCGCAGGCGGTATCAGGGCAATCTTTAGTCTCACCAGCTGTGGTCATGGGAAAGAGCATGTCAATGACGATGTCAACTGGCAAGAGACTTCAGAACTGGAGTTAAATCAGCAGACAGAATCAACAGTGGGAGTTGCGAATATTTGTTTGAGTATCTTATATATATAAATTCTCTATATTGACAATCTAAATGTGGGAAAGAAGGGTTGGAATAATGCAATCACCCACCCACAAACCTACAAACCATCCTGCCGGTGGGGTGTGGGGTGGGAAAGCTCATTCTCCATGGAACCGGCATAAAACCAGGTCTGGGAAGTTGCCCGTTTTGTATCGCCAGCTTGTGGCAGTAACAAAATACAACTGAGAGCTCACCATTGTTGGTCTTTTTAGCTTCCATTAGTAAAAAGGTCAAACCTCCCTAATAAACTTTCCTCTTATTCAGCTGCTAAGAAATAGGCTGCCTGCTATTATAATTGTGCATATTTTTTAACAAAATCACAGTTGCTTATCTACGTTGAGTTAAATTACTTGTATGAAGTATTTTGAATTCAAAGTTGTTAATATGTCCAAGCAGAGAGTTAACTTGACTGTGGATAAACCAGTTTCAAAGCTTAAACTGCGCTGTTATTTGCAAGCTGAAAGGGGAATACATAAAAGTTGGTTTCGGAGGCTGAGAATCCCAGAACTCCAAGTTCCTGAAGGTGAGGTGTTAAGCGTTCCTTCTCGGAAATCGATCCAAGCAATGAATGGGGCTTCTGAATAAACACAGTTAGGATCAGACTGTAATTTGTAACAAACAGCAGATGGGACATTGAAGTTCGGTTTTTAGGGTTCTCAGACAACTGCCTTTGCATCTTGGGGATCTAAATCTTAGGTAGAAGAATTATTCATCAATATGCAGAGCTGGTGACAGGGCTCAAGCAGAGCAGACGACATTGTCAACAGAGCTTCCTGTGGATGGGAAAATCAAATAGCCATGTTTGTCAGGGACTTTTAAACAATCGGACCAGGATGCAATGTGAACCCTGCTCCCCGGATGCTCCCTGGACATTCAGCATTCTTTTTTTAGAGAGGAGTTTGTTTATAAATCGTGCTTTTAATTTGTAATGAAAACAGGGGGGGAAATAATTCTAGGTTTCCATGCTTCCGCTTGTCCACAGCTGGGTTTTCTTTTTTTAAAGCACACAACGCAATACATTGTTCTGCAGCGCTGAGGCCTGAACTGGAAAGATGCTCAGCTAGCCTAACAGTTTCACCACAGTGGCAATTTAAAGTTATATGGAGGCTCTAAACAGGCTCCCCCCAGTCTTGTTTCCTCCAGTTGCCCAACTCCAGGGCCCTTGAGCATTGGTACTGCTGATTGCGGATGATGGGAGATGTTGATCTGGAGACCCCCAGGTTAGAGAAGATTTCTCTAGGGCGGTAGAAAATAGACGAATGCCGTTGAGTTTCTTCACTGGCATTCATGGATAGGGTAGTGTTTTAGGAACTAGAAGCTGGCACAAAATCAAATGTGGCTGCTGAGACCCGAGGACAGCTGCCCTGATGTAGCAGCTACCACTCAGTCCTGTTCTTCCAATGAAGTCCCTGAGCAAAATACGCCACACAAGGAAAAAGAGGAGGGGGAAAAGGCAGGCTAAGAAGTGGCTGGTCTGCTTATGATTTGCTTGTATGATTTGCATTTATTATTATTATTATTATTATTATTATTATTAATAGAATTTATATACCTCCCTATACCTGGAGGTTTACCAGATCCTTCAGAGGTAGCAGGACCATTTCAGCGGTGTACAGACGTACTGCCTGTAAAATGCTTAAAGGCAAATGCAGGGTAATCCCACGAACATCCATGAATCCCCCTTAACATCCCATTAGTCACCAACTTTGACTTCCACTAGGAAACTTAAATAAACACAGTCGTGCTCTTCTCCCATAGTACGTTAAGGCCTTGCCATAGAAGGGAAGAGTGATTGCTGCACCCATGGAACTTGGATCGCTGCTCGAGTTGCATTTTAACCCCTCCCTCCCTCTCTCTCTCAAATGCAGGGCCCCTGCCATATGCTGGAAAGTCTATCCAGTCGTTCAGCAAAGACATGTATGGGTCCGTCGGCTCCACACCAAGCCAGAGTAAGTCTCCACTAAGAGGCGGCAGCACTGAGGACCAGACGCTGTCTCCAGAAGACCTGGGGAAAGGGAAAGTGGAACAGACGCACCTGCTGTCCCGGGACAAGAAGAAAAAGGTCAAATATTCAGTAGAGAACCACACAGGTTTAAGGAAGGAGCCCATTCAGGATGCCAAGGGCTTCCCTTCCCAGAGCCACCAGGAGAGCCTTCTCCCCGCCATTAACTTCAGTCAAACAAACCGAATGCACACGGATAGGCTGCAACTGAAAGCAGCCAACAGCATCTCTGCCTACTTCCGGCCCCCTGCCTATTCCCAACGCCAGGGTAGATTGCTGGCAGAAGCTCACCCTTTCAAGAACGCAGGGTCAAGCCCCGGGCAACGTTCTGGAAGTTTGGATCGCCTCCATCGGCCTGGCAAGATCAGTCCCTATGACAAGCCCAGCCGTTTGCTCGGAAATGCCACCGATCCCTCCTGGCTCACAAACCGACAGGCGTCAAGCTTGCCATATCACCACAGTGTCTCAAAGAACGGTAAGGAAGCAGGGCTTTGCTGCTCACCTTAAGTCCATTTACAGCTTTAGGCGGCAATCCTAAACCCGCTCGCACTAGCTTGGGAGTGCCCCTGATTTTACTGGCGCCTACTTCCAAATAAGGGACGCGGGTGGCACTGTGGGTTAAACCACAGAGCCTAGGTCTTGCTGGTTAGAAGGTCAACAGTTCAAATCCCCGTGACAGGGTGAGCTCCTGTTGCTCGGTTCCTGCTCCTGTCAACCTAGCAGTTTGAAAGCACGTCAAAGTGCAAGTAGATCAATAGGTACCGCTCTGGTGGGAAAGTAAACGGCGTTTCCGTGCACTGCTCTGGTTCGCCAGAAGCGGCTTAGTCATGCTGGCCACATGACCTGGAAGCTGTACGCCGGCTCCCTCAGCCAATAAAGCGAGATGAGCGCCGCAACCCCAGAGTCGGGCACGACTGGACCCTAATGGTCAGGGGTCCCTTTACCTTTTTTACTTCCAAATAAGCATATGTACGATTAGGTTTTTAAGCTCAGAAGGTTGTGAGCCTTAATCGGACCTCCCATGTAAACAACAGCTCATTCATTTTCAGTTTATTCTATTGGATAATAGCGGCTTCGTTTCCCCTAGCATTTAAATACCACGTGCAATATATCCCACCGCAAGTAGTACGTACCATGGTAGCATCTGCCACTCCCAGTAGTAAATGCTGTAGTAAAAGGTGGTCAAATTAATGCTTTAAAATAGCCAGAATAGTAAGTATATAAGCCGCTCACTTCCTGCTTTTCATTTCAAAATAGCTGCGTGAACCCAGTACAGATTTGATCATTCCCCACATACTTATGCATTTGTCAGCTTAAGGCCCATTTATTTTTGCAGGCCTTTGGAGCATAGCAGGAGCTGTCTATTTGTCTAGGACTCAGCTATCCAACTGCAAATAAAACATTTTAAGTGTGCCTTAAGTGCAATATACAATGTGACACTAGATGGCAATTTCTGTGCACTCTGGTTTCTGTCATGGTGTCCCATTGCGCTAGAAGCAGTTTAGTCATGCTGGCCACATGACCTGGAAAGCTGTCTGGACAAATGCCTGCTCCCTTGGCCTGAAGAGCGAGATGAGCGCCACAACCCCAGAGTCACCTTTGAGTGGACTTAACCATCCAGGGGTCCTTTACCTTTTACCTTTATACGATTGCACAGGAAAACAAAACACAGAATCTATATATGCAGCTGTGCTTGTTTGCTGTTAGCTTTCTGCCAGACAATGCAAGGCTTGAACACAGCCAACTAAGCTAATGGTTTTGAAAGGTCTGAGAAATAATGAAATTGGCAAGGCTGACAATGGAGCAAATGAATGAAAAAACAACAACTAGTTGTTAAATACATGATGACACGGGATTTGCTTCTTGATGAAAGTGTCTTGGCAGGCAACAAGCTTTACAGTTATTCCAACAGACAATTGAAAATTCATCTTGTTTTCTAAAACATATATTACCAGGAGAAACGAACTCTGGCTTGAATCCTGATGTTTTTTCTGTTAATGGAACAGAGCTCGTGGTACATAATACATTTCTACTCTCCACAGCCCCCTGCACTGTTTGTATATCTGGTCCCAGGGACCGGGCAACTATTGAGATTGGAGCAAGATGTTCCACAAAGTTCTGTAGGCGATGGAAATCGCTTCCCTCCTGTGCAAATGGAGGAACAACTTACATTTATGTGAAATTCAATGGATAATTAAGAAGTCAAAAACAAACTTCATTGGGGAAGGGAGGGAAACCAACCAGAATCATGCGGCAATTGTTTAGTTCATATGCAAATTAAACGTATGGATTTGGCAATTAATATGGGCTCAAGGTTTAGGAACAAAGTCTATGCCTGGTTTCAGCCTTTTGATAGTGTTTTGTTAGGCATTTGAAAGTATTATAAGGGTACAGTATTATAAGCACTGAATAGCCCCTGCCCCTGCTCTGGAAAAGCTGAAGCTGAATAAATTACTGCAGCGATTTCTTAATATCGGAGAAGCAGCTGAAAATCTTAGTACAGGTACTACTTCCGGGTTAGCGGAGTCTGTAACCTGAAGCGTTTGTAACCCAAAGCATTTGTAACCCGAGGTACCACTGTATCACTTTAAAAATGCTCACATACCCCTTAATTTTCTGTGTGTAGTTCGTGTGTAGTCTGTGAAATGACTCAACTGTAGCTATTTAAACACATTCAAAATTCTGAAGGGATTGTGGAATCATAGAATTGTAGAGCTGTAAGGGACCCCAGATATCATCTAGTCCAACGGATTCTCTTCCTCAGCTTCCCACCTCTCCCTCCGTCTCTACGGAATTTCTTACACCCACAGGGGATCCTATCTTTTGCTCCACTGGGGAGAGACACTGCAGCCTCTGCAGATTCTCCAACTCTCCCTCTCCTTGTAAATGAGCCTTCTTTGGCTTCACGGGGAAAGAGGAAGGATGAAGCTCGCGGCTGCCATTCACTTTTTCATCTTTCTCTCTGGCTAAAGACCAGACATGCTGGGAGCCTCAATGATGCTCCTCTCCAGGCTTCAGCCTGGGCAGAAACCCTCGCTAGAAACCTTTAAAGTTCACTTTTCAACTCAAGTTTCTCTGCTGTGTGAGATCTGTTGCGTTTGGGGCTTCTGAATGCCTCTGCACACGAGTTTTTTTTTGTTCCAATATTTTTTTGAGAGAGGAAAAAAATCCAATTAGTGCATCAGGTCAGCATTCTGATATCACAACAGGAGGTACTGGAAGCTTGGTGGTTGCTAGAACACCCTAGGAAAATGAGTGTCTTTAGAGCCATTAACAAACTGGTCTGTTCCACTGCTTAGTTGCTCGGGTAAGACGGGCTTCCATTCCTTCCTGCTACGGAGCTGCTCAGCGTTAACTTTCTGTACATCCATGGGACTCTTGTTCTTGCTCTAGATGCTGACAATACAGAAGTGTGCCTGACAGACTGCAGGAGGGAACATGAAGAGGTGGAGGCGTTTTGCAGCAGCGAATTCGGTAAGATCACCCAGCTCCAACTAAATCAGTCATACTTTGGTTACATACAAGTATTACTTCTGTTACAACTGTTTTCTAGCACTCCCAAAAGAGTTTTCTTTCCACCCAAGAGAGGAGTTGTCCCTCTTTCCAGAGTCAGGGCTAGCACAAGCCTCCAACTTACTTGGCCACAGTGAATGTTAACGTTCTAGTTTTATCATTGCCATTGATAACATTATTGTCAACCCAAAAAGGGCAGAGTAGAAATATAGAAACACATGGAAATACATTTCAGAGTACTCAGTAGTAGTTTTTATCTCTGCTCATGCTCTTACAAAGTGCTCCTTGACATGCTTTTACTTTTAAACACCTAAGACACCTGGGGCCCCATCTCTTTGCCTCCCCCCAAGTAATTTTTTGGTCTGGTTTTTAGCATACCTAAAATCCCTTTGCTTGTTAGGGGCTACCCCACAATTTTGCATCGTTAGTGCTGCTTGGATCTTTATCCAGCATGGGTACTGTAAAATGGCTTTATTTCTTCAGCAGATGGGAAGGGCACATTGAGACAGAAATCTGTTTTAGTTGTGGTTTGCAGAGGCTGCAATTTATCAGGCTGTATTTTTGAATACCCACATATTCAAAATACTTTCCCCCCCAGGTTGGCCTCATATTTTACTATGAATAATGTATTCAGTTGTTGAATTAAACTCACCAATTGTAAATTTTTACTAGTTTTATTAGTTCTAACTTTGACATTTTAATTAGTTTTTGTGCTGTTTTTTATTGTGGTGGGCACTGTGCAGCTAACTTATATTGAAAAATAGTTTATAGAGTGTTACAAGCAGCTTCAAACAATTGAAAAATCAGTACCGGCTAGCTATCAATTACGTGCTCCTCTCTTTTTTTAAAAGTGGTGAATGGGATTGTTCATGATGTCATCATGGTTCATAAAGGAACGAGTTTGGTGACACTCTTGGTGAGCAGCAATGGACTGTACAAGATAAATCGCCTGTACTTCACCCCTGATGGCTTCTTCTTACGAGTTCATATGATGGTTGTGAATACCTTGAACTGCAGTAAACCCTGTCCGGACTTTAAACTTGGTAATGTACCACAGCCTTTTCTCTTCTAACTCAGCCCATGTTAGCAGGGCCAGGCAAGGAGACACGAAAAAATAAAATACAGACACAATGTGTTAATTTTTGCTAAAGAAACTTCCCTAGTTCTTTTACAACAGTGTTTTCCGAACTTGGATCTCCAGCTGTTTTCAGACTACAGTTCCCACCATCCCTGACCACTGGTCCTGTTAGCTAGGGATGATGGGAGTTGTAGTCCCAAAACAGCTGGAGACCCAAGTTTGGGAAACCTTGCCAGAAAGACAGGAAGCTGCCTTATACTAACTCTCCAGGGTTTCAGACATATTTCTCTCCTTGATCTACCTGGAAATAGATACCTGCAACCTTCTGCATACAATGCAGATGTTCTTGCACCGAGCTACTTAACATTCCCGCCACATCATTCAAAAGCCACTCAAGTTGTGTATACAGTATTTTAGATTTTAATTACACCAATTGGTTGTTGTTGTTTTTTTAAAAGTGTGAGGTTTCTATTTCCTCAAAGCTTCTTGAGTTAATCAAACCGAGCTTATTGCGTACGGTATTAGGTAATGAACGACAAATGGCCCTTGCGGTTATGGTCCCCTGGCCTCAGCTAATGCCATTTTGGCAAGTTAAACACGAGTGCTGTTAATATGGGGTCCCTCAGCTCGGGTTTTAAACAGGAAGATGGAATACTAATACTGCTGAAGACTTGGTTGGCGATGCCAACCTCTCAGGTGTTAATTAGCCGCATAATCAAGTTAACTGTAAAATGCAGAACCTCAAAATGTGCTCTGCACCACGCTCGCTGCCGAACATCAAGAAGGCACCCATGATGCTTGTTATTTTGCAGGAAGCAGATACATAACGATGGGTCAGATCTACCACAGGAGAAGACAGCTGCCGGCAGTTCTTCAAGAGCATGTCAGAGGGCACCTGAGGCCAGGAGATGGGCTGCTTTGGAGGGGCAACAGCTACATGAAAAGGTTCAACAGAAGGCGGCATCAGAAAGTTCAACAGGCAGCTCACACCAAATGTGGGTGAGGATGTACAGCTCCTCTGGGACTGAAGCAGGTTTGCAGCTGTTAATTAGAAGCAGCCATGGCTTTTCCAGCTTCTCTGGAAAAAGGCTCCAGGTCCTGCCTAAATGGTGGAAGGTTTTTTGTTCCTTTTGCTGTGACACCCTAATGACTAACCAGGTTATTGAGACATGAGCTTTCATTGGCTTCAGTAATCTACCAACCAACACAAAATCCACAACAAACCTGTTTGCATCTCAAGATTGAGCTGCGATTCTGGAATTTACTACTGTTCATGGTCAACGCATGCTTTGAGTTTCTTACTCCCTTTCCTGTTTATAATGTACTTTCACAGCTGTATTTCTACCTGTCTCTAACCATAGCCCTTCAGTGGATTACATATTTCATCAAAACTGATTATTTTCATCTCCTGGGCAAGTTGCTACAGGTGCAAATCAACATGACAAGAACAGTTCTAAGCTGAAGATTTATGCGAAAACGATGAAACGTGATAATATAGGCACACTTGCTTCTTACCAGGCATCTTCCAGGTTGTGGCCTGAATAATTTCATTCTCAATTCTTAAAATTAAATCAAGTTTAGGCATCTAGCTATTCCAATTAGCTTGCCTGCTATGTACTTTGCTTGATCAAATCTACGGTTTGTTATTATCCAAACTCTGCAATAAACAGCATAGGAAATGCAAGCAGTCTACAAAAACCTCTCAAACGGAAAATCAAATGATGGCTGAAGTTGCCAGCAATATGCATGCTTCCATGAGAAACCAACAGTTTTGGGCATTAATATTGGGGAGTTCACGTTTTAAAATATGATACATTCTTTGGCACGATCAGAAATGCATGTGATTAAAAATAAACAACGTGTAGAATTTTAGCTACAAGTAAACCTGCTTATGGAATTGGGCTTTCCCAATTCCACATCCCCACTATAGTACTTTGGAGAGTGGGTTTTTAGCACAAGTCATGCTATTATTTACTTTCCTTTTTGCTTGTTAACAGAAGTAATTTATGGTGGGAGTTTCTGCTGACCTGAGAGTACACAAAGCTTATGCAGACATATTCATCCTCAAGTTCAAATTTAATAGCCACGAACTAAGCAGAACATTGGGTGAATGTTGTAGCTTTCAGGCCAGAAGGTAAGTGTCTTCTGTTAATAGATATTTTTCCCCAGGCAATTGTACAAAGAAATTAGGCACATATAAATCATAAGCAAAAATGCAAAGAGTTATCTGCTTTTGGGGCAGTTTCATGACCGATCTCACAAAGGCAACTGCCTTATGTAGAAAACAATGCATTCAAACATTTCGAGGAAACATAGAGAGTTGATAACTGAATGTTTCGAGAAAACTAGGCCTATGTTCTCAACAACAGCAATGTCTCCAAGATGTAGTTACTATTAAGAGAAAGCAATATTGTTATCAGAATGCTCCAATTTAGTAACAGGGCATATGTATGCAATGGAAAAAAATGCAGCTCTTCGGCTCAAGTTTCAGAAGAAAAAAAAGACCGCTTGATGAGAGATGGAAAGGGAATGGAAGGCTTCATAAGCACTCTCTGCCATTGTAGGGTTTCGGTGTTTTTTAAAAAAGCTCTGACTGGAATTACCTAGGAGAGCTGCAACCTTATACCAGCAAAACAATTCAAAAATGTCTCCTCGTTAGATCTGTCATGATTTCATAACAGGTTAATGCATTTTATTAATGGAAGGAAAGGAGTTGGTTCAGATTGTGTGGGGAAATGGCACACTTACAATCAAGATGTCAGAATTGAATTTTTTCCAAGATATCTTGAATGAAGGCATTTTATTTTGTCAAAAGGAGACTTCCTGGCAGCAGCCCAGACCAGTGGGAGGACAGGGGGCAGCCTGCATACAACTATTCCCTACATTTATTCCATTAGACTATTTTCTATAATTAACTCAAATCTAAATGCCTACGATGCCAGATTCTTCCATTACCAGCGGAAAGGATGAGCTGTTATAGGACCAGTGTAGTTTTAAAACTTGCTTCCTAGAAAAGACGAATACCTATTTTGATTATATCAGTATGAAGTAGCTATTAATGTACCTGTATTAAACTAATTATAAAAATGATGTTCAGAGATCCTCTTAATTACTTTGCAGAGCTTGCTGCTTTGGAGAGCTTAGTTCTACTTCCATGGCATTTTATTCTTGTGTGTGAGAGAGAGGTCTTTCCTAAAGCCTCATGACTTCATGACCAAGCTGAGATTTGAACTGGGGATTTCCTGTAATGCAAGTGCTTGGTACAATCCTATACACTAAAACACTTAGTAAATCCTCTAGGACAGACTTCTGAGTAAACATGTTTAAGATGTGTCTATCTTTTCCTAACATTCAAACACTCCGATAAGGATTAGTGCTACATATACTGAAGTTTGATGAAAGCAGACTTGGAGGTGAAGAGAGTAACATTAAAATGCACCAATAGCTGGTGAACTCAACCCTTTGCTTTATCTGAAATGTTTGGCTTTTGTGTGTGTTTATTTTCTTTGGAAATGCAACTCAACAGATTCCTTGTTTAAAATGTAAACTTGTAAAAGCATCTGAAACTCCAAACATACTTCTTCCCAGCAGTTTTGAAAATGCTGTTTTGCATGATGTGGTAAGAACAGGTAAACTCCCCTCATTTCTGCCTCTCGATTCCTGTTATGAGTTGGAAAACGAAAGGAGTGACATCTCTGTCCATATCTGCCTATGTAAATTTCTTTGGAGAGTACTATCCCCCCTTTAACAGTATTAGCTAATTTCCTACGTAGTCAGACTAATATGTCTAACGGTACATGACATGAAAAACTATGGTGAAATATAGTTGCTTCTCTTCCTTGCTTTTAGCGTATTGTCATGAGATAAATACTTGAAAACACTGGCTGCATTTCAGCTTAGGTTTGTTCTCTTTCTGTGAAAAAGACAACTCTGGTTGTACTTGCACTTACCTTTTTCCTCCCAGCGGTATCTAGATTGGATTCTTGTCCCCACAGTAACTAGTTCACTTTGGGTGTGTTTACACAGTATGTTCTTCCAAGATGTAACCACTTCTACCTGCTGCGGGACTGTGCACTGAGAAAAGGAGCTAGCATACTATCCAACGTTCACGACACAGTAGTTATATTTATTATGAGTAAAACCCCACCAAATGTCATTAATAAAACTCTGGAAAATGTTCCTGCGGATTTACATGCCAATTACTAAGAAGAGAATTACTTCAAAGTAAAATAAAATTTAGAAGTGCTGTTGATGTGAAATCAAAAGTAAGTCGTGCTCCACTAAATGTAACAGAACAATGGCTGCCTTTGGATGTAATGCTAAACCGTGATTTAGCACTAAAAGGACAAGCCTAGCCTCCCTCCTGGGCTCTCCTGCCATGCAGCTAAGGTTTTAAATTAACCAAGGCTTCATGTGTTGTCCAAACCAAGGATCATGGTTTAACACTAATTATGCTTAACTTCAAAACTAAGAACTGCAAACCGTGGGTTACGAAGTGGGCCTGTTTAACCATAAAGGTAAAGGGACCCTTGACCATTAGGTCCAGCCATGGCCGACTCTGGGGTTGTGACGCTCATCTCGCTTTACTGGCCGAGGGAGCCGGTGTACAGCTTCTGGGTCATGTGGCCAGCATGACTAAGCCACTTCTGGCCGTTTACCTTCCTGCCGGAGCGGTACCTATTGATCTACTTGCACTTTGACATGCTTTTGAACTGCTAGGTTGGCAGGAGCAGGGCCTGCCATAGTTTGTGTTAAATCATGACCCTCAGGTTAACTGTGATCCAGAGTTAACTATAAGCAGAAGCAAAAGCTTCCAAACCTCTGCTCTCAGCCATGTGGAAGGGTATGTGGTAGCCCAGGAGGCTAGGCTTATTCTCAAAGCTCTAAAACATGATTTAGTGTTATGTCTGAATGCAGTCAACCTTTAAGATTGGTAAAATAAAATGGTTGACTATGCAACTTAAAACATGTATTTTTGTTTAAAAAAATGTTTAAGAGACCAGTTGTATATGGTCATTGCTTACAGTGATCATTCATTAAAATCCACTAAATGTTGTGTTTTGCCACAGTGGTAGAAATGTTCTGCAGCTGTTCAAAGCCAAACCATTCCAACTTGAGACTCCATAAATAGGCCGTAACCCGTCACAAAACAAAGCACCTAATGAGAAGCTTTTGAACTCCATTTAGACATGGAACACCAAATCCTTCAATTTGACTGAGGAGCTGCGATTAAAAAGGGACGTCAGCTGGCTCATTTTACATAATACCCATGTTAAAGAGATATGTCTCAGTAAGTGAACATACATTCTGGAGTTTTAATAATGCACTGAGATGTTCGGAAACAAATCAAATATTCTGCACATTGTTTCATTAAAAAAAACTGAGTAAAGTATAATTTTCTTTATTCCTTTTACAGAAGTGGTATTTAAAATGTACACACATTACACTGGCTCATAAATAAAACTTTTTCAAAAAAAACCCAAAAAACTAAGAATTACCATAGTAGTTACAGCTAAGAATTGTCTTCATATATTACAAAGCAGTAGGAAAAATGATGAGGCTTGGTAAAAAGTGTATGAAAGTAGCATTTTCCTCATTTCATAATTATTTATATGAAAAATTCCCCCAAGAATTACTGCACAGTATGGCAATGCCAAGTGCTACATATGTTATTTTAAACAACTGATGTTTCATTAGGAATTCCACCAAATCTGATGTCCAACAACATTCCTTTATTTGTCTAAGATGAAATGCCCTATTATGTACAAAAAAGTTATTCTTCAGTTTGTCACAATTTGTTAAAAACAGTGCTCTATTGCCTACGGGTAAGAAAGTTCATTTCTCAACATGTTTTTTTTCTTCAGTGTCAGCCATATGTACGAATAATACAGAAATATTGTGAAGAGACAATATCTGTAGGATTAAGGATGAAAATTCTCCTGTTTTTATAAACATAATGCATACAATATGTAGCATATTTTTTTGTAAAAAGTCCTAAGACAACATAGCCTAAAACACAAATACTCTTTTTTTCCTATCTTCTAAGAAGCATAAATGGATGCTCTTTTCACAATGAACAATTAACTTCCTTTTGATTTCACATTGGTTAAAATGACAGCATCTATATACAAAAGCGAAGGCTTTCGTAGAGAAAATTAACCCCAAAGTATTTGTACACCTGAGCCTGTACTTAGTAAGAAAATTGTGGTTGATCGCAATGTCTAAGAAAGTAACAGAAAAGGTTCTTGCATAGCAGGGTGAAGTTAAACCCAAGGAAAGCTTATCCATAATCAGATAAATTCCAGATCACAGAAGGGCAAAATTGTGAATTAGTGCAAAATCTAGTTAACACAGGTGTAGAGCTACCAAAACCAACTGCTGCTGGTTTATAATATACATATTTAAACTGTCATCAACAGCAGGTGTGATTGGTTGGGAAAGTAATTTTTAAAAAATCTGCAAAGCCTCTCTTTCTGTTGGCTTTCATCTTTTTACACACCTTTCCTAGTAAAGAAGCCACAAAAATGAAACACAGTTTTGAGACCGTTATTTATCCTGACATGATCATTTGCTCCATGTTATCTCACTTAGCAATGGACAATGACAACTCTTATACAACTCCTTCATCATCAAGGCAAAAGTTGTGGCACCACAGTAGAATTTTATTACATTTGATTAAACATAAGGAAAACCACGCTGAGAGGTTAGTCCACCTTCCTACTTTTCCCTTCCATACTATCTCAGGATTGTTAACAGTTCAGAACAAACCTCCGAAACCTCACGAACAGGTTAGCGAACATTCAAAAGACACCTACATCTGTGGAGAGAACAATGATCTCCATTTATTTTGTTTCATATACATCCATATTTTGAATTTTTAATACAAAAAGGAGAAGGGGGAAAAAAAAAATTAAAATCTGACAAATGTTTACAAACAAGATACCTTCAAATAGATTTTACTCGTATCAGTCCGGTGCAGAGTAAATGACAAATTGTACTGTTATATTCAAGGCAACAAAGTCTGTAGTACATGACCACTTAGCCCAACTTTTATGCAAGCTTAATTGTTTTCTTCTACCATGAACGATAAACTCATTGTTGATTCCCAGTTTGTTTGTGCACATGTGTACATAGCAGCTCCTTTCATAGAAAGAAAAGACATTTAGAGGTCATCTTGTACTTTTAGCTACAGGAACCATGGTAAGATACAGAATGGGTTACATTTAACCAGAGCTGGGGCTTATAAGAAAGAAAGAAAAAGCTGACAAATGAGGGCAGCAATAAAAAAGCGTCCTTTTGCAACAATAAATAAATACAGTCAAAACTTCTCTGTGTGGACTTTAAACCAGCTTCTTCACTGAAGAACAGATGTGGCATTTCTATGGGGTTAAGGACTTGACCCCATTTTACTGTATCTTGTTTTCTCTCGCTTGTTTTCCTCTCTCGTCCTTTAATAAAACGTTTTCCTGTTTCTGTCACAATTTGATCTTGACAAGAAAACGATGCTGCTGAATTTCATTCTTTTGTCCTTTGGACAAAATCAAGCCAAGAATATAATCTGATGCGACTGATAAAAATGCAGTTTACATCAAGACTTGTCAGGACGCCCTGACTTAAAAACCTCTGGCTTTTCCAATTAAAAAATAAAAATAAAAAATTCAGACAACCAGATTCTTGCTCTTTGTGTTAGGGTAACACGTGGAACTTTAAGAAGTTGTAGACTGCAGTTTGTTGTTATGAGACCTGCAGAATGCAGAAAAGGGGAACAATTAAGCACCCTTCATTTAAAGAGATCTCAGTTGTTTCAAGTGGATGCCAAGGGCCTGTCACTCAGCTGGAAATGCAGCCATGCTGCTGTTCCCGTTCATCTTTCGAAGGCAAACAGCATATACAGAAAGAACCTTTCTCTACATAACCACTTTCAGTTGTGTATAAAAGCACATGATGTTCAATGGAAATATGAAAATAATAATCCAGAAATGTCACATGATACTCAGAGTGAGGTACATATTAATTATATGTAGCCAATTTACATTGCTTTTGGAGATGTTTAGAGAAAAGTATATTTATTGGCAGAACATGAATTTAAAATATCACATTTTGGTTAGAATTCATCAAAACCTCTTTTGGGAGTTTTTTTTTTATTAAAACTGATTATTACATAGCTTCCACTGCTATTACTGGACTTCATTTTGACACAGTATTCAAAGAACGGATCATTTTATTTTCTGACATAGCTGCTAGCCAACGGCAGCTTCCACATTAAAGCGCAGTTTAAAAGCGAACAGCAAGTATGGATCTGTTTTTGTTTTAAAAAAGTGATTTAATGACATGGGGTACAATGAAAAATAAGCCAAACATCCAGTTCTGATTCCAGTTAGAAAGGTCAGACTAAAGTTATCACAATCTGCAAAAAAAGAACATGGGTGGTGTAAATGAAGCAGCAATGAGAATCACAGTAAGTGCTGGTAATAAAATGAAGGATGAGACAAAACTAATGACAATCTGAATGAATGTCAACTCAACTGCTGCTTTCCGCTCATGTTACTATTGCCTTATTTTGGCCTTGCTGGAAAACTACCGCAAATGAAATGCAAGAGCACCTACAGATACAGTAAGCATCAGGGAGCAACGGTGCTGCGGCAGAAGTCAACCTTCTCAACCTTTGCACTACTGATCTTTAAAGCAACAGGGGAAGGGCTGGAGCAGACACAGACAACATCACTGAGAATCACCCTCATTCCCCACTAAAAGTGACTCTCATTCTCCTGGAACCAGGCACTCTCCACGAATTTCTTCACTAGAGGGAAACCAAGCGTACGATTAAGTCAACGTTGGGCCCTTAGATCTCCTTGGTTTATAACCGAAGAGTTCATCAGCAGGTACTTTGTTCTGCTGTACAGTATTTTTAATATAAAATGAAAAATCTTTAGCACTTTCGACAGGAAGCAAGTCCCACCGATTCCTGAGCACACACCCCGAGGCTGATAGACCTTTGGGGGCACAATCTGCCTAGGTAGCCAAAAAGGGTTTTTGCCTGCCACTCCCAATATTCAAAGGCGCTATGCAAATTTTACACCCTCCTCATTATACCGTACACCATTTCTGATTTAAACAAAACTGCTCTGCCATTTCACGAGGATTGCACAATCGGTTTGACAAAACCTTAAGCTAGTCGTGCACTCGTTCTACGTTCACTGCTGAAGGTTCACTTTCACAGCAAAATGTGCGGGGAGAACCAGACATTTAAAAAGTTGAGCATATAAATTGTTAGCAATAAACATGATAATAGAACATTTAATAGCATATAAATTGCATATAATAGCATATAAATTGTTAGCAATAAACATGATAATAGAACATTTAATAGAAAAGCGTGCTAAGGGGGAAATGGCTACTTACCTGCTTGCTTTGAATCCTTTTAGTTTCTGTACAAAGAATGATTCGAGAACCTCTGCACACTGATAAAAAGGGGAATCACTTGGATTGTAGTAACGACAGTTATCAAAAATTTTGGTCATGTCAGCCACAAACTCGGTCACCTTCTTGTAGTAACGTTTCAGTATTCTTTCTTCCATGGTGGAAAGGTCTTCAAAGTAAACAAAGGTGTTTTTTTAATTAAATAAAAAAAAACACAAGATGTCAGTAACCTATAGAATTCATCTCATACACTGAAAACAAGTAAGAAAAGCAACAGTTTATAACAGTTAGTAATAGGAAGGTGTAGAGAACAGGATGGAGAAGGGGAGGGGAATGTATTATCATTAGCTACAAATATGCAGATTTTTAAGAAATCCATGAAGTCACTGTGGAGAATTTAATAAGCTCGCTGACATTCCTAATGGAGATCACTTGGTTTTTATACCCTTAATTTTCAGCTTTGGCTTTCCTCATTTTTTTATCACTCAAAGCAATTAGTGCACATAAACATGCTTAATTTGCAGCTCATCTACTCCTGCTGACTGCTCCCTATTTCAATTAATAACCTTGGTTGACTGCTTCAATTAGTTGTCACTGAAATGCACATGCAATCACACAAAGAGCAGACTGTGATGAAGGACCCAGTTCTGTAACTGCCATAGTAACAACCAAGAACGAAATGAAAGCGGCGAAAAGGAGAAAGAGGGTACGCGTACACCTTCTTGTCACAAGAAAATAGTGATAAATAATAGTCAGGAAATAGAAACATTTCTCAAATTCTACGTGAACAGTATTTCCTCAACATACACTTGCTATCACAAACTATGCAAAGCTTTTTTATTATTATTAAAAACTTGCTCTAGTGGAAGTCCTTGCACAGGCTTCTGCTAGTGGGACTTGTTAGTTGAATCCTGCAGTTTGAGTAGGAAATCAGATTAAAATATGCTTATGTAGGACCAAATTTATTCCTAATTCAGAATATAGAATTAGCATATGAACTTTAACTTATTTAGGGCACAACCTGCCAGACATTAGAGCTAGGCCAAGCACAGATGTAGATTTATCTATGTAACTAAGACTGCTTTACTCTAAGTTAACAGTGCTGTCGCACAGATGTCCTGCTAGTGGTCCTTCAATAAGCTTCTGGTTGGCCACCGTGAGACCATGTTGCTGGCCTTTGGCCAGACCCAGCACGACTCTTCTTTTGTTCTTAATGTCAGGATCTCTGTTAGAAGACTTTAAGGCACTGGGGACAGGTTATTTGAAAGACCATGTTCTCTCACATTGTCTGTCACCTTTGCTCTTCTGCCTTCACAGACACCACTGACTGGGCCACAGAAGAGGGCCTGATTTGGTGGTGGCATCAAGGACGAGGACATCCCTTCCACTCAAAGTTTGGTTGGCTCCGTGTTTTATAGCAAACATCCAGACATCCTCATTTTGTCAGGATTTGGGGTTATTCTAACTTTGTACCCTACACTTACAAACGGCTTTCATGTTGCACTGTTTTCTAATTCTTAGTTATGCTTTATTACAATGTCATTGAAATTTTATTTTGTGTGTGTGTGTGTGTGTGTGTGTGTGTATTTGTTTTCAAACCATATGGTGAGTCACCATGGTGACCCTTGTAGTAGAAAAGTGGGATACAACTCTCTTTTTTAAACAATTTTTAATTGGTTTTTAAACAAATACAAATACAATAACCATTAAACACTTATCCAGCAGTACATCGAAGGGTGCATGTTTTATCCATTGTCTCTAGACATGCACTTACACATTCAACACTCAAACATAATCACTTAATATAACCGCTACACTGAGAATATTGAATGGCTGGTATAAGAAAGTCTTGATTTTGTTCATTATCATAACATATTTTTTGCTCTATAGGACGCACCGGACCATAGGAGGGGGAGAACAGGGGAAAAAAAATCTCCCCCTCTCGGCTCAGCACCCCCTCAGCGAAGCGGCAGGAGAAACGGAGCCCCTTCCATTTCTCCTCCCGCTTCGCTGAAGGGGCGCAGAGCAGAGAGGGAAAACTGTGCAGCGCCTCTCCAGCGAAGCGAAGCCTGGAGAGCAAGAGGGATTGGTGTGCACCGACCCCTCTCGCTCTCCAGGCTTCAGGTGGCTATCCGCAAGCCTTTGGAGCGCGGTGGGAACTCCTGCTGTGCTCTGAAGGCTTGCGGATAGCTGCCCGAAGCCCCCGGAGCGCAGTGGGAGTTCACGCTGCGCTCAGGGGCCTTCAGCGAAAGCAACGCGAAACCTCCGGAGTGCGGGGGAGCTCTCCCTCTGCGCTTCGGAGGCTTCGCGTTGCTATCGCTGAAGCCAAAGAGCCTGCATTCGCTCCATAGGACGCACACACATTTCCCCTTAATTTTTGGAGGGGGGAAAGTGCGTCCTATAGGGTGAAAAATACAGTAGTTAAAGAAAGGGGTCCACATTTCCTGGAAGGTGTCTCTCTTTGTTGTGCCTTTAACTGCTCTCCTGTGTCTGGTGAGACACTCAGAAATTGCTATATCCCAGATGTTATTTTTACAAATCTCTTTAAGGAATCTAAATCAGGGGTCAGCAAACTTTTTCAGCAGGGGGCCGGTCAGACCTTGTGGGGGGGGGGCAGACTATATTTTTCGGGGGGGGGGGGAATGAACGAATTCCTATGCCCCACAAATAACCCAGAGATGCATTTTAAATAAAAGCACACATTCTACTCATGTAAAAACATGCTGATTCCCGGACCGTCTGCAGGCAAGATTTAGAAGGCGATTGGGCTGGATCTGGCCCCCGAGCCTTAGTTTGCCTACCCATGATCTAAATAAATACATCATTTTGCTCTGTCGTAAACTACAGAGCCGTATGAAAATTTCTTTGGCTGCCATTTTTTGCAGTGACTAGGCAGTAAGTCCCACTGAATGCAATGGCACATACTTCCAAGTATACATGAACAAGACTGTTTCTTTGGATCTACCCTTATGTGTGATGAGCATATCCTGGATAACAGATCTGTCAATGAAAGGTAGCATATGTGCACTGCACATGGGAATACACTTACCCATCGGTTCTTTGATAACACCGTAATAATCTGGAGCATCATTGGGATCTACTGGTTCTAGGAATGGCCATGCCATCTTGTGAGCCTGTTAGGAAAAGGAGATATTCAGTTCAAAATCCACTTCATTCATTAATATGAACCCCATTTCAGCCCAAGTCTAGTGGGCTGGATCGACTGTTGGCTGTTCCACAGACAAATGGGCTCCTTCCATTCACTGATGCTACTCAGAACCAGCAGAGGCTCCAGCTAAAGAAGAAGGGGGAGGAGAGATTATCTTTGCTGATTCCCTTTATCCCTCACCATCTCACATGCTGTTTCTGAGCAGCTTCTTGGGAGCAAAGGGAGATGCAAGAATCTGCAATAATTGTCTTCCCCTTCCTACAGTGGAGCATCACTAAGCAGAAACCAGGATCCAACTCTTTGAGTCTGGGAAGGGATGTACAGTGGTGCCTCGCAAGACGAAATTAATCTGTTCCGCGAGTCTCTTTGTCTTGCGGTTTTTTCGTCTTGCGAAGCACGGCTATTAGCGGCTATTAACGGCTTAGCGGCTATTAACGGCTTAGTGGCTTTAAGAAAAAGGAAACAAACTCGCAAGAACTCGCAAGACATTTCGTCTTGCGAAGCAAGCCCATAGGGAAATTTGTCTTGCGGAACGACTCAAAAAACGCAAAACCCTTTCGTCTAGCGAGTTTTTCGTCTTGCGAGGCATTCGTCTTGCGGGGCACCACTGTATGAGGAGATATTTATAATTTTGGGCAATTGCTACCTACTAAGTGGCCTGCTCTGACTTCAGAGGGAGTTTTATGTCCTCAAGAGTGCTTTTCAATTCCATGCATTTAATGAAATTCCATTGCCAAAAGATGTATTAGAACCGAAATTAAATATGCTGGGGGACTAAATTAAAATGAACCAAGTCTGGTCCTTACCTGCAATGACCGTAGCACTCTCTTCAGCCCCTCATAATCTTTATCAGTCAAGGGACTGAGTACTGTCATGGCATCTTCAGTTGACTGACACTGTGGACAGACATACTCATCAATGAGGTCTGCCTCACTTTGCAAAATACCAACGCAACGCCCATGATACCAGTTCTGACACCGGTCACAGCCAATGTAAAATCTGCAAGATCCCAAAAAAACCAGTTAACCTTTTCATGAAAATATTCCACTGGTCAGTAATCTAAACCGAGTAAGAACTTTTGCCTCTCAAATTTGAAATGAAACACGCTATAAATGCTAATCAAGCTACATGTTTACTGAAATAATTGTAACAGCATTCAATTGTGAAGAAAAATTACCAAAAACAACCAGAACGCCTATATTACGCAAATCCAATTGAAAAAACATGTAAATGTAATAGGCCATATAGTAACAATTGCAAAGCTATTTACTCAAAACTACTTTTCAAAAATTAGATACAGCTTCTTATAATACCATTAAAAGAAGCAGTATCTAATTTCTGAAAAGTAGTTTCGAAGAAAAATTACCAGCATCAACAACATTTAATCTCAAGCAATTGAATTATCTACAGACCATAACAACTTGCAAAGCTGAAAGAAACAAAAGTGAAGCCAGAAATCATACATTTTGCATTTGCAAACAGAGGTGTTACCAAAAGTAATAGTTTGCCCAACTACTTTTTAATATATCTATATTCATTTAAAAATGGTAATTCAGAGTCCTGCAACACATTAAAGGGGTACTCATAACAGACTTAATACCACTCAGATACCTGTACCATATTCAGTTTAAACAAAGCATAACTTTAATTGCAGTAAGTTAGGAACGCCTACTAGCTATTGTATTTTGTAGGAAATGTGTTGTAACAAATCAGTAAAATTTGCCTGCTTTAGAATATTAACTTGTTTTATTAGAAATACTGCAAACCCCACTTTTCCTGAAAGTCAAACATTCATCATTTTGAGCAACATTTCATATATTTTTTTTAAAAAGTCACATCACTAGATACAACATATGTGGAACAATATTTCTTTTTTGTTCAAGAAACACATTACCAAACTCAGAGCAGTTTGCTACCTATATATTAAATAAGAGGTTCTTGTCAGAACTCACTGTGACTCATCATAAGGTGTTCTGCAGATACAGTATAATTCCTCACTGCTGCCCTCTTGTGCCCGTTTACACTCATTACAGATGTACACATCCATTTTCTTAGCCTCCTTTTCTGTGATGCCAACACATTCTCCATGATACCAGTTAGTACAAAGATCACAGCCAATATAGAACCTAAAAGTATTTACAATGAAAATGACAATGTAATTGTCATTTCAAATGGCATGGCACTTGCTAACCTGATTCCCTGAAACGTTCTGATTTCATTTTCCTAACTACATCAACCTACCCTTCCAAAGCTAACCTCTGAAGCTAATGCGGTGGACATAATTCTTTAGGGCCTGGTTCAATAAACAGTTGTATTTCTTAGAAAAACAGGTTGGTTGATATGCACTGAATTCTGAAATATGCGAATGTCTCAACTGTGAATGCACAAACACAAGGCCAAAGAAAAAGATATTCATTTTCAAAACTGTGCAGCCAAGAAGTCACTTAAACAGAGGCAAATTTTGTAAGATTTGAAAATGTCTATCTCCATTTTAAAAAACAAAGCACAGACACAACTGGAAGTTAACAGGTACACTAAAAAGAGCATGCATACCAGTCATGTGTAAAATACATATTGGTATAACATGACATGAAGGAAAATGGGACAAGTGGATGTAAGTTTTAAAATTTCTAAGAAACAGCCTGAAATCGGTGGAACTTGACTCTTTAAAACTGAAAGGCTATTCCTTCAATAACGTAAATTCTCAAGACAACACTGTGTGACAGATCAAGTATGGTATGGTTAAGGCATGAAGTAAAAAAAACACCACACAATTCTGCAAGTATCTCTCTCACACTGGCAATTTTGCAAGTCGATATCATTTGACTGCATCTAAACTCAAATGCGACTACCAAAGTTATGGAGGAAAAAGAGCCACGTCTGTGGCATATTGTGTCAAACCACAGTCTGACGCTCCAATTCTTTCCCATTCGTCCTGGTTGGGGGCAAACCATATATCCAAAACTAGGTTGGAGGGGTGGAGAGGTACTGTGTGCCCCGAAACAAGAAGGGAGGGAAAGAAGGAAAATGCAGCCAGTATGGGAAGAAGGAGCATGTTGATTCTTAAGGGCGATTCTAGGCTCGTTCATGTGCCACCAAAGCTGGTTTGGTGTTACATCTTGAATGAGTTTCTATCTCGAAGCTAATTTGAGTACGTCTTCAGGGTGCCCTCTCCTGGTACACCATGTTAACATTTTTAGTAACGTTATGGGCTGAATTCCTGCAGACTGATCGGCTCCAACACAAAACATTGCTGCACAGCAATGCTTAGTATATATTCTGTTCCCTATCCCCAGCTCATAAAAAGGTTACCCCCCCCCCCAAAAAAAAGTAGCTTGGAATTTATTTACTACGGCTTCAATGCTCTCTTTGTAGCATTGTTGAGGAACTTCTCCACTATAATATTAATAAAAATAAATTTTTATTTATACCCCACCCTCCCCAGTCGAAGCCGGGCTCAGAGCGGCTAACAACAGTAAAATAATACAGCATTCTAAAATCAATTCATTATAAAATCAGTTCAAATCAAATTGATGGCAACCACTGGGCTAGAGTTCTGTGAAGAATTACCAAAGGAGGGGGTCAGGCTGTGCCTTGGCCAAAGGCCTGGTGGAACAGCTCTGCCTTGCAGGCCCTGCGGAAAGATGTCAAGTCCCACAGGGCCCTAGTCTCTTGTGACAGAGCGTTCCACCAGATCAGAGCCACAGCCGAAAAAACCCTGGCTCTGGTTGAGGCCAGGCTAACTTCCCTGTGGCCCGGGACCTCTAAGATGTTTTTGTTTGAAGACCGTAAGGTCCTCCGTGGGACATACCAGGAGAGGCAGTCCTGTAGGTACGAGGGTCCTAGGCTATATAGGGCTTTAAAGGTTAAAACCAGCACCTTAAACCTGATCCTGTACTCCACCGGGAGCCAGTGCAGCTGGTATAGCACTGGATGAATGTGATCCCACGGCGAAGACCTCATAAGGAGTCTTGCTGCGGCATTCTGCACCTGCTGGAGTTTCTGGGTCATTCTCAAGGGCAGCCCCATGTAGAGCGAGTTACAATAATCCAGTAATTTTTAAAGCGATGTCTCAGTTCACCACCTTTACTCCTGGCTAGCCTTCAACTGCTGCCACAACAGAACATCGACTGAGCCTAAAGAAACAGTTTTGCTACAGGATGGCCAGGCATACACATCACAAAGGCTGCTAATACCAATACACTATGGCTTGGATCCAGGCAGCGTGAGTGGAACTCTGTTCACACAGTGGGACTTCTCTACCTTCTACTCCTCTGAGCACCCCCCCACTCAATTCTGGATAAGTCCCCTGCCCATCAGGAGCAGCAGAGAGGCAGCAGTAGAAGGAATGCCCCATCACGAGAGCAGAATTCTGCTCACCCTGCTCTGTATGCAAGCCTTTGGCTCCTGATAGATTTGCTTCTCTTACGTTCTGTCAACCTCTGAGAAGAGTGAGAACATTAAGGCTATGGGCTTGAACTGCAAGAAGCCTCATCCCTACGCTTAGCATAAAAACATATACATAATGTGGTACGAATCATCAGCTCTCTTCCACGTCATCACTGAAACTTAATTTTTAAAAAAATTAATCCAAAGTAACAAAACGGCTTGACTAAAAATTTAATAACCTGCAATTCGTAAATACCAATGCTGCTGTTCCATTTGTGCAGAAGGATTCTGCTTGAGCAACAAGGCGCACCACTTCTCTCCCCTGGTGTCCCCTGCACACTCCCAAAACCTGTTCCATAAGGTTGGGAGGTGGCCTCTGGAGCAGGTTTTTGGGGCACGAGGGAAGAGAAGAGAAAGGGAAGTCACGTTGCACAAGGAACTCTGTTCACGCAGTGCTGGATCCAACCCTAGCTGACCTACTCACAAACGGAGTAAGTTCAGAGTTGGAGTAGAGAATGAAACACCCTTCTAATTGTTTTGAACTGCAAGGGAGAAACTACCTTATTTGTAGAAATGCATTAAAAATGCTGAAAAATCCGAGATCTACTCCTAAGACTAGGCCCGTTAAAATTAATAACACGATAGAAAGGATCCGGGTTTGGTGGCTCGTGCTCAGGCTTAACAAAACAAATGCTTTTTCACACACGGTGGAATTAATTTCAAATACGCCACCTCAGCCATATGGTTTCACTATACTGCATTTTACAATACCGTACTTTTCCGTCTATAAGACTCCCCCATGTATAAGAACCCTCCTATTTTTGGGGACTCAATTTTAAGAAAATGAGGGGAGATGGCCCAAAGTTGTTGAGCTTCTCCCCCCAAACAGCTGCACCCCCTAGATTGTTACCCGCACGCAGCGGCATTGGGGGAAGTTGCGCGCACACCGCTTCTCTCCCCCATGCCACTATCCGTGTATTGGACAACTCCAGTTTTTTGACACAATTTTTGAGTCAAAAAACCTCATCTAATGCATGGAAAAATACAGTAATAAGTTCTAATAAAGAAACATTAGGCTGCATCATGTTGTTGTGCCACTGCCAGCAGTTCTAACTAAACTGATTTGTGAAGCTGTTAACTCTTAAATCGCAGTAAAAGGCTCATTTGCTCATTCTGCTATAAGGCACCTGCAATCATTTAATTCCTTTTGCTCACTGTAGTCCAGAGGAAGAAAAAAAAACCATATGGCTGAAATTCCAGCCTATGTTAAAATGCAGTACTGCACAAGGGCTTGTTTTTAATTGTGTCCCTCTGCTCAGAGAAGGCTCTTTGCTCCAGCAGATCTTTCGATGAACTAAAGCGGGAGAAGTGGTTTTTAAATTAATTTTTGCAAATCCCCCCTTTCTTTTGCAGCCCCTGGTACTACTTCCCATATTTTTCTGGAGGGTTCCTCTGCAGTATGTTGGGGGACAGGGCAGGGAGGCAGCATTCAGGCAGCAGAGGAAAGGAGAAATCAGCAAGACACTCTGTAGCCCAAGTTCAAGGAACCGCCTGCTGGACTGAAGAGCCTTTCTTGTGAGCGGAGGGACACAACTGGATAAAACGGAACAAGACTCTACCTTAATCTGATGATCTTTCATAAAGCTTTGCTCTAAAGATGGAACAAGAAATGGCAGACTGGGGACTCGTGACTCCCACAAATTTAGCACAGCTACAGCAGCTTAGTAAAAAGTCTAAAGTTGGCTTGGCAATGAATACCAGAGATTGGAGCAGGACAAGACGCAGAAATGAATGCTCCACTTTGGTACCATAACCAGAGATGAATTGCCGATTTTGATCTATTTAGTAAAAGTGAATTCTGTGAACAGAGCACAGTTTCACTAAAAGGACCTTTTAGGTGGTACTGACTTTTACTGGTTCTCAAACTCTAATGAGCTACAAGTTAAAGCAATTTCTGTCCATGCCACCCTAATGTTTTCTCCATTACAGTCGTATCTTGGTTCTCAAAGGTAGTCCGTTCCGGAAGTCTGTTTGACTTCTGAAGCGTTCGAAAACCAAGGCGTGGCTTCCGATTGGTTGCAGGAGCTTCCTGCACTCAAACAGAAGCCACGTCGGACGTTCAGCTTCCAAAAAACTTTGGAAAACCGGAACATTTACTTCCGTGTTTTCGGCATTTGGGAGCCAAAATGTACGAGTACCAAGGGTTTGAGAACCAAGGTACGACTGTACTTGTAGAACTCTCCCTTTCCTTGTTTAGTATTATTATTAAGTTGAACATATTTTATATAGAATTGCAGTTTCCATTTTGTTAAGTGCCTTCAGCTTCTAAAATACCAAATCTTAAAAGTCTGAAAAAAGGTATTAAATAATCTAAGAAGAAATAAACACTTAAAAAAATGTACTGCAGCACAGTAACTTGGACTCTATTGTAAACTACAGAAGAAATGCTTCTCCCCTGTGCAGAAATACAATCCAGAAATCTCTTTGGGGGATGTCCAGAGCCTGTTGAAGAGAAGAAGACTGGCCTATAATCCCTTGCTTCCAAAGCAGAGGCATAAAGACAAAGGAAAGAATAAAAGCAAAATAAAGGATGTGCAATGTGAGACATCATATAATGGAAACATGCAAATAGATAAAATATGAATCACGAAAACTAATAGACTGGTATTTAGAAATACAATCCTGAGTGCTTACATCTTCAGTACCTTCCCAGTGACGGTATAGAAAACTGATATATACATATATACAACCCCATTTCTGGTACTCTCCCACAACTACTAACTAAATGCTAAAACTAAACTAAGTATAACACAAACACCTTTAAGATCCACTACTCACTTAGATTCATCATAAGGCGTCTTGCAGATGCAGTAAAGCTTGGTGTCCTTCTTGGATTCCTTTGAGGTAGTAGATATCATTTTCTTTTTCTTCGATTTAGAAGACGAGGACTCTTTCTCTTCCTCTCGTTTTCTCTTATGGGATGAAACGGGTGTCGTGACCGTGGTTGTCGATGCAGCATTGGTACTGTGAGGTGGTGGTGGTGGAGGAGGTGGTGGTGGAGGTGGAGGAGGAGGAGGTGGTGGTGGTGGTGGTGGAGGTGGTGGTACTGCTGCTGCTGCTGCTGCAGCGGCGGCGGCAGCGGCAGCTGCCTGCGCCTTTTCTTTCTCTCTCTTAATTTTTGCCAGGTCTTTCTTTAGCTCTTCCTAAGTGAAATTAAAAGCAAAGAAACAGCAAACACGGACAGTTAATTACAAGGCCAATCTAGATATACGCCATTAAACACATGGAGCTCGTTGCTCCTGCTGTGTATGCAAGTTTTTTGAATGGGTGGTGAAGATTTCGCGTGGGGGTTCCGGTCCTGGCCCCTGTGAGCGTCGGTGGAGCACATACACTGGTACCTTGGGTTAAGAACGTAATTCGTTCTGGAGGTATGTTCTTAACCTGAAACTGTTCTTAACTTGAAGCACAGCATGATTTCTGTTCCCATCCTGAAGCAAAGTTTTTAACCCGAGGTAATATTTCTGGGTTAGCGGAGTCTGTAACCTGAAGAGTATGTAACCCGAGGTACCACTATACAGTGGTACCTCAGGTTACATACGCTTCAGGTTACAGACTCCGCTAATGTCGTTGTGTTTTGTGGTAAGATGGCATGGAATTCCCACAGTGCTAAATCTGTCTGGAACGGACCAATTAAGATTTCAGCTAACAGGGGTTCTGGCTCATCAGTCAAGAGTGAAGGCCAAGGGAATATAATGGGAGAGAAAGTGCTAAAATGTGGCAAAACGCACTGAGACAGAATGCACTTAAGTTAAAATGCATATATTGAGTGGGAATATCCATGAGTACAAAAAGTCTAGCTCTGAACTTTCTCTTACATAGTCAAATAAATAAGCCCAACAATTCATTAAGGAGAAAAATTCATTTTACCTGCACTTCAATTTGTAAGTCTTTGTCCAGAAGTGCCCTTTTCTTTAGTATTTCAGCTTTAAGTTGTTCCTTATGTTTGAAGAGCAGAGCTGAGAGTTTAGTTGCATTCTGTTTACTGCGCTTTTGTTCCACACTCTCTTCTCGCTTTCGTTTCTTAGCAGCCTGTTTTTCTTCTTTATCTATCTTATCCAGAATATACTTCATTACTTGGTTGCACACTATCATTCTGGAGAAGAAATAGAAAAAATACTATTATGAAGAGACTAATAAGGGGGCGATGGAGAACCACAAAGATTGCATTTAGTAATCAAATAAAAATAAGAATAGTTTTAAGATAATGACTAAAGCTGAAGAGCATTTGTAGGGAGAAGAAAAAAATATCATTCAAAAACCGAATCTTTTTATGGTACCACAGCCTCTAGATTAGATGTTAGTACACATTATGTGAAGCTACAAGGTGTATAAACAGGCACCCTAACCCTCTAAATAATATTCTGTATTCACAGCTTCTCTTCCTTTTCCACCATTCAAATTTTGTAGAATAGTAAAAATACCAGCAGACATGGGACAATGTCAGGTCATATTGTAAACATGCAGAAAAAACATGGAGCGGTTTAAGTAAAGGGATGCTTACAAAAACATACTGTTATCCAATTTTGTAGCATTGTGCATTTTGTGGTTTCTGTGTAGGATCAGAGGTTGGAAGAAGTTACTTAAAAGAGATCACAATATTGAGTAGTATGGTCGCAGCAGGAGAAAAGAGACCCCCGGGCTTCTTCTCTGCCTCTTATCCCCCCCCCCTCCAGCCTCCAATTCTGCTCTCCACCAGACTCTTCCTGCTCACTAAACCCTGCTACCTCTTCACCTTCCAACACCTTTTCCCTCCAGTCTGCTCCCTTTTCTCCCTCTGACCACTCACTGTCATCCCACCACCAATCCCCGGGGTCCAGATCTTCTCCCTTGGGGGTTCCCCGGCTGTTGACTCCCACCACTTCTCTGCACCCAGCCAGTTCATGACGCAATGGCTCAAACAAACATGAGCAATCATTTCTATGAGTACGTTGGTAGTAAACATTTGCATCAGCACATATTCTTCTACACCAGAAAATACTGAAAGGCACCATACGCCTTGCTTAATGTCTGTCCATCTGCCTTACCGCTGATTCTCTTCCCGTTCAGCAGGGGTCAACGTCTTTTTCTGTTTTAGGTGCTCGATCACAGCGTTGTGCTTCATTACCACCTTCAAGAAAAGGGGGGGGGGGAATCAAAACCTCTGATGGCAAGAAGCGACAAAAGGAAGCACACTTTTAAAGCCGCAGGTAATTTTAAACCTGAGTGTCACAGAGATTAAACCCATGGCCAGTAAAGTAAAAGCGACCTTCATTTGCTCAGCAGCTGCCTGTACAATTCTGGTGAAGGGAAATAGGAGCCCTTGACTCCTTCTAAAGATGAGAAAGAAACAAATCAGGAGGGGTGGGGTGGGATATTAGCTGCAGAGGAAGATTTGATGGAGCAGTACGTGAGCTAAGAGTGAAGCATTCTCCGAGTTTCAATTAAAGAGGACTACAAAATGCTTTTGAATCTCTCCTTCAATTTTGTACAGAATTCTTAAAAGTATTTTAGATGTATGGCACTATAGCGGGGACAGCCAACATGTTGCCCTCCAGATGTCATTGGACTCCAGCTTCCATCAGCACCAGGCAGAATGACCAATGGTGAAGGATGATGGGAGTTGAAGTTTAACAAGTGGGAGGACAGGGACGTTACCTACTCTAACACTATAGTATGGCAACAGAACTGGCTGTGTATGAATTTTCTTCCCAAGATCCATCACTAGTAGTTTATAACACTAGGCTGCTATCATGCCAAGTCTTCTCTTCTACAGAAAAAATGTAGTGCGGAAATAGTGTGGAAGACTGAGCAATCAGATCCAAGTCTCTTCTCCCCTGAACTGAAGACGCCCTGGCAGCAAACTTTGAAGTAGTAAATCATGACCCAGATGCCACCAAGTACTTTAAAAAAAAAAAATTAGATACAGAACATCTGTTACATTTACAAAAAAGGGATATGCAATGTAGTTTAATAAGGAAAGACCCCTAAGATTTAAACCAAATGCACAGGCCAAAGGATTCACATGCATATAGATTGATGGCCAAGAACAGGAGTGATAATGTCTTTGGATAAGTGTACCTGTTTCTGGATAATGTCACTCTGATTAGAAGCCTGGAGGGAGTGCTCACGTTTAATTTCAATATGCTGCTGTTTTTTCTTCTGCTGCTGCTCTCTGAGCTGCTGAACCCTTTGCAGTTGCTCTTGAACGCTGGCCGCTTGAACAGTTACCACATTCTGGATCTGATGAGCTTGCACCGGGCCGGCTTGCTGAATCTGAATAGGCAACTGAAGTTTAATTTGCTGAGGCAGACCACCTTGCTGGGCCTGTATCTGAGCCACAACATGGGGCTGGAGCTGAGAGAACACCTGGACTTGCTGCTGAAGCTGTGGGACTGTGATCACCTTAGTCTGCGGTGGCTGGATTTGCAGCTGAGGACGTGGAGATTGCACGGTAACTTGATTTACGTTTGGCGTGGGTGGCAGAGTTTGAACCGAAGTTGGAACCTGGGGCTGCGAAGTCTGGATTTGGATCGAAGGATGCGGCTGCATGGGGACGTGCTGTGGCGCTGGAGTCTGGACCTGAGCTGGCTGAATCATCTGAACTTTGGGCGGGGTCTGTGGGTGTACCCCTGACTGGGCCTGGCTTTGAACTGGAGCTAAAGGCTGCCCTTGCGGAAGGCTCTGGGGTGGAGTCTGAGCAGCGGCTGGAGTTACGGTTGGTTGCGATACTGGAGGCTGTGCTTCAGAGATGACTGGGCATGGAAGTGAAGCTGGAGGCTGAGCTTCGGCGGCTGCCTGGGCTTCAGCCCGAGGCGGAGATTGAGTAGGCTGCGTCTGAGCTGGAGGCGGAGGCTGAATACTCTGGGGTTGCCCCTGAGACTGGCCTTGGAGCTGACTCTGAGGCGGCTGGGGTTCAGGAGGAGGAGGAGGAGGAGGAGGAAGCTCTGGCGCTGGCTGTGTTTGGGTCTGTGCTTGAGAAGTTTGCTTCTGTTCTCCTGCAGCTGGGAAGATAAAAAGCAGGATTTACCTTCAGAGGCATACTAACAACAATCTGAGGAGCAGCTTTCCTTCTCTAAGAAGCCACCACAAGGCTTCAGCATTTCTAAGCCCGAAAGAATTCCCTAAGAAAAACTACTTTTATTTCATAGCTGAAATGCATTTGTTTCCATTTAATTTTTTTTAAAAAAAAACAACAACCCTACCTGGTGTTGAGGTGGAAACTGTAGTTGTAGTAGTACTAGCTGCAGTAGCTGCTGCTGGTGGAAGTGGGGTGAAAAGAAACCGCTGGATTGTACCATTTGGCATAGCTGCTTGCATTAGCTGTTGTCCTGGTCCTGGTATTACCGTGACACCCTGCGGGATCAACTGCAACTGCCCAGTGGTTTGACCTTGCCCCTGAATCACCACAGTCAAACCTTGACTGCCACCCTAAAAGTGGGGGAAATGTAAAAGTCAATACCCACAAAAGATCCCAATGGAGTATATCAAGGGCTTGCACTGTGTAATGAACTTTCCAGCCGGAATGGTTGGTGACACCCAATGTTGGTGCGTCCCCTTTTCCTCCCTGCAATCACCCACCCACAATTTGCTCCTGGAGGCCCCCCAACCTTTCAGAGAAAATCTTGATCGAATACACAGGAGCTGCAGGGAGGAGAGAGAATCCCTTCCACCGCTAGTGGATAAGATTTCACCCACAAGCTCTGGCATTTGCTTATTTAAAAGAGCAGTCTTTTCTGAAAAATCATTTACCACACCTATAAGTTGTAGCAAATAAAGACGGGGGAAATTGAAAAGTTTTTCAACAACAAAGCTTACTGAGAAATGATATATATTGAATTGAAAAAGATGTTTAAAATAACATTTGTTTTAAAAAAACAAACCCCACACAGCAGCCTTTCTTCTGGGAATTATAGGGGCAGAACTACCAAAACGGTATAGAAATTTATTCATATATGCGACTACAGCGGCAATGATGTTATTTGCTCCAAAATGGAAAGAAGAAGGCCCAACGAAGGAAGAATGGATACAAAAACTTATGGATTATGCAGAGATGGTGAAATTTACTAGAAAAATAAGAAATCAAGATAACAAACTTTTTATAAATGGATGGAAATGGTTTATTGAATATGTACAAATAATTTGTAAATAGATAAAGACACTGGCAGCATTATTGTAATAACCTGCAGTTTCATAAGAGTAAATAATTAAAGTAGATGAATAAAAGAATAAGTTAAGTTAATTTAGAATATGCAGGAAATGATAAAAATAAATTTAAGGAACCGCAGAAAGATGTGGAAGGAAGCAAAGTTTTGAAATGTTTTTTATGCGCGCGCGCGTGTGTGTGTGTGTGTGTGTGTGTGTGTGAGAGAGAGAGAGAGAGAGAGAGATTTTCATATACATTTCAATAGTTTTACAGTCATTTTAACATTTCAAAATTAGACTTCCTCCTCTTTCTGAGTTTTGAAGTGTTAAAATGACTGTAAAACTGGAAATCATTAAAAAAACAAAAAGAAAGAAAAGTTTTTCAACAATAATGCAACAGAAACTAAACATATCATTTGAGAGCAACCCATTTACCTCACGTGATAGAGGAACCTTAGCTTATGATGAATCTTTTCCAAACTTCTTACAAAAATGTAGTAGATGCAGTTATTAACTCAGAAGATGCCTGCTTTAAATTGACATTGCATGTGCAAGGAAAGGCAAATCATCGCCACACAACCAACATCACAAAAGCTTACCTGTCCTTGTGTGAGCTGCGTGAGCTGCGCCATTGTAAGTTTCACCTGACCCTGTTGAGGACGAGGTGGGTGTGGTGATGCAGATTGCGGCTGCATGTGCTGCAAAGGGGCTCCTGGAGTTGTCACTACCTTTGGATTTGCAGAAACGGTGGTAGCACTAGACACTGCTGTGGAAACAGGCTGACCTCTGATTATCTGTGTCACTACTTGCTGGGTCTGGCCTGCATGGACATATCATTTGTATTATTAAGAAGCTGTTCCCAACACAACAAGCCTCTGCGAAAAAGAATTCCAAGGCTGCTTCTCCCTCCCATCTACCAAGTTCCATTGACCAGTAAAATCACTGGGTCCATTGACCAGTCGTGTGCCCCTATGTCTCTTCAAAGCCATGGGGGGAAAAATGCAGCCTAGTATTACCTTTTCCTCATTCTGCAGCTTAGTTATAATATATGCCAATGTGGCTAAGCTTTGGTCCTCTGGATGTTGCTGGGCTTCAATTTCCAACAGCATAGCCAATGGCCAGGGATAATAGGAGTTGTAGCCAAACTGTATCTGAAGGGCCGAAGCTTAGCCACTCTTGATAGAAGCCAGGATGTACAGGAACACGTAACTAGTTATGGAAGTCCAAGATGGGTTTGGACTCGTGTTTCTGAAAAAGAAGCCTTCAGTGCAGTCTGCAGTGGATCTCAGCTTTTCTAACCACAAAAAAGAATGCAAAGATTCCTATCGTCTAGCAGAAGCACCTTGTCTGAACCTAAGAACAATCTGGATACCAGCCAGAGTATTTATGATTCAGAAACAAAAATAAGTAGCAAAAGGCATAGTGCTTTCTTTTTAGTATTATTCAGCTGACTGGCCCGAAATGTTTAAGTTTTATCGGTAATTTAAAGCAAAAACCCTAACACAGACATGCCTGAATTAGTGTTGATGATACTTCTTTTTCTTTTTTAAATGAAGAAAAGAAAATCATGGATTTCACATACTGGAGGTTTAAAAATCAAAATTAACCTACTAGTTGGAAGAATACCTTGCTGTACCACGACAGGTGTTCGAATGATGGTCTTTCCTAATGCTGATTGCTGAAGTGGTGTCCTTATGACTGTCATCCCAGGCCGGAGAGGTGTCCCAGCCATTACCTACACAAGTTACAAGGAAAACAGTCAACTTTTTCTTGAACTAAACTTATTTCTATACATACTGTGACTTGTATATGGGGGGGGGGGGAACACTTTTAAGAAACCATTTTTTAAAAACGGTTTTTCAACTTTTTAAAAAAAAGTTGAAAAAAGCAAAACATCCCCCAAAGTTAAATATAAAATGTAACAATATATAACAATATACTGTTAAATTTTTACTTTGGGTTCCGCCCCCCAAGCTTTTTATTTATCCAAAACACTTTTCAAACGCCTTTTTAAGGTGCAAACTACATTACTTTTTCTCTGGTTAATCCACTGCTCTTCAAACATCTCCATTCATATTTCTTTTCATGAAGTTTTATTTATGTAATGCAACCCGAACATTTGCAACAATAATAAAACTCCAGTGCTACGAAAAATTAAATCACGTATGCATTAAGAAAAAACTGGAAGAAATGACAGACCGACCGAGAGAAACACACAAGAGGACCCATAAAAGAAAAAATCCCTTGGGGCATTCTTCAAACATGGGTAGCAAGGAGACCTGAACCGGCCCAGAAGCCAGCTGATTTAAAGCAAGACCCCATGGTAAAGATCTACTGAGAGATAAGTGACAAAAGTAGACAATGTTCTAGTTCGTGCATAATGCTCAGGCAGGTCATGCCTTAGCAGAAACATGCAGGTTCCTACAGCAACCATGGCTTAGCCCCAGGTAGTGCCGGAGGAGTAGAAAAGTGCAGCGGATGCAAGCTTTGGTCCAGGATGCTGGCTTAGTGTTATGCACAAACTGGGCCAATGAGCATCTCTTAAGAAAATCAACAATTGTATGAAACCCTCGGTTTAGATTTCAGATTTTTAGGCCCAAGTTCTGGCACAGTAAATAGTTTCTAGATTAAACGCCATCTCAAATGGAGTCCAAGAGCAACCTTATTACAAAACTAGAAGATCATTAATCTTAAACAACAACAACAACAATCTTACTTGTGAAGCACTCGTTGTACACACAGTCCCTGTGTTATTTGGCCTAATAGTTACAGTTGCTGTCCTCGGCTGGAATGAAGTAAATGTTTGTTGGTTTGATCCAGTAGTTGATGGAATGATACCCAACACTTTCTGCTGCACTTGAACTACACCTATTTGGGAAAAGTATTCATCAATTTAAAAACATTACTAAGTAAAAGATTAACACCCTCTTGTTTTAGGTGATGTGACTCACTCTGCAGAATATTTATACAGGTCTATAAAGAATGAACCCACATTCAGGAGGGTTTGTACTGGTGTGCAGTAGGGAGAATTGACACATGTTCACTTAAATAAGAACCACACTATGCCTCAAACTTGTACACTGCTAAAGAAAATAAGCAATCTTAGTCGCTGAGAATAGTTCTAAAATTTGAAAGTTTACAAGGGAGTTAAAGCAGAAGAGCAGGTCTTAGTTTGGGTTTAAAAATGATTTAACAGACACATCTTGTAGAAAACCTGCGAGCATAATGACAGCTCCTTCTTCAACTGAGAAATCGGGAACGGCACAAAGGACCACACATATCAATTCTAATCTGGCACAGACATTCGATCTTCCCTACAGAGAAATGGTATTTTGGCAACCAGTATTTTGGCTAACCAGATTCCTTGCTAAATGTATTCCTTTATCATGGTTAAGACAGAAGAAATTCACTCGGTGGAGGGGAAAGGCAGTGCATGATCCCATGGTTCTCTCTTAATCGCTTAACTACCATAAAGAAAGTCTACACGTTACATCTGTATCTCTCCAGATAGCAAAGACAAAACTCAAACGCATAGCTAAGTCTTTAATTGGTGTCTGAAACTGTAGAAGAGGGGGGGAAACTGAGCTCCCTTGGGGAGAGAATGCTACAAAGGGAGCCTCAATGCAAAGAAAATCCTTTATCTCCTATATCATGCGACCGACCCACATATTCCAGCTGATGGGACCACAAGCAGGGCCTCCCCTGCAGATATGAAAGCACAAGGCATTACTTGTGCAAAAGGCATTCCTGTAAGTAATTGGGCCTAAAGCCTTTTAGAGCTTTGTACACCAGTAGAACCACTTGAATTGAGCCCACTAGCACACAGGTATAGTGCAGTATCTGGTTGGACTGGCCACTGAAGCTACCTGTGCTCTGAGTGAAATCTTAGAAATGAGAAGAACCCGTCCCTTCAGGGTGCTATATCAGCCAGAACTGTCTTGTCTTCCAAATTCCTGAACTTGGGAACCAACTTCCCATAGCACCTCCATCTTATCAGGATTCAGTTGGTCAGCCCGCATTCAGCCAATCATGTCTCCAGGTACTGGTCCAGCACTTTCACAGCTTCTCCCAATTCAGATGGATTGGGGGGGGCAGGGGGGGGAAGCAAGCAAGTGAGCCTGTTGGCTACCTGGGTGTCAACTGCATATTTGGCTCACTGTGCTCCAAATCCCCAGCTAACACCTCTGTTCAGTTTCGTATTGATATTAACTAGCATGCTGTCAAAGATAGTCCTGAAAGTAGGAGTGGAACTGCTGTAACACAGTGTACTCAACCAGCAAAGCCTTTCCATGGTCAACGGTAATAAAAGTAAAAGCCTGGGAACTCTCTAATATAACTATTTCCCAACATACTGAAAGGCATATGCAGCCCTTCTATTAAGCCGGAGAGTATCTTCAAAAGCTGATAATGTGGAACATTATGTAGGTCAGCAAAGGGATATCAAAGATAGATCATTTCAAACAGGAACGAATTCCCACTGGAGAAACTTTAAAAAGCTAGAAATGTGACCACTCAATTTTCCTAGGAAAATATGCCTTTGGAACCTTCTTGCATTACATACCAGACAGGCACTGTCGCTATTGTCTTTTTGGCCCCTGCTGAAGACCTCCTTTTTCTAAAAAGTCTTTTAAGCGGGTATTTATTTATTTATTTATTTTTAATTCCAGTTTGCATTTGCATGCATGTTTTGATGTTTTCATTGTTGAAATCAATTTGTGATGCTTTATGAAAAAGCGATTCATAAATGGAATGAGCAAGAAAGAAATAGAGTTCAAACTGCAATGGCGTTCTCCTACCTCCTTGAGTGGCTGGGACGTTAACAGCAACTATCTTGCTATTTGCTGGTAGAGGCAGCTTTGTTATCACTTTGCCTGCCATAGTCACTGGGCTGCTTGCAATCTGGAAAGTCTGACCACTGCTGGAAATAGTTGTTGCCGATGTAGCAGTTGTGCTTGTGGCTAACAAAACAGGAATGGCGGTCAGTTTCTGTTTTCTCGAGACAGGCCACTAACAGCAAGTATCATCGCAGCACTGTAGAAACCTATGGCATTCTTGCCTTTAAAATGCTGTGTGCTCTAAATAATGTCTCTTTGACAAGGAAAGGTCTTAAGAGCTGGCACTTTCTTATGAAGATTATAAAATCTTGAATGGTCGCAACAGTGGATAAAGAAATGCTTCTTTAAAAAAACAAGCCCCATCTTTACAGTACTTCAGTTCATCCACTGAAGATTTTCAGGACAGATGAAACAGAAGGGATGCTTCATGCAACTCAATTCATTACCACAAGGAATGGTGACATCCTTACATGAATTAAATCTATTAACTGCTGCTAGCCATGACAGCTATTTCAAACCTTCATGACAGAGGCAACATACCTTTTTGAGTATCAGAATACAGGGGTAAGCTTTCCCCATCACCACCATGCATTGCTTTGAGCTTCCCAGGGAAACGTGACTGTTCTCTTGAGGAGACACGAGTACTAGGCTCAATGAATGAGCCTTGGCCTAAACCAGTTTATGCCCTTATAAAGCAGTTGAGGCACATCCCATACCCCATGTTGACAAATGTGTTAACCCACAACTACGGCTTTTAACAGAAAAAAATGTCTTTCTTTCCAGTTCAAGGATGTAGCTGAAGAGAGCATCAATTAGGTTTTAAATACTTTGTGTGAGTGCTTCCCAGCTGCAAGCTTATCGGCAGTCCCCTATCCCATTGGAGATCATGGCTAAGAGATGCCTGGGCATATGAACCACCTCTAATAGTAGAAGTAAAAATTTGGTTATATGTGTTTTGTTTTTAAAGGGTGAAGATTCTCTGTCATTTTTTTTTAAAAAAACTAACTCACTCATTTACCTGATGAAGACTGGCCTTGTTTAACCCAGGTAGCAAAAGTCTGGTGAAAGTTCTTGTTCTGCTGGAATGTTACTGTAGCTGGAGATCCCACTTTAGTAGCAAGCACCACTTTGGTTCCACTGGGAATAGAGCGTGGCAATGGGCCAACCATAACTTTCTGAGGAGTGGAGACGGTGGTTGCCGTACCGCTGGTAGTCGTGGCTGTAGCGGCGCCACACACGGCAGGCAACTGCTTCTGTTGCTCCAGTCGCTTCTAAAGGAGTTAAGCAGAGGGGTAAAATGAAGAAAAGCTACCACTAGTCCGCTCTACAATATCAGCCCTCTCACCCTATGTTAAAAAAGCACACTAAGGCTGCTGTAATCTTATGAATGCTCATTGGAAAGGAAGTCACGCTAAACACATCCGGACTTGCAAGCAGGCATATGTCCGTACCACGTGCTTCGCGTGAAAGTCATTTCAAATGCAAGAATTTTCAAAAGTGAGACGCCACCGTATTTGCAGACAGAACTAGCAATAGGAAGGCTTCCAAAGAACAAGTGTTCACAAGTGCCAAGCTATTATCTGCTGAAAGTCTGACTAGATCGGATCTGGTGTACCGTAGCAGCTATGAGATGGAGCTACAAAGCAGGATGCCTTTGCTTTGAATCTCTCCTCTTGCTACGACCGCTAGGGGGTGTTCCGCTCTTGTCATTTGTAACCTGTAGGTGGTAATAATACTGATCTGCTTTAGGATTTCATGTAAGAAATCCTGCACCCTCAAAATTGGGGTTGGGTTGGGAGAGCACCCCAGAACAGCATGCAGGGGAAGATTGTTTCGTATGTGAAGCTGATATGCTTGCACAGACGCTGTTTGCCTTAGAATGATGCTGAATTCTACCTTATTTAAAAATGTGTTGGACAGGGTTTGTGTTTAATATTTTTTGGGGGTGGGGGAAGGCCAGGTTATATTAACAGAAAACCAACCCAAATAAAGCAATACTTTCAAAACTTAACTTCAAGTAAATAGCATTTTCTGATTACATTATTTAATGTTTAATAATGTATAGAAAGGTGGTTCATAACTAAACATTAACCAAATCAATTTAAGGAAGACTAAATAGCTGAAAGAAATATTATCTTCATTCTCATTATTAAGTGGTTTTTAACAGTCTGAATAGCTGTAATCATTACAATGCTTGGTTGTATTTCTATTTTGTTACATGCCCCTCATATACACAGTGATTTGCTATAAAAATAGCACATTTTTAGAGAAAAGGAGAATTGGTTGGGTTGGTTTTTTTCCTTTTTAACTGGAGCAGCATTGTATCAGCTATCTAAAACAGAAAGAATGGCTTTGTCATTAAGAAATTTTAAGCAGTGACTGAAGAAAGTATTATTTTGGTAGACATTTTTCAGTTGCCTTCCCTCCGTGGGTGCTACCCTTTTCATTTGTCTTGTTTTTGTATTAATGTGGGTTTAGTTTTTATTATAACGTCTTTTGTTTTGAAAGTCAAATGTACTAAAATATATCAAGCAAGCAAGCAAAATAAATAAACAGGGTTGCATCTTAATTCATCATTAGCTACCCTGAGTGGACATTTTGTTGAGATAGACATAAGTTTTCCAAAAAATAAATAATGAATGACATGTTTAAAAAGAAGAATAAGTATTGAAAGAACTTTGCAGTGGTGACACCATTCTTTACTGGGCAAACAGGAAAAGTTACAGATTTTTATGACTGCATGCATGTGTCAGAATTAGGAGACTGAAGGTGTATCCACTTTTTAAAATACTGATTTATACAAATTAATAATTTAGTTTTCATTCCAACATGGAAGCATCTCCGATTCTATACTTGGCAGGATGTCAAACCTTACTTCCACGAGATCTAGGTTATTTAGGTATCTTAGCAACATCTACCCTGATACTTTTGTAAGACTGAAACACAACCCTGAAGGAGAGAGTCAAATTCCCACTGTATGTGTAATATTAACAGCACATCAAATGATTAATTTTAGTATCGCAATGTAGTTCTTCCGATAGGGATATGGAAATATTTACTCAAATGAAAACATTTTCTATGTAAGAAAGAGACGCTTCCATGTTTATTTTAGGATGCACAAATGCAAGCAATGCAAACTTCAACAGGCGGGACTACCAAGAGCTACCCCACCTGCTGGGCAGCCAATCGCTGTTGTTTTAGTTGAGCCTCCATTTGGGCCTTGAATTCCTCAGCCTTCTTCTGTTCACTAACCTTAGCCTGTTGCTCAACTGCTTGTGCCTTTTCCTTCTCCACTCTGTCAAAGAGATGAACAGAAAATCACTACTGGGCATTGCAAATTGCTACAAAACATGCATTTTATACCAACATCCCTTTTTATGTGATAGGAACCAATTCTCAGTGTTACTGAAATGCTACATCTAATGTCCAGAAATTTTCTAGTGCCGCCCTGTTGCATATAGGCCTGCTTATGTGTGAACTTTCTTAAATCTGGCTGTCACCTTCTGTCAGTTTTATGACAAGCAGCTCCCATGAACATTCTCACAGTTTATGCACTTTTACAAGAGAAACTCTATGGGTTGGATCCAGAGTTGTACTTCTGTTTGACTGAGTTGACTGAGAATCAGCAAAGGCTTGCAATGAAGGGGAGAAGAGGGTGATTTTCATTTTATTTCCCCTTTTCCCTGCAGCCACCAGACCACCTTCCACAATGTTTTCTAGAGGGTCTCCTGAATTGGCAAAAATCACCTCCCTCCTCTTTCTCCTGTGGAGCATCCCAGGGAGCTTCAGTGAGAACGGACTGAGCTTAAATCTGAAAGGAGACAGAACTGTGTGGATAAGCAAAAAAGGCAAAGGGGTGGGGGCATGGTCCAAAAAGAGTGTGTGTGTGCTGGGGGAGGGGGAAGCCCAGATGGAATATACTGAGCATGCACCGGGTGGCTGGCAGGGATAAATGTTAATAAAGAGGCCTGATGTGAAGAAAAGCAGAACCCAAGTTGCAACAGAAACCAGGAAAAACATACAATGTAAGGACACACAGCACTGTTGCCATGATGAGACAAGAAAGGTTGAAGTTTAAGAAGTTGAGTGTTAAGAAGATTTCAGAAAGTAGGTGTATTGACTATGTAGAAAGCTAAAAATATTGAAACTGTACAGAGATGACATGAAGCTGACAAAAGCAGGGGTAAAAGCGAAAGGAATAGAGAGACCAGGGAGGGAAGGAGTAGGAAACAGTATGCAAAACAGCTAGAGAAACTAAGGGCTGGGGAATGAAAGGAGGACCGCACAGTTTAAAGTGTTGGGAGTCGTATCCGATGTTGCACAAGCAGAAGGCAAGTTTGCGCAGCACATTTCTCCCTTTTCCTCTGCCTGCACTGCATCACCCAAAATGTCAGGTTCTCCCAATCTTCTGGAGAGGCTTTTTGGGTAGAAGGTCATGGAGGGGGAGCGGTCTTCCACTTGCTCAGAAATGGATACCACCCTTAAGTGTTTCAAATTCACATACTGATTGCAATTAGCCAACCAATTATTTGGCTTCATATCTCTGGTTTCCCAGTTTTCCATTAACTGACAGCAGGGCATGCCAACGGAAGGTATATCTATTTGATGGTGTAAAGTGTACTTTTGTTTCTACTTACTAGAGTGCACACATAGTTCAAAATAATTCTGCAGTTTTAAACTTGCTATTTTAGATATTAAATCCACACCCAACAGGATATTTACACATCTAAATACGTTCAAAAAGCAAGTCAAAGAGCTTGATTTTAAGCTATTAGATTACCTTTCAGAAAATGCTTTTATTTCCCATAGTTCTAATTCCTCCTCCGCTACCCAGGTTTCAATTATAACAGGGCCGGTTTGTTTTGGAGTTTCTGGCCTTTTGGGTCGCAATGCACTTGATCGAAGCCCTTTCCTCTGAGGCGTAGGAGTTTCTGCAGGAACGGAAGGCAAATTAATATTCAGTTTAAGTATCTGATAGCGTCCCCCTAAAGTCACATACTCCTCTATAAGTAACTTGGGAATTTTATATTCATGCTTACCTTTGGGGGCCTCTGGAACACCAATCGGACAAATAATTTTTCGTACACAGTACTCAGATCGAATTCCATATGGTCCAACATCTCTTCGCTTGATTATTTCAGTTGTGGTTATTTCCGTTTCCGATGTGTCTACAAACATTCATTTCAAAAGTTTCAATTGCAAGTCTAGTAAGAAATGTTTCTCCACAAATTCGGAACAACTTATTCTCAAATAACATGATGGAAATATTGGCATTTTGTTAAAAAACAGTCCAGATTTATTTTCAGTTAAAACTTGTTATTCTCTAATTAGAAAGAGAAAACTTTCCAGTTTGCTAAACTACAGTGTCCCCATGATGTCTGACACAGGTAACTGGTTTAAGGCTCTTTGTAAATCAGGATTGCAAACCACATTTTGATATCTTGTAGAGAATACTTAAACACAGTTTCCTGGTTTAGACCTCAACGTAACTGTGGTTTAATAAAGCAGGAAGTCTCCCCTGTAGTCAGATACAGACAGAAGGAGCATTTGAGCTTGTGTCCAATGTATCCAATGATGTTGTCCTGACAGTGCAAGGACTTCCACCTGAACAATGCAACGTTTTCTACCTCTCGTTGCACACCAGCTGTGCCCCCCAAAATCAGTTTTGGGTTTCCTCCAACCCTTCAGAGCAAACTGGGGGGGGGGGGGACAAAGAGAGAGGAAGTATTGTTGCACAGGTGGAAGTCCTTGCACTAACAGAATGACTTCACTGGATACAACCTATAGTTTGGTCGACTGGGAATGTTACACCTGAATCTGGGGTCAATGTGCCTTACATTTCCTGTTCCACTTAAAGACACCCACACCACGTGGAATCACAGAATCGTGGAATTGTAGAGTTGGAAGGGAATATTGCCAGGAAGGAATGGAACCAGTGAAATACAATGACTTCAGTTCTCATCTCAAATGATTCCAAGGGGATAATCAGCATAGCCAGACCTCACCCTCCCCAAATCTCCTGATGAAGATTGCTTAGGAGGAAGAAAGTTTCAGTGCCAAACTGGAAACCAGACTGAGAAGGGTCTAGTGAATATGACAGAGGTTATCATGGATCCATCCATGATAAACTTTCTCAGGAAAAAACAAAACAAAAACAAACCCTTTTGCTTCAAATGACTCTAGTTTATAATGCGTATTACAAGTTCTGAAATAATATTTAACCAGCAATGTTTTTATAAATTAGCAAAATTAAGTATTCCTAAACTATCTACCTGTACGTGTAGTTCCTCCTCCAGGTGGGGGTTTAGCAGCCATGTCATCCCATTTCAGACATGCCCAGAGTAACCTCAACATAAGGCTAACTCCTGCCAAAGATTTTACGGTTTGCAGTCGGTATCTAGAAAAATAATAATAAAGGAAGTCATGTAAATCACTTCTAATTTCACAAAGCAGCTGGTCTAAATGCCATAGTTCTCAGAGATAGGGCAAAGCTTCTTATTTTACAGGTAAAAGTGGAGTGTATTTTCATATAAATTACAAAAATCTGTGGTACTCATTATACAGTCCCGTGATATCATATATTGGATCTTGCTCCATGCAAGCTTTTAGAATGAACCAAATAGGTCCAAAATATTTCTGGAACAGAGGTCCACATAATAGCTGATGTTTTCCTACAAAGATGTAGGTATTGGGTGACATCCAACATCATGCAATCGGACTTTGCTGTAGTCCCTCCCAACACCCCAACTTGGGGGCCCCATGCGAGGGAAGGAAGGGAAAGTCCCATTGCACCAAACAGAAATGAATTTAACTGCTTTGAGGTTTTCTTATAGTCAAGCAGTATAGAAATGCTGCAAAATACCTAACTAAATAATAATAATATTTGTTGGCAGACGGATACCACTGGATCTTACCCATATGTTTTCCTATACCCACATCAATATTATAAAGAAGGTAACGTACAAAATGTGTAGAGGACACTAGCTGACAATTTCAAACCAAGTATGATAAACTACTAGATACTTGTTTCAAGTGCTCTTAACCAACTGAAAAAAACTGCACATGAAAGCAAGGGTTTGCAATTAAAAAATCCTTACTCAAGTAAAGCAAGCTGAATAATCTTGGATGCCTTGATATTTTATTTTATTTTATTTTATTATTTTATTTTGTTAGTTAGTGTTTTCTATTTTAAAACTGCCATTCTGAAAATCACCAAGGTATCATCAAGCTCCAGACTAGGCCAGTGGCATATTGCTATGGTATGAACCATGGTTGTTCTTTTTGAAAATCCCATCACTAAATACTGACAAAATGAGGGTTGTTAAACAAAAGCTTATTTAATAAAGGTAAAGGTAAAGGTAAAGGACCCCTGGATGGTGAAGTCCAGTCAAAGGTGACTATGGGGTGCAGTGCTCATCTCACTTTTCAGGCCGAGGGAGCTGGTGTCTGTAAGCCGACAGCTTTGCAGGTCATGAAGCCAGCATGACTAAACCACTTCGGGCGCAATGGGACACCATGATGGAAACCAGAGCACACGGAAATGCTGTTCACCTTCCCGTCGCAGTGGTACCTATTTATCTGCTTGCACTGGTGTGCTTTCAAACTGCTAGGTTGGCAGAAGCTGGGGCAAAGCAATGGGAGCTCACTCCATCGTGTGGATTTGAACCACCAAGCTTCTGATCAGCAAGCCCAAGAAGCTCAGTAGGTTAGACCACAATGCCACCTGTGTCCCTCCCCTATTTAATAATCTAGATCAAGGCAACTTTATAACATAAAATCTTTTGTCTAGCAGATAACTAAACCATCTGTTTTTACAGAATATCAAATCATTTTTGCTAGACCCGTTTTAACTGGTTCAAATCGCAATGATCAGGTCAGGCTTTCAAGACACCTCCATATAGGTTCTTGTGTCGTAAGGAGAGTTTGTTCAACGTGTATAAGACTAGGAATGTATATGCCAACTGTGTGTCATCTGCCCTAACTTTTCACCCCTCTGCATGGTAGATGCCAAGCTGCCATATGTACACTGGCTGCAGAAGTGTGTGTTTCCCCCCTTCAATACTGATCCTATTCTTTGGCAGTACACAAAACTTTAAGCCTGGAAGCAGGGGGTAACCTTTCAAATTGAGCACACCTAGGAAATGAACATTCCTGTTAGGTAAATTCAGCTCAAATATCCTCAAATATGGAGGACCAAAAAAATGTTGGGTTAATATTTAAAAGGGATAACACCTGAAGTGCCGAATTTTCATGCTGGATTATAACACGCCTACCATTTGTACAAAGACATGTTCTCCCACCCAAATGATTTTTAAGAGCTGTTAGCACTGTACCTCCAAGTGATACCAAATGTTGGTCTTGGGGATGGATATGGCCAAATATCCAAAGCAGGCTTCGCAGTATAGTTGAAACAGGGAACCTCTCTGATCCCTCCTCTTCTTGCTAGCTTCTTCAAGTCGTCATTGGGCAAAACAAATATGCTCTTTTTACTGCTTTTGGTAACAAACTTCCGGTAAGATGGCAAGGCTGTTCCAGAACGAGTTTTTTTCGGCCTTGAAAATTTCATGAGCTTCACTTTGTCCCTTGTGGAATATTCCTTGCTGACTGTCATAGAAGTCACCAAGGTTCCCGCTGCAGTAGTCAAGGAATCAGTCACTGTTGCTGTTACCACAGTTTTGCTGTGCTCCTTTACAGAAATGACATCAGTATTGCTATCTGTAGTGGGAGCGGTAAGTTTTCTTACAGTGGTCGTGGTGGTCGTGGTGGTGGTTACAGTGGATACAGAACAGTTTTCCATGGATGATACCCCACTTTCTCTATCTTCCTTGATGGCTGACAATCCCGATACTTTATAAGTAGTTTTGGATTCTGTAGAAACAGTTGACGTGGTGGTCACTTCCGTAACAACGGCTTTTACTACACTTTCTCCGTTGACGCTTTCGATTTTGTTGCTTATCGGTAATCCATTCTGATCAGCAAAGTCATTACTCAAGCTAGATTCTTCACAGGAAATTACAGGTGATGGAGCAGTTTTCGTAACACAAGGTGGTTCAATCTCCATGCATTCGGTTTCATTATATATATTGTTTTCACTGGAGGAATGGAGAGATGTGATGGATGTGTCATCAACAAGACTAGACCTTTCAGGAGAACACTGCTTTCTTCCAGTACTTTGATTAGACTGAGACATATTATCTTGAGGCAAATCATTCTCTCTAGAATCACCACCCACAGAACTCTGTACACCCAACTTACTGACCAAATTATCATTTGCATCTTCCACTGCAATATCACCATTCATAAATGGTTTTAGAGATTCATTAGAAGAAAATGATTTGACCAGAGGGTTGCTTTTGCTAATATTATTGATTTTTGAGTCAACGCCGCTCTCGGTTTGTGCAAGTGTCTCTCTCTTTAAGCACTCTTCATTAGGTAATACTTTAAAATCAGTGTCTTTTCCATTAATCTGAAATGCTGCTGACTTCCCCTTTTCCATTTGTGTATTCAATTCCCCATTTTTATTATTATTTTTGTCAGCAATACTCTTAATCTGATCAAAACACTTGTTTATGGAACTCGGTGGGACACACTTCTCCTGGTCTTGCTTTTCACCATTTGTTTCAGTGATTTTAGTCTTCACCACCTCATCAATAATATTTTCTCCAATCACGTCAGGAATTTGGGCTTCAAATGCCTTTTCTGAAATTAGCTCAGTATGCAGTGATTTTAGGCCCCCGAGAGTCTGCTTTGGATTTAATGCAATTTTGGGTTCGGATGCATCTGCAATGTTTTTCACAAGACTCTCTTTTGCTTGCAGAGATACCATGCTGGGATGATTTTCTATCCTACGAGCTTCTGCAGAATCACACTCATGTTTTTCAGATGTTAACGCTTCATTTCCTATCTCAGTTGAAGATGAAGTGTCTCCTTCACAGCTGCTTTCAGTTACCATTGGCCGAATAACATTTCCGCACTGAGACTCAGTATTTGCTTGCTCCAAACATTTTGCATTGTCCTCTAAGATACCACATGTTGTTGTTTCTTTGTTTTCTATTGGTTTAGAGTCTTCTGTTTTCAAACAGTCAGTGCTTTTCTCCTTACTCTGCACTTGAGGGTTATCCGTATCCATGGATTCAGAAACACTTTCATTACTATCCTTTGCTTTCAAACTTTGAGTATCTGGACACTGAACTGAAGTTGCATCTGCTTCTCCCTCTAAAAGCCTATTCAAGCAAGGCAAAGATTGGACTGATTCACTGGTTTTGGTAAAGTGGCGATTGCTAGGTGACAAGCGGTCTTTAACAGGATCTTCCGTTTGATTTGTATCTGAAGTATCAATTCTGCTTTGGGATGTCAAATCTACTTGCTTCTCATCTCCTGCTTTACGTAACTGTAGGTCATCCTCACTCTCCTGTTGCCTCAACAATTTACAACCTGAAGAGTTAGAACCAGATTTGAGCTTTATTCTTTCTAGTCGCTGCTTTTCCTCAAGTGTAAATTGTTTTACTCTCCTTTCAAGCAGTCCATCCAGTTTTGATGATTTTACTTTCCTTTTGTAAAATGTCCTTAAGTGGAAACTCTCGCTGACATTGATTAAATCCACATTGATTGAGGCTTCCTCATATTTTGTGGAGGTATCCACTTTCACTTCATCAACCTCCATAGATTCTTCCTTGATGTCTTTATCACCTTCATCAATTTCTTTCTTCTCTGTGAAGAACAATTTAAATTCAGTAAGACATTTTAGTAATTACTGGGTCTTTCTGACCTGTTTCGCCTAACCCACATAGTTCCATTCATACACATCACAACTGTGTGTGACCACAGCAACAGGAAGTGGCTTCCATATGTGTGCAGGTGAATGTGTCAACGGGACTTTAGTATCCGACATCCACAGTTTCAGATTTTTTTTAATGCCCCCCCCCCGATTGTTCTCAGATTTACATAAGCACGCATACATTCTGCTAAACAGAATTAATCCGTGTAAACCTAAATACTCACCCACCCACCCATATGCCTTAAATGCTTAATACCTTCTTTTGCATGATCTGATTTTTCAAAATGTTTGATTTCAGATTTTTCTTCATGCGGTTCATTTTCTTCCTTGGTTTGAGCTCTCTTTGTGGTCTCAGAGTTTTCAGTTTCTTTTTGGTCCTTCTTGTGTGGCTCACGGAAGTATTTTATCTTTTCTTTCGAAGAACCATGCTCGACCTTCACTTTTGCTGGAGTTTTCCTTTTATCCAGTTCACGCTGTTTTTCTGGGATGGTAGTAGTTTCACTTTTTGCTGGTTAAAAAAGGACACGTATATTTATTTATAAGATTTCTATGCCACCTTTTCAAACTCTCAGGCTGCATGGATTAAAGAGAGCATTAAGTTACGGTGTGTAACAAAAGTATTCAAATGTATTGGTTCTTGCACCTAAACACAGCATTTTGAACTCAGAACTATAACTGTAATTAAAAAGGCAAAATTCTTACAATAAAATACTCAAAACTTAGAATGAAGCAATACATGAATGCATTTGAGTATCCCAAAACGTTAAAAAATGGAGCTGTTCGAGAACTGAGGTTTGACTATAGTGCTGAGAAGGCCTGTTTATGATGCAGTAACTAACAGTAAAAATTATTTCAAAGCAAAGATATTTAACACCCACCTGGTAGTAATTTCCTGTAATTGACATTAGTATTTCCTGGTAATCTTGGTACAAATCTATGAACATGAGTTTTACTAATCCAGATCCATCCACCATACCCTGTTACTCTATATTCTTCTCCTTTTTGTTTCCAAACCTGTAAAGCATTAACAGATACATTTTAAAATAATAAATTTACTTTAAAAGCTTATATACAATTACAAAAATAAAAGATGGCTTTTCAACAAATGCTGCAGGAAACTGCTTAAACTTCGGCTACAACACAGATCTGCAACATACATGCATGAAAAAGGACTGAGCACACTACTAGAACAATTGCCTCTGCTCCCAACAGTAATGCACACAGAAAAGCAACAAGATTTAAGGGATGCAGATTTGCCATGACCAGTTGGGTTCCTAGAACCCCGATTTCCACACAAAGAATACTAGGGGTGTATCTATGCAGCTACTCAGGACTTTTTTTTTAGAAGGGCTTACCAAAGGGTTCCACATAGACTTCTTAGTGATTGTTATGGATAACTCTTAATAGATAAATGCTACTATATTTTGTTTTTAGGCTTTTTTGTCATGGGGCTAGAAGGAAAAGGAAATCATCTTCATTGAATAGATGGAGTACATGGGATCTTGACCTGTCTCAAATTTCTCTTACACTTGGAACTGGGATATATAAATCCCATCCTATGCATATACAGTATCAAAGATGTTTGGTGAAATCTCTCTTCTATCACCTAAGTAAGATTACAATCCATCATGGATTATTATCCAATTAAACAATGGCCAAGACATGAATCAGTCTCAAGTTCTCTCTTTTCATCGATCCTATTACTCACCGTGTTAAAAAAACACCCCCCCATCCCATACAGCCTTTTAAATTTAATAAAGGAAGAGCGGAAATCTGCTAAAAACATTTACTTAAGATTACTATGCAGAATCTGTACCTGATGTTTGATAGGAAATGTGTATTTCACCCATGTTGCTTGCTGCATGGTTTCTTCTTCCTCTTGTTTTCTTTCCTTCTTTTTCACTTTTTCCTTTTCTTCTCTTTCAATAGCTGTCATTCTGCGCAACCTAATCGCAAGATACACATTCTTTTGGGCCAGTTATACTACAGATACACAAACAGCTGCACGCTGCTGTACAAACAGCAAATGCAGTTGAGTCAAGAGCATTTAAAGTACACTGTTGTTGAACTTTCAAAGTAGTTTTTCCATTGCTGAGATTAACTGACACGAGTCAACTTCCAGGTGGCGAACATATTGCAAAAACTGTGCCTGTGAATTTTCAGTGTGCCTGACCAGAGTTTTTTATAATGGTGTTAAATTCTCCAGTACAGTACTTGCACATATTGTAATGTAGACTTATGTTTTTCACTCATTCAGACATCTTACCTGGTGTGTCCCAAGGACTCCCTCCAGATTGGCAGCATGACAACTGGCTTGATTGCACATTCCAATATAGCTAAAGCCAATGCAAATTCTCTAGGTTTACTACACATCTGCACAGCCTTGATCCAATTAGACCTACAGGTGACAAAAATATTATCAGCCCTGCATTCGCTGCATACAGTAGGACAAATGATATGTCAATAGCATACTTTAAAACTAAACTGCCCTGAGTGGCTGGGGAAACCCAGCCAGATGGGCGAGGTATAAATAAATTATATATATATATATATATTTTTGCAAATTCCAGCCTTCCCATGTAGCAGCCCGTGCCCCTGAAAAGCCTGCAGAACAGCATGGAAAGTGTTCCCGAGGGAAACGAGGAATAGGTAAAAACTATTGTGCCGCCCCCCCCCCCCCCCCCCGCTTCTGCCAGCAGGGAAGCTCTTCTGGATCCCAGGTTCCTGCACAAATGGTTCATACAGGAGCAAGTCTGGATCCAACCTATATAATTTTAAAAACCACTGCATAAAAAATGATGAAAATCACAAATATATTCACCTGTGTGAAGCCCAGTTGGGGTGAAGGAATGAGGATGGGATGTTGTTCTCTAGCTGAATTATTGTTAATCTCAGGGTGGATATCGTGAGAACCTTTGACCCGTGGACAGAGCCATTCCATTTGAACTCTCCAGCAGGACTCAGACAAAATTTGTGAGAGAGGTGTCGCCTCTTGTCATGATCTTCCCGGTGTTGATGCTTGTTCAAAGCGAAAGAATTGGTGGCATATTGATTGTGGTACACACGGTACTTCCCTTCTTGGCCTAGTTTGAAATAATTGCTGATGTTTCCTTTCATCACTATTTCTTTCTTTGTGTTCAGTCGGGAGATTTCTCCTTGGGAATTAACCACAAGGACCTTATTGAAATAAAAAACAAAATGCACACAAATTTTTAAAAATTACAATCTTTGGTCTTAGATTTTAGTGTTAGCCCAATCCCTGTTATCTTTAGGGAATGTAATGTCGAGGATTAGAAAATGCAGCTCTTAATCTAAAAATACGTGCACAGGATGAAATAGGCTCTGACTGTAAGAACTTAGGCTAAGGATAAACTTGTCTTCAAAGTTGATTTTCCTAAAGAAACAAACTCTACCTATACCCAGGAATAGTTTCCGTTAAAATCAATAGAGCTGACTTTTGAATAGCCATGAATAAGATTGTGCTGTTAGTTTTCACCACCCAGTAGAAGCCACCAGGTGACCATCTTCATTTTGCTTTCCGTGAACAGGAGTATTTCTGCAGTAAAAAGTCTGAAAATTAACACAAACCTCTTTGCCTTCTTTAAATAGCTTATTTGCTTCATGTGCAGCAGCAGCAACTTGCTGACTTTTCAGCTGGCTGAGTTTGCTATCCGGATTTCGTAACCTGGTGACCATTCGTGTTGAACCCGGTGTGCCTCTTCCAGTGTTTGGAGATTCACTTCGTTCACTGTTAGATCTATCCCCTGTCAAAAACCAAAACAAACCACCCACTTAAACAGGAGAGAGAAAGGCCAATTAGTACAGATATTGCTGAAACGTGTCCTTTTAGGAGCAGCAATCAGCTACTCCAGGCATAGGCAAACTCAGCCCTCCAGATGTTTTGGGACTACAACCCCATCATCCTTAGCTAACAGGACCAGTGGTCAGGGATGACAGGAATTGTAGTCTCAAAACATCTGGAGGGTTGAGTTTGTCTATGCCTGAGCTACTCTAAAGACAGACTGCTTTATTTTTACCTAGCTCCTCTGAGCTCTGAGATCCTCCTTCAATATTTTCCACTTCATCAGAAGCCTTCATTGATTCATCCTGCATGGAATTTAGTACATTGCTACAGCTGTTTTCTGGATCAGACAAAAGTGCTTCAGTGGAAGAACCAACGTTCAGGCTGGGAACCATCTTAGCTGTTTCATCTGTGAAAGATAGGAACTATTTATGTACGTAGTATTACATGAAGGGCACTTTAAAATGCAAGATGAACATCTTGAAATCAAAAGGTGCTGAAACATCGATAGTAGGAGAATATAAATGATAATTTATTTCTGAATTTAAGTCAACAGGTGTTGTATATATTTTAATTGCATGCACCTTCTTCTATAAAGCCATTATATTTCTTATTTTAGCTCAAAAGCTAAGCACATTGTTATTCCTGCATTTAGCAAACATGATTAATAACCAAATTACACATTCTGAAAAATCCCATTGGGGAGTGGGAGAAGAAGAAAGGTTGAATTTGTATGCACACCCACTTTGAACACTGAAACGATTACATGGGATGAGGGTTGGACTACAACTTTTCCCAGATACATGTTTACATAAAGGGAGCTGTATATTTTGGTTAGGTGGGAGAGCTTACAGAGAGGATTACTGAAGACAGTCTCCAATGCACAAAAGGAATACGTGGCAGACACGAGTAAGAGGATAGGAAGGAATAAACAAAAGTATTTTAATTATGAACAGAACTAAAAGAGGGGCAATTATTTTTGAATCATTGCTATCAATCTTATCATGAGTCACCTGAAATCAAGGATGAAATATCAAGATGGCCAGCACTGAAGATGATACCACATTATTCAAGAAAGTAAATTCTCAGATTACTGGGCAACAAAACAACTCCTAACAGGTTCACAACAAGCTGCTGAGGCTGCTAGTTGGGCAAGAAACATCCATGCAAATGTACATATTGCTGTGGTATTCACAACTTCTGCAGTCGTGGAATAGCACCCTAGAGACATAGTTTCCCAACTGGTCTTTATATCTATCAGATAAAAATAATATATTGCCGTCATTTCTATACAATGATACTTCCCCCCTATTTACACATTCTCCAAATCTTTCTGAAAGAGGTTCACATGCATGAGATCGATGACACTGATTCTGATCTATTCACGTTCATTTCTGTGTGCATACTCTACAATCTCGGCCATTACACCAGGTATTTCAACTGTTGGATGTCCCCAACACGGCATCCATGGGATCATGCTGTGCCGCCCAGGAGGCTCTCACTCCTTTGCATACCATACTAAAATATGAGCCAATGCATTCTGGGAGTTCTAAAAATAAACTGAGTGCAAATCCATGCGAAACGTAATTTCAAATTCCCCTATGAAGAAAGAGTTTGCCCATGTGGAGGTAATGTGCCTGAAGACTTACTCTACTACTTACTGGTATGCCCAATCTACGAGGACCCAAGAGCAAAGATTTAAATCTCCCAGTTGGGAGATTGAGATGAGTATGTGATAAACTTTTTATTAGGGAACAAGTCCCCTTACACCTCACAAAAAGTGGCCTGTTCTGCCTTTAGAGTGTCAATTTTAAGGAGAAAAGTTTGTGGGGATAAGTTAAATTCTTCGGGGTAATCAAACTCTTATCGGGCAGGATGCCTGATTTTAATAATTATTTTAACCATGTCATGCATTTTATTCTGCTTTCATTCTGTTTTATGTATTTTATCATTCGTAACGGCTTTGGCTGAAATAAATAGTAGTACAGTGGTACCTCGGGTTAAGTACTTAATTCGTTCCAGAGATCCGTTCTTAACCTGAAACTGTTCTTAACCTGAAGCACCACTTTAGCTAATGGGGCCTCCCCCTGCCGCCACCACACAATTTCTGTTCTCATCCCGAAGCAAAGTTCTTAACCCGAGGTACTATTTCTGGGTTAGCGGAGTCTGTAACCTGAAGCGTATGTAACCTGAGGTACCACTGTAAATCCCAAATATTTGAAGGATGCAGCAACACAAGTCTATCCACATTAAATCTGGGGTACTATTAATTCAATCGAAGACAAACCTATCAGAGTGTCAGGGATGGCAGTGCAAACAAGCAGCACAAATAGCATACACTGTAAGTGGTTTTAGGTGATTTCCATTTACATAACTGTTAAAGGTAAAGGTAAAGGTACCCCTGCCCGTACGGGCCAGTCGTGACCGACTCTAGGGTTGTGCGCTCATCTCACTTAAAGAGGCCGGGAGCCGGCGCCGTCCGAAGACACTTCCGGGTCACGTGGCCAGCGTGACGAAGCTGCACTGATGAGCCAGCACCAGTGTTGCACACGGAACGCCGTTTACCTTCCCGCTATAAAGCGGTACCTATTTATCTACTTGCACTTAGGGGTGCTTTCGAACTGCTAGGTGGGCAGGAGCTGGGACCAAACGACGGGAGCTCACCCCGCCGCGGGGATTCAAACCGCCGATGCTCCTCTAAATTACAGAGGTATTTTCTGTACCTGAGACATTCTTGAGGGCCTCTGATGTCACCAGCTTCTTGTTCGCCTCATTATCATCCAGGATTTCTGACTCATTTCCGACTGCACTCTTTCCTTCAGAAGCACTAGACTCTCCAGCAGGAGGATCTACGCTGTTGCCTCCAACAGCTGATGTCACGGAGTTGCTTTTATCTATAGCATCTGTTTGCTCTACAGTAACAAATGAGTAACAAAGTGCAACAGGTGTTTTAAAAACTGGCTTATACAAAGATGCCAAGTTTTACCTACACTGAAATGAAAGTTCATGAAAACTGCTTGGACTATGTCACTGGGGAATGAGAGCTGATTCTGTGATGATGAGAAGAATGTCTGTCTAAATCTGAAATTGTTGACAAACCAAAAGATACAATAATAAATGCTATTAAAAAGAAATACACGGGAGTAAACACTACTGCAGAAAATATGTTAATTTTGCAAGTATCGTCTTTACCTTCCTTTCTTCCTTTTTCAGAACTTTCATCTGGTGGCGTTTCTTTGTTTACATCCAGCAGTTGATTCGAAAGTTCCTCTTTGCCATTATCAGTATCTGTACTGTCTTTATTCTCAACACTAGCCTTTTCCTTTTCCGTTTCATCAGCTATTGAGCTTTTATCTTCTGGTATTTCCCCCTTTCTGGCTCTGATTGCTTCCAGAATCTCTTCTAAAGCAAAAAACGGACAATAGACACCTAGTTCAAAGACTAGGGGCTCCAGAAGTATCCATTTTAACCCCTGCCAGACCCAGCTAACAATTGGATACATGGTCCACAGTGCAATTGACATTTGTGAAGTACTGTTTGCACATGTAATTTTTAAAAAGTCATTTAACAGGTGGATTACAAGTCCATACAGGCGACTCTCAATTTACATCGGGGTTATGTTCCAGGGATAACATGGAACACCAAAATCTTGTATAGTCAAAACACACTGGGTGCAATGGCGGACGGGACTGCCAAAGTTCTTCTTCCCTGGACACCCAGATCCCTTTTAATTTTTTTGCCAAGTGTGTAAAGTCGAATATGCACAAGTTAAATGCACGTAAATTGCAAGTTACCTGTATACATAGTCTCAAAAATGGCAGGGATTGCAAACTGACAACATAAACATGGAATTTTGTGTACATCACTCAGTCAATATGGATAATCTACAACTCTACAAGCGATATCAGGGAACATGCATTAATTGCTATTGATTCTGCAGATTAATTGAAGTTTTGATAACATGCATATATAGTAAGCTAACAGATCTACAAATCTGTGGCTCCTGAACACTAATCTGGCTCCAAACATGCAAAGACTGAAAAATAAGGCTGAGCTGTGGGATTATGGAAACCTCAAGTTAGCAACTCTTCCAACAAGGATGATAATCAATCTGACCTGCTCCTGCCCTCAATTTATTTATCCGCTGCAATATTTTCAGTGCTCTAGAACTAGACTAAGATCCTAGTGCCACCAAGAAATCCATTTGGTTTGAAACAAGCGCAGACTTGAGAAAAAAGCTGCGCTCTTCCAAAAGGCAGGTTTCTCCAAAAGCAAAAGGATGCTCAGTTTATGTCTCCAGCTGTTGCCCTGTTTTAAGGCACCCAGCCTAGATGTAGCCAGTAATCCAACCGTTTGCAAAGAAACAAAAATTTGCTACGGCTGTTACAAAACAGAACACTGCCAAGAAGGGATGGTTGTGAATAAAAAGTATGGAGCAGGTGGTCTTGCCCATACTGAGCCACTTAAGACTGAAGTATTATTTCTTCTATAAAGCAGTGGAGGTTTTGTAAATGCCACTAGGTATTATGATCAACTAAGGAAACTGATAAGTGACAAACACTATACTGGTGACTATTTTTCAAAGGCACACTACAGCTAGCTATATTTAGGAGTGAAAAAGACAAGCTTAAAGTCATCAGGAAGAGCTCTGTAGACTACAGGTGTTAGAGGAAGAATCACATTTTATCTTTTGCTTAAGAGCAAAAATATACCATTTTATCTTTAAATACACCCCCCCACACACAGAGTTCCACAGCCAACACCATTCAATTTGTTTCCTCCTGAAAAGAGCAGAGAAGTCACCTTCTGTATATAGATCCCCTGCAGTTTCTCGGGTTTTTTGCACTATTAAACAAAGTCTGCATAAGTTAGCGCTTTTTCTGGGGCAGCAACAAGGGTAGCCCTGGACCAATGCTCGCCCATTTCCCTGAAAAAATCTATTAAGGCCTAACAGGTTTAATTGAACCTTCTCAAATGTACCTAAAGGCTAAATGTATTCCAGTGGCACTATAAATGCAGTCTGTGGAACTTGGCCTTCCCAATTTTAACAGACATGCCCTTTTCCTCATAAACCTTTCTTCACTAGAATACACGTCAATGAGGTAGAAATTCAAAATGCGCTCGATAATCCATTGTGTGCTGTTAGCAATTCAGGATTAGTTTTGTAGATTCTTACCATTTGCTGCAGCAAGAAAAGATTTGTTGCTACCCCGTGCTTTATTGGTAAGGTCCTCTGTTATATCCATATGCCGATGTATTTCTTCACGCATTTCTTCCAGAGTTTTGCAGATATCAGCTTCCCAGTAATCTTTGTCAAGGCATTCAATTAATTCTGCCAGCTGGACTTTTGTGCTATAGTACCAGATTTTCTTATCTTTCTCACACTCTGAATCTTCCTCTCTGTGACAGTATTAGAATAATTGTTTATGAGACAAATGGCAATGAAACATATGTATATACTGGGAAAGAAACAGGAATGAAAAGAATAACTGAGTTCATATCGTAAGTTCACTGTTGAGCATGTATTTTTAGTTTACCACAAACAGCTATTACCAAACTCTAAAAAATGTTATAACATAATTCAATTCTTCCATAATTCAACTGCATAATATGAGTTGCCACATTTAAAAATTGTATTATCACAAAACACAAACCTTTTCTTCCCTTTCCAATACACAAATAATATGTTTCTTTACCACACCGTACTATAAAGTATTATGACATTCCCATACAAAAGGAATTTTCAATGATAATTTCAAAAATTAGACACTGAATCATTCGAAGAAATGATTATTTCTTCCAGGATGTTCTGTGGCTTCTCACCTAAGAAAAATCTCAACATAGGTTTTATTCACCATGAAGTCCTTGTACAACCAGTTACTCTGGTCCAATTATTGATGACTTGGAATTGTATAGCAAAAATATGGTGACTGTCTATTTCACACAAATCAGAATCATTAAGTGGAGGGCAAGCACTTTGGGTACAGGCATTATTACTTTACATCACATTTAGCCAATCTTGGTAGTCAGAAGAAATCTGCTGTCATGACTGACCCTGCCCATTCTCTTATTTTCGATATCATGCTGAGCTTTGGGGATGCTCCAAAGCAAGAATTACAGATATGGTCTGAAAAAATAATGCTCTGCCACTTTAACAAATCCACACTATGCATTGAGGAAATAATTCACTTTTAAAATTTAATCGTATTATATGACCTTTGCTTCTTTTTATAAATCCAAGAAGCAAGTAACAAATGTACGTATGAGATGAGAGTAAAGATGAAATAATATTTTAAAAAGCCCTTAAGGTGGGAAAGAGGATGGAGGGAGTGGAGGAGACCTGGGAGAAGATCCAATGTGGCTGCCCATAGGCTCTGCTCACACATCATGATAAGCAACAAACCCCACTTTACTACGAATGACCAATATGTTACTGCACATGGCTCAATGACTCCTGCTTTGCTCCACCCTGTCTGAAACTTGGAAGAACAAGCTATGAAATGCTATATGCAATGGCTTTAATCCTAATGTTGCATACAAAATTGCATTTAAGTTCTTGAGCACCTCAGCCTACAACATGTCCTACTGCAAACAATGAAGTCTTATGAATTAAAGTGTCTACTTCTTTGTCATGTATCTAGATGTCTGCATGACTGCCTGGTGCAATTGGTATGGAGCCCAGGAGTTCAGTGGCAGAGTGCATGCTTCACATGCAGAGGGTCTCAGGCTCAACTGAAAGTTAAAAATGATCAGGCAGCAGGTTTAGATGATCAGGCATGCATTTTCCATTCAGACTTTGATATGGGAGCCCCCCAATTCATTTCCCTAGCGTGCACTGCAAATTTATTATGTGTAATTATCTCTTTAAAGATTTATACTGCAGTCTTAATCAAAATATCAAAGAATTCTAACAAGAGAAGTATCAGGAGCACCCAAAGAGTCTGGCCTAAATTTGAAGATGAGGCACTTGAGTTTTACCACTGGGTCACTGAACTGTTACTATGTTTCAGTAAAGAAAACCAACAAGATTTTTCAACAAGCCCCTCTTACATGGCTTAAGGCAGTATCTTTAGATATTGAGGCTTTACATAGAAAGGGGACTCAGCTACATTACTAAAGATGCAGCGAACTGAATGCGCTACAAACATGCAACACCAGATGGCGCCAGATAACAGGAAATTTTAAAACATAGTTTTCCATAGTGATTTTTTTCTTTTGCTAAAATGATCTAATTTCTGACTTATTTATAGCATTTCCTCCCGTGTTTAGATCTGCCCTGGGTCTACTTCAGATTCGTATGATTCTCCACTGGCACAGATGCGAGGAGGCAATCAGAAGCTTTCTTTTCCATTCTTGATTAGCCAGTGTTCAGTATTACACCTGAACTCTAAACTGCACTTCATCATTAACTATACTAATTGAAAATAAGCCAGCTTTGTAAATCAGGGATTGAAATTTACTTGCTATCATATTCTTAAGACTAAAAGCAGTTTGTGTTTGGACATCAATTATAACCATATGCTTGTAGGAAACAAAGTAAAGAGTCGTTCTCGAAAATTTTATTATCTATATTCAACACTATACTGCTACAGCAGACTTAAAAAATAAATAAATAATGAGCCATGTCAAAGACTGGCCCATTCTCCTATGCTGCTTACAATTTTTTAAATGGCATGCCTTTTCTCAAGTACCAGTGTAAGATGTTTGAATAAAAAAGAAAAGTTTTTCAGTTTCATAAAAAATTCTCTGCCCTGTTGCCTAGAGGCAATTTTTGCTCATCCAAGGTCAGGGGTCTGCAACCTTTAAGACAAAAAGAGCCACTTGGACCCGTTTGCGAAGAAAAAAAAACTGGGAGCCGCAAAACTCGTCATTATAAAATGAACTTTTTTGTCACTTTTTTCTTATTTCTTTGTTTGACCCCTCAGAATTACTCCTCCTCATAGAAATAAACGTTAAATTAACAAGTTACCTTTTTGTGTGTGTGTGTGTGTTCTTCACTCCCCTTCAAAACAGTGACCAGCGTACATGCCCCCTTTCAATGCAGTGACCAGCGTACATGCCCCTTACAATGTAGTGGGCGGGCAGGAAGGTGACGTAGGGACGGTGCGTGACTAATGCACGCACCGCCCCCATGCGACGTCACAGCCAGTACAGCACCCGCCACAGTGGGGAATGTCGGAGCGCACAATGCGCCTCCTCCCCTCGCTAGTATCCGCCCCAGAGCCGCGGCAAAGGTGTAAAAGAGCCACATGCGGCTCTGGAGCCGCGGGTTGCAGACCCCTGTCCTAGGTGAATAGATCACTGGCTGTCTGCAAGCCAACAATGAATCTGGTAGGAATCAATGCGAGTTTTTTATATTCACGGTAAAGGAAACTCCTTGAGAAGCAGATACGTCCTCTCAAATGATCAAAATACAAGGGCTTTATCCAGAGTGCCATCTTTTCTTTCTACAGATATTTACTGTACTCATTAGTGGTAAGATCACATGCCTACAAATGGATGTGGGTTTACAGAGAAAGACAGCAACTTTGCACTGAAAAAAGGTCCAACGGTTGATTCTTCAAAATATGAAGTACAGTGGTACCTTGGTTGTTGAACGGCTTGGCTCCTGAACAAATCGGCTCCCGAACGCTGCAAACCCAGAAGTCAGTGTTCCAATTCGCAAACGTTTTTCAGAAGCCGAATGTCCGACACGGCTTCCGACTGAGTGCAGGAAGCTCCTGTAGCGAATCGAAAGCTGCACCTTGGTTTTTGAACTGTTTTGGGAGTCGAATGGACTCCCAGAACGGATTAAGTTCGAGAACCAAGGTACCACTGTAGTATGAAATCCTCATACAAGCTGAGATTTCATGCCTGATGATCTCATATATGAGTTTTTACTACAGGAAGATGCATTGAGAAAGCTGCCATCTAGTACAGAGTGTCATTTAGCTCTTTCAAAATGAAGAGAATTTACTACTGCATTAAATACAATTTATATAATAAACTGAAATAACTTTTTGTGTTTTGGCAAATTATGAATACCAGTCAGTTAAATTCAGGACTCTATGCCACTGAAAAAACACTGAATTTGGTAGTGGGCACAAAATTCACCTTCCTGAGAAGGAAGCTTCTGCTTTCTTTCTTTTTTAAAATGATGTTTCAACATGTAAAAGACTTTCTTGAAAGTATAAAAGCAATGGTGCTGAAATCGCAGAAGCCAGAAAAGGCAGAGTAAGAGTTTTCAAAGATTGCGGGGGGGATGGGGACTTCAGAGTCCTTACCCATCCCCAACTGGCAAAATCAGCATAGATTTTATAAAATAGGAAGCCAATGCAGTATAAATTAATTTAACCTAAAAGGAAATCATACAAACTTAGTCCATTTGCATAATATATACAGAATCTAGCTTTTCTTGGAGAATAATTTGGATGGCCTGCACAGAATTTAGTTTCGTGCAGCCATGGAGTACATAAAACTTACTGCTATATTAGGAAGCAAAAACATTTCCTCATAGCCACACCAGAGGCAGGGAAAGAGGAAGGGGAGCAAGAGAGCCCCAGAGCCTGGGTTCATTCACATTACACTAAACTGTGATTTAGAACAGGGATGGGGACCTCCAGTTCATGGGTCAGTTCATGTGGTAATGAGGGGAAAAACCCGCACTCAACAAAGCATTTTTACAATGCCTTGAAGTGCCTACCATCACATCAGAAAAATGTATTAATGACTCTAAAGACAGGATGGAATCACCACCCCTGGTAGCCTGACACCATTTGCAGAAAGAAACACAGGTGGCAGGCAGGGTTTCTTACTCATTTTATTTGACTTCTATGTACTTCAAATTGCTGTTTTATGAGATCAGGTGTGAGGTGTGAGAATTGCATTGCTCCAAAAGCTGCTTAGTTGCCTGATAATGGTGTCAGCAGAGTTGCAATTTCTTTTTCCAACTGAGACTCTTAAAATAAACGGTATTTAAAATTTTATTCTTAGAAGAATCAGTGATCTGGACCTTGGGCTTTTGTTGATATTCAGCAATTTGTAATCTTTTCTGATGCATTCTAAATCTCAGGGTTCTGCAATCATGCCTCTACAAAAAATGACTTTGCACACTAAGCTCTACTACCTGGGTCATAACATAGCAGCTATGTTGCATTTGGATTTAAATGAAGTCACTGCCTAGGCTTGAATTTGTAAGTTATGAGAAAGATAAGAAGGAAAGAATGGATTCACAAAATACTAAAATTTCAGCAGTACTCTCAGGGTTAGAAAATTGTCACTTTGGAGAAAAAGAAAGCAATACTGCTGTTAAGCTTGTTCATTCAAAAAACATTAAATACAAACACTAACAGGATAACACAAGTTTTCTGTTGCCAGACCAGATCTTATGTTTCTAAACCACAACTTTTGTTTTGAAACACTGTAAGCAGGATCCTGGTATTTTTCAGTGACGGACACTTCATTTCGCCATTGGCCCCTCACCCCCCGCAGTGCAATTTCTACTGAATGAAGATATAAAACACAATTTTGGCCCAATATAAAAGAAAATCCCATCTTCTTGAAAATCCACCATGCACCAATATTGTTACTGTGCTTAGAACGTTTACTTACATAACAAGCCTCCTGTTCAGGAACCAGTATTTCCGCCTGTTTCTGTCGTATCCAATAGGTTCATGTCGAATGTATGGTTTATTTTTTTGGATTTCAGCAATACAGTCCGTTACACCAGGCACCTTATGTGCTACACAAACTTCACACTGCCATTCATCCTCAGGTACCTCTTCAAGAGGTGGTTTCACACACTCCAAGTGGTACACAGCTGAGCAAGTTTCACAGCAAAGCAAATCCCCCAGTTTGTGACAAACTCTACAATGGTCATCGTATTGTATCACACCTTCCGACATTAATTCCTCGCGTGCAATGTTTGTTGTAAGAAACTGATCCACTAAAAACTGCAGGACTTCAATTTTATTCTCAACGGGTCCATAGGGGTAGTCATCTGCCTCTTGGAAAGGAAGAACATGATGATATTCCTTGTCACTCTCACAATAAACCCGCAGAACCTCGGGCCACGTCATCCCGTCTATGAAATACAATGTGGAATTAACGCTATCTTTGAGGTCAGCAGGTCCAAAGGTAGTATTTGAAGTGTCTTCTTCGCGTAAAACAGCTTTTAAAAGCACTATATGCATCTCTGCCATAAGTGTACACTGCTCCTGGCTTACCAGAGCAGCACAGAAGTCCTCAAAACGAAAAGGGGACAGTCGCAAGACAGTGCCAAAGTTTCGCAGTACCTCATAGATGGCAATAACATTCATTATATGCTCATTAGGCACCATTAAGTCCTCTGAGGATTTAGGCAAGTCAAGAGAAGGGACATCTTTTTCTTCCAGTATTGGAGAACGTGGACGATGTACTCTTTGTCTCCTCCTACCTGTAAGTAGAAAGGAACAATAAAAGATTAACAGGAAACAGAAGTAGATATAAGTTCACTTATTATACAATGAATGTGATGTGAAATAAGAACCATGTTAGAAGTTTCTCGCACACTTCAATGGTCTTACACAGTTGTATTTTAAAAGTCTTGAACTTGCACTTCAACATAGGCAGTTATTCTTCTACCTTAAATTGAAATTAACATACCATGTGTGTTGCACTTTTACCAATGACTTTCCCATTTACAAGGGTTAGAACAAAACTTTTCCCTCTGCAAAGGGAAGGGCTCTTTCCATTTCTCAAAGGAACCATTTTATATTGTAAACTGCCCTGTGATCCTCAGATGAAGGGCAATACAGAAATTTAATTAAGAACCATCACCACCACAAGGTAACCATTTTATCTGATTCTCTCTTCCCCATGTAGTCTCCAACACCACTAATCCTCAACGTTTCAGGGGAAAAGAGGAATCAGCCAAAAGTGGCTTTCCACCTCCTTTTCTCTACCTCAAGCAGAACATAGCTGAGCACAATCCAAGCCATAATCTTGTTTCCTCTCCTAAATTTCAATTACGTGAGAGACATGTTCATTTTTCTTGTTTAAGATATTGGTAGGAGTGAAAGAGATCTACAGAGCCATTGTGCCGCCTGTTTGCTGAATCTGTGGGCTTTCAACAGTTCAACGAAAACATTACAGAAATATATTGCTTTCCCAGATGTTGTAGGGCTTCAGTCCAGGCGGCATGACATGCATATATGCCATGACTGCATGGCAGCTTGAGCTGTACTTTCTGGTTTTCACTGCACATTCCTCACTGCCTACAAATCAACTTGCTCTTCAAGGTGAAGTGGCAATGTGAACAGCTGCAGTAAAATCTGAAATGAATTTCCCTCTATTTGTCTACAAATTCAAAACACTTCTTTCTTCCTAACTCTGTAATTCAGTTGCAAAAGCTGGAAATGTTCCGTTTTCTCTTCAGTGATGAACAAAAACATATTACTAACTGCAAATGGGAGAAATCACAGCACTCTAGGAACACTTTACTAAATAATAATTGCAGCGGTTTGCATTCTGATACACTCAAATCTAGAAAACAGTTTACCCTGGATTATGGTTTCCATTTAAATTATATCTCTCTTTTGCTGAAGCTACTCATCCATATTTTATACAATGTTTCTCTGATCACAAAAAAGCAATAAGCTGTCTAATTCAGAGTAGTTTTGAATTCTTCTTTAGACTTCACAGCAGTAGCGTAACAACTACATATGTGAAGCACTTAAACATATTCAAGGTACTGTAGTGGTAAATAGGTAAAGATAAAAAGGTAATGTAAACACCGTTTCCGTGTGCTCTGGCACTTGGCATGGTGTTCTGTTGTGCCAGAAGCCATTTAATCATGCTGGCCACATGACCCAGAAAAGCTGTCTGTGGACAGCTCCCTCGGTCTGAAAGCAAGATGAGTGCCACACCTCATAGTCGCCTTTGACTGGACTTAACCATCCGGGGGTCCTTTACTTTTACCTAGTTGCAAATGCTGTGGGATCCAAAGCCTTTCTAAAGAAAATTAAAAGTGAGTAGAAACCCTAATTTTTTTTTTTGGTTTCTTTGTTTTTAAACTCAAAAGTTTTGGAAAATTTGACACAAACCAAATTTTCTACGTATGTTACTGGTACAGAAGTTATTTTTTTCCCTTTTAAATTATCTTATGACAAATTCCCACAGACTCTTTCTCTCCTCCAGTTGCAACCTGCTATCACTAGATAGAAGCACTTAAGCATCAGATTTACTCTACAAAATGTCTTTATATAAAGCAAGCACACTGTGACACAATAAACCTGAGAGGTTCCCTTTTTATTTTTGCTATTGGATGCTGGTCGTTATGTAATTTTGTTATATTTATAGTACTAAAACATTATTTTCTGTATGTAATTATATTTGCTACTGTGTTGTTTTGCTGGGCTATTATGAAATTATTTTTGCACTGTTTGGTTTTGAAATGTTTTCCTCTTTCCTTTGTTGTAAACCACTTTGAGAATGAATTTTATGTGGGAAAGCAGCATACAAATAACATGAATGAATGACTTGCTGAGTGAATCACTTGGCCCAGATTTATTTCCAATCTTTCACTGGACTCCTGTCAATAGCAAATGGTTATCATGTCAAGGTCCCTATGAGGACAAAATTTAACTGGTAAAAAAGGCTACTGATTTCTTAAAGAACTCTTGAAATCCATATAATGTATGTGTCGATTAAAAGTGCACAGAAAGGGGGAAATGCCATTGGTGGTGCTGTTATGAAACTACCAATATTATTTATTTAGATGGTTCAAGGTTCACTCAACAATTACTTCAGATTATTCAAAGCTTATTCTGGAGCATCAGGCATAGTCCATGCTTCCAATGAGGGGGCAACACAAAAATGGGCTGTTTCAGTGGTGGCTTCCTGGCTGTGGAATGCTCTCCCCAAGGAGGCTCCCCTGGTGCCATTTTTATTGATGCTTAGGAGCCAAGCAGTGTTAGAAACTCGGATATATAAGTTAGGTGCCAAATGGCACCTGGGCTCTAGGTTACGGTTGCCACAACGGAGTATCTATTCGCCAGAAGGTTTGACTAGATGGCCCTCAGCATCCCTTCCAACACTACAATTATATGATTCTATGATCTCAACTACATTGCTTGATTGTAGCTTGCTCTTACAACAACCCACTGGTCCCCAGTATGCAAGAAGAAGTAACACACAGGGGAAACGGAAATAGTATTAACTATGAACTAAGGCAGAGGTTTTTTAAACAGTGGTTGCCAACCTGGCACCCAAAAATCTCCAGGGTCTCAACTGGCCCGCACCAGTAGCAAAACATGCCAGGCACCAGGGGAATTTCAAACACTGGAGCCAAGCAAATAATAATTTTTATTTTTTTTAACCAGGGCTTTTGGTCTTTAAATTGAAGGGCTTCAAGTAATTGTGGCCTATTTTAGTGCAGCAGGATCTGTAAGACCAGTCCTTTATTTGTAGAGATGCGTTGTTTAGGTTTTAATTGGTTGTGCTTTTTAAATTTGGTTTTAGTGTTTATGATGTGTTTGTAAGTTGCTTTAGTTCACTTCTGTGAGAAAAGCAAACAATAATAATAATAATAATAATAATAATAATAACAATCCAGTTCAACTGCCCCAAATGACATTTAGTAGTTTTCCATTTTAAATAAAGTCTGGTTAAGATATCAAATGCTGGCCTAAGAGACATAATAAGCCTGGTGGCTTTCACCATTTTCCTAAACCTTAGTATCCATCACAGCCCTTGTTTAGGAGGACACCCCACGTCTATGGCGCCATATACTTTTCCAAAGTTAATATTCTGACCTTCTTAGTTTTTGGTCAATGGGGGAATACTATTCCAAATAACTTCAACACAATAATTCTTTAAAAAACCATCACTTTCTTGAAGTGATAATGAACTTTTTCATGAGGAGGCAACTACATCCATCTTGCACTTGTAATGTGCCTGTGAGTTATTCAATGTATTGATTTGTCAATAAATTACTGCAAAATTTGGGACAGAATGCAGTGGGGAATCTTGTGTTTCAATTCTATCAATCCCCCACGAAAATAAAGCTCCCTGGGCATGGAAGACAATCACGTGAGAAAGCAATAATAGCTCTTAATTGGTCAGTGATGTCCTATTCACATGTGCACGTTTCTGTAGTACTGGAACGTTTGCACAGTTAGAAATCAAGAGGTCAAACTTAAAGCTGGTGCATGTTCAGAACTTAGCAACTGCCAAGTTTACAAGTGTGAGTGGCCCAGCAAAAACAACCCTACAGAGTTTATATTTTGTGTCTCATTGCCTCAGACACAATGATTTTTAATAGACTCAACTCAACTCAAGTGTGTAAACCAGGTCTTTTGAGAGTTCACATACCATGTGCTTTATACTACACATACATGGTAACAGAACAGAACAGATTTCACAATTTATAAGCAAAAAAACCAACCCCCCCCAAAAAAACAAGTATTTTTACCACTGTTATTATTGTTGCTAGTACTCTCACATGCCCATTGCTAGCAGGTCCCTGGGCAGGTTACAACTATTTAAAATTCTTAACTAACAACCATTAAAACAAATGTCAGTCACAAGAATAGGGTGGATCCTGAAAACACACATCTTAGACCAGGGTACAGAGGTGCATCTTCAGCATTTGCCAAAAGCTATACAGTGAAGTTGCCAGATGCAATTCTGTGCAGAGGGAGTTCTACAGTTAACCAGGTAACAGGATGCATCCTGATTTAAACCTGATAACTGCATATATCTTGTTGGGGTGGGGGGGAGAGCACAGATACTTAGCACAACATATACTCAACATAGCTATGACTCTGCACTTTAAATTCTGCTACAGCTGACTATAGAAATTAAGGTAGAGCCAACACCTGCCCTACTGGTTCACGAAACCAAGCTCTGAAAAGAAGCACTCCAAGTTACTATTTAATTCATGTTATGAGGCTAGTTTGGTTGTGGGTCCTTAGGACTTCAGCACATGACAGGGTTATCAGGATTCCAAATTTGAGAACTGTTAGCAACAGTGTTGTCTGCCATATAAAGCTTAATAAAAACAATATGTAGTTGTACCTCTGGATACGAACGGGATCCGTTCCGGAGCCCTGTTCGCAACCTGAAGTGAACGTAAGACGCGACTGTGCGCATATTTAAGTTGAAGCGTATTCATCCCGAGGTATGACTGTAATCATGGCCAATTTCATAAGTTTGATGGGAGGCTAAAGACTGTAAAAATCTTTCAATTAACCAGAATACTGGATTGGATGAAGCTTTGGTTACACGAAAGTCCTGAATGAGAATGCACATTCCCTGATATACATAGAGATATACACCCAGCCAGTTAAACAAGATGCAGATGTTCAAAGGGAAATGTGTACCCAGGCACACACCTGCATGAGTACTGTATGCAAAATTTCCTTTTAGGATTTGGGCAATTAAACTTCAGATCTAATGCCAAGTTTAGGCGATATAAATGTGAACTTATATAAATATGTATTTGCTTCTTGCACTTTTAAGTTCTACCTCCTCTTGTATTACCTTCTGTAATCTTTATCATCACAAACAGCACATCAAGTGCAACATATATACAAAGGGGAATGCCTACTGGTTTCCCCATAACTCTGCACTCCTCTTTCCTGGCGAATCATCAAATCTGCATTTTAGACTTCTTTCAGAAATTCTGCAAGAAGTTTAAAACTTCTGCATTTTGACAGCTTGGGCTAAGTCTGCAATGAATGAATGAGATTTCATTCTGTGCACTTCAGCTTGTTTTACATGCTTTTATTTACTTTTGGTACATTACCAGTTATCCACTTTCAGTCTTTGGACAGGATTAGCAGCAGGTTTAAACAAAATGTTATCTTAATATACACTGAAGATATGCTATTTCAAAGCCTCATGTGCACATCAGAATACCAAGCCCCTCATAGTTTGAGGATCAGTCCTAGAATGATTAGCAGACTAAGATTTCTGGTCATCAACAAAGAATGGTAATCTTAAAATCTCTTTAACGGAACACACACAAGGAATGAAAGCTCACAAATGCTAAAAATATACAGTACATGCATTCTTTGCAAAACCATGCTAAATGACAAGAACAAGCCACAGTGAATCTAAGGTTTACAAACGCACATCTTCCTCCTGGGTTGTCATTAAGAAATTTTGAAGCTTTCAGTGTGGAAAAATGTGGTTTGTCAAGATATCTAGAATAACGAACTGTGAGTAACATTAACTACTGTTAGTTTAAGACACTGATTATGCACCCCTCCCTCCACATGTTCAGAAAAGGTGCTGATTTTCTGATCTGTACCCTCTTTTCGGTCGCCTTTCACAAATTACCTAGATTACAAGTATTCTTAGATTGCCAACCTACATTTAAAAATAAACTTTCTAGTGCTCTTGTTGTGAAGCAACTCTTAAGGTATTTACAAACCACAAGTCATGCAAGATTTGCATGGATCAAGGGTACCTTATGGGCTGCCTTCTCCTGCATTAATGTAACCACCGAATGAGGCCTTGCTTCATCTCCTGCCACCATCTGAGGTGCGGTTACTTTAATTCATTCATACCAAAATACCAAAATTTATACTCTGTTTTTCCTTTCCAAAAGAAGTTGCTCAAAGCGGCTGACAAAAGTATTTAAAAAGCACAAAAATAAAATAACAATCCGCCTTTTTAAAAAAACTAACCATTGCACAAACCATTACTAAAAGCAACATCGAAGAACAAAAAGGAGGAAGAGCTGGAGCTTGCAACAAACAAATTACATAAAGCAACAGCAGACACAAAGGCTTGTTTAAAAAGAAACGTCCTCAATTCCTGGCAAAATACAGAGAGGGAGGAAAATAAGCTAACCTCTTAGAGCAGGGAGTTCCACATCTAAGGTACTGTCACAAAGAATGGCCCAATAAGCATATAACTAATGCACAAAGGGATGTGGCCAGGTGGGACAGTGACTGTAAGAGGAATGGAAAAGCTGACGCACCAGCCAACGCTGGGTGAAAGCACTTCTGGTGGCATCTTAAAACAAGGCCAAGGCCAGGAGTACTTCGAAACTATGAATTTGATTTTGTAAGGGGAGTGCAATCAAGGCCAAAATGGGCTGGCATCCTATTCAAATAAACTGTTATTTAATCCAAGCCTTTTTTGAATGAAAGCTTTAATTACATGCCTACCGATTTATGTCATGTGAAAGTTAAGTTGGGTGTTCTCGTAAACCTAACCAACTCATGGATTGTGAAGAGCATTTTCACTTCTGCAATGAAAATTCTCGGGGAGGTTCAATGGACCTCAGAAGAGTGCATACAACGTAAACAGAGCAGCACCCCTAACCTTAGCTCAGTGCAGAGTGATATATACATTGCAACTGACACTTGTGCAAAAGGTAATCAAATACTGGAAGGCATCCCTGCCCACTTTTGGCAGAAGCCCTACTAATTCTGTGTGATGTGGCCGTAGGACGTGCAACCGTTGGTGGAGTTTTTCAGTCAAAGTGAGTGAAGTTTAATCAACAATCGGCATAACCATGCCCACTGTGATCCTGAATGACAACTGCAACATATCAGTGTGAATAGAGCACCAGTTGATAAATTGTAACTTTTAAACAGCTCTCTTCTTCCACCCCCAGCCTTTACACCATTTTCCAAGGAGTGCATTGTTGAGGCCACGGCATGGATTACTAAAGCTTTGTAATGTTGCAAAAAATATTAATCCTTACCCTAACTGTGGGTAAGAGATTGGAATCACCGACAAGCTTGCACATTAATCCCCTGCTCTGCTTACCAAGATGTGCTATTTCTCCATTGACATTTACACTTACCATGGTTAGCTTGAATAGCACTTTGAAAAGCTGCCTTCTAACAAACTCTAGTTTGAAGGAGTCTTAACACTGCCTGTGAAAAGCAAACGGAGGGAGAACTTGTATGCAAACTGGGGAAGGAAAGAGCTTGCAAGTCTATAAGGCACATATTACCACAACACTGGGCCACTGTTGTACAGTGCTCACTGGCATAATGTAAATCAGGCATAGGCAAACTCCGGCCTTCCAGATGTTTGGGACTACAACTCCCATCATCCCTAGCTAACAAGACAGGTGAGGGATGGTGGGAATTGTAGTCGTCCCAAACATCTGGAGGGCTGGAGTTTGCCTATGCCTGATGTAAATTTTACATTTACTCAGAATTATTTTCCAGAAATATCAAATTCTCAGTAAAGGTAAAGGGACCCCTGACTGTTAGGTCCAGTCGTGAACGACTCTGGGGTTGCGGTGCTCATCTCGCTTTACTGGCTGAGGGAGCCAGCGTACAGCTTCCAGGTCATGTGGTCAGCATGACTAAGCTGCTTCTGGTGAACCAGAGCAGCACAAGGAAACGCCATTTACCTTCCCGCCAGAGCGGTACCTATTTATCTACTTGCACTTTGACGTGCTTTCGAATTGCTAGGTTGGCAGGAGCAGGGACTGAGCAACGTGAGCTCACCCCGTCGCGGGGATTCAAACCGCCAACCTTCTGATCGGCAAGCCCTAGGCTCTGTGGTTTAGACCACAGCGCCACCCGCGTCTCTTCACATTCTCAGTAGTGTTCGAAATTAGCTTTCGACCACTTGTGACCAAGTGAAGATGCCTAGGATGGCGCCTGACATCTCCACCATCTGAGGATTACTGGATCTGGACTGTTTTCACACACTAATACCCCATCCTGTAGAACTCTATCCGTTATATTTTATCTGAACAATTGGAATGCATTTCTGGAACCAAATTCCCTTTTCTGTGCAGCCTGAGCAGGAGTGGTCATCATTAAGACATCAGAATAGGCCAACATATATATGGACTGTCCCTGACAGTCTTTTCTTCTTTAAGGTCTCAAATCTGTTAACATAGCTCAAGGTTATCGTCTTGAACTAGCCATGTGTTTAACTAGAATCAATCAGTCAGTCCATCATTTGAAAAACAAGCTTTTAGAGATGTCTTGCCCCAAAATGGCAACTAGAAATTCCATTTTGGCGACTGCAACCTCGGTTTAAGGAGCCATTTGGCGCCTAGCTTATACACCTAAGTTTCTAACACTGATTCTATAGCACTTTAACAACACATATTCTAGGGTGTGTTTGTGTATGTGGGTGTGCATGCACCAAGTAGGTCAATAGGTGGATGCAGTATTTGCCATCCAGTACACCATCACAACCAAAAGATTATGGTAGGGCCAAACAAACCATGTCATACCAGAAGCCAGCAGAATGCAGGTGCACATTGTTCAAGTTCACCTGCCCTACTCTTCAGTTGTTCCCCATGAGGAGGAAACAAACTACAGCACTGGATTAGCATTATGTTCCTTCTTGTTAACTCCAGGCCAGCGCTTTGGTTTGGTTCCTCCTTGTTCAGCAAAGGGGGGAGCAGCAGGGCAGGCATGATTTGACAAGTGTATACCACCTCGCTGCTGATGAACCAGGACAACAAAAACGTAAGTATCTACTGAACCCGATTGATGGACCATCATTGGCCATTGTAAAAACAAGGAAAGCCTGACACCAACTGTCAGAAAGAAGCAGCAGCCACAAGAAATACTTCTAAAGTAAATCCGGCTGTTTTGTTTTAAGGGTTATTCCATGTCAAGTGAGCAAATTTTTAATATATATTTTTTACCTTATGTCATCCAATTTCCTTAATATTTTGTACTTGTTGAATGATCAAAACTAAGTTTAAATCTAAAATTTTAATTTTTTCTCTTAACCCATTTTTGAGCTATGAGGGTTGGAAATTAAAAATAATAATACACTGAAAATTTTGGCCTTGCCGGGCAAAAAACTAAGAACTCAGCTCAGAACTGAGATAGTTCATGAAATGAAGTACAAACAAGAATTCTTTCAAAGCATTAATTCTATCAAGCAATAGCAAGCTATCACTCTGCTTTTAAAACACATTTTAAAACGAAAAGCCTGACTAGCTTTTCAGATGCCCGAAAAATAACTGATATCATATTTTGAAGCCTAGTTTATTCTGTTATATCTTACTCCAAGAAGACCCATTTATCCTAAATAGAACCCAGTAAGGCAGACATGTATGTACACTCTCTCTCTCTATATATATATATATATATTTGAGATCCCAAGATGAAATTTTGCAGGTAGCGCTTAGAAATATTAAATAATCAATACATTTTTAGAAATTTTTGAACTTATTATTTTTAATCACTTTTTAAAATTTTGCAACTTAACTTTAAAATGTAAAGTAAGGTGTTCATGTGACATATCATATTAAAGCCAATGACGTTCTGAAGAGTTTGGTATTTTTAGTTTTGACATACCTCAGTTCTAGGTTAAGATTGTAAGGTTTTTGTGTAGACCAAAATTGCCAATTTTTTGAAATTTCAAACCCTCATAACTCAAAAACAGGATGGGATAAAAATTTAAAACTGCAATCTGGGACCCTCTCTTATATTACTTTTAGGAAACTGAAAGTGGAAGAAATATAAAATAGTAAGGTAAATGTGATTGGATCACTTGATATGGAATGACCCTTAACACCAACTCTTAACTCTTTTAAAAACAGTTAGAATAATCACTGTGTGTGAGAAAAAGTCATCTCTACTGCAAGATATCAAATATCTATCAATGGCACAATGTTAGCATACAACACAAATTAGATACACAACAATACATATTTTAATTTGGGTATGATTCAGTTTCTGAACTGATCTGATTAACATTAACACTTAACATTTTAGAACTGTGTTAGGAATTTATTCAAATCCATTCAGAAACTGAATCATATCCAAATTAAAATATACACTTTAGAAGCAAACTAAACAGCACTAACATTTGCTTTTCTACAGGTGAACAATTATGAAGGTCTCCTTGGATCAAAATTCAGTTCCTATGTTGTCGATATAGAAAAATATTATTAGTACTATGAAATAATCCCTTGCCATTGAAAAGCAACAGTGAAGGGAAAAACCACAGCTAGGAACCATTACAACTAAACAAAACTTTAAACATGTTCATGCAGTATTCCCTCTCATATTGTGAATTAGGAAAGCTTGCCTTTATAAAAGCACCTTAACAATAAACAAAATTAACCACCTCTTGGAAAACTCAAAACCCATTTTAATATAGAGAACTACGTCTTTTGATGTTGTGATATAGATGAAAAATGGGTCCGATTTCCCCCCATAACTTTCACACAGCCACTGTACTATACAGGCATATTTAGTAAAATGTAAGCTATTTCAATATTCCACACTGGGGTTGTCCTTGTCAAACTGTAAAAGCACAGAACTGTCATATCAATCACATCTACCAATATATAAGTCCCAATCCTGATTGTTTACATACTTGATAAAACACATGCAAGTATATAAAAATAGTTGCCACCAAGTAAGGAAAGTTAAGCGTGTAAGATTTTATGCAATAATATTTTGCTGGATTAAATCTACCTTTTTTAATAAAAACCCCAAAACATTCTTAAAATGCCAGAAGTTCAGCATGATCCATACTATAATCAAACTCTTAAAACTTGTTATAAAAAGTTGAATATAATTTCTTCCAATGGTTGAACTGGCAAGGTCACCGTAAAATTAAACACCACAAGCTCTCTTTAAAAAAAAAGCTGGAAGCAAACACTGCTGCATAACAAAAATTGGTAAATGAAAAAATAAAGAAAGAAAAAGATATCCATTTGAATGTTTTCAATTACTACAAATACATGTGATGGACTTGCACGCCTTGATTTAAACCATACTGCTCTTCCGCCAATAATTTGATCTCTATTCCCAACGCACCGCTTTCCTTTGTAAACAAAAACACCACCTCCTAGTTTTGCACAAAGTCAAGAGTCTGCAAGATACTCCCCCACCTTCCCCAAGCATCACATGCATGCTCCCTTTTCCTTGCTATTTCACTCAGTCCCAATTGATTCTTCCCAGACAGTGGTTCCCAATTAGCTGATTACTGAGGACCCCCTATTTTTCAAGAGCCACGGACACCCCACCCCACCCTCACTTTGCAACATGTTGATAACTGCATGGTAGCTGCCTCTGCAAAGCAATTCTGTGCACAAAATGTGGGGCAGCCCCTAATAAGCAAAAGAGTTTAGGCATACTAAGAAAAAAACAACAACAGGCCATAAAATATGTGATACTACCATGCGAAAAAGACAAAAAAATAGTTGGGGGGTAGGGCAAGGGATGGGGCCGTGGATCAAGTGGACCCCCATTCTAATGACCCCCTATTTTTCAAGAGCCACGGACACCCCCCCCCCGCTTTGGAACATGTTGATAACTCCATGGTGGCTGCCTCTGCAAAGCGATTCCCTGCACAAAATGTAGGGTAGTCCCTAAGAAGCAAAGGAGTTTTGGTATGCACTAACAACAGCAACAAACAACAACAACAGGCCATAAAATGTGTGATATTACCATGCACAAAAATGACCAAAAAAATTAGAGAGAAGGGAGGCAACGGATGGGGCCCCTAACTGGGAACAGGGATGGGGCCCCTGTTCTCAGACCATGTTTGCCATCTCCTCTTCCTGCGAATAAGTAGCCTAGGATCGCTATTTATTTTCTCTCTCTCTCAAGTTCTGCCACTGTGGCTTCCCGCACCTTGCCCTCTTCCTGCAGGAGCCCCTCGCTTCCCTTCTCCCCACATCTTGCCCCCATTGCAGCGCGCATCCCCATGGCGGAGGGGGGGTTCAGCACCACCCCATTAACCCCCCCCAAAGCAAAAACCCGTCCACCACCCCTTCCCTAACGCGATGGGCTCCGGGGTGGAACAAGTGGGGGGCGACCCCCCTCACCCCACCTACCCCTCGCCGTACCCGGGGTGCTGCTGTAGGTGCTGTGGCTCTTGAAGCTGCTCTCCGTGCAGTAGCTGGCGTCGTCGTCCTCGTCCTCCTCCATCTCTTCGGGGTAATCCGAGTCGTCGTCGTCGTTCTCCTCCTCTTCTTCTTCCGCCACGGCCTCGTCTTCCCCGGAGTCGGGCTTCTCCCCGGACTCGCCTTCCTCGTCGTCGGACACGGCGCTCTCGTCCTCGTCGCTCTCATGGTCGTCGTAAACCACTTGGCTGCTGCGGCCGCTCCTCTTGGGAGCGGAGGAAGAAGAAGCACCACCACCTGAGGCGGCGGCGGCGGGCGCCCTGCTTTGGCTTCCTCCTCCTCCTCCCGCCGCCGCTCCAGCAGCAGCAGCAGCAGACCTGCCCCTTCCCCGGCCGCTATTGCCTCCCCCGCCAGGGGTGCTGCTGCTGCCGCTGCCGCCCTTCCTCCTGCCGCCTCCCCTGACTGAGGGGGAGGCCTGGGCAGCGGCCCCCCTCGGCTTGGGCCCTGCAGCCCCGGCCGCCTGGGCCGAGGCCGCCCACCTGCCCCGGCTGCTGCCCCTCAGGCGGGAGCGGAGTCCCCCGATAGGGCCCGGCGGCGGGGCTGCTGGAGCCGGGGTGCTCGCCCGAGCCGGGGCCGCCGCAGGCTGCTGGTGCTTGGGCGGCCTGCCTCGCCGGCCCCGCATCGCTGGGCGCTGGCCGAGAGCGCTGAGGGGGGAGGTGTTGTGTGTGCGCGCGAGGGCCTTCGGGTGGCTTTTCCGAGCGGGCGGTTGCGCTCTTTCTCCCTCTTCCTCCCCGCCCCCCCTCCCTCGCCGGGGAAGGAGGGCCTCCGGCGAGCCGCTCGGGCCGAGGGGCTTCAATGCGAAGGGCCGGCGTCCCGCTCGGGATCGCCGCCGGCCGCCATCTTGTTTCTTCGCCTGCTTGCCTCGGATCGCTCCGCTCCGACAGGGGGGAGGGAGGGAGGGAGGGAAGCGGCGGCAGGGCCGGAGCGGGTCACGTGGCCGGGCCTTGCCTGCGCTTCGCCGGGAGAGGCGGAAGGGGGCGCGCGAGAGGGGAGCTCGTTCGGGGATGATGCTGATGTTGCGGATGCTGCCGCCTGAGCCAGATCTTCTTTGCACCCGCGAAAAGCCGCGGCCAGAAAACACGCGGGGCGCGATCGCTTTCGCAGATAAGAGTTAAGCCGCGGCTCATTTGTACACGGGACTTAAATGCCGCACGTATTGCAAACGGTCCCCTTCGCTTGCGTGCCTGAAAGGCCTGTGTCTGAAACAGATGGTTACTGGGGTTGCCAGATTGTTTTACCAGGGCACCCTGAAAGTTATTGTTAAAGGAAACTGCTGAGCGTTTTTTAAAAAAACAAGTTCAATACCTTGCTACGCAAGCTTTTTTTTAAAGCCAAGTTGTTGCGCTAAAAGAATCCCATTATTTTTTTATTGACTTGACTTTTTTTTTTGAGCTATTTTATAAAAAGGAAATTCATGAGCTATTTTTTTTTAGACAACGCCCCCCCAAGTTGTTCAGCTTTTTAAAAAATTTTTGAGCCCCCCAAAATCCTGCAAGTTTTCAATTGACTTGACTCAGAGCCAGGACAAAGCACCACCATTTCGGAAATCCCCACCCCCCCGACATCAATTCTGCCTTTGAAATCCCGTTGATATCCAGGAAAATGTCCGGACGTATGGCAGCGCTATAATATTCATCTTGTACATGGCAGAGCTTTCCTACATCCTTGGACTCAGCCATAGGGCTGCAAATAAAACATTCGAAGTGTGTTTTAAGTGCAATATGCAATGCGACACTTGATGGCGAACCTTACGGGAAATTTAATGTACTGTACATGTATTTTTAAAAACAAAACAAAAAAGCATTTTCAGAATGGTTTGTACATGTGTGTAGATTCCACCCTTGTTGAGCCTGATTTGCTCCTCAGTGGGCATCTCTTTCTTAGTTCATCTAAGAAACTATATTGAGCTTTAGAAGTGACTCTCTTAAGTCCAGGTATGGTATGGTGTGTCCCATTTTCTTTCCAACTATTGCACTTATTACGGATGGGGAACCTGTAGCCTTCCAGAAGTTCTTCTATTCCACAACGCCTGTCATCCCTGGCCATACTGATTGGGGCGGATAGGAGCTGGAGGGCACCACTTTGGCCCACCAATATCTAGAGAGCCACAGGCTCCTCATTCCTGTCCTTTAGCCTCACAGTCCAGGAACGAGGAACCCGTGGCTCTCTAGATGTTGGTGGGCCAAAGTGGTGCCCTCCAGATATTGTGGAATTCAGCGTCTCTTGTCCCTGACTGTGTTGGTACAGGATGTTGAAAACAATGGGAGGGAAAGGGAAAGGATAGGTTTAGATACGCTCAGAAATGTGTCTAAATTCCACCCCTTGTCTGGGAGAAGAAGAGGAGTTTGGATTTGATATCCCACTTTATCACTACCGAAAGGAGTCTCAAAGCGGCTAACATTCTCCTTTCCCTTCCTCCCCCACAACAAACACTCTGTGATGTGAGTTAGGCTGAGAGACTTCAAAGAAGTGTGACTAGCCCAAGGTCACCCAGCAGCTGCATGTGGAGGAGCGGAGATATGAACCCAGTTCCCCCAGATTATGAATCTACCCCTCTTAACCACTACACCACAGTGGGAGGATGCCAGAGATCAAAGTCTCTGCCTGGCACACTGACACCAGAGCTACGTTTGCTGAACAAGGATGCTAAGGGAGGCGATACCTTTAGAGAGGGAAGCTAAACATTGGATCTCCCACTCGGACCTCAGAGTAACATTGGGAGAGTAGATTGAATCTATCTTATGGCTCACGGGACTCCCTCCAATAGGTCCTAGAATTACACTCTGAAGGTACCCTCATAATATTTAGTTTGTAATATTTGGCACCAATAGAGAATGTCTTTCCAATGCAAATAGGAAATTCAGAGGGGCTGTTTCCCCGTCCCCTCCAGCCGACACACATCTAGTTGGGACCTTAAAAGAAGAAAACAGCTAATTTGAGTCAAATGGCTAATGTGCATAGCACCAAGCCACTGGACACAATCACCACATCTCATGGAGAGCATAGGAGCCAACTCCTAGGGGCCAAGGCCCCTTGCCCCCTCCCATTAAAATATTTGAGGTGACTGCCCACCACCAAAGTTACTGGGCGTTGCCATTCAAATGGTGTCTGTGCCTTACCTTACCTCCCCCTCCATATTTCATTCAAGTTGTTAGTCCTGATGGATAATGTGCGCATCATTAGTCCAGGGAACTGAACACCTTTCCTAGTCACGATACAGTGGTCGCACTGGGTACCATGCTGCAAGCAGGGGGTTCCAAAACAATGCTGTAGAACGGAGCATGAGAGGTCAGGGGCACTGAATTTTAGCATTGCACAGGGTGCTGCTGAAATTTGAGAGGCCACTGTGCTATACATCCTCTCCAGCAAGCCTTTGAGAATGCGTGTATCTCTGCGAGAGTTTGCACCGTCACTGGCATTTTGCATCATCTCCAATAAATGCACAAAGGCCTGCCTACATATGCACATTCCCCAAGGCACGTTGGAAAACTCGCACTACCCCTAACATAAACAAAATAGTGATATGATAAATCAGCAAAATGATCAACAGCTTATTCCGCTTAACATATTGCTTATACAAACTGGCAAACAGATGTGTGATGACGAGCGAGCCTTTTAAATCTATAATTGACTCCAGCTGAGTTAAAGGGCTGATAAACCACCGTGTCTTCGGTATTTCACAGGCGTTTTGCCTTTTTATATATGAATTTAATGAACGTTGATTATAAAATCTACTGGGCAGAGCTGTCCTATGGAGGAGGCAGTGAGGAAGACTCTATGGGGATGACCTGCACTGTTAGGCTTGTTCTGACCAGAGCAGACACTGTGCATTTGTCTGGGAGGAGCAGCTTATTCTCCACCCCGTTCCCCTTTTGTGAGCTTCCTTCCCATTGAGTGTGCCCTCTCCAGGATTGGCAGTTTCATAGCCGGCTTGGGGGCATGTGCAGGGAACTGGATGGCTTTGGACCCTGCAGACCCAAAGCTTCCCTAAATCTGCAGGGATGTGCTCTTTTTCATCCAGTTCATCATTGAAGGCAGAGAGATGGTACCCTACAGACTCCTTGGGCTCAGCCAGCGACATTTCTAAAGCTCTCTCAGAGGTCTGCTACCTTGATGTATTTAGGTCATTAATGCTTTATATTTCCACCCGTTTCAGTTTTAAAATAATTCTGCTTGTTACTTTTAAAAATATGCCTTTTATCCCCCTGGTACCCTCTGCTTTTCGCTGTCCACTTTACTACCAACATCTTTTATGTAAGGGAGTTGGTAGCAATTTGTCCCCTAGCTTTCTCTCTCGGTGCAGTACTCCTACATTAGGTGGATGTGGGAGAATTTAGGTGGTTTCAACCAATGCTATTAAAAAGTAAATATAGAGACTGGCTTGAATCCATCCCTTCCACAGATTATGTTCATTTTTATAGTAACCCATACAGGCTTCTCAGTCAGAATTGCGATCTGAAAACCAAAAGCAGACTGGAAGCTCATTAGCCGTGCAAAGTCTTTGCGGATAGCCCTTATCCATAAATCAGCAGGTTAGAATAAAAACAAACACAAAATAAAATGTTGGACCCCCCTTTTCAGTCAATTGCATCTAGATGTGTAGCTTGCACTATACAGTGGTATCTCGGATTACAGACGCTTCAGGTTACAGACTCCGCTAACCCAGAAATAGTGCTTCAGGTTAAGAGCTTTGCTTCAGGATAAGAACAGACATCACACAGCGTCAGGTCCCATTAGCTAAAGTGGTGCTTCAGGTTAAGAACAGTTTCAGGTTAAGAACGGACCTCCGGAACGAATTAAGTTCTTAACCTGAGGTACCACTGTATAGCACAAATAATTTGCCTCTCTCATTCAAGTGTTGGAACAGTAAATACATTTAGTGGTAGTATTCCACTAAGTTTTACTCAGGGTAGACCCACTGACATTAATGGGTGGCATTCAATGTAGTGCTAAGTGAGGTTAACTGTTAACCCAACAAGACTAGCTCCTAACCCTCCAGAGCAGTTTTATGTGGCACAGCAAGGCAGGGAAAAGCTGGGAAAATCCTTTCACATGAGCAGACCTCAAGGACACAAGAACTTAGCTGAATTCCACCCAATGACCCTAGCCTGGTCATATTCATGAATTTAAATGGGCCTACTCAGAGCAAAACACAGCACATTTTCAAATTCAGCAGTCTTTGAAAACAGGTCAGATTTTAAATGGTTACCCCCTCTGCCTGCCACACCCCATATGGCCTTGGATCTCATCTGCACCCTTCAATTCCAGAACTTCCATAATCAATGAGAGGACGTTAGATCTGGAAAAGAGACATGTTAAATCTTCTTCAGGGTTAACTGTGTGATCCTTTGATAGATTGATTAGATTGTTAATCATTTTTGGAGGCAGGAATATATTGCCCCCTGAATAGCTTGAACTATGTGAAATTAGGTTTCCATTTCATAGAACGTTATCATTAGACTCACCTGTGCAAGTCATCATAGTTTATTCTGCAAGTATCTTCTTGAGGTCTGCTGTCTGCTTGCTCTACACTTGCAGTCTTGTGAAGATCAGGAATTCCTATATTCTGTCGTAGACCACTATTCTGGTTAACTTGCAGTTCTACCACAACATGGCCACCACATGGGAAGGGTATTATTAAAGGTGATTCAGTTAACGCATTTTCAAGGGAGACAAGTTGCACAAACCTTGCATGCTACCTGCTCCTGAGTTGCACTTTCCCCTATTCTTCCTGCAAAGGTGTACAAAAGTTGAATTCCAATTATTAATATAGCAACTGATTACCTGCAGATGCTGTCCTTTATAGCTTTGTTGGCAAAGGCTACCGCAGAGCTTTCCAAACTTTTCGTGTTGGTGACGCACTCTTTAGACATGTGTGATTTCGCGACATGGTAATTCAGTTTTACTAGCAAACCAAAGGTTAAACAAACCCCTTTCCAGCCCCGGAAGGAACTTGGGGAGCATTTGTATGACACACCTACACACTGCAGCCAAGCTCTGGGCTACTGGGTAAACCTCACACTGATACAACCCACTCCAAGGGAGTTTGACATTTAACAATAGCATCAGGGTTCAGCTACAATGGGTTAGAAAGATCCACAGGTACCCTTATGGTTTTAGAAGGGTGTTTTGATCTGACAAGAGACCCCCCACAAACTTAAGGCAGGCAAGTCATTTTCAATATACTCAATGTCAGAAAATAGTATTTCCCTTTTCCCCTCCCTTCCCTGAAAAATCTGCTTGGGAGGGATGAGGGGCTCCTCAGAATAGTTCAATAGTACAAGTGGCCTGGTGGAAAAATTACTGGCAAAAGTCATCTCGTATCCTTCCACTTGTAGAAGCATTCACCAGAGTGAAAGCCTGTGCATTTTTAAATGGACTCCCTAAGTGAATGATAGAACATTTTTGGATCCAACCCAATGTGATTACAACAAATTGTTGATGGTTGAGTAAAGCTATACAGCTTTAATGTTTATAGCCACTTTCTTTTGTGTGGACAGTCAAGAATGACAATTTGTCATTCTGTCTGGAATGCCAGAATATTGGTTTGCGTGAAGTATATGAACCAAAACTTTGTTATCCACTCCTTTCAGGAAAAGGCATAGCATTTTAGTATAATATTGAGGCCAATCTTTTTGTTCTACCTATCACCAAATTCATTCTGGTGTTGTTATCTTTTCTAAGTGCTTCAACTTAATGCAATGCCTGGGGAAATGGCTAAGCTATAGGACTTTATATGTTCCAGTTTGCTGTTAAGCTCAGATCCTCATTATTAGAAGATAGCCACCATTCAAAGGAAAGTTTAAGCAGCAATTCAGAGATCTGAGGTGGTGTCTGTATGGAACATAGGTGTTCTAAATGATATATGAATCACCAAGATCTTCACACTCAACCTCCTTTGGTAATTTATGCAGCAATCAAAGCTTATCAGGTGGAAAATCAGGGACACTTGAAATGCAGAATACGGCCTCCAGCAGAATACAATCAGCAAATTTTGCAGCATTAAAAGCTGGCTGTAAGTTTTATGATGATTATCTGACAGCTGTACAAGGCTTTTGCAGCCTATCAGACTTGCTTTTGTAAGACTGACATTTCCCAATAGCTCTGTTAAGGTACAAACAGTGCTTTTTCTAACTACAGCCATATCTTCTATTGCAAGCTGCAAATGACAAAGCTTATCTGATTTCCATTTTAATTATGAAGCGACTAATTCATGAGTAAACAAGAGGCCACAAATCTGTTTTTCTTTGTAGCACCACATTTTAACTCTGATTTGTCAATAAATGCATTTTTAAAGTTGCTTAGGTTTGCTGCGACGAACCATCGCCACTAGCTTTAACACATCATAAACAGAACATTACAGCTCTCCTAACCCTAGAGAATGGTTACGATGCCTAAAGATGACAAAAAGGCACAGAGCACCACAGAACCTTCATCAGCAGTGAGTGGCAGGGAGTTGCAGGCAGGGTACACCTGGCTTCCCAATGTCAATGCCACCGAGAGGGGGAAGGGCAAGGGATGGGTGTGTGAAAGATGGCAGAGCCAATCCAATGCTTCTGCAGCAGGCTTTCAAGCAAAAGGACCAGCGGTTGTCTACTGGCATATGGTATTCCCGTTGGGTTGACCCAGTTGATGGAATGCCAAAGACTTAAGTCAAAGCTGTCTTAACACAGCAAACTATTGGAACTTGATAATTTACTAAAATTACAGCGTGTTTTGACCTAGTGCTGCATGTGGCTTCTGTATCATCTTCTATTCCCTCGTGCGGACAGAAAAATAACACCATATCAAGACGCCTAGCTTGTGCGCTTTTTGTTCCCAAGTAATTCACAATACCAGTTCTGGTGTACAGAGCTGAAAATTATGTTTTCAGCAGCATCTTTCTCCTGAGAAGCCAAATAGCTCTTTCCTGGTTAGGCATGGCCTACTGAACACTGTATCAGCATGGAAGCTTGACCAATTAAGGCATGGACTGAAACTTTTTTTTGTAATACTTCTTTCAATTGAGTTTTCCTTGTGGGAGACTCCACCTAAAGTATGAAGTTTCATGGTGTACCATACTTTCTTTAGCAGGTTTTAAGAGCTAGAGTTATCTCTAAACTGTATTGTGTGTATTATATATTATGCATGCAGTACAGTGGAACCTCGGGTTACATATGCTTCAGGTTACATACGCTTCAGGTTACAGACTCCGCTAACCCAGAAATATTACCTCAGGTTAAGAACTTTGCTTCAGGATGAGAACAGAAATGGCGCAACGGCAGCAGGAGGCCCCATCAGCTAAAGTGGTGCTTCAGGTTAAGAACAGACCTCCGGAACGAATTAAGTTATTAACCCGAGGTACCACTTTACTTTCAAGGTACTGACACCATTTACCTACAACTTTTATACTAGGTCTGAACTTTGCTGTTGTAATTTACTTTTCCTGTGTTAGATAGCTTGCAAACAAGTCTACAAGACTGTAAGTGTAAACAAGCTAAGACCTCTTTTAAGAAATGCATGTTGCTTTCCTAATGACACCCTCTTGTCTTTAGTGTATCTTAAAGTGGATCTGAGCTATGGTTTATACATATATACATGATATCCAGGTTGGATGTTGTAGTCGTAATGTAACTTACAGCAGCCTCTGCCATCCTGGTGCCCTCCAGATATCAAAGGCTTCAAATCCCATCTGCCCCAGCCCAAAATATCTGGAAGGCACCAAGTTAGAAAAGACGGCCTTGAAGGGGTATCAGTACAGTTCACCAATGAGAATTCTGGTATTAATAAGCTTTTACAAGGTAGAACAGATGAGCCGGAATGCAAAGAGGGAGAAAAATGTCCACAGTAGATTCGTAACAATAATTTTATGAGAAACATGTGCCTTATTCATACAAGTTTCAGAACTTCAATGGAATATAAGCCCACATCATCTGGGTGCTGTATCCTTTGCAAATGCCTCAGGCTTCCTTCAATCTTGTTGAGTTCTGAGTAAAAACGTACCTAAAAGAGGAGGGAAACAAATAAGACTTGTTCGTATTTCCTGCCAGCCCTTTATAAACATTGCTTTTATTCCCACAAGTGACACTACTGTTGCCTTCATGCAAAAGGGCAGCGCATGATATCAAACAAAGGATAACATTTGTGGTTTTCAAAAGGAAGCTTGGTTTGGTATCACCACCTACAACGTTCAACCTGTGCTTCTGGTGCTGCAATTTCAAAAGGAAGGGGAACTTACTTGGGCTCTAACAAACTTGTGCAGCTTAGAAAGTAATTCTCTTGCTTCTGGCAACATCACAATAACTGTAAAGTGAGCATCTAGGAGAAGGCATATCCAGTCCATGATCTGAAAATTAAACCAGTGATAGATAAGCGTAAGCTAGTGATACCTCAACCTTCAGCACATGCATGAGAAAGTCAGCACCATTAGACAGAATTCCACTACCTTATAATTTTATTGAGTGACATGTGCCCATCCGTGAGCAGAACCAATTTCCTTTTATGCAATGGGGCTTCTGATTTTAATCTAGCCCTCCATTCTTTGCCCCCCCCACTCAAGTTTTCTAAGCAGATTTGGGGGACCCTCTAAAGCTCCTGCACATTTAGGGAGTACGGAAGTTGGTGGGAGGAGAAGCAGGGAAATTCTGTTCATGCAGCCTTCAGATGCAACTCTCTGCACTGAAATGGAAAATAACGATATTCCACAGAAGACAGTCATTTCTGTACAATCATGCATATGATGAAGTGGGTTGTAGTTTACGAAAGCTTATGCCATTATAGATTTCTTGAAATTGGATTCAATGATGGTCCTACCCAAAATTGATTTCAATAGAGCTAATGGGTAGGACTTAGCTGAGCACAACCCAATGTTTTAACGGTACCACAAGACTTGCTTAGCTTTTATGCAAGAGACTAACACTCGGGAAATAATTTCTTTATAATATAAAAGCTTCCTTGCCACACGTCTGGCAATAAATGTACATGTAGCACATTTAAATTTAAAACAACCTTGGCTGCCGAGTGGGAGGGAGTTGAAACTGTCATCTTTCAACAATGATTCTGCAAATATAACAGTGTGTAATGCAGGCATAGCTAAGCAACTGCTTATAGGAGCAGAATCTCCAAGGCAATCATGAAAGTCACAGACCAGCAAGTACTTCCCTGTCTCACTGTATGATTCTATCCCATTGTAAGGGATCCTATCAATGCTATCTTGTAAACTTTCAGATCTGTTTCCCAAACCAAGTTAGCCAGGGCAATAACATCATTCAAAATTGGGAAACAGATCAATACCGCATCATGTGTGTTAACAATCCTTTTGTCACTGCACCATGAGCAACTGGAGGAGGGAAGCATATTTTTCTTTAACCATGAAAAAAGGAACCAAGGATCCTATAAAACAATTTCTGCCATAAGAGCCCAAGTCTCACTTTTAGAATAAACATTAATTGAAGACAGTTATGTTTACCATTGGGCTGAAACGGACTCTGAATACACAGAGGAGTGCACATGCAGATCTAGTCCTTTCAATGAAGCAGACATCTAGAGTTGAAACATAGATGCTGATAATTCACAAGAACAATGATGAATTTAATTCCCACCTGCCCCTTACCTGGTTTATCGACAGACAAAATATTACAGGAAGGTCTACAGCAGCCTCTTCATTGCACTTCATGTACAGATACTGCAGATACCGGAGAAATAACTAGGAAGAAAAAAATATTTAAAAGTAGTAGTTCAATTTTAAGTATATACAGTACAGAATTTTTAATATACTTGCAAACGAGTATTCAGTCATTAAAAAAAATAATACTTGTCTCAATTTTCTTTCTACAACTCAATTCAGGGATCTCACTATATCACCAATCTATGCTGACTTTTTCCATGCAGAAACAAATATAAAATGCAAAGCAAGCCTGCCTTCCTATATTGATTTCAAATTTAGACATAACAAATATACATCAGGCCTGTAACAGCTTGCATAGAAGTGAAACTTCTGAAGGTCCTCAGTCTAATCTGACCAATGTCATGCAGTAATTCCACCCTCCCTTTCTAATTTATATAATATATAATAATGTGCATAAGTGCAGCAAATTTAATCATGAACACATCCTGAAGCTTACACTAACGTTATACCTGAAGTTTAAAACTATCACTACCAGAGGCTGAGGAGGTTCTACAGAACCAGTGTGGGATGAAATATCATTCAGTGGATACTTATCTATTTATCACAGTAATAATCAGCATGGATTTAGATATGTGATATTTAGATATGGATTTCATAACTGAAAAAGTTCATTGATAATTTCTCTAAAAGCCAAAACATGCTCAAAGAACAAATATGTAATCAACAATAATATCTAGAAACAGTCAAGAGAGGAGTCGCTACTTACAATGACTTGCTCAGCTGAGAGATCTTTCAGATGAGGCAAAAGAAATGTCTCACTGTATGCTGAACGAAGAATGGTGTTTCTGCGTAAGATTCAGGTAATAGGGTCAAGGACCAATGTGCATTAAGATTTTTATTGTATCCCAGCCTACCCACCCAAATTCTTTAAGAGTAACATCTTTGAAAAAGAAAGCATTTTTTAAAAGGCTAACAAAATAGGTTAGAACTGCAGTCTTCTTTCTGCAAGTTGAAGGGATCCTTCTGCCAAGGAAGGGACAAAAGGTTCAACAGAAGCTCTCAGTGAAGGAAGAAGTGGGGGAGGCAGGAAACTCCACCTCACCTTACTCTCTAGAGCAGTTCTTCAGGGTGCACTGGGGGTGGTGCAGCAAAATACCACCTTCCCATTCCTTCATGATTGTTAAATCTCCCAAGAAATGAGGTTCCAACATGGTGGAACAATATGCCACAGGTGCCACATAACCGTTCCACATCTGTAAGAACAACTTTATTTAATGTGCAAAGGATACAGCAACGTTGCCTTCTGTGGTCCAACAGGGCATATTTCTCTTGTGTATGTCATGTGAGATTTCTGAGTTAACGGTGTGTCGCAGATGTCTTCTTCTGGGAGCTCAGAATTGAAGCCGTTCTGTATAACTTTAGACTGCGTTCCCATTCCGTTGTTGTGCGCAGTATCAACACAACCTGCTACAGAATCTAAATACACATTCATTTCTTCAAGGCGGTCATCACCAATGCTAGGAAGAAAAAGAAAAGTCCCCAGATGCTGATATTAGTTTAAAAAGGCATTTTATAAGAAATATCTGAAATTGACATTTCATAACAACAACATCAATAACTACTATCTGGGATTAAGATGGACAGAAGAACATGCCTTTCCATGCATGTCTAGAGAAGTCTCTACATAAATAGCAACACCCTAATGGTCCCGGGCCCTAAGGAAGTTAATTAGCTTCAACCAGAGCCAAGGCCTTTTCAACTCTGGCTCCAGCCTGGTGGAACGCTCTGCCTCATGAGACCAGGGCCCTGCAGGATCTGATTTCTTTCCGCAGGGCCTGTAAGACAGAGTTGTTCCACCTGGCCTTTGGCTTGGAGCCAATTTGATTCCCTCCCCCTCTTTCTTTTTTCATTTTCCTTTCTCCTCCTGTGATGAGGCTGCATTTTAATATTTTAATATTTCAATATTGTATTTTAATCTTGTTTTTAAGTTGTATTCATTCAACTTGTTTTTATTATTGCTTGTTAGACGCCCTGAGCCAGGCCTTGGCTGGGGAGGGCGGGCTATAAATAAAAATTATTATTATTACATTCAATTTGCATTGATCAATTAATAATAATAATAATAATAATAATGATAATAATAATTTATTTATACCCCACCCATCTGGCTGGGCTTCCCCAGCCACTCTGGGTGGCTTCCAACAAAGTATTAAAATACAGTGGTCTGTTAAACATTAAAAGCTTCCCTAAACAGGGCTGCCTTCAGCCTCCCATAACACAACATGACATAACACACAAAATTGCATTTTAGAGATGACTGTGCATTTGGAGAATGCCTAAAGTCATCAGGTAGTTAATTTACTCTCCCTGATTTCACATACTAACCTTTTCTGACTGCAGTCAATTAAAAGGAAGAAGATTCAGCATTTTCTAAATGAAAATTTCTCTAAAACAATGGAAATCTCATCTGATAAATGCAATGGAGTCCATTATGAACAGCTCTCATACACAAGGGAATTAAATAGGGTAAAATACATGTCATTTCTACTTCTTACCAAAGTGGTAGGCTAGTGTTCATACACCATGGTGTCTCTGAAGTTCCTTTATTACCCACAAAGTAATTTGAAGAGAAAAAATAGTACTTCAAAGCAAACTATTGCAAGCATGATCAATAAAAATGTAGGATAAATTGCTTGATACTGACCTCAGGAATGTCCTCAGGCAAGCACAGGTAATTGCTTCAGGGATGTCAGGAAACTGCTGGAGACATAGTTGTAACAAGTGTACATCTGTTTTCTCCAAGGCAACTGCCATTAGATCTGGGCACATACTTGAACAAAAGGGTAAACAGTTACATCTCCGGATATAATTGCAATTAGTTAAATATTAACTTTTATCCACAAAAATATTTCAGGTTTCTGGGAGCACCACAGGTTCACAAGAAATCAGTTTCTGATAAGCCACTATTCTCAAAGTTCCTGAAGGATTCCAGTTCCTTAAATTTCATTATAAAATAAGAGAGATGCGGGTGGAACTGTGGTCCAAACCACCGAGCCTCTTGGGCTTGCCGATCGGAAGGTCGGTGGTTCAAATCCCCACGACGGGGTGAGCCTCCATTGCTCTGTCCCAGCTTCTGCCAACCTAGCAGTTTGAAAGCACGCCAGTGCAAGTAGATAAATAGGTACCACTGTGGTGGAAAGGTAAATGGCGTTTTTGTGCGCTCTGGCTTCCGTCATGGTGTTTCCGTTGCACCAGAAGCAGTTTAGTCATGTTGGCCACATGACCCAGAAAGCTGTCTGTGGACAAACGCCGGCTCCCTTGGCCTGAAGCAAGATGAGTGCCGCACCCCATAGTTGCCTTTGACTGGACTTAACCGTTCAGGGTCCCTTTACCTTTTTACCTTATTATAAAATAAATACTAGCTCACCTGTAAGAGAGGCCTTGTGTCTGGATTATTTGCACCAGGCAATTCTGAGGGTAAAATGAGGACTCTCTTTTACACCTGTTCACAAGAGCAGATAGTACGCATCCAACTGATGCTTGAAAGTCTGGTATCTGAGTACTGGAGAAAAATGTCTTCAGCTTTTCTTCAATTACATTCTGAGAAGAATCCTGAAAGAGAGTATTTTGTTCAACAGTCCCAGAAAATCAGCTTTAATTAGCCAAAGTAATTAAAAGTAATCTTGGTTGCCCTATGAGTTTTAATCCGTTAACTGTGCAATCCTACGCATAACTACTCAGAAGTCAATCCTGTTAAGTTCAATGAGTCTTACTCTCATGTGAATGCGTAAGATTCCAGCCGAAACCTACATGAGAATGTTTTGTAAGAAACAAAAGCACTGCCTTTAGATGTCTGGATGTGTCACAGGAGTTCTTTCTGGTGATGATGGCAAGGAATGCCATGGTAGATGGGTGGAGGAGGGGATGGGAAAACCTCCCTACATGAGCCTTCCCCTCCCCTTACAGTACTCAGGCTCTAAATCATAAGATTTTTCAGCAATACTGTCTTAACATGAATGAAAACACTACTAGAACACTGGATTCAATAGCAAACATTTGCATCTGCTTTAATTTTTAAATGGAAACTTCTCGATAAGCATTGTCCTCCGAGGTAGAAAGGTGATTTAGAACAGTTGCTTATTACTTGCAAAAAATCTGTCACCCAGCACAACTGTGCTGGTTGGGAGCACTACCAGGAACATAGGAGCCAACTCCTAGGGGCCGTGGGGGCTTTGGGCCCCACAATATTAGTGGGGGCTGGGCCTCAACAAAGTTGATGGGCATTTCCTTTGTAATGGTATGTGTGCACTGCATCATGTGATCAATTATGCAGGACGGGGCTTACCTGGGCCCCCACAATATTTATTCAAGTTGGCACCCCTGACCAGGAACTTCTGGAGGGTACCATGTTGGGTCAAGGTTTCAGTTGTTATTTCAGTTTAGCAGAGAGGAATGAAAAATTGCTGATCTAGTTCAGTCACATATTTACATTGCTAAAAAGCACAGCAAACCAGGTTTAGTTTTGCTAAAGTTGAAAGATGGGAATATAAACCATGGTTCATTAAATCACCGCCTGGTTATTGAAACCCTGCCCAACAGCTTAACTATAGTTTGTTTACTGCCAATAAACCATGCTCTGAAGGTATGGTTTGCTGCTGGTTTATGAACTGTGGTTTGTTTCAACTGCGGCATGGAGTTATATGATTTGTTTGATACCCCAGCCCTGATGCTCATCAAGCTACAAAAGGCATGAGGGAAGAGGAGGTGGAAAACAAACTATTGTTTGTTTGATCAGCGGTGAGACGATTCATTGGTTTGGTCTGAACATGTTACACCGACATATGGCTTAATGTGAATGAGCAGCCATGTGGGTACTTGGAGCGAACAATAGTAGCTGCCTCCCTCTTCTCCCATTCCTGCTGCTGCATTCCTGTCCTATGTAAATGAAGTTATAAGCAAGCTAATGGAAGCAGCGGCAGAGCAAGCCAATCGGGCGCCTGGGATGACGTGCATGTCCTGTGACTGCGGAGCAGGACCAACTGCCCACGGGGCGGGACGAGCTGGGGCAGCACGCTCTGCGGGGCCTCCGAGGAGTCTGCCTGCCTCCTGCCACTCAGCCACCCTACAGCTAAGGGGGAGGTGGCGGGTGGACTGTTTGGGGCAGTGCGGAGCCTGTGGGTGCCCAAGCCACCACGTCACTCCCAGGAGAGACGTGTGGCTCGGGTGCGCTGCAGACCCCAAGGTGAGTGTCACCCAGCATTTTGTCACCCCCCTCAGTGTTGACACCTGGGGCACCCCCCCCTCCGCCCCTAAATGCAAGCTCTGTTAGAATAAATTTTATGTAAAATCTCCCATTCTACTTTGTAAATACAGCTCTATATTTCAGTGGGATTCTAGCTTTGCAAAGTAATTTCTTGACTGATAAAACGCCACAAAAGTGTCCAATTGCTCTCACAATATGAATCAACAGTTACCGTAAAACTTGAAGGACCAATATTTTAAATTTGACTTAATCACAGTGATCTGAGCTGTGTACAAGAGACCCAATTTGGAAAGACTTAAAACAAGTTCAAACTAAAAGTCAGAGTTCAATTTAAAAGTCTGATGGGGAAAAAAATTGCCAATTCTTTTTTAAGAAGTTAGTATACATATTTTTTAATATTGTGCATCTGTATACCATATTTCTTGGTACCATTTTTTCTGGTTAAAGCATCAATGTGTAGAGAAAGAAATATTGCCACTAAAAGATATCTTGTTCTCTACCCAACCACTCCAACTTTCCTAAGTGTTTTTCATATGGGAGGGGTATAAATAATAAATTATTATATTTACCTTGATAATTAAAAGCAGCTGTTCCATTGTCAGAGTCTCCAGTTGAGTTTTTGCATCCATGCTCTTTCTTGACCTCAACTGCAAGTATTTAAACATGCATAGTAAGATTCTTTGAGAATTAAAGTTCCATGACAGTTAAAGTAAAAGAACAGCCAATGGTAACACGTATCCTGGACCAATTACAACTAGTTTTAAAAATTCTGCCAGCAGATTCAATTCACTGGTAGTTATATTCTCTTTTGATCATCAAAACAAAAATGTTTTAAGAACAAAATACGTTAATAATTTAATAAAGGAAAGAGATATGCAAGCATCAGTTTTGATCTTTTTAGAAGATGTAGAGAGAAATCCAAGATTATGAAAAATATTTCATTATGCAGATGTTAGCACATGATCTTTGTTCCTGCCAAGAGCCGCAATTTCTAAAGGACAATTTGTCTAAGGTCACCTTCTAGCAGTGGGTGGAGGGAGAGATAAAAAAATGTTCTGGATTAACTAATCCAGAATAAAGAGCACCCTGTTTCAGTAGTGAATTAGATTTCCCAATCCTATGCAAGTCTGCCTTGAAGTTCACCCAAACTTGAGTAAGAATTTTTTTTTTTTTTAGTACAATGGTCCAATACAACTAATTTTCTGGAAAGCATGTACAAGTAATTCCTTTTTTACTTTAGTATGATATACATGCCTACCAATTTGTTTGCTGGCAGCTAGGAATATTTTTTCTCAAGTCATAAATCCACAGATTTTTTTTAATAAAATATTTTCTATCAAAATAAATAGGGATAGGTATGCAACTTGATGACCCACTGTCAAACCACCATGTTTGTAAAATTGGGGGGTAGGAAGAAAATGGAAGAGGAATTTTTTGCTGATTCTTCCTGTGGAGCTGCCTGAAAAGCTGTTCCACAGGGTTGGAGGATGCTCTGGAATAGTGTAGTGAGTTTAGAGGAATGTTGGGCAAAATATTCCTGCATTGAAGGGGGTTGGACTAGATGACCCTCATGGTCTCTTGCAACTCTACATTCTAGGATTCTATGTCACCGAGGGAAGGGGGAAATAGGTGATTAGTGCACCCTGTTAGAGCTTGATCCCCCCTAGTACAATTTAGCAAATGCTTTCAGGACTAATATTTTGTGCTCCCCCCCAAAAAAAAACCCAAGATAACCATTTAAGAATATCAATTTGTAATCAAGTGATGTGAAAAGTTATTCATGACTATGAGATCAAACTGCAAAAGCTTAATCTGGATTAAACCCCAAGCATTCAAGTGAAAATCTTCCAAAAACCAAACAAAAGAGTGGACTGACATTTCCCAATTTCAACTGTAACCATTATGCAGATCAGAGAGGTTAAACTTCATCATTTAAAGCGGGACAATTCCCTTAAATTCAACAGCTGAGTTTCTTTTTGTAATGATTGGAACTCCCTGCTTTGCATTGCCTATTAACGTTCTGGCTGTATTGCACAGAAACCAAGGATACTTAAGGAATTTTGGTATCTTGTACGGATTCCTTAAAATGGTATGCCTTTTTGTTGAAAATGCTATTTTATCCATCTATCTAAAGAGTTTAATAAATAGTGAAATGGATATAGCAAAAGGAAGATTGAATAGTGACTATGAAACCAACATACCAGCCTATTAGATTCACACTTAGCAGGCTGATCTGGCTTTGCACCTATCAGATCATCTTCTTGAAGCATGTTCCAATCTGCAGGTATAATCTTCATTTCTGGAAAAAGTAATATAGACTAGCACATTAAAGAGTGAAACCTATTATTGTTATGCACAAATAACCAAAAGAAGATTTCTATAAAAATTATACCAGACAAGAACTTGGCTTTTGTAATGCGTGGGTTAGGATGTCAAAATAAGCTATTGTTATGAGTTTACCATATTGAATGTCTAATTGAATTTAATCATAATAAATTAAGGTAAAGCAAAAACACTTTTCAGCATACCATCTAAAATCCACAGAGAATTGGACAATACAAATGAGAGTATTCGTGAATATTAAAATCCAATTTGTAAACTGAAAAATCTTAGTACAATGCCTTTTAATAGGATAAGCAGCTTAAGATGGGCATTTTTAACATGTAGTTTTCTGAAGGCTTTTCCAAAAGAGGATTATGTGAATGTAAATATAAGCTTTATAATTAAGCCCTACCTGATGTTTGTGTATCCTTAACTTTCCCAACAGCAGCAGCCAAGGAAGATGTTTCACACTTATACAATATTACTGTTAATTCGTTACCATGTGTTATGAAGAGTTTGTCTCCGTAACACCAACACTAGAAAACATTAAATACAAATAATTAGCAAGTAGAAAGTGAATTAATGCAATATACTCACAACACAAACACTCCCTTAAATGCTACAGATCTTTTGAGCTTTCTAATTTCTTTTGAAAGGTAGCATCTATATATACCTGCAGCTCTGCAATAACTTAGCAATGGGGCACACTTACAAAGATTTTCAATTATTGCTAGATCTGTAGAAGATTACCGTATTTTTTGCCCTATAGGGTGCACCAGCCCATAGGGCGCACTTATTTTTTTTGGGGGGGGGGATAAAGAAAAAATATATATCCCCCCCCCCGAGCCATAGAATGGGTCCGGGAGCGACGGCGAGGTTGCGTTCAACCTCGCCATCACTCCCGGAGCTTGCGGGGCTGGGGGTGGGGGAAGCCCGAGCTTCCCCCAACCCCAGCCCCCAGAACAGGTCCAGGAGCGAAGGCGAGGTTGTGCAACCTCGCCATCGCTCCCGGAGCTTGCTGTCCGCCGGGCTCCCAAGGCTTGCGGATAGCTTCCTGAAGCCTGGAGAGCAAGAGGGGTCGGTGCGCATTCGCCCCATAGGATGCACACACATTTCCCCTTCATTTTTGGAGGGGGAAAAGTGCATCCTGTAGGGCGAAAAATACGGTAATTGCAGACTACTGATCAATTTAGGGACGCGGGTGGCACTGTGGTCTAAACCACTGAGCCTCTTGGGCTTGCCGATCAGAAGGTCGGCAGTTCGATTCCCCGCAACCGTTGCTCGGTCCCAGCTCCTGCCAACCTAGCAGTTCAAAAACACGCCAAAAAATGCAAGTAGATAAATAGGTACCGCTCTGGCGGGAAGGTAAACGGTATTTCCATGCACTGCTCTGGTTTCGGTGTTCTGTTGCGCCAGAAGCAGCTTAGTCACGCTGGCCACATGACCCAGAAAAACTGTCTGCAGACAAACGCCAGCTCCCTTGGCCAGTAAAGTGAGATGAGCACCGCAACCCCAGAGCTGTCTGCGACTGGACTTAACTGTCAGTGGTGCTTTACCTTTACTGATCAATTTACACAACCAACACCCTTCAAATATCTGTGATGAGCTTAGAAATATCCAGTGATCTGGATCGGTCAATCTCTAATTCATAAAGTGGCAATGGCTCTTGAAGGAGTTTTGCACATGCACTGAAGCAGCTGGGCTTGCACTGCATTCACATATATGCTCTTCAAAGATTGTTGCACCCCTTATGCACCCAATCGATCAGTGCACTCTGCAGAACATCTAATACGTGCACTGAAAAACAGGGAATGTTTTAAAATCTGACTAATACCCTTTTTCAGCATTCTTTTTTTCATATTTCATACGTTCTGTTCAAGGTTTTCCATTGTAAACTAGCTACAAGTGTATTAAAATGAAAATGGATTGATCACAACTTACTTGTCCAGTGGTTCCCCGTGGTAATTCCTTTAAAGCCTGCAATGTTTGAAATTTTATATTCCATATGGAAAAGCAATCTACAAATAGAAAAAACAAGAGTACCATTTGCAAAGCTTTCAGTTATGAATGCTGCCTGCAAATTGAGTAAGATAACTTTGGCAATGTGCCCTACAAAGTAATTAACATACCCAAAACCTTCCTGTCAAACATTGCCGAAGTAAGTCTCAATTCATAATCAGAGTCCTTACTAATCTCTTACGTTCAACAAATCTATTTTTGAGAAAGTGAAGCTTCAGTTGTATAATTAATCACTCTACCATGTATGGTTTAACAGATCAATAACAATCAACTGTACAGGCAAATCCCATTTTGCTCGTGTTCCATGAACATTTGTACCATTTTCAGACCCAGAAGAGGGCCTAACTGGGTGGGCTTATGCGCGTGATGACCCGGAACGCAACCCCTATGCAAATTGGGAGTTGCCTGTTTATCTTTCTCTGCTGTCTTTCCTTGCTCTTCTTTCTTACGCATCTGCATATTTAGATTAGCTGCCTGCAGACCAGACACTTGTTGCTTTTTATTCTACATTTTATATTGCATGATAGCCCTTCAGATGTTGTTGGATTCCAACTCCTATTAATCCCAGGCAGCACAACCAATGGGAGTTGCAATCAGTAAGTATCTGGCAGGCACCAGGCTGTTGTACAGAATCTTGACTTTAGGTCTCAATATTTGTTTAATGTTTATTTAAGAGTGCTTCTTGGATGTTTCCTTCCTGTTTACAGTCAACAAATTAAGCAGAATAGATTTAGTCCAGCTGCTGCATTTTGAAGCGATTTATGTTACCTTTAACGCGGCCATCTGGGGAATCCAAACATCCTGTTGTGGCAATATGATCTTTATCGAGAATAGCAATTGAAGTGCTTTTTAAAATACTGCCAGATACCAGAAGTCTGATCAGAAGAGACTTTTGTAAAAATTGCACTTCTTCAGAGCCACTCTGTTGCAGGGGCACCAGAACCTTATACACGCATCCGTTGGAATCTGTAAGAATAGAATTCAGTTACGTAATAGTTAAGAATTAATAAATATTAGTTGACATAGACAAATCATCACCGTAAAAGACAGGGCATCACTTAAGAGGAGGCATGGTTTGGAATGGTTCCATTTGTCAGCTGCTTCCATGGAGGTCCTGTGTAGCCCATGCATACTAGCCACAATTGCCAAAAATCATCCAAGGAGTTAATGCGTGCACATTGCCTGTCAGATAATTTTAATGGTTTGGGGAAGCCTCCTTCCCTGCGACTTCTGTTCTCAGCTACATACTCTGTTATCAATGGACTACAGTCTGTCCAGTTTCTACATACCATCCTCAACTAAAGGCTTTATGATTGCATAGGTACCCCAAACTAAGAAACGGTCTTAAGTTTTTGACCTTTAACACAGCAATCCCATTCGGATACAACAGCACAATATGGTTTGACAATTACAAGTGTGCAAAGGCTTAGCAATTCTGGCAAGCGGTTAAAACAGCAAAAATGTTATCATAAATACTGTAACCTTATAACCCCCTCCCATTTAATAGGAAGAGGCAGCATTTGGCCCCGAGTTCATGTTTGTACATTACATCTGAATGCAGTCTCAGTATACTGAATTTGTAAATATGCATAGATGTCTATGCTCCTCACAGAAGTATAGAATTATACTGTTAAGAACTATTAACTACTATGCCTGTTTATGCAACATTTAATTGCAAAAGACTGATTGGAAATAACATGGTGCTTGCTCTTCTGCGCTTTATAAAGGCAAGGTTCCCCTCCTGTACAATTAGAATATACCTTAATACTTACACAAGCAAAGCAACGTGACAACTTTGTTTTTCAAGTATGCTGCAAAACCCAGCGGTGTGGCTGACTCGTCACCTTGTTCCAGTTTAAACTTCTGAAGGATGCATGGATTACACTGCTGAACATATATGAAGCAATTCCCATCCTGAAGAAAAAAAGTGGCCTTCTTTCATTTCCCAGACAACCAGATTCATTAAAAAGACATTGCAGCTAGACAGAAGAAATTAACTGTATAATACACCTAAGAGATATTTGGGCCCCCCAAAAACACTTGCAATGGCAATTCCCCACAAATCATTGTGTAGCTATGATTTAAGCGAAAAAGCAAAGATTGTGTAATACCAGCAAGTTACAGTGAACAAATGCCTGTCCAATAGTATGCTTGCACCATTAAGTTGGAGGATTCCTCTTATAAGAAAGTATTCCCCATTCCCTACAAAGCAGGACTTTCTAAAGCACAAGGAAATAGGAGTTTCTTGTTGTTCATTCTGGACAACCTATTGTACTACAATACTGAAATTAAAATAAGGTTTTTTCCGAGTTTGAGAATGATTCATTGCTCATCCTGTCCAAACCATCCCAAGAACTGCAAATAAAAACAGCACCACTGCACTACAGAAGCGTTGCATTTGCATTAATCTTCTACTGCATACTAACATTTCCATACTGGATCATATGAAGAGACTTAATTCTTAGTAGGCCTGAGCAATCCTTCCATCAGTTACTGTATGTTTTTATTATTATTATTTCTGTGGAGTACATATGCACAATGCACAAATTTAAGGATTTGTGACCATTGCTACTACAAGCTCGTTCAACGTAAATAACTTTAAAATGCTTATCATGGAAAATAAATCTAAATATTTACATTTCAGTTTCCAAGGTTGGAAATATCTGTTAGAACACCTTTGTTGAGGAGACAGAGGTACCCAAATTAAAGCATGTAAGTAGCCCCCTGCAGTAGAGGATTCTTATTCAAGTGTTAAGACTGATTCTGCATCAACAAAGAAGATAGTAACCAAAAGCCACACCTGTGACTTAAACACGGAAATGTACTTTTACGTTGTTGCATCTCTACTTTAAAACCTTACAGTATTTATCACTTACCTGCTCAGTAATAAATATAAGAACAGGATGTCCAATGTCCAAGAAGGCATCACTCCATCTAAAAATAAGTTATATTATTATTGCAGGGCAATCAAAACTAAAAACATGGCCACAAAGAATACTTAATACAATGGCCTATTTTGCACACTACGGTAAGCCAAACTATTACTTACTAGGACCATGCAAATATGCTTCTGCTTCTCTGTGGCTTATTTAGGTCTCATGTGGCATCTAAGTGAAACCAAGGATTGTGGTTGAGCTCTCTTCTCCTTAAATCACCATCTGTAGCCAAGATCAAAAATTGGCTACAGCTTGTTATCGAAGAGAGAGCTTAACCACAATCCTGGGTTCAGACAGCACACTAACCCAAGCATAGCTTCTGCACCAGAGAGAGCTTATAAGAACCAGGGAGGAGCAAAGCAGGTGTGAACATCTCCCTCGCAATCCGTACATTCATGCTAAGCCATGGTTTGGTCTAGCATTGCATGCTAACATGGTTATTATTTGAAATAAGGTTCACAGCCAATACAACACAACTATGAGTGTAAAGTATGATGCAAATTTGAATGTATGAAGTTATCCATCATGCTTTGCACTATCTCATTTTTGAGGAATAAATAGAGAGCCTTTATCCACCGTATTCCTTAGTTCCCAAGCCTACTTAAGAAACTTTAATTGTTCACCTGCAGGAAGAATGAACTGAATAAGACATTACAAAGAAACAAGGTGATGGGTAGCTCTGGTACCAGAGTGAGGTTAAGGGATTTAGAGAGACCCAGCACCAAATCTATAGCTTAATTTTTGAATTGGAAAGCTTAACTGTGGCACTCACCTAATAACTTCATCTGAAACAATGCTTTCAATTTCTTGCTGAGGGGCTGTGAGTAAAGCATCTAAACTCTTGACAGCACCGCCTTTGAACAGGACCAGGGGTTCGGTATTAGGCAGAGAATGTATCCGATACACATCTGCTGACAACTGCAAAATAAACTCTTAACTTTAGTCTTGAATTTAAATGTGCAATATAAACGGTAACAAAAGTGCAGGTATCTTTGTAATACCATACTTTCCCGTCTATAAGACGCCTCCTATTTTTGGGGACTGAAATTACAGAAAATGGGAAGGAGGATTGCACAGGGTTGTTTTAGGGGAAATGCCGAAAAATTCTCACCCACACACATAGAATATTCTGCCTCCCGTCTGTCCCCTCACCAGGTGAAGCTGCCAATTGCCCACCCAATTGCAGCAGCAGCCAATCAACACCACCCATTGACACAGCAACCAATAACACGCACAATAGTTGCTGACAGCCGCAGCAGCAACCAATCAAACGTCCACCTTATGCACTACCCATATATAAGATGACACCCACTTTTTAGCATGATTTTTAAGGGGGGGAAGCTAGTCTTATGCACGGTAAAGTATGGTAAATGTTAATAAATATTGCAATGTTCAGCAAAAAATTATATTCACTCTGGCTGGCCTCAAAAAATTGATTGCTCCAGGTACTGGTATGAGCAATGGAATGAGTTGCAACTGAATTACAGATCTAAATATTAGTAGGTATGCTTGTCTGGGGTTTTCCTGACAATTCACAGCAGATATGGGAGAAGAATTGGAGTAGGGTAGGTCCACTGTGCTAGCAGAAACTCTTGTGCTAGCTTCCACAAGGGTGCTGAGTTAGTTGAATCTGGACTCTTGTCATTTGCTATTTACACCTTTGAAGAAGGGCACAGTACAGTAAAAACAATTGTAACAGCTAGAAAATTCTGCAGCAACTCAGTGACAGCATCTGCATTACTATTCTGACTGACACTGAAATATAACTCTTTCAGCAAAGCAAAATTGGTTATGCCCAAAGAGAAAAGAATACCCCAAAAGGTCATTACTCAGTTGAGTATTTTGATGATTCACAAAAATCCAAGTCTAGATACTGAAAGCACAGATGCTAACTAAAGTTACTGCATAGCTTCTACTGTGCAATAGTAGTTATTAGCCCTAGGTGGAAGGACTGTTTCAACAATTTGCAAAAGGTCCTCTATCGTACTAAGGCGGGAAGGAGAAAGGACAGGTGAAATATAGTGTTCTAGAAAGACACAATTATTTTATTTTTCAGTGCAATCCAGACTTCAGATGGGCAGAGTTCTGCTCACAGGGCATTTTCCTACAATAAGAGGCAACAATATTCACCTGCAGCCCCAACATCATCTGCCATGCCGTTCCAGGTTCTCTCCTGAACCTGCGGAACAGCTTGTCCAGAGGTGCTTATCAGTGAAAATCTCCTTCCTTGCTCCACTTGGTACCCCTGCTAGATCACAGATAGGGAAGGAACACTTTGGTTTGCAGAAGAACCTTTCTGGAGCCAACCCATAATTTGCAAGGCTGATGTTAACATATAGAGAACTCATGCCATCAACTGATTGCACAAGGTAATTACCATGCTCTAAAACAACTTTATTACAAGTTATCAGCACTTACTGTTGCTTTAAAGGCTTTATCCAAGTTACTGTCATCTTCCTTCCATATCTGTAAAACCTTTTGAAAAAACCATCATTTTAAAAAGGCGTAATATCTATTTGCAAAGTATAACCTCAAAGCTCGACTAGACACAAGCAATTCAGGTTAGGATATTTAAGATACACTAGTTTTTACGGTCTGTAATATACACACAACCAGGATTTCCAAAATAGATGAGTGTGCACTCAGGTATGTGTGTGAATGCTGCAGAGAGGACAACTATGACAGACCCAACAGTCTCTTGATATGTGCAGAATTTGCAAATGTAAACCTACAAAATCCCATTGGCTTCTGCTATGTACATTTAATGCATTTTTGTTTCTATGGAAATAAATCCTACTGATTTTGACCGAAGTATTTTTAGGATAGCAGTCTTTGTGAGGCTCAGTTCCCTATCAGAAATCAGTTATTGTACACTCAAAATACGAACAAGTTTTCATCCACACTAGCATGCAGTTTCAAAACAGACTGATTAAACATGAATTGTTTTGCCTACTACAACTTCTATAAAAGAAGTTTTTTAAAAGACCACCATGGCTTCAATAAAACTATACCAAATGTAACAGTTTCCCAAGTAACCCTAGTCAAATGCTTGCCTTAATAAGAAATCATACCTTATCATCATGGACAATAATGAACTCTCCTGTTTCAGCATTGCACACAGCAGGACATGTAATTGTTTGACCTTGTTTGACTGACCAGCAACCCAGTGGTTTTTGATCTGAAACCTAAAAAAAGTCCAATTTATCAACTGTTAAGACACTAAATCCTTAGCATAAGTAATTAAGATGCACACAATAAAATCTCAATTTGCTATTGCTCTGTGTATTTAAAAGAGCTGAAACCCCACAAGCACATGCCCTATAGTTTTATAAACCATTATAGAAAAAGATAAATCCTTCTACAGAGCTATACAGCACGGTGCTTTTTGCAATTATGATTTATGGTAGTTCTCCCAAGCTGGTGTGCACACTCCTCCATATGCTTGTATGCACTTTCTCAAACTGAGAGAAAGTGCATACAAACATAAGGAGGAGTGCACACACCAGCTTGGGAGAACCCCTATAAATCATAGTTGCAAGAACCCTGCTGTACAGTGATACGCTTCAGGTTACAGACTCCGTTAACCCAGAAATAGTGCTTCAGGTTAAGAACTTTGCTTCAGGATGAGAACAGAAATCGTGCTCCGGCGGCATTAGCTAAAGTTGTGCTTCAGGTTAAGAACAGTTTCAGGTTAAGAACGGACCTCCGGAACAAATTAAGTACTTAACCCGAGGTACTACTGTATAAGGATGGATCTTTTCCTATACTGTAATTGTTTATAAAACTGTAGGTCAGGCGTAGGCAAACTTGGCCTTCCAGATGTTTTGGGACTACAACTCCCATCACCCCTAGCTAACAGGACCAGTGGTCAGGGATGATGGGAGTTGTAGTCCCAAAACATCTGGAGGGCCGAGTTTGCCTATGCCTGCTGTAGGGCATGTGCTTGTGGGAGTTCAGCTCTTTTAAATACACGGAGCCATAGCAAAATGTGATTTTCTTGAGAGAGAATTCTACGGATTGCAGAAAGAGACCCAAGTCTTTTCCTCTGTCATCTTGTTAATATCCGTCTGTCCTGGGGAACAAGGGAAGAGGGCGCCTTTGGGGGTGAAGGCGAAACTGCAGGAAGGTTGTCCTCGCTTTTGCCATCGTTCCTGCCATCCAATACTGCGGGGGATGCCGGGGACTCGAACCCGGGGGACCTTCTGCGCGCAAAAGAAATGACCGGGTGCGCAGCGGGTCCTCGCCACTAGGCCCCCCTCTTTTGCGACTATTCCTAGGGATCGTGCCTGAGGGACTTGAAACAAAACATGGGGAAAGCGGCAATGGGCTCGCTTCCTCCCCCCCACCGCCCCCAGTTTCTCCTCTCCTCAAGGAGTCGTTACCTTATACAGCGTCACCGTCCGGCCTCGGTCCGTGAGCAGCACCCGGTCCGCATCCTGCTCCAGGCCTAGCGGCCCCTGAGAGGGGACCCCGGCTCCCGCCAAAGGGCACAGCGCGAACTCCTCACAGAAGGCTGCCATCTTGAGGGCCACGCGAGACGAGAAGGGCGGGAGTGCGCCTGCGCCCACAGGACGGCGGCGCCGGCCTCCAGCTCCTCGTTTAAAAGGAAGGGGCGGGAATGAAATCGACGGGGGCCAACCAACCGGGCTCGGCGCAGAACCAGAGGCGCGCAGGCGCAGTGAGCTTACGCAGCGGGAACAGTGCAAAGCGCCATCTGTTGGGGAAAGAGAAGACGGCGAGGAATTGGGGCGAGCGCCGGCCACATGGTGGTTGCCATACGCCCGGGATTCCCCGGAACTGCGTGGTGCTGCGAAAACCCGGACGCACGACAGCTTTCTCATGAAAAACGCAACAACTTTGCAAAACAAACAAACAAAAAAAAAACATTCAATAACTTCTCTGTCTAGGATTCTCACTGTTTGAATTATGGTCATTTTAACAGCACCCTAACCAGGCCCTGCCATGAAGCGCTTACCTTCTAAGCCCTTTTAAAAATGTGGCTTCTTGGGGGGGGGGTGTTATTGGGTGGTTGTTTTTATTTTGATTATATATTTTGTGGTTTTTGTATTTTTGATTTTGTTCCGTGAACAGCCCTGAGACCTCTGGGTATAGAGCGATATATAAAGAAGAAGAAGAAGAAGAAGAAGAAGAGGAAGAAGAAGAGAGAAAAGGGCAAGTTGGCGCCCGCACCAAACTCTCGTTATTTGTAAAAAATCCAAATGGACTGGCGGCCGTGTTCATGGCGCTGAGACCCCAGAGGAGATACATGGCAGGGAGTGGCAGGAGCTCAGGAAAAGTACAACGTTGGCTCACTGATAAGAGTTACCTGACTTTTTTTTTGGTATCCTTGCAGCAACACTATAATCTGTTAGGCCAGGGTATGAATGATTGTGGCCCACTGTGATTCAGGGTTAGGGAGATTTTTTTTGTGGGTCATTCTGCAGAAATTCTGGTCATTCTGCAAAAAATAACTTTCACCAAAATGACATGCTCTGATGGTATACAGTGTTACCTTGGGTTAAGAACTTAATTCGTTCCGGAGGTCCGTTCTTAACCTGAAACTGTTCTTAACCTGAGGTATCACTTTAGCTAATGGGGCCTCCCGCTGCCGCCGCGCGATTTCTGTTCTCACCCTGAAGCAAAGTTCTTAACCTGAGGTACTATTTCTGGGTTAGTGGAGTCTGTAACCTGAAACATCTATAACCTGAAGCGTCTGTAACCCGAGGTACCACTGTATAAGTGGAAGTTTATCCCATGATAAATTTTAAAAGACATTTAAAAAAAATGTTGCCATATTTTGAAGAGCAAAGACTCACTCCTGGTTTCTTTTGATCTCCTTCCTCTTGTCGGCACTCTGAGGCTTCCTAGGAGGCAGGGCGCATTGAGTTAACGTCATTTTACTTCACAAACTTAAGGACTTCTGCAAACCTAGGGCATCCCCTGGGTATGTGGAAGCAGCTACCTTTTGGGTTGGCGCCATTTCTCTTGGAACCTGATAGGTACTCAACCACCTGTGATTCCTGTTCATTGTATCCTTCCTAAGGGTTGCAGCAATCCCTTCCCTGCTCTGATTAGGGGAATTTTATAATGATAATTATACCACTCTTTCAATTTTTTTTCCCCGATGTCTTTTTTATTCTCTGTGGGAAGGGGAGGAGTTTTACCCTCCTTTAAGTTTTTCTTCTACAAACCTGAGGCCTCCCTCAAACATCCCTATACCTGCTGCTGCTCAGTTCTGTTTCTGCAATATTCCTGTCAGAAGATATTTGAAGGAGCGGTGACACTTGGGATTTGTATAGCAGAGTTGTGAGCGTTCACAAGTTTCACGTACATCATCTTGTAATCCTTTCGGCAGCTTTGCAAATTAGGTCAGGATCGCCACCATATTGCAGATGGGGACTGAGAGACCTGGTGCTATCTAGAAAGTGGGGTAAAGGTAGGATTCAAACTGTGAACCTCTTGATTTGTAGGCAGCCATTCTGTGACAGCGGCTCACCAGGACTTGCATGTCAATAGTGTTAAGTTGTGGGTGAACATATCAGACGACACAGCGATTCTTCAAACAGCTCTTGTTTATTCAGAGGCCAGAACAGAACTGACTGAAGGGCTCAGTCAGCCTGCTTATATAGAGCTCCACTACAACGTTACTGTAGCAACTTTCTAAAACTATCCAGTCACTGAACGTCACTTTCGATCCTTCATTTGCATAACTATCTACAGTAACCCCCTGCTGGCCCAGGGTGAGAACTTCAGTACATAGCAAATAGAAATCCCCATTTCTCTTTGGAGGGTTTGGACACATTACACACAGTGCAAAGTATATTGCTTTGCAACCCAGTCCCTAAAGAGCATTATTGAGATTTAGTTGAATAGATGGGAGTGGTTGTAACGGAACAGTTTTGAGAACTGCAGCTTTACAAGCTCTACTTGTGCAAGTTTGCTTAGGAATTTCACTGTAAAGGATCGCATTCAAGTAAGCATACATAGAATGTCACCCTTAATGGAACTGCTTTCAGTGTGCCATGTGTTAAACGACAAATTTCTGGACTTCCAGCTTTCCAGGAAGTCACGCCCTATCTCATGTGTGCTCTTCTTAAGCCAAGCTACTGCACTATGGTTATGGTTCCTTAGCAGCAAGATGACACAACACTGGTACATGCCCAAAGGCATGTTTTCCTTTACTGCATCGTATCTTGCACACTGAGCTCTGGCTTTAGCAACAGGTGTGGGGATAAGCCGTGGCTCAGATTAAGCTCTGAATAGGTTTGCGGCTAACCTTTCTAAATTACAAGTTATAACTCTTTTTAAAAAACCTGCTATTGCTACTTTTAATAATGTTTTAGAATTATTATTTACAGCAATGAGCACAGATTTTGTTGCTCTGCAGTGCCTTGAGCACCGGTAATAAGCTGCATAGAGAAATCAAAAAACAAATACAACACTGAGCCCGTCTGTAAAAATGTTTTCAAAAGCTTATTAGTCTGAAGTGATGGGGCAAAGATTTGCATTCTATCCACATACAGATTTTGAACTGAAAATACTATTTTCATATACAAAATAATACAAAAAGGGAAAGTAACACCTTTTCACCCTTCAGTCGAGATCAAAACCTGCTCTCCAGGGTGGCTGCTTCATTTTTCCACATGGTGGGGCTAGTTCTGCATGCTTCCCAAGGTAGGTATGTTGAGACTTCAAATGTTCTTTCGTGATAGTATCCATTATGTATACCCCTATGTGTATTAATGAGGCCTTCCCCACAGCCCTTCAAGCAGTCATATGGATGGTTGATCATGCCAGCGAGGTTTCATTTAAATGTAGATGAGTTCTACCGCATCTAATAAAAGAAAATGATTCAGAAATGAACAGCCCACACAAAAGCATGCATTTTGGTTATTTCATAAATGTTTTACACATTGCTTCTTTGCCAGATAAAACTGGCTGTAGGGGGAGTTGCGTTAAAAATGTATTGTCACTTGTTATTTGCAAGAACACAACAGCTTTAGTTTCGAACGAACCACCAAAGATTCAGGCAGACAAGTCCTAAAATGGTGGTACAGATTCTGGGGTGGAGATACCGCAGCCATGCCGGCCAGGGCAGAAGGTGGAGTGAGGCAGATTTTCAGGACCCCATTTGGCATTTAAAAAAAGGTTACCTCTCATTGAAACCAATAGAAGGTAAAGTAAGTCCAGGTCCGGCATATGTTTTCAGCCTATCTAGGGGCATGTTAGGGATACAAAGAGGCTTTTTGATGCAACTGATCCAAGGTTTTCCCTGAACCAACGGCTTCAGGTCACAAGACAGGAGATTCTGACTAAACATCAGGAAGAATTTTCTGATGGTAAGAGCTGTTCAACAGTGGAACGGTCTCCGTCGGGAGGTTGTGGACTCTCCTTCCTTGGAGGTTCTTAAGCAGAGGTTGGATGGCCATCTCTCGTGTATGATCTAGTCGAGATTCTTCCATCGCAAGGGTCCCTTCCAACTTTGCAATTCTATAACAGCCCATATCCACCACCCACAAAACACCACTGATGGTATAGCCATGGTGGCACAGCTTTCTGCCAGGGCTGTCTTTACCAGGGGGTGCAAAAAAGCTCAACAACTTTGAGTCCCCCTCCCAAAAAAAGGGGGTGCTGGGCAGATCTTTGCAACTCGCCGGCACATATGCTAAAGACAGCCCTTCTTTCCGAAACCACATCAGAGACATCTGCTTGCATACCTCGCAGTATGGCGCTTAGAATAGCTGCCTGAATAATTCTGTAAAATGTAAAGGTTCTTAGGACTGTACTTTTAAATATGGAATAGGCATTTCCCTTTCAAACTAATGTAGCAGGCAGTTTGACTGGCTATTGTTTCGTAACCCCGTGGCAATCGTTTTAATAGTACCTGTAGTACACAAGTGAGAACTGGAATAGGTACTTAGTGTACTGAATACAGCCGAGTGATTTTGTTGTTGTTGTAAGATTAGACTCCAGTTGGAAAATTAGTGGTGTCCTTGCAGTTATCACTGTTTTATATGGGGGGGGGGGTTGACGCTGAAGTTTGTTCCCTGTTTCTTATACAACAAAGAACTGCGTGAATGGCTCAAACAGTTTATTTGACCCTACACCACAAAATACGAATCACTACTTCGTATCATGCATCTCTATCGCCAGGAAGCTCTGCTTTTCTGCTGCGACTTCTCCTGGAGAAGGTAGATCAAGCCACTGTCACACGTTTATTCACGTTGAAGTTAGACCGTTGCAACATGTTCTACATGGGTTTGTCTTTGCGGAGTGTTTGGAATCTACAACTTGTAGGGAATGCTTTTCAGGGACTGGATAGACGCTTAAGGAGTGGGCATCGGGAGAAGTGGGGTTGGAGACTGATTTAGAGGAAGGAATCAGTGACCTGGGGGAACCTGTAACAGCCAGGAGAAGAGAGGCAGAGCCAGAAGCTGCAGGATTGGAAAGTGAAGAACAGGAGGGACAGGTCAGGCTAGTGGAGAGAGTAAAGGGCTTTCACACCTCCTCCTCCTGCCCCTACCTCTCCTGCTCCACTGTCTCCCAGGACCAGAAGAGGACTGAAATGGGAGGAGCAGAAACAGTTGCACGCAGGTGTCGTCTGGAATTAACTGTTAATGCTGGCTCCCGCTATTTTTCTAGAGTCTGCTGTATTGAATCGAGAGTATGTTGAGTTTAATGATTGCGAGTCGATTTTTTGTGCCTTCTGCCCCCCAAGCAGCATATAAATGTGAGCCCCCGTCGTGGTAGTGAACCCAATGATTTAAAATCTGAAGGAGCGCCTCCACCCCCATCGTTCTACCCGGACACTGAGGTCCAGCACCGAGGGCCTTCTGGAGGTTCCCTCACTGCGAGAAGCCAAGTTACAGGGAACCAGGCAGAGGGCCTTCTCAGTAGTGGCGCCCGCCCTGTGGAATGCCCTCCCATCAGATGTCAAAGAGAACAACAACTACCAAACTTTTAGAAGACATCTGAAGGCAGCCCTGTTTAGGGAAGATTTTAATGTTTGATGTATTACTGTATTTTAATATTTGGTTGGAAGCCGCCCAGAGTGGCTGGGGAAGTGGCTGGGGAAGCCCAGCCAGATGGGCGTGGTATAAATAAATTATTATTATTATTATTATTAGTCTCCATTTACCATCATTTTTCTGTTGCAGGTTGGCACAAAGGATTCCGGTTCTCGATGTAAAAACAACGTATTTTGCACACAAGCAACCGTAGGGGAGAAGCTCTAAATGAAAAGGTTTTCCCATGAGAAACAATAGTGATGAGCAATAAAGTTTACATACAGAAAATCCCAGCTTCAGTCCCTAACATCACCAGTTTTTATAAAGCCAGGTAGCAGATGATGGGAAAGACCTAAAGAGTCTGGTCAGATTAGATAATGGGCTCGTTAAACCAACTGTATAAGTAAGCTTCACCATACACTCCAACATTCTAAACTAAGTTGAAAAATTCTTACCCTTTACAAGGGACAAAGACCAAATGGAATATAGTCAACAGAACAACCCCATATGAAGTATTTCATTGTGTAAAAAAAATTGTGACTTATATTTTGATGACAGCAGAACTGAACTCATTTCCACCCCAAAGGACTCCTCATATTCCACTGATGATACATATAATATATTATAGGAAGGCTTCTGTCAGGGAACTGCCATCGGAGCCAGGGGGAGAGGGAGGGCTCCAGAGGGATTCCGGAGAGTGTCCCGGGAGGGAGAGAAGCAGCACATCTTCTGGGGAAGGAAATCAGCGTAGCACCAGTGGAGAAGGGGGGCAGATGGGGGAATCGGCGAGGTGGCTCCATGACTCTTCGCCGGGGACCAGCGGGGAGAGCACGGGTCCTCCGCTGCCCACACCCTCCCTGCGCAGAAGGCTTCCGCGCAGGGAGACTAGGCGGAGACTAGGCGTCAAAGAACTTCTTTGCTGGAAGAAGTTCAAGAAACGCCCACTGACGGATTCTGCCAGTGATTGAGACAGCCACGGGCGAGTGGCTGTCCGGACAGAAAAGGTTCACTCAGGCAACCCAGCCAGGTGTGGCGCCAATTTACGCACGAGCAACCCCTAGAACCATTACAGCTTCACTTGTCCCAGGCCTTGTAGTGAGCAGTAACAAGCCATCTTAGAGATCAGTTTGCAACCAGAGTGGTATAGTAATTGTCATCACTCGTAGCAACATCTTAGCCAGAACTGAGAGACAGCTAAGGGAAAATGTTCATTTATTTTGCAGCGTTCAGTAAAGTTTGTGTTGCGCCACGTATTTCAAGCTTCTGCAGGCTGGATTTGAAGAGGAAAACATTAATATAAAGTATATACTGTATTTTTCGCTCTATAAGACACACCAGACCACAAGACGCACCTAGTTTTTGGAGGAGGAAAACAAGAAAAAAAATATTCTGAATGTCAGAAGCCAGAACAGCAAGAGGGATCGCTGCACAGTGAAAGCAGCAATCCCTCTTGCTGTTCTGGCTTCTGGGATAGCTGTGCAGCCTGTATTCGCTCCATAAGACGAACACACACTTCCCCTTACCTTTTAGGAGGGAAAAAGTGAGTCTTACAGTGCAAAAAATATGGTAAATTAACATTCTTATAAGATCTGGATCTCGTTGCACGAATTCACAGAAAGAAAACAGGCAGTCTTGGAAAGAAGATTGCTTGGTAGTTTATTTACAACAGAATGTAAGAAAAACGTGTAAAACGATAATAAATAACTGAAAAGCAACAATTAAGTGGTGTGTATGGAAACTATGATACTTGGATCCTTCTAAGCCTTGTATTGTTTTAACTTGGGCCGCTTGGTCCTCCTTTCATGGAATGAGCTTATCTAAACAATGTACTGTAACACTAAACCTATCAGCAAAAAACAATAATACACACAACATTCAAAGTCACAAGGATTGCCACAGAAGTAAAAACTTATTTCCATAAGTAACATTTAAAAATCAGAGGCTGTAATTAAAAGACCATGCCGGCCACACAAACTAGGAGGTTTTTTTGGGGGGGGGGCAACAGTTAAGAATAGTTGTAGCTTCAAGCCTTTATTGACACATAAGACATCTAAATTAAGGCTGAATAACAGCAAGTTCCTATTGACAAGTTCATTTATCCTCCCCTATTGCATTTACTAGCTGTAGCTGTTACAAAGTGCATATGTTTGATTGATTCTATATGACAGCATGTTTTAAAGTTTTGGTGCAGCGAACCATCCAAAGAAGTGTGAGCAGAATTCAAAATTCTCAATGGGGCCTTCCTACCTTCTCCTCTCCAGCCTCCGGCACTGTCTGAAAATACTGCTTCTGAGGCTCAGGGGATCTCCAGAAGGATACTGGATGTGGTGTTTGCATTGGGAGGAGGGAATCAGTGAAAAGCTTTTGCTCTGCTTATGACTGCTCAGATTAAAACAACAGAACACTCTTTGTACATTCTCATATTAACAAACCTCTTGAATATTCTGTTACTCAATGAAACGTCCACTAGACAGAAATCTGGTTAAGAGAAACAGATTGAAGGCATCTATTCTGGAGGAGCACCACTCCAGCAGGGAGTTGTGCAGTGAATTATCTCAGGATTGTAGCCTTGGAGATGATTAAGTTGAATATTTCTGCAAATTTACTCAAATAGGCAAGCATAATGGTACAACAAACAGGAACGATGCCTGCTCATCAAAAGGGCGCTGTTGTCTTTTATGGCAGCTCAACCTGTTACTTGGCAAATTCAACATATGCCTGTATTGTTTCTCTCAGCAAACAGGTAGTGTCGACAACATAGCCTTTAAGTTCCTCTGATAAGGGCCCAGTGAAGGTTTCTTGATACAAATATGGGAGGTTTTAAAGATGCATGTATATATTCTCCACATGTTGTTACAGGAATGCTAGATTTTTCTGTACCAAGAGTGGAGCCGCTCTTACTTGAACTTTTATGGTGTAGCTTTTAAAAAAGGATACTTTTTAATTTTTTACAACAGGTTAATATTTTGCCTGAGTACAATGTCAAGATTGGAACTTTTAAGTCAACAATTTTGGGAGTCTGTATCACAGGTAGGAGAGGTTGATTTGGAAAAAGCGGCAACACATACCTCCTTTTTATTTCTTCCCTAGCAGTGCTTCAATGTATACAATTTGCCTGTCACAAAAAAGGCAGGGTCAACAACACCACTGCAATGCCATAGTATTTTAGTTTTGCTGTGCTGCACCACACTTTTAAAAGTGCCAACTAAAACCACATTGTTCCACAAAACAAATAATATAAACACCCGCAGCTCTGTCTGTTCCTCACAATCAAACCTAAAAAATATACAAATTTGTACAAAGTAATTCAGACAATTTAGCAGTGAAAACTTCTTTTTGTATAAAAGACATATTAGTGCAACAAAAATATGTTAGAAATTTAATTTAGTTATTATTCTTGTGCTGGAAATATTTTTTAAAGCAGTTCTCATAGCATTGGGGGGGGGGGATGGAAGGAGAAAATGAAAAGTTGTTTAATATTTGATAGCCTGATCAAGGCAAAAGCAGTGAGGGAAAACAGAAAATGATTGAGGAGTCTGCCATGACCCATGAAAATCATAGATGTAAGGATGATGTCAGTTCTCCAGAACAGATTTGTATCTGTTCTCCCCCACCGGTACAAAGACAGAAAGTAGGAGGCAGGAATGGAATGGGCTAGCCCATCATTGAGACATGCAGCGGAATTAAACTTGTGTCTTCTTCATTAAGCACCAAATTTAAATAGCATATCTAAGCTGAACAAACGCTTATAGATACAGTATTGAAGAGTGGGGAGGTAAAGCTGAAGATTCCATTAGTATTTTTCCAATGCATGCAATATTGCCTTTCTCTGTTTCAGATATGCACTATGCGGTCTGTTAAGTAACATCTTCTTGGGAGATGTTAATTCATTTACACAAATGCCTCATCTCCACCCCCACCCCCCAAAGTCAAAGTAACGCAACAGGAGAGCAGGAAGTGAGACAGTTAAAACAAACACAATAATGCAGTCTGGCCCTATTGATTTGTGCGGAACATTCAAAAAAGGAGATAGAAGGATAGCAACATTTATTTGTAGGCCTACGGAACTTGTCACAATTCAATTGGCAGTAGTGCCACCTGTTAGCTACAGCCGCATGCTGATTCAGGGTAGATTTATATACAAAAGGTTTCTGATAATAAGGGTGGGTGGGAGATATCACAACAGCCAAACAGAACAGCAGGATATTGAGAAAGAATGAAAAAACAATGGACAATAATTGAGAGAAGGCATAAAGCTAAGTGTTAGGTGTATTCAGAACTAGTAGATGGTATTGGCCTTAGGTTCTTGAAGCTGTCAAACCTACGCGCTGCATTCTGTCCTCCCACCCCACTTTTCTACGACTGAAACTACTCTTCTAAAATCACCTTACTATCTACTATTTAAACAAGCCACTTAGAAGTTGGAGGGGGGATTTAAGTCAGCTACTTTTTCCACACGCAACATCATGCTACCATGCTCGATAGAAATATATCCACTATTTTATTTTTTCCAATGACTTAAAAGAGAAGCAACACCCTGAGGTCTGGATCTATATTTCTATTTGCTTCCGACAGAACGTGCATAATCTCACTACAAGTTTATGACACATTCACCACTTTGCAAGGCCTGGTATAGCTTGGACAGTGAGTTACTAAGAACACGGCTAAAGAAAAGGGTGAAGGATTAATTGCAATTTGGAATTAATTATATCCTTAGCCCTCAGGACAATTATGGGACAATTATGTCAGGAAATAAAAGGACTCCTAATTTAAGTTGTGATATGGGGAAGCAACTTTAATTCCTGAGATTGAGGGTGATGCTACTAACAGGCCAGAAAGAATTCATCTCTTTCCCAGCTGTATGGCAATGTGCAACTGGTACTGTAATTCTCCATGGTTATTGTAGTAAAAAGGACATACTCTTACGAGTGGATCAAAAAGTTTGTTGTGCAAGCAGAAAGGCACTTCCATTTGCACAAGGGCCTCCCTGCTGATTTCTCAGTCCTGCAGCAGTCCCGTGTCTCCTCCTACACTGTTCTGCAGGGTCCCTCAACCCTTAGGAGTTGAGTTTTGGGTGAGCACAAGGGGCTGTATTAGGAAAGAGGTGCCAGGAAGGCCCTGTTGAGTGAACCTGTAAATTCTACTTTTCCCTGAAAGAAATTTAGCATGAAAGAAGCAACTCAGGAACTGACAGACTTTTTTTTTGCTTCTCTAAGAAGCATTGTAAGATCTCTACATTGCATCATCACATTACTTTTGTGTGCTGTTGTGTGCTCCAAAACTGACTGGGTGGAGACATCTCCATTAGCTTGTTTAGGTTAACCAAATTTTACGAGGTTTCACTTTCCTCTCTGAAGTCAGTATGCTGCAGTCATAGGCATTATCTCCAGTTGGTCCACATATTGAAAGCTGAAACTGGGCCTCTTACACCCTTGTGCAGGCCAAAGGCTTATAGGCTGCTCCTAGCTTTCGTTGAAGAGATATAGTTATTTAGAGAATTTGTCCTCCTTTTCAGAATTTCAGTTGCATTGCAATTTATTATTGTCTTGTTGCAGTATTTTGAGCATGGGACATCCTCTCCGAACTAGACATGATCTAGTTGCTTTGCATGCAGTGGTAGTTTCAGTGGCAGAGTACCTGCTTTGCGAGATCCCAGTTAAATCTCCAGCACCTGCAGGTAGGGTGGATAATGTCCTCTGTCTGAAACCTTGGAAAGCAGTTACAGTAGACAATATTAGTAATAGACAATATTGTCTATTACTGTAGACAAACTAGATGGACCAACAGTCGGATTTAGATACGGCAGCTTCCTTGTTATAGATCTGTCCCCTATACTCCCGTCTGCTAATTACTTTCAACTCAAGAGAGCTGCATGGGTGGTGTTCTTCCCTACCTCTGGTGGAAGAACTTCCTATGGAGTTTTCACTTCCCAGGATCCCATTTTGGGGGAATCTTAAAAACATAACGAATCTACATGGCCTTGTTCACATCCCCAGCTATTGTTACCCATAGTTTGGTGCCGGAATGAAACAGTCCACATACTACCACTTAAAATAATTGGTTGTTTTCATCTAGACTTGAGGAGGCCCACCGTCACAACGCTTAAGAACCCTTGTCTTAAACTGCTTACCTAACCAGCCTTTGCCAAGCTGGTGACCCTCCAGATGTTTTGGACTACAATTCCCATTCGTTCCAGCCAGCATAGTTATACTGGCTTGGGCTGATGCAAGTTTTAGTACAAAACGTCTGGAGGGCACCTTGTTGGCAAAGGCTGCTCCAGTCTGATTAAAGAAACCAATGGGGGCACAATTATACGGTGATCACCAATCAATATGGTAGTAAACCAACTATATACTATCTTAAATCCCCAGTCAGATGTTAGCTTTGTCATCTTACCCTTAAGGTAAGGAGAATTTGGCCTGCCATCTCTCACTGTCTCCTTATAGTGACCTGCTTTCAGGCTTTTCACCAGTCAGCAGCTTACCTTCTCCCTAACATATACTCTTTCTCCTCCTCCCTGCTGTTTCTTCCGGCAAGTGTTGGGAGCTTTGGACAAGCAAGGCCGTGGGTAGGCTGGAAATAGCCTTTTTAAAAAGCAGACTGGATTGCCACACAATATAAAAGAGGGAGGGAGGGAAGCTAGTAAGCTGAAGAGATTGCCTCTTCTCTTTGCCTCCCTGCTGTTTCCCACATCTCTCTCTTTCAAGGTTGTTCCCTAAAATAATGTATCCTTACTCAGGCATTATTTCTGTACAGGAAATGTCAACATGTATGGGGGGGGGGCACATGCACTAGCTCTGCCCCTGCATGTACTCATCCTGCCACACTATTCCCAAACTTCTCGCATTGAGTAGAATAGGTGTGGTCTACCTGTGTTTGTGGATGCGGGTGGCGCTGTGGGTTAAACCACATTGCCTAGGACTTGCCGATCAGAAGGTCGGCGGTTCGAATCCCCACAACAGGGTGAGCTCCCGTTGCTCGGTCCCTGCTCCTGCCAACCTAGCAGTTCGAAAGCACGTCAAAGTGCAAGTAGATAAATAGGTACCGCTCCGGCGGGAAGGTAAGCGGAGTTTCCGTGCGCTGCTCTGGTTTGCCAGAAGCGGCTTAGTCATGCTGGCCACATGACCTGGAAGCTGTACGCCGGCTCCCTCGGCCAATAAAGCGAGATGAGCGCCGCAACCCGAGAGTCGGCCACGACTGGACCTAATGGTCAGGGGTCCCTTTACCCTTTACCTGTGTTTGTATGATGGAGCAGGGTTTCTAACTGGCTTCTACTTGTACTCAAGTGATCCTCCGTGAGACCTTCCCTCTTCAACACTGGAAGGCAGGGAAAAAGTGGGGTGGGGATGGGACACTGGACAGTATGTCAGGTCACATGCACCCCAACACAGGTCATTTCCTGTTCAGGGAAGACACCTGAATAGGGCTTCTGTTTCTCACAGTTAAGGAGGAGAAATTGGGTTGACAGCAACCCGCCTTAGAATGGCATCCATCACATCAGTTACTGACCATTCTTGTCGGTCATTGGCAGAATGGGAAGCTTTATAGCCTAGAATAGCTTAACACCTGCTCACAGTCTAGCAGAAAACTGACTGAATGTTATCTTTCATTTTTAAAAGGATTTTATATCGGGTGTTTTGTCTGGTTTCATAGGAATTCTGAGGGCTTGAAATAAATCACTGAACTATTCAATTGCTTGTGTTCCCATCTTGCTCTCTGCAACGACACTCCCAAATACCAACACAGAACAGCTATACAACAGCACACTATAAAAAGGAGTCACAAATTTTGTGCAAGATACAAATAGTTCCAAGGGTCTAAAAATAAGTATAATGAATTACAACCAGAGCTCACTGGTTCTTTAGTTTTGAAGAGCTTAAAGTGTGCATTAGCTGTGCTCCAAATCCTGAGTTGTATTCAGTAAAACAAGAATCTGAATAATTACTGTTGGTATTCAAGTGTTTCTCAGTGAATAGCAGTTCAAAGGTTTACTTTAAGGTGCACTTGGCCTGAGAGTAAAAAGGATTTTAGAAATTGAGATATAATGGCTTGAAATGAGAAATGTCATTTGAAACTGTCCCTCAATAGTCCCTCATTCTCTCAAGATGTCCTTGCCACCTTTATTAAATCCATATAACATCTCCAGTCATAAATACTGTTATGCTATATATGAGAATATCTTTTGTTTACTACGGTTGCTATGTAGAGACTGACTTTTGCTTTTGCAAGCTTGTTTCATTTTGTGTTGATAGCAACATCTGTCATATGGCTTAGAGCTGCAGTCTAGGAATCGGAGCATATGAACTATGTTCTCGCATGCACTTAGCTAACTAGTTTAAGGGACAAGCCTGATGGGGAGCAGGGAAAGGTCATACTTCCAGATCAGTAAATTTTGTTTACACAAAACAACTACCATGAGCTTTGCAAATGCTATTCTTTCAGTCATGGCTTGTCATGAAAACATGCTGGGTTTAGAGAGCTTTTTTGTCTGGATCTGGGAGGGTGAGAGTTTCTGGGGCAGATTTTTTCCGTTGCCGGTCTTTGGGAACTGATAGAAATTCAGGCGCCTCTGTGGAGAGAGGTGTAGACGGAGCACTAGAAGGAGCACTGCGGATTGAAGAAGGGAGGGAGACATTAGAGATCGATATTGCAGGAGGGAAGATCCCAATTTTCTTGTTGGTGGCTTCCTGAGTTGCACGTTCAAATTCCCGGACTTCATCCATAGTCATGTCTTCAATGAGAAGAAAAGGAAGAAAGACAAATTAATGTTAGAACCACTGCACATGTTTGTTCCAGGCTTTTTAAAGATGCTAGTCTGCATGACCATTGTTATTCCAGTGCATTAGAACTCGAAAGGGAAGGGAAGCTATTGCCAGGGAATTTCACAACTGGCCACTGAAATTTCAGGAGGCACATTTCAGGCACTGTTCGTATCGTTCTTGGAGCTGCCGACACTGAAAAGTAATTCCTCACATTGATACCAAAATTTAGGTGTATGTTTCTATGAATTTTGGGCAATTCCACTGTTTATATTCTTGTCTGTCCTTGCTCCAACATGGACAGAATTCACATATAAATGGAAGATGCAGCAGGCTTCAAATTCTAGCCCAGAGCAAGCAAACCATTGCTTCTTTAATAGCTATTTCCATCTAGTGAACTGATGTTAAAATGTTATTTTTGCAAATAGAGGCTCAAGATAGGCCTTGATGGTTACTTTATAAAAACAACTGATCATGTGAATATCATAGATACACTACACTGAATAGCATGCTATCTTCAACTCTGGTGTAACTGTTTAAGATCAGATGGTCAGACAACTCTAATTTTCTATATTATCAGCTAAGCTTTGTCACTGAACCATTTTTATTTGCGTGACACACTGTATCTATTAGATTATTTCCAAAAAACATGTCATTTAAGATACATAGAACACAATATTTTATCAATTATTTTTTACCCAATAGGTGCAGACTTCATTAAAGTCAGTTGGAAAGCTGGTGGTTTTAAAAGGAGAATATAAATCACTTCATTTATTGCTCCAGCTGTATATGGATTGTACCACTTCAAACTGGAGGTGGAAGCTCACGAGATTAAAAAATCTTTCATATAAAACAAACCTCCACAAAACGCCATAGATTCCAAGGAGAACAATTTTAGCAGATCATGATAATATTCACACTGAGGTAGTTTATCAGGTGAGTCCCCACCAGCTTGGGCCCATGTTCAGTATCTCAACTATCTCATAAGCACTAGGCTTAGGTAACATCATCATCATCATCATCATCATCATCATCATCATTACCTTCCTCTTCTAAAGGGCATGAAAGTGTCTCTATACAATGCCCTGTACATGGCATATTCATACAGAAAATTAATTAGATCACGACCACCAAAAAGAAGCTGAGATTATTATGAATGAAACAATGAGAATCCTTTTCCATCTCTGTTTAAGTTTGTTCCTTTATGGATTGTTAAAAAACACTCAAACCAAGGTAATACAGAGTTGAAAGGAAACTTGGAAGTCCATCTGGTCTAGCCAGTTACATGGTAAATAATCTCAGTGACAACAGATGATTCATTTGAGACCTGCTTTAAGGGTGCTTCCAGAGAGGGGCGATATACTGCCAGTGGATTGTTCAGGTTTGATTTTCCCATGTGCGCAATTGGCAAATGAGCTTTCACAAGTTCCCGTTTTTTCATTAGTGACTATTCCTTGCTATTCTATCACTTGCAATGCGCACCAGCGGACAGATTTTGATGGAACGTTGTCTGGAGGTTTTCATTGCCCCATATACCAGCATATCTGTCCATGGACATCCAGAAAATTAAAATCCCAGGAACAGCATGAGAGCAAATGTTACCAGCCTTAGTTAGCATGTTTCACAATGGACAACATGTCGAGTTGGAAGGGACCCCAAGAGCCATCTAGTCCAAACCCTGGCAATGCAGGAATCTCAGCTAAAGAATTGATGACAGGTGGCCCTCCAACCTCTGCTTAAAAACCTCCAAGGAAGGAGGTGTATCCATTTCTATTTGGTTATGTTTATTTTTTAACACACAGGCTCATATCATTTGGGATGCTGTAAATAAAATGGCTCGGGACGCGGGTGGCACTGGGGTCTAAACCACTGAGCCTCTTGGGTTTGCCGATCAGAAGGTTGGCGGTTCAAATCCCTGCAGCGGGGTGAGCTCCCGTTGCTCGGTCCCTTCTCCTGCCAACCTAGCAGTTCAAAAGCATGCGAAAAAGTGCAAGTAGATAAATAGATACTGCTCTGGCGGGAAGGTAAATGGCGTTTCTGTGCACTGCTCTGCTCTGTTGTGGGGGAGGAAGGGAAAGGAGATTGTCAGCCGCTTTGAGACTCCTTAGGGTAGTGATAAAGCGGGATATCAAATCCAAACTCCTCCTCCTCCTCCTCTTCTTCTTTCATGCAGGCCACGTGACCTGGAAAAACTGTCTGCGGATAAATGCCAGCTCCCTCAGCCTGTAAAGCAAAATGAGCGCTGCAACCCCATAGTCGTCTGCGACTGGTCTTAACTGCCAGGAGTCCTTTACCTTTACCTTTTTAAACAAAATGGCTAGGCTAGGAAGGAGAAGTGCAGTGCTAAATGGTATCCACTGAAACATCACCACACCTATTACAAACCAACCACCAGACCAAATGTGCTAATGAGCTTCTACACCAGCAGTATTTGTATACAGTGGTACCTCGGGTTAAGTACTTAATTCGTTCCAGAGGTCCGTTCTTAACCTGAAACTGTTCTTAACCTGAAGCACCACTTTAGCTAATGGAGCTTCCCGGTGCCGCCGCACTGCCGGAGCACAATTTCTGTTCTCATCCTGAAGCAAAGTTCTTAACCTGAAGCGCTATTTCTGGGATAGCGGAGTCTGTAACCTGAAGCGTATGTAACCTGAGGTACCACTGCATATATATTTTACTTGTTGGATATTCCACACTAAAGTGGAAGCCAGATTAAATGTAAAAAAGGAAAAGGGAAAAAAGTATGAGCTGGAATTTTGATGATGTCATAAGGGCACTGGGAAAAAACCAAACATGCACATGAGCAGCACCAATTCCACAATAAACCCCTGTCTGGAAACACTCTAAGTTAGAAAAATCTGTGTTTGAGAAAACATTCCAGTCTTGTTTTCATTCCAGTGATGAACCTGTTAAGAATCCAGCTGGTGAGTTCAGACCCGAAGGAATTACACTGCTGAAAAAAATGGCTGATGCAAAGCACGTGCAACCAGGCCATGGAACATGTCCTTCTTTTCACAGTGAAAGGCTTTGGGTTTTCATTCACAAATTAATCAAATATCAGTTAGGCACTGCTGCCCAGTTCCACCAGAGGGCAGAGGTACTTCACCGTAAATAAAGTTTTCCCTCCTAGAAAATTCCAAAGCACAATTCTTTCTGGTTACTGTATTTCCCCTCTACCGATACAAAATTCAAGATGGGTTCAGCAAAAGGTCATCTGAGATTTGCATGCCTCAAATCCAGGTTGCTGTTTTGAATACTAGCAAAGGGTTTGTTTATTCAACGCAAAACCCAGCTTGGTTTCAGTTTCAGCTTTTCTTCAATGAAATGGACTCACATGAAGGAAACTCAGAGCTTGCCCACATTTGAGCATTGTGTAGTGGTCAATCCACTAAAATTAGACCAGACTAGGCCATATCCACACATATCTGAATTTGAATACGAGGAGCAATTCATTCTTTTTATTCATACCAGTAGTCACTCCCTTTTGTGTTCGCCCCCACCTTCTAATTTTATTCTATTGATTATATTATGTCAATTAAGTACCAGGGCAGAGATAGCTGCATACACACTTCTCTCTTTTTAATTCCCTCCACCCAGGAAATGTGCATAAGCACAAAGGCAATTGTAAATGCTCAGCACATACCTTTATTTAGTGCAAATCTGAGGGATCAAAAGAAAAAAACAAAGCTACACTCCTCTGTCCAGGAGCATGCAAGACATGCTGGTTATTAGCATGCTGGAAAAGAAACAAAAGCAATTCTAAATCCTCAGCGCATACTTTTCACATAGCTGCACAGTTATCTAGTGCATAATTTTTTTATGTGGTGTGTGCAGTTTTCTGGTTTTGTGCACATCTGATGGATCAATATATATATTATGGCTATGTTCCTCTTGGTAGCATGGCCAGAAAATAAATGAAAGCACTGACGAAATAGTGGCCAAGGAAAGAGGAGTGGCAGAAAGTAATGACTGATCCACTCAGCCCAAATCACCAAAACAAACTGTCTGCAACCCCAAATGGAGTGGTAGGGAACCTGGTTTCCCCCACCTTACTGGATTAACCCCAGATCTGAAATTACAGGAGAAAAGCATTGAGATTGGTGTTGCTTGAGGGTAATGTCATGTGGATTATGGAAATTTAAATGGGAATGCAAGCACACAATAAACTCCAGTGTGGACAAGCCTGAAGAGAAGCTGAAACAGGGTACAACCCCCCCCCCAATTAATTATACGTACCACTGCTCCCAAGCAAAAGCTCTTTTGAAAAGACCTGTTATAGTCAAATGCCTCAAGGCCTATCAGCAGGCTAGACAACCTTCTAATTAACTTTAGCTACTCATCACTTCTATGGGAAGGATATTGGTAAAAGACTAGGGGAGTGCAGATTGCACTGGTATCAATATTATGAGGCTGCTAGAATCACTTGATATTAATGGCGAAACTGACACCCAAACACATGATCGGCAAAAGGCAGCAGAGTGGGAATTGAAGATGTGGCAGAGTCCCATGGGAATCGAAATCCGTGATCGTAACAGTTGAGAGTGGTGCTGAGCAGCTACACTGTGCTATAATTCACACTGTCAGTTGGGCCACTGATGGGAGTAGGCATTCGTTTGCCTGTTTCTCAAAGCAAGTACCGTATTTTTCGCTCTATAAGATGCACCAGACCACAAGACGCACCTAGTTTTTGGAGGAGGAAAACAAGAAAGAAAAAAAATCTGAATGTCAGAAGCCAGAACAGCAAGAGGGATCGCTGCGCAGTGAAAGCAGCAATCCCTCTTGCTGTTCTGGCTTCTGGGATAGCTGCATAGCCTGCATTCGCTCCATAAGACGCACACACATTTCCCCTTACTTTTTAGGAGGGAAAAAGTGAGTCTTATAGAGCAAAAAATACGGTATTTTACTCACTTGAGATAATTGCCCCAGCTCTGCTCTCTTCCGTTTGCTGTCTGATTAATGAGCATTCACGTGGCTTTGAATCAATCAAACCGAAGCTCAGCACACCGCTCAGGAGATCTCTCGTGCCCAAACTTCCCCAATAATTTCAGTGGATGGAGACCATCCTTGTGCACAAAAACATAGCCAGTCTGTTCTGGAGGAAAGTTCTGGCTCTGCGTTGCCTGGTTCTGATCTAACAGACCACCAACTTTGGGGGAGAGCACAGCTCCAGTTACTGGCACAGGGAACTCGGGTATAAATCTGTCACCTGGTGCGCCCAATTGACTCTAACCTGACAATTTCATTTTCCACTGGAAGTAGATATCTACACCTGAAGTTAAAACAGGCATATCCCAAAACAGGAGTTGCAACACAGATCTCCCCAGACTGTAAGCCTGGCTTCACACTGTGTTCACAATACCAGGGACAGATGTAACAAACAAAGCAAACGCTGAGTCAGTTCACGGCCATGTGCGCCTTTTCAAAAGAGTGCAGTATTTGTTCAAGTGAACATTGGTTTCTTGTCTGCATTAAAACACACATGCAACAGTCCATTTTTTGAAAATATGGGGGGAAAGCTGCTTTGAAGAGGGAGCAAGAAGTGGTCTTGTGGCATCATAGGGAGTTAAACAACCAGGGCTGTGCATAGCTGTCTCAGAACTCGATTTTTAAGATAAGGTTGTACATTTGGGGGTGGGCAAATGCGCTGAGGATATTTCTACAGCAGGCTCACCACTCAGATTTTATCTGAGCCTTTTGTTGACCCTTCTAATTCTCCACTGGGAAAATGGCGCAAAGAAGGAAATCAAGGTGAGCCTTTGCACTGACGAAGTCTGCTTCCACAGAAATCATTGTCATACAAAATCTGACCACTTGTGTTCTTTCTTTTTTGCTCTAGCAGAGGGTGGGCAATATTTTTAAAGAGGCTACATACACTTCCTTTGGCATGGCTCTCTATTTCACCCACAGGAGATGAATGTTGATCGCAAACTTTAATGTTGGTTTTTTCATGCATATTTTTCTCATATTCTCGAACATCCTCCATAGTCATATCTGAAAAAAGTTCAAGATGTTGGGTTGTTTTCTCTATTAATTCTATTCAGGCTTGAATGAAAGGGAAGAGTCTAGGGAGAATTATCTTTCTAGCAAAAGCCAAAAAGCAGAAGCCGGCTAGCTTTATGAGGATTCATAATAAAGATTGTTAAGTTAAACCAGCCAAGGAAGGTATAAGAAGGTTGAGTTAAGGGATAATTGCAGAATGGGGGTGCTTGGAAGCTGGGATGTTTTTGTCAAGTGAGGTTGGCAGGAAGGTGTGGGGTCAGGCTTTGCTAGAGGCAAACATCTTCTAAAATAAATTTAGAAGATTTCCTGGAAAAAAGAGGAAGGATTAAGGAACAGCACGAGAGTTTACTTACCTTGTCAGAGACATGCCAGGAAAACTCTACATTATGTATAATGACACACGATTTACAAAAAAAAAAAAAGTAGCTTCATTGTTTTAACACTACACAGCTCAGCTTTGAGAGATTATGTGTTTTTGGATTTCGACAATTTGTATAGTGCTTAATCATAGCCAACCCTACGCAGTGTAGTGAAGGACTGCAGAAAGTACCTATGAATAGTGAAAGGATTCAAACACTTTGAAAGGTAAATCCAAATAAACATTTGCTTTGTAGAGATACCCAAGAAAGTCATATGCAAACCGGGTCCACTGGGACGTGTGTATACGTCAGGCATTTCAAAGTTTTGCAGGAGCTCCACTGTGAAGTGGCTACCTTCACAGATCTTACATTATACTAAAGGGGATCTACTTTGTAATTTTATTAGACCCCCTCCCCAACAAAATATCTGCCAATGACACCCAGCAGCAAAGGACTCACAGTTAGATTTTTTGAAGGGATTGATCGTGAGCACACTCTGAGCCCTGGAATTGGATATCAGTACCAGAAATGAACTGAACTCACAGTCCTTTCATACAAATACTCCTGATTAGCTTTGTTCATTTCAGCAGCCTACTTCAGGTGACAAAATTCATTTTGGTGTTTCTATTTTTTTTAAAATAAAAAAAAATGGGTATAAGAAACCATTGCTGATGTAGTGCCAATTAATCAGAGATCTACAGTGTCGAATGTAGTCCTAACAATACGTTGTATCACCACTGGCATGAGTCATGGATTATCATATTTTAATATTAGTGTACTTAGAATGAAGGAGCATTAAAGCGTTGATCAAAGAAGCTTATAAGCAATGAAAATGGCACGATCAAAAGCACTTTAGCTGGGCAAAGTACATGCTCTTCATTAGCAGCACTTCAGTTAATAATGAAATACTGTTGTCTTATAGCAATGTTAATTGCATATTAAGATGAAACCCTAAGCTTATTTATCTGGAAGTAAAAACCATTGAAATAATGAAAATACTTCCAAATGAACAAGTTTAGGATTGAAGTTTAGAGGGCAGTGCAACAACAAAATCCACATTTTTAGAATAAGCAAAATCCCAATGCACTGGCCCGCTGAATGTTTGATACCATCGACTGATATACACCTTATAAATATCTAGCTTTAAACATATAAGAAATATTGAGCTATGGTGACCAATTAATCATTACTTGAAAGGAAGCTTTCCTTTATTTTACTTCTGCAGCAATTTTTTTTAAAAGCCCCCAGCATTTAAAACATGCCAATTATTTAAAATAATTTGCCATTATCCTGCACCAACAGTTTAGGCACAGGTTTGCTGGAGAAATTATTATTATTAAAATTTGTATACTGCCCTTCATCTGAAGATCACACAACATAAAAATACAAAATGAATACAACAGAAGGCTATTCACTCACTGCCGTGCTCCTGGTTCCAAAAGGGTGGGTATATTTTATTTTATTTTGGAGGGGCAATGTTCCCCTTATGCCAGGATGCCATTAGAATCCTATTCTGCTTCAGCAGCATGATGTACAAAGTTAATGAAGAGAAAGGAAACCTAGTTATTGGGCAGAGGTAGGAACGGAAGAGACTTTTATGAAAAATAAATGTTTGGGGGCATGCTTCGAGAGTGAATGTGCAACAAAATGGACATAAAGAGGCATGATGTTGCTGCGGGAAGTGGGTGGCTTTGCACTATATATCACAGTGCTTCTGGGGATAAGAACTTATTTGTGAATTAAAGTTATGTTTTAGTCCATGAAAGCTGTTCTAGACCTTCCTGAGCGTTATTCAATAGATGCAAACAGGCAAATCACATCTATCGCAGTGGCTCTGGGGTTTTTCCTGGGGGTCTGGTTTCATCTGCATGAAGCACTATAAAAACTTAGAAACTGAGTTTATCTACTGCGCGTGATCTAGGGGCGCGGGTGGCGCTGTGGGTTAAACCACAGAGCCTAGGACTTGCCAATCAGAAGGTCGGCAGTTCGAATCCCTGCAGCGGGGTGAGCTCCCGTTGCTCGGTCCCTGCTCCTGCGAACCCAGCAGTTCGAAAGCACGTCAAAGTGCAAGTAGATAAAGAGGTACCGCTCCGGCGGGAAGGTAAACGGCGTTTCCGTGCGCTGCTCTGGTTCACTAGAAGTGGCTTAGTCATACTGGACACATGACCCAGAAGCTGTACGCCGGCTCCCTCGGCCAATAAAGCGAGATGAGCGCCGCAACCCCAGAGTCGGCCACAACTGGACCTAATGGTCAGGGGTCCCTTTACCTTTACTTTTACTGTGGGTGATGACTACAACCCTGTCCCAAGTCCCTGAAAATCTGTCAGATGCGCACAAAGCTGTTAGAAAGGGTTGACAAAATCCCCTTACAGTGCCAATCTAATATTAGGTGCAGGGCCAAGAGACTGCCTGAATTCAGGTTAACTGCACCATTCCTCAACCCACTTTCTTAAGAATTGATCCTGCATAGCAGTTCCTTCTCGCAGTATTACTCTCACACTGAATGCCTGTGCAGACGCTAACTTGTAGAACTGTACCAATGAATGCTTCACCTAAACTTGTAGAACAATTCTGTTTTCCTTTCTGAAAACATTAACATTATATTCATAATGAAAACATTATTATTGTATAAATAACATAATGCATATGGAAAACGAAGCAAGCTGAAATACCTGAAATCCCTTACGTTGGGAAACAGTTTTACACAGCTCAGATGGAATGGTGGGACAACATGGTTTAAAATAATGGTTTAGAAACAGGGAGCTGCAGAATTAACTTGATTTGTTGTTGTTTTTCTCCATAGAGGAAATGTTCTCAAGGCATTGGATGGACAGGTAGGGTTGGACTAGTTCTAATAACCCTTCACCTTTCTATCTTTGTGTTAATTACCCGACGAAGGCTGATAGCACTAATCCTCCTTCTGACACTTACTTTTCCTTTGATCGAGTCACCTAATCATTCCTGTTCACTTTTCCATCTGTAAAATGCAGATAATAATCCTTATTTCACAGACTACTAGGGTGATTAACGTGTGAACTGTGCTTTGAAGACTGAACTTGTTAAGCTCTATTGTGGTCCAAGCCCCTTCTAGATTTTCTTCCTCCTGCTACTATATTTGCAGTAGTTTGGGGGGTGATTCAGTTGTATAACTCTATCTGGATACTTATCTTTCTGTAGTTTACTTGCCATTTTTTATTTTTAACCAAAACTCTGTAGGCTTACTTGTATTTCGCTGGGTAAACCTGAAAATGAAGGTCTTAGGACAGCTTTACACAAGACTATCACCCAAAATGAATATACACATAATGTATATACACATAGGCAGGTGATATATGCATATCATGAGTGATATCCAATATTAGTTGCATTTAGGGTAGATTCCTTAAAATTAATGGACTTAAGTAACTTTTAAGCCTATTCACATAATGCCAGCGTATCTCTATTTCCTTATGTATGAATGCTTTTAAATAATACTGAACACACATTGCTGCAAAATTGTAACCACAACTGTCAATTCTGTATACATTCCAAGTAACAAAAAGTGGCTGGATTAGAACCACACTCTTTAAATTTTAAAGAGCATGCCCTGGTCCCTTAAAAAAAAAAATCCTTCTGCCACATTGGTTATGAAGGATACATTCTGTGTGAGCTCTGTATGAGGCTGCAATCCCATGCGCATCTACCTGGGAATAAGCCCCACTGAACTCAGTGAAGCTTACATCTCACTAGACGTGCATAAGATTGCACCAAAAGAATTGCAAAATCTTTGTTATGGCTTTGTTATGGCTGCCTTAACAAGACCACCAAAGCAGAAAAAAAAGCATTGCATGCAGTTAATAAGGCCTTAGATAATCTGTTTGTCCATGTGAGTTTATTTTTGAAAACATGACTTACCATACCACTCATCCACCCATGTAAAAGCCTGTCGGTGGCCAATCAGCAATATATCTCTGACCACCTGTAAATCAGAACAAGGGTTAAAGACATCTCTGACAACAAACAAACAAACAAACAAACAAACAGGAATAGCATCATACCAGAGATATGCACTAGATTGGAGGTGGGGAACATTTGGCTCTCTAGATATTGATGGCCTGCTACCCACTTCACCCCTGAACATTGACATTGCTGACGGAGCTGATGTGAGTTGGAGTCCAACAACATCTGGAGGGCCGCAGGTACCCCCCCAACATGTTATGCTGCTGCTGAAAGAACTGCACTGGGTTCGATGACCTCCTGAGCTAAATTCAAGTTACTATTTCTGGTGAATACAGTTTGGGACCAGGCTAAGTAAAAGAACCGACCACCCCTTATACACCCATTGATCACTGTGCTCTGCAGGAGAGGGACACCTGCATATATCATCTTGTTAGATCTGTTCTGTACAATATAGGAATTTGCCTTTCAGCGTGGCAGCACCTACCTTTTGAAACTCCCTCCCATCACACATCAGATAGTCTCCTTTGCCTTTCTGATGCCTACTGAAGACCCTCCTTTTTCAACAAGCCTTTTAAAATGAGAATCTTTTATCCCAGTCTGTATCTATCTTGGAATGAAGTTAACAATCAAAACAATTAAAGGGGATTACATATAGGCAATGACCATCTAGTGTGTGTCCAACTTGCGCATGGCCACTGACACACGGGTCCTTTTGGACCCGGAAGAGGGCAGAATGGTGGCCAGGAGCGGAACCCCCATGTAAAATGGTCACCACCCATATATGCAAACATTTCCACATATCAAAACAATATTATGTTAAAAATAATGATTTTACTGTAAAATCACTTCAAGATATAATATGGGAAGTGATGTTATAAATCGATAACTTAATGCATAAAATAGATCTAACACCATCCAAATGGAGCCTCCATGCCAATCTAAACATAATGACACATTAAAAAATTATGGTTTCCCTGTTTCCCAAATATAAGCAGAAAAGTCACTGCTAATTTTGTAATACCACCTTGCCAACAAAGGTCCGTATCGTTAAAGCTATGGTTTTCCCAGTAGTGATGTATGGAAGTGAGAGCTGGACCATAAAGAAGGCTGATCGCCGAAGAATTGATGCTTTTGAATTATGGTGTTGGAGGAGACTCTTGAGAGTCCCATGGACTGCAAGAAGATCAAATCTCTCCATTCTTAAGGAAATCAGCCCTGAGTGCTCACTGGAAGGACAGATCCTGAAGCTAAGGCTCCAATACTTTGGCCACCTCATGAGAAGAGAAGACTCCCTGGAAAAGACCCTGATGTTGGGAAAGATGGAGGGAACAAGGAGAAGGGGAAGACAGAGGATGAGATGGTTGGACAGTGTTCTTGAAGCTACCAGCATGAGTTTGACCAAGCTGCGGGAGGCAGTGGAAGACAGGAGTGCCTGGTGTGCTCTGGTCCATGGGATCACGAAGAGTTGGACACAACTAAACAACAACAATTCTGTAATGCCCATTTGTTGAAAGGTGCACATACAAACAGTGCAACAAAAACTGTGCCAGGCAGCATAAAGACCAGTCAGACAGATTTGTGATGACACAGGTAGGAAGAGGTGCAACAAATACCCAGATTTTCAGCAGCTGGGCTAATGATATTCACATGGCTTTCATTTTAAAACTGATTATGTCCATTCCATATATGAAAGACCAGTGTCCTTCAAAAATTATATCCTATCCCAAGTGTTGGGCATTTCCCAGGGGAAAGAAAAGTAGAACAACTTGTACCTTAGGGAAACAGAATTACAGTGTGCACCATAAAGAGATATTTACTAAACTTTTCTATCTGTAGCAAAATGATCCCACCAAGCAAGTACAAAGGAGAAACAGCACAGAGAGAATACTGATTGGGGAGTTATTTTCCCCTTTTGTCATGCACAAATTGGAGAGACTCTGCAGTTAAACTCCTGATACACTATTTATTTTATTTAAGTTTCACACAAAAACACTGCTTTAAATATTACAACAAATTTACAAAATAAAGGACACCAAAATGTATAACTTCTTCATCTATTTCTATGTTGTATTCTGCAGTTTTGATCCATGCAGAGAGTAGTGAGGACACTGAAAAACATTCAGAATCAGTTCTGAATTCTGGGCCTGAAGGGCAAAAAGATTACAGACTAGCATCAAGGATATACAGCTTGAGGCAGAAATCAACCCAGTGTGGTTTAGTGGTTAGAATGTGGTGCCTTCCAGACGGTGTCAGATTACAGTGGTGCCTCGCAAGACGAAATTAATCCGTTCCGCGAGTATCTTCGTCTAGCGGTTTTTTCGTCTTGCGAAGCAACCCTATTAGCGGATTAGCGGATTAGCGCTATTAGCGGTTTAGCGGCTATTAAAGGCTTAGCGGCTTAGCGCTAAAAGGCTATTAAAGGCTTAGCGGCTTAGAAAAAGGGGGGGGGAGTGAAAAAAAATCTCAAAACTCGCAAGACATTTCCGTCTTGCGAAGCAAACCCATAGGGAAATTCGTCCTGCGAAGCGCATTGAAAAACGGAAAACCCTTTCATCTAGCGGGTTTTCCGTCTTGCGAGGCATTTGTCTTGCGGGGCACCACTGTACATTCCCATCATCACTGACCATTGGTAATGCTGGCTAAGGATTCTGGAAGTTGGAGTCCAATAAAATCTGGAGGCCACCATGTTGGCTAAACCTGGCTTAGAAAGGTTTAATTCGGGGGGAATTCAGGATCAAATTTCTACCCAGCCATAAAGCTCACTGGGTGACCTTGGGCCTGTCAGTATTTCTCTACCTAACCTACTTCAGAGGAAATAATAATAATAATAATAATAATAATAATAATAATAATAAATTTTATTTATATCCCGCCCTCCCCAGCCAAAGCCGGGCTCAGGGCGGCTAACAACAATCAAATAATCAAACAATCAAATAATCCAACATTCTAAAACATTTCATTATAAAAATTAATTAAAATCAAATTAATGGCAATCGTTAAGCAAAGTTCTGTGCAGGTTGCCAGAGGAGGGAGTCAGGCTGGGCCCTGACCAAAGGCCTGGTGGAACAACTCTGTCTTGCAGGCCTTGCGGAAAGATGTCAGGTCCCGCAGGGCCCTAGTCTCTTGTGACAGAGCGTTCCACCAGATTGGAGCCGCAGCCGAGAAAGCCCTGGCTCTAGTTGAGGCCAACTAGACTTACTGCTTTTTCTACTAAAGTTTAGAAGACAACCCACCACCTTGATTCTAAGCCCAATAACTGACCCTTTTTCTGAGCATGGATGCGATTGGGGGTCTTGAATTTGTAAAGGATTGCTTAAAATGTGGCTTGCGGCTAGAACTTTCCCCAATGAGCTGTGCCAGCCTACTTTGGTAGCTCTCGTTGATTAAAACCTAAGGGAGATACAACATGCAAAGCTTCCACGTCATGTGCAATTTGAAAGTGAAGATCAACTCTGTATTGCTAGGTTTGGGGTGGGGAGATTATTCCTGACTTTGCATGAAAGTAGATGGAACTGAGGATATGGCACGATGCCATTTCTTGCTACATGACTCATAAACCTACAACATGCGCAACTTTCTGTCTCTTTGAATCCCAGGAACATCCTGAAGTTTGAAATAGTCAGCATCTCCCACCATCCCCCAGTATGCTTGGATCAAATCTCCATGGGAAAGCCAAATCAGTTGGCTACATGCAGCACTGTGCTAAAGGTTCTTCTTTTTTCAAACAATACATATTTCTGCTTAAAAATAAAAACTACATACAGGGAATGACCATTGTGTGTGTGTTCAAAGGACACAGGACTGCACGCATGAGCCATTTTTCGACCTGGAAGAGGGAGGTGTAGTAAAGTTAGTATTCCCCTGGTAGCTATTCTTTGGTCAAGTGGAGAGTGAGGCCTTGTGGGAAACCAGTAAGGAATATGAGAGCTGTCCTGTTGCTTTAATTTGTGGACCCGCTGGCTCCAAGGGCGTGAGAGGACTTCTATGGGAAAGGAATTGTTGGGCTAATTTGAAGGTTAAACACCCGTGTTCGAAGCTGTGACCATATCCTTTGAACTGCTATCTATCCTTGATTGCTTAAGAATGTACATCTGCCTAAGTTCTACCAGTCTCCATGGGAAGGGAGGAAACCCCTTGATCTGGGTTCTGAAGGCTTAATTGGGTTTTGAAGGTTTAATTGGCTCAGCTGCAATAAGTTAGAATTATGAGCCCTCAAGCCGTTCATTGGAGAATTCAAATGTAATCAAAGGGTTCTGATTGGGTTTTGGGGTTCCTAAGTCCACGTGTAAATTATGGATAAAAGATATTGCAAAGGGGCTTGAAGCACGCGCTCTGCATTTTCGCAAGGAATCGCCCGGCTGCTGATATCCACCAAGCAGCCGTCTTTTCGTCTTTGTGCTTTTGCCTTGAAGATTTTCTGAGACCTTTGGATGTGGATTTCTGAAAAGATTCTAACTATCCCAGCTTTGCTTTAGAGTATAGAAGTGAGTATATAGCTAGCTATAATATACAACGTTTTTATTTTTCTGTACCTGTAATGTACCAAATGAAGTGCCTGCTTATTAGCATGTTTTTATGTTTTTAAAATAAACCTTAAGAAAGACATATTCTTGTGTTGTGTGTGCCTATCCGGGGGAATGGCTAATTCCAGCGTCTAGATTTCTTGGTTGCGCTGTATCAAAGTATTTCTGCCTGCAAGCTTGTGGAAGCAACTTGTAGTTTGGGGGTTAGCTGACTCCCTTGAGCTGTGGCTTCAGGTAACCCTGGGACGAGGGAGTGGTGGCAGCTCTACCAGTGCTATTTTGTCCTGTTTCTGAAAAGTAAACGGGTTTGCCAGCCTTGCCCAAGAAACCTGTTCTGGCCGGAGAAGCAAAGACAGGTGAGGGAGGGGCAAGCGGCTGGGTGCCCGGTTACTACAGGTGGACTTATGCATGCTCTGCCAATGCACATGATGACCTGGAATGTGCCAATTTCTTTAGAGTTATTTCTGCTTTTATTATTTATTGTTGTCTAGCCACAACTCACTGCAGAACACCCTCTTCAAAAAGCAGGTCAGAGACTTTATAAGGAATACAGGAATTTGCTGACAGGAGCAAATTCCAAGGTCTTTTAAATGAGGAAGAACTATTCATTACAACTGTGAATTTATTATCTGGACACTTTGAGCATGCCCTAAGATGCCAAGCGTCCAAAGAGGAAGCATGCATGCAATGAAAATGAGGACCATTTGCTTTCTAATATTACTCTTATAGATTCCACATCCCATGTTATAATCTGCAATGGTTCCTTTCCTACTTTGTTCTTCTTTGCCTGTTTTAGACCTTGAACCAAAGATAAACAAAAATGTGCAGAATTTTGAGTACATAAGTTACAAGCAGCCTCGCATGAGCAAGTATATACATAGTTCAAGGGTTTGTTTCTCTCAGACACAAAAAGAAGAATGTAGGGGAGTTACATTCTTGATGTGTAAGCTTCTTTGACAGGCTGGTTGATAGTTCTTGGGAAGAGTGGACAGGAAGGACTGATGCACAGTGGCACCAGAGACAGGGAGAAATGTGGTCCTGGAAGCAAATGTAGGTACAAAGTAGGAATCTGAAACCCGGGCCCTCCAAGGTAGGTTTCTCTGAAACACCGCCTGTTGCATGTGTTAGGCTGCCTTTGTAAGTTGAGTCATCACAATCCGGTGGAACATAAGGGAGAAAAGTGGTAGCCCATCTATTTGCCTCTTGCCTTTCCCTTGTAAGCTGACTGAAACACTATCAGCTGCATCCCTGCTGAGCATGCAGCTGTCAGTGGCGACTGTGCGGTGTTGGGGCTACCACCCCAGCAGTTCCTAGCTGCATGCCCCGCATCAGAGCATGTTGATGCCACTGGCAGCTGGGCTGGACTGGGACTGACTTCCCACTTGCATTGTGCTCACTATGCCCATCTCAGCTGTGGAATTGCAGAGCATACAGCATCTGGCGATGATTAGGCTTGGCAGGGACTTTCTGCCTGTCTGCACTCCCGGCACATGCAGTCTGAATTTTATTACATAGGAATCCAGATGCTAGGAACTAGAGCTCCCGATCGCAGTGGATAAAAAGAAGCCTGAGAATTATTTACATTCATGCTTCACAATATTAACATGGGGGGGGGGGGAATAGCAACTGCATTTGTATCCTGCTTTCCCCGAGGAACTCAGGATGGGGTTATCCTAGTTCATGTTCACGACAGCATGCAAAGAGATAATGGCTTGCCCAAGGCCACTTAGTAAATTTAACGGCTGAATAGGAATTTGCACTTGGATCTCCCTGATCCCGGCCTAACGTTCTGCTCATTTCACCTTGCTGGCTGTATCCATCACAATGCTGTATGATCACAGCATCATGGTGACGACAACTGATTGTCCAACAAACCACAGGTTAACCACAAGCTGTCATAGAGATGATGGCTTGTTTCTACAAAGGTCTGCATGTTTTAAAGTCCCCCTTGTCTCATGCTTTCATAGCCTGGTGTACGTGTAGATTATGGTGGCCAAACAAACCATGGTTAAGGGAGGATGCTGGGTTCACATATCAAGCCAATGTTAAAACAAACCAAGGTTAATAGGCCAACAAAAAACCATGGCTTCAGATTATAGCTTATTGATAGTAGCAAACACACACACACACACACACACACACAACACACCCATAGTTAACATTGACTTCTGGATGTTGCTTTTTTCTCCTTATTGCCTTTTGACTCCTGGCATTCTTTTTTCTGGACATCATACACAGGTAGATTTATAAATGGATTCTCATGCATAGACCTCATATTATGTGTAGTCATGTAGATCAAGATATAGCCACACATGTCTCACTGAGATAAATGGGATTGTAATACGATTAAGAAGAGTGCAGATTTGCATGGAAATTGTCCTTATTGCGACAGAAGCGTTCTATCTTTCTTTAGAATAAATTGACAAATTATTTCATGCCTTGTAATTGTTTGCACTGCTTTTTTTAAAAAAAGAGTTCTCCTTTGAAGGAGGTTGAGGATCTTGTAGCAACTAAATTGGTTTCAACTGATGACATGCAAACTATTTCAAAATCTGCGATGCTTTACACATTAAATCCCTGGCTAAATTTATGGACAGAGTTCGTAATTGGAAACACTGAAACCAGATCTGTACATCAACTTCCTAGCTTATACACACTGCTGTTTCTGTTCATATTCACGTACAGAACAGGATGGCAAGAGAGACTGGGACACTGTCTTTCACTCACCTTGTGAACGAACTGCTCCACTCGAGTCTGAAGTCCCCATACTTCAAATTTCACAGTCACCAGTTTGTAGGAACACATGATGGGCTCTTGAGTGTCTCTCCAGCCTTCTTTTAATAGGCCTCTCCCAGTCTTCTCTGATTTGAAGTGTTTAGGGTCCTGCAAAATGGAAAGGAAAGAACTCTAGGAGATAATGAATCCATGCTGGAAAAGTATCTGTGCTGGGATATTATACAAGATTATTGATAAATGGGATAGAAGAGTAGCACACTTCAAAAGGGCTTTGTAACAAGTAACCAGCTTCAGGTGCAGTAATGTAAGCCAAGCCAACGCATCAGGAAATAAGTTGCATTAGTTTCCTGTGACCTGAGATATACAAGAAGTGCCCAGTGCCACCTCTGGTCACACTCTGACCTCCTCTTATCATGTCTCAATATGCAACTCAGCTGCTAACTGGTGCAAGACCACTTAAGGTTTGCACATTTCTTTCCACAGAAGTGAAATTAAGTTCTAGAAGCTCTTTGCCGAATATGTGCCCTTAAGTACAGTGGTCCCTTGGTTCTCGAACTTAATCCATTACGGGAGTCTGTTCGACTCCCAAAACCATTCGAAAGCCAAGGCGCGGCTTCCAATTGGCTGCAGAAGCTTCTTGCACCTAAGCGGATGTTTGGCTTTCCGAAAAATGTTCGCAAACCGGAACACTTACTTCCAGGTTTGTGCTGTTCGGGAGCCAATTTGTTTGACAATGAAGCCGTTCGAGAACCAAGGTACCACTGTACAGTAGGCACCCCAACCACATTCACAACAGGTTTGGCTCAATAAACAACGCATTGGATTTGATTTTGGTTTGAGTAGGTTTTGGCTTTGCTCCCAATTCATACTTGGGCTGTGTGCAGTGGTACCTTGAGTTAAGTACTTAATTCGTTCCGGAGGTGCGTTCTTAACCTGAAACTGTTCTTAACCTGAAGCACCACTTTAGCTAATGGGGTCTCCCGCTGCCACTGCGCTGCCAGAGCATGATTTCTGTTCTCATCCTGAAGCAAAGTTCTTAACCCGAGGTACTATTTCTGGGTTAGCGGAGTCTGTAACCTGAAGTGAAGTGTATGTAACCCGAGGTACCACTGTATAGACACCCAACGAGTCCCATCAGCAGAAGCCATGCACAATGACTTCCACTTACCCAGTAGGGCTTCTCCCAGTCTCCTCCCCGCAAAACTGGCTCTAGGGGAAGTGAGAAGATCCCCCAGAACAGCCCATGGGGGGAGAAGAAGGGGGACTTGTTCTACCTGGTAAGGTGAAATGATTGCACTGACGGAACAATCAGAAAAGCACAGCATTGAATTCTGGAGGTCTGTGGGAATGACTTCCAACTTTAATCCTATGTTGGGATTAAATCTAGCATTCGGGAGCTGGAAAACTACAAATAATATACAGGATAAAGTGGGAGACCCATTTATGGAGAATTTATTTATTTATTATATTTATATTTAATTTATATTTATTAATACCTTTCCTGATTGCAGCACTTCTCCTAGTTCCATACTCTTCTGTAACCTGGTGCACATGGCAACACCTTAATCATTTAAATGTATTTAATAAAGGGCTTGTCCTTGTAGCGGCTTGATCTCACCAAAAACCTGGTTTTTCCCCCAGTTTGAATTTGATCTCAGCAGTCCACATCTGTGTGCCTTTGAAGTCGAATCCTTTTTCATTCTACTAGGAATGTCACACTTATTAGCCAATTCCTCTCCCCTGTCACTCCCTTCATTTCACAGAACTATAGAATTGTAGAGTTTGAAGGGACCTCAGGGGTCCTCTAGTCCAACCTCCTGCAGTGCAGGAATCTCAACTAAAGCACCCATCTTACATGGCCATCCAACCTCTGCTTAAAAATCTCCAATGAAGGAGAGTCCACCGCCTTACAAAGGAGTCCATTCCACTGTGCATCTGTGCAAGTAATGTAGTACTTATGTGTGAAGCCCCTTTTAATAATAATAATAATAATTAATTAATAAGTCCCACCCAGGATGTGTGATTTATTGACTATGTATTGCTGTTATGCCTCAGATTTCAGTTTATGCAGAAAGCAGAGAGTTTAACAGTAAAAAAACCAACCAACCACAGCTGCTCCATTGCCAGAAGTACAGCCAACTGCCACAAAAGGAACAAGAAAGAAAATAGAAGTAAGGGGCATGGAAAGAGGAAGTTGGCAAGCAGAAACCAGATCCACCCAGAGAGGAAAAAAATGATGTTAAATGTCCGCTTCCCACACTGTTGTGGTTTCAATGCAACCCCAAAAATGAGATTGAGGTTATGTTATTCTTTATATATCGAACATATGCCCAAATCTACATGTTTAGTGTTTAGTTCCCAGCACATAACAGTTTTTAGTTTTACTCATAATTCTTTGTGTAGGACCAAATTATTATTAATAATAATTATTATTAAGCTGGATGTGTTGGCATGATTTTAAGAGGACGCTTTAGCTGTGATTCCCTGTGTTATTTTGAAATTTGATGGTTTTATGGTTTTTATTCATCATATAGATGTTTTTATTGCTTTTTATTTTTTAAAAATAGCTTGTAAGGAGTTATACTAAATATAAATACCGTATTGGCCTGAATATAAGCCTCACTTTCCCCCCCAAATTCTGACCGTGAAAAGTTAAAGTGCGGCTTAAATTCGCGACCTTACAAAAATTGGCTTTTATAATATCGCTGCTGAAACAGACTGAAACTGCTGAAACAGAACAGGTATGAGTGCCCGCAGAATTTTAAGGGAGTGGCTTATATTTGGGTACGGCTTATATTTGGTCCAATACGGTAACAACTACTACTGCTATTAACAGCAAGCTTCATATACTTTTTTTTTTTAAAATAATATTTATTACTTTTATAGATTACAAAAAGAGAAAAGAAAAACAGAAAAAAAAGACAAAGAAGAAAAGCAAAAACAAAAAAACAATACAATACAATATTTAACAATGCAAAACACAACCTAAACTCAAAACTAAACACATTAAACTAAACTAAACAAACCCCACTCCCTAACCTTAACCCTAAATGAAACAAAACAAAAACAATTTAAAAACATACATCATCTCTTTTTCCGTACTCTATCTTTCATTCCCTTGTTTCCTCGACCTCCTCTCACCTCCCTTTTTGTATTCCACTTCTATTAATTGTTTCAGCAAATCCTTTCCATCTTTCTCCATTTTCTATCATATTGTAAATAACGTATTTTTTAACCTTATTTTCCATTAAAACTAAAATACTTATATATGCTTAACTCCTTATAACGTTTCTGCTAAGCCCATAAAAAATCATTCCACCATTTTTCTATCACTCATTAGTTTTACCATAAGTCTATATATAAACTTTAAATTTTCCAATCTTCTTCCACCATCTCCTCTCCCTGGTTTCGGATTCTGCCAGTCCTTTCCGTCAACTCCATAAAGTTCATCAACCTGGTGATCTTATGTCCGAGGCTCTTAACTCTTTTCCAAGTCCCTTCTGCAGGTCTTCTTCATTTTCTTTAATGCTAAAGAGCAAATCTCGGGGAAACTCCAACCTGTCAATCCTTTTCTTCCTTCTGAACAGATCAGCCAAATTTCCATAGTTAAAGCTACAGTCCATAAAGTATTTCAGGGCATATTTCAAGATTCCTCCAAGTCCAAAGGCCCCCAAAACGTCAATCTCCTCCAGGCCCGAGTCCATGTCCCAAAAGTCAGTTAATCCCTGCATAGAGGGATCTTTCCAACTTTCCTTCTTTAGTCCAAGCTGGGATCCATTCCTCAGAGTCTGACTTTTCCTAGATTCAATCATAAAAGGCCTCAACTTATAGTCCTCAATTTGCTTCTGTAAAGCCACGGATCTCACTTGTATTACTTTATGTTCAACAACAGCAGCATTCTCCTTCTCCTCCACCATCTGTCCTGCCAAAATGGATTCCTGTACCAAGTCCTGAATGATTTCTGTGTTGGTGTTTGCTTTTTGACTCAAATTAGTCACTTTCTGTTCCAAATTATCAACTTTAAAAGTCATGTCATCCATCTTCTTATGAAGCTGTCCCAGCGAACAGCTTATCTTACATAAAACAGTCACAATGGCCTCTCCTGTCAACATTTTTTAAATGGTCCAAGGTCACTCTCTGGTTCTCAGAATCCTTATCTGCAGCTGGAAATCCCCCAGTTACAGTAACAGTTTCAAAAGCTCCCTTTAGAGGGAAACAGTCTCCACTTGTATCAGTTCTTTCAGGCACAACTCAAGCATTAAAGATAAATTTTCAGTTACTTTTCCACTTATTTAAACGCAGAGGAGGACAATGGAAACAGTATCTTACTCTTATTTAGCTAGCTGTCAAATCTGTTCTGTCAAATGCACTCTCTCCAAACGTCATCTGGCAGCCCGTTCCCAGGTTCAGAGCAGTGCTAATTTGATTTTTCACTCTCTCCTGCAGGCTCATTAGATCCAAAATTTCCCCCTCTTCTCCTGCTTCCAAGGGGGGGTTTTGTATTTTAAACCGATGGAAATTTAATCCTTTGCCAAAAGCTTTCAAAGACTTTAACTTGTAACGTCTTTGCTTCAGTCTATTTACAAAAACGGAAGGCGGACTTCCTGTTTATGACCTTCCCGCTTCAGTGCCAAATTAAAGTATTTAAAAATCCAATTTTCCGTTTTACTCACGAGTAGTTGTTTAAAATTCAATTGTCCACAGGAAAAAGTCAGCGCTCTCCGGCAACAGCAATGCGGCTTCACTCCGTGAAAGAAGCAGTCGATTCAAAGCACCGCGCCACTCACCCCACGTCGCTCCGGATCTCCAAAACAGGGTTTCCCCGCGAGTAGGGGAGGCGCAAAAGGTGCCAGCCGAATCCCAGGTTCACAAGCTTCTCCCGCTTGTGATTTCAATGGGTCTCCACCTTCACCGTGGCGGTCAGACCCTGTTTTTCACAGAGCAAGTTCCTCCCGAACGAAGGAGCTCCGCCATTGCCCGAGGCGCCAACCCGGAAGTCCGCTTCATATACTTTTAAAGGTCATGGCCATTACACTGGGCAACAATTTTTTACTTTTTGAATGTTGTCTAGATTTCTACAACTGATTTAGGCTATTTTTGCACTGCTGAATCAGGAAATGGCATCCGTTTCTCTCCATCAGGTCAGGTTTACTGTAAACTGAATGGTGGGCATTGATAAAGGTAAGTACACGTAAATTGCGTGTTGCTTCACCATTTTTCAAACTTCAGGGCTTGAACTTCTGTTTCTTGGAACTCCTGGAATGCTCAGCTTCAGGGAGGTCTCTCTTCAAAGTCCAACAGTAGTCAGCCATCATGACTGCGTCCCAGCGACCCTGATACCTGGTCTCCATCTCTTTCATGTCCTGATGGAATCTCTGCCCCTGCTCGTCACTCATTGAACCCAGGTTCTCAGGAAACCGGTCCATATGTGAAAATAGGTAGTGCATCTTGACGCTCATGTTGCAGCCCAGGTTTCTGAAAGCAGTCAGCATGTTGTTAAGTTCTCCGTAGTTTCTGGCCTTATTGTTACCCAGAAAGTTCTTCACTACCAGAACAAATGCCTTCCACGCTTCCAGTTCCACTTCGTTCATTGAGTTGCCGAACTCTGGATCTCTGATGAGCTGATGGATCTGAGGACCGTCAAAGATGCCAGCTTTCAACTTCTCCATGGTCAATCCTGGAAAAGCCTGGCACAAGTAAGTGAAGCAGTCACCATCCTTTTCCAGAACCTTGGTGAACTGCTTGATTAAGCCAAGCTTGATGTGCAGCGGTGGGAAGAGTATTCTGTCTCTGTCCACCAGAGGGTCATTGATGACGTTCCTCTTTTTGCAAGGCACCAATTCCTCCCGCACAGGCCAGTCCTTCTTCGTGTAATGCTGAGCACGGTCCCTACTATCCCACATGCACAGAAAACATGGGTACCTGGTGAAGCCAGACTGTTGTCCCAACAAAAAGTTCACCATCTTCAGGTCAACACAAATAAACCACTTATGCTGATCATAACCAATTTCTCCAGCACATACTTCACCGCTTCATAGTTCTCCTTCAGTGTAGTCGAGTGAGCCAGGGGTATAGAGGCAAACTGGTTGCCGTTGTGTAGCAGAACACATTTCAGTGATCGCTTGCTGCTGTCAATGAACAGTCTCCAATCTTTGGGTTCGTACTGTGGCACTCCAAGCTTGAGCAGAAGCTGTGCAATATCTGCACAGTACACCAAGTCCTTCTCTTCCGAGAAAAAACGAAGGTACTCTTGATGCCTGTTGCGGAAGAAGCTGATGCGAGCACTGTCAGAGAGGAGGTTTTTTTCCTTCAATCTGGATGCCAACAGTTCGGCAGAGTCCTTTGACAAGCTGAGGTCGCGAACTAGATCATTCAACTCCTTTTGGGAAAATGGATGTGGAGCATCATCTTCAAGAACCACTTCTTCTTCTTCATGTCCTTCAACACTGGAGGCATCTTCGTCACTAATGTCAGGAAGTTCTCTGAAGATAGGCACTGGAATTTCATCACAATGAGCTACAGGACGACGTGCTGATTGAAGATCAGGATTAACTTAGTTTTGATCCCCCAACTTTATGCTTTGCCGCACCAATTTATGGAAGATTTCGAGGTTTTATGACTTCAAACTGATCCCTTTTCGACATAATCACCCAGAACTTTCAGACCTGAATACTTCTTGTCATTAAAATAATCATTTCCAATCAAAACAATTATTCGACATGGCATTTTACCCCCACCAACTTCTTCTAAAATGCTCCACACAAGCATACATGTGAACAAAAACGTTAAAAAATGACATGTGGCCATAGCTCAAAAACTTGACCTGATTGAGCAAAACCAATGTGATTTTTGGATTCAGCGCATCAGATTCGTCCTAAATCAACTGAAAAAAATGCAGACAACAAATTTGTTGTTGACCAGTGTAATCATTTTCAAATTAATTTGTTCACCTGAGTGACCAACAAATTCAAGTTAGTGCTCAAACTTGTTAAATTTGGCAAGACTCAGAGACTGTGATGTTAGCACCACAGAGCTATGAAGAACTATATTCATTTTCTAGATGGCAATAAAAACAAGAGCTCTTCACACAATTCCCCCATTCCCAGCAAAAACCAACTAGAGCTTAATCTAATGAATAGAAATGTTATTAAGACCAACTTGGTTGTTAAATTGAAATGAGTTTGTATGGATTCTGAATTGAAGTGATATATAATCATACAGTGAAGGAGAATTAGTTTAGGAGGAAAATTTTAGCTTTATTTCCTATAATATTGTGACCCCGGTTTAGAAAATAGCATATATTTAAATTCATCTCTATTCACAACCTGAAATATAGGTTAAGCGTTAGCACAATTTGTCTAAAGTATGTATAATGTCTATTTTAAATATGGATAATATGCATTGGGTTCAGAGCAAAGTTAGAAATATGGTTTTAATGGGCGTCAGCCTTTCATAAAGCAACCTCCTAAAATATAGACTACCAGGACTATTATAGGGAATTGCAGATCTTTGCTTTTGATGTTGCAGGTACTTCTGCTATGATGGTACCAGATGGTTATTTACACTTTTATATTTTCCAAATAAGTGCTCATTGCATTCAGAATTATGCCAATCCAAAACATTTTCTTCAGTGTTTTCAGGACGTATCTTTTTGAAAATATGATTGAAAATTGGCACAATCTCTCCTGCCCCTTAAAAAAGAAGAAGACAATAATTACATTTGGCTTCCTATTTTTCTTTGGACCCAACAGAAAATCAAGCATGGGCAGCAGTACTTCTGCCTTGTTAACCCTCAATACCGAACATGCTATTTTTAAAGCATTCTGCACTTGGCGTTACAATGTACTGAAAACATGGAGCAATTTATGCTATTTGCTAGCAAAATTATTCTGTCAAAATGAGGTTGCCTCATAAATTAGAGCTGACAGAAGCACCGAGGGGAGGAGAGGAACAGTCTAAAGCAAGTTGATAAAAGAGGTCTTATTATGGTGCAAGTGGAACCATTATTTCCTGAACCAGACAGATGCTGGCTGCATCCCTGTGACACTTAAGCATGAGTGAGCTCCATTGCTCTGAACAGGCATCTGTGCTGGGGCGGAAAGAGCACAAAACTTTTTTTAATTAAAAAAAAAGGTTCTCTTATTAAAAAGCGAATTTACATTTGCTCTGAAGACTAAAGCAAATAAAACAGCAGGCATCTAAAAAGAACCTGCCTCTGTGAGTTCCAGCAGACTTAAGATTTTATTTTTCTTTAATAGCACAGCACCACATCGGCTGCCTCTGAATAGAAAACTGTTTTTAAACAGAAGAGAGTTTTAATAGTTTGGGCTGCATGACATTGGGGTGGAGGGCAGGTTAGTCAGCAGTTGCTTTTTGGATCCTGGTCACTGACTTTGGGCTGCATCTTATGTTAGACCCATTAGAATGAATGAACCTGATTAACTTTTGTCCATTAATTTCAATATATCTGTTCTGAGTGGAACTTAGTTGTATACAACCCTTTATTTCCAGATCTGTTCTGATTAACACTTTACTATTTGATTATCTTCAGTCTTGAAAAGATTTTTTTGGAAAAATTTAATGTTTATATTAGATACTCTTATTTTAAGCAGATCCTATCTCTGTGAGATATAATTTTACTGCATGATTTCTTCTAATTAGCAGCAATGAGACAATATCTCTTGTCATGCATGTGCCGAGCATGCTTAGCTGATATCTTATAATCTAGATTGAATGAGATACATACTGATTTTGACACATCCTAAAAAGGTATTTCTTTTTTACAGCCTGATTTATGGCTTATTCCAGAATGGAATATTGGACCATCAGTCTCTTCAAGACTTCCCTGGGGGGTGGGAGCAGAATGCCCTTTCTTCTCTCTCTCTCTCTCTCTCTGTTTATCTATATCTATCTATCTATCTATCTATCTAATTACTATTGTTATTTCAGGAACATTGGTATTCTATATATTACTATTTCAAAGGTTCATAGTCCAGAAAGTAAGTGAAGGAGGCCTTTCCCCCCCCTTGACCTGTGCCTGCAAATTATGTGTGCCCTTGAACTTAAGGGGCAGATGTTTTGTGGACTGTCCATTTTTAGACAATATAGAAATAAAATTCACTAAGTTTTCCTTCATAGTAATATGCTAATTTAATATTAGTGCTGTGGTGCTTAGCTCTACATCAGAGATAAATGCCTACTGCTCTCTGGTCTCTGGTCTCGGTGCTGTGGTCCCACAATGCAAAAATACTCAAGGAGGGTACATAGTAGGGTAAGGTAGGGGTGTGGCCTGGGGAGAGGTTATGTGGTTGAGGAGCATGTGCCGCAGAGGAGGAGTTCTGAGGGCCAAATAGAGAGGCTTGGAGTACTGATCTGGGCCCTCTGCTTTAAGTGCTAAGATAAGAGATAAGGGGTGTTAGTGCTAAGCACCAAAGTACTATTGGAGAAAAGCAAATACATTTACTTACTTTGAGCTTCTAGTTATTAATATTTTTATTTATTAAATTTGTATAGTTAATGCATGTTTAAGTCACATGAGGGCACTGTTTTGTCTAAGTTAACTCTACCCGTAAAAGCTGAGCCATTTTGTTTCTTCTCTCCCAACATGTTGAGACAAGATGTTTGCTATTCTCTTTCATCCTGCCAATAGAAAGCTTGCATGAATAAAGCCTTTGAACTCCAAAATGATATTTTTGATTTAACTCACCAAAGCTGCAAGCTCTCCTAACAATAACTAAGATCCAAGATAAGCCTCTGGCTGATCTTTAAAAGGCAGCAGGTACAGGGTTGTTTCTGACTTTAGTGCTGCAACAGTTCTTTGGCAGTAAATGGGAGCATTTCTATCCACCCTCAAGATTTCTTGTTTGCAACTCTAGCTTGAGTTCAAGGAAGGATGGCAAAGCAATATTCTTCATTTGCAGTCATAGCTTGAGTCACCTGATGTCATGATGTCAGGTGGATGGTCCACACAGGTCAAAATGGTCCTTCAAGGATAGGTCAGCTCTGTATCCAGCCCTCTAGTTCCAATTCAATATCTGTGCTTTACAGGGCCAACACAGTACATTTTGCCGCTGTAGGTGACCCGCCCCCCCAATGCCATGTGGATGCACTGTTCCACTCCTTACTCTTAGGCCCAGGGATTTCCAAAGAGACACAGTTGCATGGTGTCTTCTTTCAGACCAAACTCCAACTGGGACTCTCAAATAAGAATGGAGAGAGTTTTTTTCGCCCCTTCCACTGTGGGAGAGGCAACCTCTGGGAAAATGGGTGATTCTGTTTCAGAGCTTCAATATTCAAAAAGTATGCCAATACTAGCTATCCAACTGTTAACATTTTAGGGACTGTCTCAAAGCACTTCATAAAGGTGTATTTTTCAAGACAGAATCAAGGCTAGGGGCTTTGGTCTTCATGTAGCTTGTCATCTGCTCCAACTGGGAATGATAATAATTGCCTTCCAGACTTTTTGCCAAAGATGGGAGGATGAGGGCAGCCTTTTCAGCTCATCACCCATGTTGTTTCTGGTCTACAGCCCTTAAAACAGGTCACAGCTGTTGCCTTCAGCGTTTAGTATCATATATGGTTTTAGCATTATACCATTGTGTTAATGTATAGAAAGTCAACATAAAATGTTTAGATTTAGCCTTTTGTCAACTCCATAATGATAATAGCAGTTAGGCATAAGATGTGTTGCTGCAGTGTAATAAATGTTATTGATGTTGTAAATTTTCACGTAGATAATTGAATAACTTTGCCCATGAGCTATGACAAATAGGGCCTATTTGCTGCCAAGATATATTGGATTTTGTATGCTGCAAAATCGTATCTTGTCACTCAATTTAATAGTGTTTTATTAGAAATATGAAGGCATATTAATTCTATGCAAATTCCCTGGAGTTGTCACTCCCATGCAACAAGAAAAGTATTGAGTAAAGTCAAAACAATACAGTGGTACCTTGGGTTACATACGCCTCAGGTTACAGACTCCGCTAACCCAGAAGTAGTACCTCAGATTAAGAACTTTGCTTCAAGATGAGAACAGAAATCGCGCGACGGCGGCACAGCAGCAGCGGGAAGCCCCATTAGCTAAAGTGGTGCTTCAGGTTAAGAACAGTTTCAGGTTAAGAACGGACCTCTGGAGCGAATTAAGTACGTAACCAGAGGTACCACTGTATGCAGCTAAGTCATTCCAGCACATGTTTACGTAAAGCATTTTAACTCAGCTCCTTAGCCAAAAAGGCCCTTGGAGCAGCTTAAGCTTAATATTTAAGATAATCCCTGCTTGCAGACTTATATTATAAAAGTCATGACAAACATAAGGAAAAAGGTGTGAGAAGGGAGGAGGAAAAGAAAGTGAAATGCACTTAATCAGCACTTGGTGGGTGGAAAAATTCTTCTTATCACTTGGTAGGATCAGAAGAGATAACCAAGCTATTCTTGGTCGAGACTATTTATTCCAGAGCAGTATGCATGTCTGAATGGGCTTTCTGCACAATGCAAATCTACACTGCTCAAGAGCATTAAGTCCTTTACCTACCTCTGATTCTTTGTAATAGCGCTCAGGAATTTCGTCGCAGGCAATATCAATAAAGCAGACTTCTCTCTCAAGATCTTTGGCTTCATTATCAAATATCTGCAAGATGTAAAACAAACACGCTTCAGTGTTCTGATGGGCATGTAGTCTAAACTTAATCATGAATGTTATGAACCGGCAACAGCTTGTCTTAAGGAACAAAGGCGCTGGTTCCAAAAACAGCAGAGGATGTTCTTGGCAATATCTCATAGTTACAGGCTGGCACCAACGACAAGCAATATTCTCAAAATATGGAACAAAACTCTGAGACATTTCTTTTCACAACATCAGAAGGCTTTCCAGTTCTTCAGTTTTTATTGTAATAATGATAGAAATGAGCAATAAGTTACCCCCCCCCCCAAAAAAAAAGTCTTCCAGTTTTTCTTGCAATTGATAGTTTGGAAACATCATACGAGCAGTGTGGCCTAACTGCTCAGAGACACAACAGCTATCTTCCACTGGTGACAGCCCCTCTGCCCACAGTAGCTCCCTGTGTCTCCTCTGGTACCTTGCTCCTAACATCTCAGTTGTTGCAAAAAGACATAGAAATCCCGATTTTTAAAACATACTGTTCTTTGCTCAGCGCTTTATTAAGAAGTTATTAAGAAGTTCTAGGGGCAGGTGCTGCTGGGTTTGGCTTCCTTTGGAGGAGGGAAAACTGGAGACTTGACCTGTCATCATAATATGGCTCATTTGTGAATTTGCTGTACGTATAAATTTGGGTGTAGAGTCTCGCTTAAAGCATTCCTACAAGGCCAGCAGACTCACTGTTTCTAATAATAATAATAATAATAATAATAATAATAATAATAATAAATTTATTTATACCCCGCTCATCTGGCTGGGTTTCCCCAGCCACTCTGGGCAGCTTCCAGCAGAATATTAAAATACAATGATTCATCTAAGATTTAAAGCTTCCCTAAACAGGGCTGCCTTCAGATGTCTTAATAATAATAATAATAATAATAATAATAATAATAATATCAGATAATCAGAGAGATGCCCTGTGCCACCAAGGTGGTTTTAGTCAGCTCACCTCTTGCTTTCTCCATCACACTTGTGATGGTGCACACTGGTCAAAAGTTACTCTATCTGTAATGCTGTGGATGAAGTCTGGTTGTGGTTTGTTTCCATAAATGGTAAGTCAAGAACAAACCTTAGTTACCACTTGTCGTTTGCTTGGAGGAAACAAACCACGAGCCTGGTTTTGAATGACACGTCCAGCCAGACTCTGGCTTGCAGCAGGAGCAGGGGAGGAGCATCCCAAAAACTTTTGGAGGAGCATGCACCAGCACACTGCTCATTCATATTAAACCATAGCTGGTTTTAAAACAATGATTTTGTGTGATATGTGAACCAGGCCACACACACACACACACTCCCCTTAGCAAAGGGTGGTGACACCACCTCCCTCAAACTATTTGATACAAAAAGTCACACGGATGTTATACTACAGGGATGTTCAACAGGTCAATCACGATCTACTGGTCAGTCGTGGGGTGTCCGAAAGCTCAACAACTTTTTGTCAATCCAATGGGTAGATCACTGCCAGTTTTTTTTAAAGTGGGAGTAGATCGCAGTCTCTTGTAAGCTGGACATCCCTGTTATACTAGAAGAGTAACATGCACTTTGCACAGGCCTGCTTTCCCTGTTGCACATAATAATAATAATAATAATAATAATAATAATAATAATAATAATTTATTATTTATACCCCGCCCATCTGGCTGAGTTTCCCCAGCCACTCTGGGCGGCTCCCAATCAAGTATTAAAAACCATACAGCGTTAAATATTAAAAACTTCCCTGAACAGGGCTGCCTTCAGATGTCTTTTAAAAATAGGATAACTACTTATTTCCTTCACATCTGAAGGGAGGGTATTCCACAGGGTGGGCGCCACTACCGAGAAGGCCCTCTGCCTGCTTCCCTGTAACCTTACTTCTCGCAATGAGGGAACCGCCAGAAGGCCCTCGGTGCTGGACCTCAGTGTCCGGGCAGAACAATGGAGGTGGAGACGCTCCTTCAGGTATACAGGACCGAGGCCGTTTAGGGCTTTAAAGGTCAGCACCAACACTTTGAATTGTGCTCGGAAACGTACTGGGAGCCAATGCAGATCTCTCAGAACCGGTGTTATGTGGTCCCAGCGGCCACTCCCAGTCACCAGTCTAGCTGCCGCATTCTGCATTAATTGCAGTTTCCGGGTCACCTTCAAAGTTAGTCCCACGTAGAGTCCAAGTAGTCCAAATAGTCCCAGTAGTCCAAGCGGACATAACAATAGCCAGGCTGCAAAGGACTTAGATATGAACCAAGGTTTTGTTGAACCAAGGTCAATGTTTCAGCCACTATGTTGCCCCTACTCTCCTATCCATTGTTAAATTAAGAGGTTATTTTCCATCTCCCCCAACCTCTTTCAACTGGAACCTAAAATCAGAATGACTCATTATTTGAGTGCCTGAACCTTAATTCATCCATACTTCTTTCTTGCACTGTATCACAGATGGAAGTTTAATCCCTCTAAATTTCTCATTAGTTCAAAAATAAGGAGCCATTAGTGTACAAGATTTATTTCTTTTTAGGGCTAATTCTCCTGGTACTTCCTCTAGCCAAATACCCTAGAATTCTCTTGAAGCCTGCAAGGGAGATAATTTGATTGGTTTTGCAATCAGGCTGTGGATATTTAAGTTGGGTTTTTTTTAAGTGATTAAAGCCGATGGAAAGAAACATAAGGCTCTCAATCTGCGTCTCTATATTGGCAAGGAGCAGGAAGCAAATGGCAAGAACATTTTGTGTTCCTAACAATGCAGGGATTGTAGAAAGGCCTAATAAATATTATGATATCAAGAAGAAATTAGGGAGGTTTCACGTTTTTGGAAGCAATATATTATGACCAAACCAAGGACTGTCATGTCAGACCAAAATTCTCATTGAAAGTTTAAACTATGGTTTAAATTAAGAGTGGGGTTCTCCTGCTTTCACACTAAACAGGGCACATCATAGAATAGAATCATAGAATCATAGAGTTGGAAGAGACCACAAGGGCCATCGAGTCCAACCCCCTGCCAAGCAGGAAACACCATCAGAGCACTCCTGACATATGGTTGTCAAGCCTCTGCTTAAAGACCTCCAAAGAAGGAGACTCCACCACACTCCTTGGCAGCAAATTCCACTGTTGAACAGCTCTTACTGTCAGGAAGTTCTTCCTAATGTTTAGGTGGAATCTTCTTTCTTGTAGTTTGGATCCATTGCTCCGTGTCCGCTTCTCTGGAGCAGCAGAAAACAACCTTTCTCCCTCCTCTATGTGACATCCTTTTATATATTTGAACATGGCTATCATATCACCCCTTAACCTCCTCTTCTCCAGGCTAAACATGCCCAGCTCCCTTAGCCGTTCCTCATAAGGCATCGTTTCCAGGCCTTTGACCATTTTGGTTGCCCTCCTCTGGACACGTTCCAGTTTGTCAGTGTCCTTCTTGAACTGTGGTGCCCAGAACTGGACACAGTACTCCAGGTGAGGTCTGACCAGAGCAGAATACAGTGGCACTATTACTTCCCTTGATCTAGATGCTATACTCCTATTGATGCAGCCCAGAATTGCATTGGCTTTTTTAGCTGCCGCGTCACACTGTTGGCTCATGTCAAGTTTGTGGTCAACCAAGACTCCTAGATCCTTTTCAAATGTACTGCTCTCAAGCCAGGTGTCACCCATCTTGTATTTGTGCCTCTCATTTTTTTTGCCCAAGTGCAATACTTTACATTTCTCCCTGTTAAAATTCATCTTGTTTGTTTTGGCCCAGTTCTCTAATCTGTCAAGGTCGTTTTGAAGTGCGATCCTGTCCTCTGGGACATCAAGCCTCCGCATCTGGCCTGAGAGACCATTTTTCCAAAACCATGCCCATTTGCCCCACCCCAATATCATGTGATGTCAGGTGTGGTTCAGCTAGAGACACAGCGCCACAAAATCCTGTTTTGATAAGAACCTATGGGAATTTCGTTAAAAGTGGAATCTTAATCATTTTATCTGCTTAATGGCTTAATTCTACCATGAGCCCAAACTTGTCTATCATAAACACTAGTGCCTGCTTCAGACAGTGCTATTTAAGATGATAGGGTGCCTGAATTTTGCTTCCATAGGTCACTGCTGACAAGGAGAACTAGCACCAGTTCTAAACACCCAGCCAATTGCAAATACAGTGGTACCTCAAGTTAAGTACTTAATTCATTCCGGAGGTCCGTTCTTAACCTGAAACTGTTCTTAACCTGAAGCACCACTTTAGCTAATGGGGCCTCCTGCTGCTGCCGCGCCGCCGGAGCACGATTTCTGTTCTCACCCTGAAGCAAAGTTCTTAACCCAAGGTATCATTTCTGGGTTAGCAGAGTCTGTAACCTGAAGCATATGTAACCCGAGATACCACTGTACCTCTAGCAAAATTCAGTAAACAGGACAGCAGTGCTTCTAAAAGAAGATAATTTTTTTTGTTGAACAGCTCTGATAACATAATGCAAGATGAGTGCTCTTTTACACTTTGTGCCATATTAGCTTGACAGATGGATTCAAAGTACTTTACTGATCGATAGGCACAGTACTAAAAGCAAACGTATTTTGAAGGCTATAATGGAAGAACTCTCCCTCAGAGGCAGAATCCTGTGAAGGCTGCTATGCTGCTGCTTCAAATGGAATACCTTAAAAGTAATCTATATTTGTCAATGGGAACTGGGAAACATCTTTTCAATGGCTTCTTTCACATGCCACACCACACCAGCGATGCAGAATCTGTGTTGAATTAAAAATTTCATCCAAGCTAATTGTGGCCCAGTTTGCATGTAATGCTAAGCCAAATCATGGGCAGCGCAGCCGTGACTTTTGCTCTAGGAATCTGCATGTTTACTCATTTGTGCAAAGGGTTTACATAGTGTTATGTGCGAACTGGATTACACTATACAGTGGTACCCCAGGTTACAAACACTTCAGGTTACAAACTCTGCTAACCCGGAAGTAGTACCTCTGGTTGAGAACTTTGCCCCAGGATGAGAATGGAAATTGCGTGCCAGCAGCACAGCGGCAAGGCCCCATTAGCGATAGTATGTGTCAGGTAATATAATATAATATAATATAATAATAATTTATTATTTGTACCCCGCCCATCTGGCTGAGTTTCCCCAGCCACTCTGGGCAGCTTCCAACTGAATATTAAAAACAATACAGCATCAAACATTAAAAACTTCCTTAAACAGGGCCGCCTTCAGTTGTCTTTTAAAAGTAAAATAGTTGCTTATTGCCTTGACATCTGCTGGGAGGGCGTTCCACAGGGCAGGCACCACTACCAAGAAGGCCCTCTGCCTGGTTCCCTGTAACCTCACTTCTTGCAGCGAGGGAACCGTCAGAAGGCCAGAAGGCCCTTGGCGCTGGACCTCAGTGTCCGGGCTGGACGATGGGGGTGGAGACGCTCCTTCAGGTATACAGGACCGAGGCCGTTTAGGGCTTTAAAGGTCAGCACCAACTTTGAATTGTGCTCGGAAACGTACTGGGAGCCAACGAAGATCTTTCAGGACTGGTGTTATATGGTCTTGGCGGCCACTCCCAGTCACCAGTCTGGTTAAGAACGGTTTCAGGTTAAGAATGGACCTCTGGAATGAATTAAGTTCGTAACACAAGGTACCACTGTATAAAATTTGTCTGAACTTGGACAACATGCTAGGCTGCAGAACAGAAGCAAAAGCTTCTAAGCCCCTTCTCATGCTACACTGGAAGAGAAAGAAGGAGGAGGGAGGATCACAGTGGCTCATTCTAGTAATGCCAAATTATAGCTTAGCATTACATCAATTACATGAATTTTAAACACTATTAGTAGATATACTATCATGCTGGATGTAAAAGGAGTGTTGGGAGGCACCAGCTGGGGAAGAAGGCTCAGAGCCAGGGGATTGGTGGTGGGATGATGATGAGTGGTCAGAGGGAGAAGACTGGGAGAAGGAGGTGTCAGAAGAGGAAACAGGGTTTAGTGAGCGGGAAGAAATTGCAACAGAGAGCAGTCCAGAACCAGAGGCAGCAGCGGAGGTTGGAGAGGAGGGGGGAGGAATCAAGGGACAGAGATGAGGCAGGCTGCTGAAGAAGCTATGGAGTCTCTCCTTCCTGCTGTGACCAGCTCCTCTCCCCTCTGGTCTCCCAGAACCTGCAGAGGTGGGAAGAAGGCGGAGCAAAGACAGATGAGGTAAAGAAATCTCAGGTTGCTTGGGAAGAACCCAGGGAGGAGGAGACTTAGGGAGCTGTGGGAAGGCAGGGAACTCCAGTCCTCCTTGGGGCAAGACCTGCTGGGAAGAGTTGCTGTGCTCACTAGGCCTGGGCTGTTTTGTTTCTTTGAGTAAAGAGTTAACTTCGCTGATACCGTGTGTTATTCCTGTCCTCCCAAATCCTGCCTTGACGTATACTGATATTTATCCATGCTTTTTCACTTACATCTGTGGGGATCACAATCCAGGATTGTTGCACTCAAAAGTAGGCAATTGGAAACATGATAAAATAGCAAAGCTCATAACAATGCATCTTAACCACAGACTTTGTCACAATCCTTGTTGTTCAGCACTGAATTATCACCGTAGTGCAACAACATACCAAGCAGTGGGAAGAAGTGGGGGGGGGGGCGGACAAAAACCCAGCAATTAATAGCAATGTGAAAAACTTTTTGCCTTTGACAAAGTGGGATTTACAAGTGATTCAGGCATAAGCATGAATAATTTACATAACAAATAAATAATTTACATAACAATTTTTTTTTAAAAAAGTATGTACTAAACTACAAAGTAACCTTTTCGCTAGCTAACCCAGGCATATCACTACTAATACAATGCTTAAAGATCAACACTAAAGGCAACTATAAACTGTGCATCGAACTAGAGTCTTTAGAAGTAAAAATATTGTTTAAAATTCTATATTTTCCAAAGAAATATTATTTTAGCTTCTAAGGCGACCCTAAGCACACTTATTTAGGAGCTAGTCTAACTGAACCCAGCAGAACTCATTTCCAAGCAAATGTATACAGGAGAGGTTGCAAGTCTAAGCACTGGTCTCTTTGCAGTTGCTGGTTAACTGGCTGTGATCTTCTCTGAAATGCAGAATGCAGCCATGGAAATTCACAAGGGCCTTGCTACTGGGCAACCAACCATGCTTAGTAGGAGAACATCAGGAAGGCAGTAATGTTTACATAAGCTTTAAAACTAAAACCTAAGGTTCCCAGAGGTTAGTTTAGTCTTTTTTGAGGCAGGTTACTGTATCCTCTGTGCATTTGTATACTGTGTGCATTTTAATAAGAGCAATGCATGCGGTGCTAATGCTTTCCCCTCTGCTTTGCAAGAAACAAGAACTAGAGAAATATTATGGCAAGAGGCCAGTAAGCTCCAACTTGTGATTCCAATCTTTGCGAACTGGCATTAACCCTGAACTATTGTTGGCTTGCATTCAGCAATATAGAAGCAGCTGACAATCCCTTGTGTCAGCATTTCCACTGCAAAGCTTCAGCTTTCTGATGTTTCTAACTTGGCCAACTAAATGCAAATTTTGCTTTTTAAAAAACACCACCACCTAATTTCTTAAATGCCTGTTTCTAGAAAAGATTCAAGGCGTACAAAAAGTGAAAACGAAACAATATAAAACAACAACTTAATGTCATAACTATCTCACCCTGGCAGACAAAACAACAGGGATAAATCAGCTTAAAAGCAGTTATCCCATCCCTGGGAAAATGCCTGAAAAACATGCTGATTTATGCAAATATAGCAGGTTTAGGAATTTGGGTTATTTTGTGGGAACAAGTTATTTCATATGCGAGAAAGCAATGCCTTCTGATAGGAGTCTAACCAACCGTTATAATTTGTGTAATCACACTAAATTAGCCATTAATACTTTATGGATTTAGAACCCCACTGCACCTGTTTTCTGCAGCAATGAATTTACTTAGCTTGCTTATGAATACACCTCATTGCATATCATTACCCTCAAAATCAAATATACATTTTGCTTCCGTCTAATTACAACATGGTCTATTCATTGAATTTTCTTATATTATATGAAGCTCCACTGGAAATAGTGTTCTGTTATGATGCCATGGGGCTTCATTTAAAGTGGAATCTCAGTTATTCTACCTGCTTAATGGCTGTTTTTACAGTGAGCCCAAACTTGTCTATCATAAAGACTGGCGCATGCTTCAGACAGTGCTGCTTAAAATGATACAATATCTGAATTTCCTAAACTGACAACAGCCTAAATTCCCTGCATGCCTTGCTGAATTTTTGGCAAAAGCAAGTAAGTGGGGAACTATCATTCTGCAATCTGTCCCGTAACAAAACAGACTCTAGTCTCTAATACTGTATGTATCAATATAAAAATACTTTCAACATGGGCAGACATAACTAGAGATGTCTTCTACATTTTTGTTCACTTACTTTTCCAATAATAAAGATGCTCAATTTAGTTTGCACAGTACCATCTTATAATATTCTTCAGCAGTTCCCAAATTTCCCCCACATGAACTACATGAACATGGGGAAACCCAGCCAGATGGGCGGAGTATAAATAAATTATTATTATTATTATTGACATTGCTGAGGACTTTGGTGGATCAACCATTTTTCTGCCTGTTGTAGCAATTGTAATGTGCTGGGGCTAGACGCTGTATGACTTTTAAATGTATTTCTATTGTTTCTTTGATTTCTTATATTTTATTTTATTGTACTACAACTTGAAAGTCACTGAAGTCAGATTGTAAAGGATCTTCACAGATGTACTGTAGACCACCTGTATGAAGTGGTCCTCAGACCACCCTTTGGAAACCCCTGATATACAGCAACTGAGTCCCATTTCATACATATACATTAATGGAAACAACTCACAACATAGCACAGGGGAGCTGCAGTTCAGGACAGGCAGTAAAAAAGAAAATTTTCTCTGAAATAGGGCACATGTATGATCAGAAGGTACATTTGCAGCGAAAAAAAAACATTAACTAAATACCTGATAAGACAAAGAGCAAAAGCAGTATGTCTTTTATTTTCACACTTCAGGTGGCTATGGAATACAGTTTTGTTTAAGAAGGCTTTCCCTGAGGTGTTAGCAAATCCACCTTTCATCATAGTACTAAATTAGGTGGAATTGGGGGAAGGGTTCCCTATGTAAGATGGCTATTAATTATGGTCAGCAATTATGAAGGGAAGCCCAGACCCCAAGTTAGCTCTGTCTGATGGGGAGAAGATACTGTATCTTAGGGTACCCAACATAATGACTTCCAGATGTCAATGGACTTTTCTCATCAGCACTAACCAGCATGGCCAGTGGTCAGAGACGATGTGAGTTGTTGCCACTGATGCCTCACTGGAAAACAGCTTTAAAATGTACTGTAAATGACTAGTATTATAGTGTTCCAAACAGTGCTGGCTGAGTTCATGCAGCAAAACTGGCTAAAAGACTCGTTAAAGAGGTTTTAAAAGGAAAATTAGTTATAGTGTATTTCCTTTGTTAATAAGCACAAGAATTTTATCTTATTAGCAATAATCAGTTCTTTGGAAAGAAACTGTGGGGTGACTCTGGTATGTTTTCCTTGGAGCTGTACCTAAACCCTTTCTCTTCATTGCAAAGGATTATACATTTCTCTGCTGTTATGCTTGACAAATGCTTCCCTAATTTGGCTGCATTTATACTCAGAAACTGTGAGTATAATCTGAAATTAGAAGGATTTTTCCATTTCTGTTTGCTATGGTATCAATAAAAGTTTTGAAGTTTTGAACAACGGCCAGGATGGGTAGCCTTTGGCCCTCCAGATGTTGGACCAAAGTTCCCATAAATTATGCTGCCTAGGGCTGATGGGAGCTGGAGTCTGGCAACATCTGGAGTGACCACAGCTAACCCATTCCTGACAAAGGGTATGCTTATACAGTAATATCATATTTAGACAATACAAGTTCATAAGTGAAAAAGGATTTCTTTATTTTAGGTGAATTCCCCAATTTAGTGCAGCTTAATATGCAAAGACAAAATCCATCTGCTATAATACAGCTGGCTTTAGTATGCTCCGGCTGTTAATTTGTCAAATGCCATTGTCGTTATTCATCTGTACCAAGAATATGTACACTAGAAAATTGCCTCTCGGTTTCCATTTGATTAATGGTCAGTTCTGAAACACTCATTTAAAAAATCTCTCCTATGATGAGGCCAAAGAGTACATTAACATATATTATTTTCATTATCCGCAGAGGTTTTATATGTAGCTCCTAATGGATCAGCATTCTGAGTTATGAATCTAAATTCTGTGTGTAGAAGAAAATAATCTGCCATTTTAAAGATGGAAACAGCTTTCGCTAATTGCTTCTAAAAAGAATGGCTTTTAAGAATATTGTTTAGCTTTACTGATGACAAAGCTAAATCTCTCTTAACAAGATGGTTTTCATGGCAGCACCTACTCATGTAGTAATCTAGTTCACCAATTATCTGATATTCATAGAAGCAGCGAAGAGTATTGCCGTACTTTATTGGCTATTGTGGCGTGGACTCTGCTGCAAGGATGCTCCTTTCCCAAAGATTGATAGACAACAAGACACCGTATTTTTCCGTCTATAAGACGCCCCCATGTATAAGATGTCCCCTATTTTGGGGGATTCATATTTAAGAAAATGGGGGGGAGATGTATCCGTGTATAAGACACCCCCTGATTTTTGACATTATTTTTTAGGGGGAAAACCCTAGTTTTATACACGGAAAAATATGGTACCTACTAGGTTGGACTGGCAGATGAAATTATTGGACTATGCAGAGATGGCAAGATTAACCGGGGAAATCGGAAACCAGGAGGATCAAAACTTCAACAAGGAATGGGATAAATAAATAACGCACTTGAAAGACCACTGTAAACACTTGAACTCTTTGGCAGGCTTTAAATAACTCTTGCAACGACACATAGACTTTGGATACTTTGGATGATAAACTAGACAGATTTATAATATGCAGTTAAAAAAAATTAGTTGAAGAATCCACGGAGGGGAGGAGGGAAGTCTCGAGATTCGGAAGAATCTTGGGTAAAGTTTAATATTTGTGAAAATACTATTTGTGTGAATGGCTCTGTAAAAATCAATAAAAAATATTTCAGAGAGAGAGAGAGCGCACTTCATCGGATGTCCACAAAAGCCAATGCCACAATAAACATGTTAGTCTTCAAGATGCCATTAGACTTGTTTTTGTCACAATGCACCAACACAAGCAATACAACCCCCCAAGCTGCTTTGTACTGGTCCATTTAGCTCAGTTGATGCATTTGGAGCTACATATAAAACCTTCGGCTTCACAGCCCCCAAACCCACCAGACTTAAGAGTCTGAAGTAGAATTTGACAAATAACTTGTCTGAAGAGCACAAATAACCACCAGACTCTGAAGGTCATGCCTCTGAGGGTTTGAGAGGGGACCCACACCATCTATAGCTAGTCCTCTGCAGGGTACTCAGCAAAAAGGCACACTTTGAGACTATTCAGCAGTGCCAAACCCTGAAGACTCAAGGCAGAGCAGTGTTCCTTTATGTTGGATTCTTTATACTGTATATAAAATTCAATACAATCCATTTATCTACACGATATTTCAGTTGAGTGCCATAGAAAAGCATTTATCATCTTGTTTAACTACGATAGGCCAATTCATCAACAGTGGCTGCTGGTTGCATTCTATTTGATTAACTCTCCTTGCTGTTTTTCCTTAAGAGGATCCCTTCCCTTTTAAGATCCTGTCACTTCCCTGGACACTCAAGGGTTCCACAAGTCCGAAGGCTAGCATACATCTCAGTAACAGGTACGAGTTTCCTTAGAAAATGCACATCAATAGCCCAACAATGGCACTGTGCGCCGTGAACAATGAATGCTCTCTGTTCACATTACCTTCCACCAAACTAAAAAGAAGTAGGGAGTAGAAGGAAAGGAGCTAAGAATCTCTACATACAAAACAGAAAGTCTGCTTTTTTTGGAGTCAAGTTAGATACAGAAAAGCTCTGAAGATTGTAAGGGAGAACCTTGCTGAGTGTGCTAATGAAAGCCTTTACAGATAGTACATGTTGGATCTTGAAGAAGAGGTATCACTTACGTTATCATTGCTTCCTTTGTTGTCCTCATATTTTGTCTCTATGTGAATGGAGAATTTAGGTAAAAATGAACACTGCAGAGAAAAGAAAATCAGAATCAGAACTGTAGCCATTTATAACTCTCCAGTTCATATGTACATTACAACCTAGCAGTTTTATTTTGCGAATGCCAGAAATGAATTCACTAGTTTCCATCTTGTGCATCAAGAGCTTTTGGACCAACCTGTTCAGAATCCTTTGAAAAAGATGTTTTTTTTTAAAAAAAAAGGCAGGAAGAAAGAGAAAATTTGAAACAGTCCATTTTGAAAAATAAAGCTAGCAATTCTTGCTAAAAACAATAACTAGCAATGGAAAAAATTGGAACTCTTGTCAGATTAAGCCACATTTTAGGATCATGAATCAGTCTGAAAATACTTAAGCTTCTGATCTCAGCTTATTTAAGATCAGAAGGTCTCAGGGAACATCTATTCAGAATGTCACACTCTGAAAAGCCTTTCTAACACCTCACATTTTCCCTTTTTAATCACCAATGGTCACCCTCCTTTCCCCACAATCTTTACTGACTGAGCCTCATCAGCTTTCAACAGCACTGGTCTGAATCTAGATTGCACTACAAGTCACAGAATATGTTTTGAGATTCATTGCATGCCCTCAATAATTGACATTGTGCTTCAACAGAGCCAGGGAACTGTTTATGCATCACGCAGAGAGGTCCATTCATTACAGACAAAGTACATTTTTTTCCTTTTAAGTGAAAGCATATTCACTTATGAGAGAATTAAAATTAGATGTGAGATGATGATGATAAGAAGAAGAATAATAAGAATAATAAATTTTATTTATACCCCACCCTCCCTGGCCAGAGCCGGGCTCAGGGCAGCTAACATCAGTAAAATTACAATAAAAACATAATGGGGGGGGGACCAATTTAAAATACAGGTTAAAATACAATTTAAAATGCAGCCTCATTTTAAAAGTAGCCCATAGATCAAAACCATAAGGGGAGGGAAACATAAGGGTCAGACTGAGTCCAAACCAAAGACCAGGCGGAACAGCTCTGTCTTGCAGGCTCTGCAGAAAGATGTCAAGTCCCGCAGGGCCCTTGTCTCTTGTGACAGAGTGTTCCACCAAGTCCGGGCCAGTACTGAAAAGGCCCTGGCCCTAGTTGAGACCAATCTAACCACCTTGCGAATTGGGACCTCCAATTTGTTGTCATTTGTGGACCATAAGGTCCTCCGCAGGGCATACCAGGAGAGACGGTCCTGTAGGTATGCGGGTCCTAGGCCACATAGGCCACAGGAAATTATGTTTGCAAGTGTATTGCATTTTAAGATATCATTCTTTCTCTCTTCCCACCCCACTCAAGCATATATTCCTTCCAGCAGAAATCTGGTAATTTATGTTTACACATGGCACAAACAGGAATACACAGGGTGAATTTTCTAATTTCCCATTTCAGCATTTCTAGGGGTTGCCAGGTGTTTCTTTAAAAGGAAGAAAATAATCTGAAACCATAAAATCTTAATGGATTGTAAAGGCTTGCAATATTATGTAGGCAACAACTAGCTTTTCAATTGGTCATAAGGCTCCAGTCTACTAAATCATTGAGAAAACTAGATGCAAAAGCAACTGAACACTCAATTCCTTTAAGGCAATTTTTGTTTTGAACTTGCTCCTGCTTCTGAGCTTACTATAATTTGAGCCTCTTGTAACTCAGAATCAACAATGTTTCATATGTGGGTGTGCAGAGATTCTTGTGCACAGTTGTGCGCAGTATCTGGCTTTTGCACGTGTGGATCTGTGTTTTGGAGAAAGCAATATGAATAACAGAGAATTAATGGAGGTACAGGAAGCTTACTGCCCACAATAGACAACAGTATGGATGAATCCCTAGCATTCTCTGAAAATGGAAATAGCCCTTTTGTTCATGGAAGGCTAGTTAGGATTCAAGACACTTGATTTTTGTCCTTTTAAAAATTTGCTTCTTGAGTTTAAAAAAATATATGGCAGTGTATACATGTTCCCTAAAGTTACAGGTCTCATGTTAAATCTCCAAGTGCCATGAGAGCAAATATACTTCAACTCTAGTGGCACATGAATGCAAAGGTATACTACACATGGACAGCAAATGTCAGTGCCCTGCTTCCCTCCCTATCAGGGACTGGGCAGAGGAGGAAAGGTGGAGACCGCCTCCTCAGCCTGACCCGCCCAGGGAGCAGGAAAAGGAAGACAGTATAGATTTACAACAGGGGTTTGAGGGAGGTCGCAGCTCAGAGGCAGATGAGGGGGAAAGTTGGGAAATCATGGGAGAGCCAGAGCAACACCCAGCTGACACGTTGTCATTAGAAAGCATTCTAGACCCTCCATCTCCCAGAACCCGGCGAGTCTTGAAAGTAGGAGAGCAAAGAGCTCAAAGACAGAGGGCACATAGCAGCACCCATAGAAATGACGAATGAGGAAGTGGGATAGAAGGGGGGTGGAGATTCACTTGGGACAACACCATTATCCAAGAGGTTGAGTTTTATAGCCTCCCTCTGTAAATACTGAATAAAAAAAAGGATGGTAAGAAATCTCTTGTTTTTATACTTTCCTGGGAAATTGTGATGGCCTGGGAATCCGATTCAGAGGCTGAACTGGAGGAACCCCAGCCTGCACAGAAGTCCCCACCTCCAGGGCCGGCTGAGCTGGGGCAGGGCCTTGGATCTGAAGCGCCTGCACCTGTGCCGGATCCTCAGGAGCAGGCACCAGGTGATTCCACTCTGGCTCAGGAGGTGATTGAGGACACAGTGCCTACAGGTGCGCCTCTCCCAGCCCTGTCAGGGGAAGGTGAGTCTCCCCCTGGGTCCAGTAACCCTCCAGCCTCTCCTGAGCTGCAGAGGCTCAGGGCAGAGAGGCGGAGGGAACTGGTTTCTCCCAGGAGGAGTGCTCGCCTCAAGGCCAGGAGAGGCGGGTCTCCTGGGGGTCGGGACCGCTCCTGGCCTCAGAGAAGATAAAGGCCAGTCAGCCCGGTCCCAGGTTGCGGGAGCAACGTCGTTGAATACCTGCTTCTGCCCGGACCCAGACCTGTCCTTCCAGAGTTCCCGTCCCCGCCCGGGTTCCTGCTTCAGACCCCGCCTCGCTCTTTGTGAACTGTTTCCAGACTCGTGACCCAGGACTGGACTTTGACCACGCCAACGGTAACCTTCGCCCCGGGACCAGCACAGAAATAGCCAGTAGCAGCATTCTGACATTCCCACCCTGCCCATCCCATAGTTGCCTATCCACACAAAGCTAGTAGAGAAGACCTTTCAGCAATGCATAAGAGAGAACAGGCATTTAGGCAGCAATCTCTGACACGAGGACAGAGGTGTCACAAGTAGACAAGTGTCCATATTTTCATCTGCGCAACAAAGGAGGGTATTACTGCAGAAGAGAACTGGTTTAATTGCCAAAACATAGCAGTATTCCCTGAGTGGAAGGAGAGGAGAAAACAGAATATTGAAAAGGCAGAGCCACAGTTGTATTTTTCAATTCACCACAGGCACCTTCTTTAAAAAATAAAATAAAGAATAGAGTCTATTTTTAGTGTGATGATTGATTAGTGTTGTCATAGCAATGAGAAGCAACTGCAAGAACACAGTATAATATAAGTAAGCCAAGACAAGTGCCAAAGAATTAAGGGAACAGAATACAAAACACATGGCATTTTTCAGCCAGCCTATGGGTTGCTGCTATAATAGCAATCTTTCCACTGAAATTGCATGTGAAGTGGATGAAGGGATTACAATGTCCTGAAGTAAAAATATTGGAGATCAAACAAGATAATGGCGCTTCTCTCCTTTTTTCATATAACCAGAACCTGTGGTTCACAACCAAGGAAAACAATCTTCCAATGGGAACCTTTTGCAGAAACTTCAAATAAAAAATTCTCATTGCTTTGTCATTAGAAAGATTAATTCTGAATCACTGGAAACTATTTCAGGCCTGTTCAAAACTGAATCCAGCTCTTTTCCAGGGCAGGAAAGGAACATTTGTATAAAAATAGAGTGGTCAAGATTTTGTACTAGCTGTTTTCTCCATAATTGACATAATTAATTGACTCCTTTTTTAATGGAAAACCTAGATTGAGTTGCATTCCAGGGTTTCCTATGTAGTTGTGTGCTTTTTCTCAGCTGATTTATAGCAGGGATTTTGGTCTTTAAAATATGTGGCAGCAAATAACTTGTCCAGCGTGGACTGACAGAGTAGTACTGAAGTTTTTCAGGAACACTGGGTGGAATTCAACATGCTGAAAAGTCGTGTATGTGTGCATGGAAAAAGGTCTCCTCACGCAACGGAATTTTCCCTCCCTCCCCATGTTTCCTCTAAACCTTTTCTGGATTTCCCTCCAACCTAGGGTGAGAAAGGGGGAAGAGACCAGAGGAAAGTCACATTGGTGAGCGAATCTCGCACACACAATTTAGTTGAGAACACACTATGTCCCTTTAATTAGTAGCTTTCTGGGTTTTTAAAAGGGGCTTCTGGCCCTGCAATTAGTCGCTTCTTGTTCACTTGTGTGGCACCAATCCTTTAATCCATGAACTACCATGTCTATGTCTACTAGGAGGAGGAGGCATGGCAGGAATTTCAAGCTAGATTACAAGCACCACATGGCAAACGATGATGATGATGATGATGATGATGTGATCTAGATGAGCCATTCCTGGTCACTGGTAAACTCTCTCAGTCTGGTGACTCTTTAGAGAAGGAAATCATTAGGCTGCCTGTGTCTGTTCCAGGTTGTTCCTCCCCCCAACCTCCCCAATTGCTTCCCTGCTGTCTTGTGTTTCTCATATCTGTCTTCTTGTTGGCTCCCTGGGCTATCTTACCCTATTGTGCTCTTCGGCTATAGGATTTGGTGGTGTCGGCTTTGATGAGCTGTCTGAGCTACCCAAATTTCATCCTGGCCCAAGTATTTTGCTCATATCAGTTTGTAGTCCCTATATCCCTCAAGGGACTGCCTCTCTCCACATGAACTGACCCAGACCCTGCGATCATAATCTGAGGCCCTTCGTTGTGTGTCTCCTCCATGAGAGGTCCAGAGGGCGGCAACATGAGAATGAGCCTTTTGTGCGGTGACTCCCCACTTGTGGAATGCTCTCCCTAGGATGGCTCGCCTGGTGCCTTTGTTACTTATTTTTAGGCGCCAGGCAAAAACGTTCCTCTTCTCCCGGGCTTATGGTTAATTTTAAAATCTATATGGCCTTTTGTTTTTGTTTGTTACTATGCTATGTATTTTTGTGCTTTTCTATTGTAGACTGCTCTGTGATCCTTGATTGAAGGGCTGTTTGGAATACATAATAATAATAGTCATTAGAACCTAATCTTGCCAGCAGTGATTTGATCTTAAATATGGTAAAATATTCATGGATTTATGGCTGACCTTATGAGTTGTGTCATCCCAAATAACTGTCCAACATGATATGCATTTTAATTAAGTTAAATAAAATTTTAAAATCTGTCTAGCGTTCTGCCAACTCACACACTTCTGGAATGCACTTCAAGTACTTTCGTTGACAATGGCACCAAAACACCTTTAGCTCAATGTAAGACAGAGCTGAGTCCTTGAAACCACTGACAGGAGAAGGAGGCTGCAGCTGGTGCCGGTTGCTGCTGCTGCCATTCCTGCATTGTTTGCCGCGACTGCCTGCAAGCATGCTGTCAGGGCCTCATATTTATGGATTTAGAAAATTTCTACCCACATATTTTGGCCTCCAAAATGGCACCCAAAGCGGTCTCCGGACTAAACACAGAAATAATGAAATACGTCTGGGTGCGTGGGAAGCAAATGTATCCATTAAACTGGTAAAACAGCAGCATGAAAAGCACATAAAGCAAGTGGGTCAGTTTAAAAATACATCACCATTGAAGGACGCTAAAGGCGCAGGAGAAAAGAAGAAATCTTTACTGCCTTCCTTAATGAGAAGAAGGGCTGACTAAGGTTATCTCAGGAGAGAGCTTCTCCTTGGAAGTGCAGCTACTGCACACACACCTCCAAAGGTGGCAGGATGTAAAGTAGAGGCCAGGTGTTGAAAGAGGTGAACAAACAGGTTCACGAGAGAGGAAATGGTTCTTTGGACAACTTGGTGCCAAGCCATTTAGGGTTTTATAGGTGTCCTGAAACAAATAGGAGGCTGGTGTACATGAAAAAGTTCTGATGTGATATGTTCTGAGAACTGAAAATGAGAAGCTAATCTGGCTGGTCTATTTTGCACCAAGTGGAGTTCCAAACCCTCTCCGAAAGCTTATTTATCACCTTTATATCGCAACTTTTTCTCTTAGGGGTACATGATCATGGATGCTTTAGTTGAGATTCCTGCTTTGCAGGGGGGGTGGACTAGATGAACCTTGGGTTCCTTCCAACTCTTCAGATTCTATGGTTCACCCTGCAATGACTCTGTGGGGTAGGTTAAGAGGCTGTGACTGGCCTAAGGTCACCCAGTGAGTTTCGTGACTGAGTGGGGGATTTGAACCCTGATCTCCCGGGTCCTAGTCGAACACTCTAAACACTACACCACCTGGAGTACTTCTGCTGTAGGGCATCTATTTAAATTAAGTAGGTAAATGAATAGGGAGAAAGCAAATTGTCACTTAGAGAAGGATCTGAAATATTTTCTGGAACCTTGAATTTGTTTTGTTCTGGGTTGTTTTATTTGATGGTTTAATGTGCTGCAAACAGCTGCAAGAAGATCAAACCTATCCATTCTTAAGGAAATCAGCCCTGAGTGCTCACTGGAAGGACAGATCCTGAAGCTGAGACTCCAATACTTTGGCCACCTCATGAGAAGAGAAGACTCCCTGGAAAAGACCCTGATGTTGGGAAAGATGGAGGGCACAAGGAGAAGGGGACGACAGAGGACAAGATGGTTGGTTAGTGTTCTCGAAGCTACCAGCATGAGTGTGACCAAACTGTGGGAGGCAGTGGAAGACAGGAGTGCCTGGTGTGCTCTGGTCCATGGGGTCACGAAGAGTTGGACACGACTAAACAACAACAACAAACAGCTGTGAGATTTTTTTCCTTTAAAATAAAAAGTGGTATAGAAATAAAACTTACAACAACAACAACAACAACAACAACAACAACCACCCTATTTGGAGTGTACAGCAGTAGTCCAGTCTGGATGCAGTCAAGGTGCAAAGGACAGTGGCCATATCTGCATGGTCTAGGAAAGGGCACAGATTCTGCACAAGCTCAAGCTGAGAAAAGGCATGCCTGGCCACAACTATCACCTTGTCCTCTAGGAGTAAAATGGTGTGCCAGGAGTGCTTCCAAGCTGCAGACTGGATCCTTCATGGGGAATGCCACCCATCCAATACTGCCCTCAGCCACTCTCCTACTGATCAAAATCACTCCTGTTTTGTCTAGATTAAGCCTTGCCTCATAAGCCCACATCCACCCCATCATTGCATCCAGACAACAATTCAGGAGCCCCCTAGAGCTTCCTTGGTATTAGAAGAAAAGACTGATATTTATGTTCAGGTCGATGATGCCTAACTCCAGACATCCCCTGACAATCTCATTAAGATGTCAAACAGCACCAGGGACAAGATGGAACTCCACATGAATTAGGAGTAGCCAACACCCTCCCAATTTTATTTGCATTATAACTTCCATTGGCCCAGCCAGCAGGATGGTGGGAGTTGTAGTCAAACAGAATCTTGAGGGCATCATGCTGCCTGCATCTGCCATAAGTCAAATGTAAAACTGGAGCCACTGTATAAATGTACTCCCAAGTCCTGTCCCTGCAAGAAGCTCCAGAAAGGTACCATGGTCAATGGTATTGAAAGCCAACCAGTTCCAAGTATAGATCACTTACCAAGGCAACCAAAGCTCTTTCAGTCACTAAACTGGACCAGACTGAAAAAGGACCCGAGCTATCAATATCATCCAAGGAAGCTTGGAGTGGAGCAACCAATACTTGGTTCAAGTGTGTGCAATGAGTGTCTATTTGGAAAGCCAGTGGACACTGCATGCTGGTCCTGACACCACAGGCACGATATGCATTCTCTTCCCCTGGATTCTTATTATTTCACTAACATTAAGTCAACAGCAGCCTCACCGATCAAACATTGGCATAATACTTTGGGGTGACAGCAGGAATGGCATTTTTTTTAATGTGATGCACCTTTAGCACTATGTAAAAATCAATATGCAATTTGGTTTGGCTTCAGAGTAAACGCAATTTTTGCTACCTAGACTGCATCTTGGTAGGCAGGTGTGATGGCCTGGGATTCAGACTCAGATGCTGAACCTGAGGGATCCCAGCCTGCACAGGATTCCCCGCCTCCAGAACCAGCTGAGCTGGGGCTGGGGCATGAGCCCGAAGGGTCCTCACCTGTCCTGGATCCTCAGGTGCAGGCGTCAGCTGAATCTGCTCTGGCTCCTGAGGTGATTGAGGACCCATTGCCTGCAGGTGCTCCACTCTCAGCCCCGTCAGAGGAAGCTGAGGTTGCCTCTGGGTCTGGTAACCATTCCACCTCTCCTGAGCTGCAGAGGCTCAGGGCAGAGAGGCGGAGGGAACTAAGTTCCTGCAGAAGGAGTGCTCGCCTCCAGGCCAGGAGAGGCGAGTCACCAGAGGATTGGGGCCACCCTATGCCTCGGGGCAGATAAAAACCAGCCAGCCCCAGTCCCAAGTTGCGGGAACAACACTGTTGGTTGATAGTTCCTGCCTGAACCCTGTCCTGCTTTCCTGCCTGAGCTCCTGACCCGCCCTGGTTCCCTGCTCGCATGTCTGTTCCTGACTTCACCCGACTCCTTGCCCTGCACCCAGCTTCAGCTAGTGCGGACTGCCTCCATGTTGCGTCTTTGACCATGGACCGGACTTGGACCTCGCCTCTCAAGTAACTCACGGGACCAGCACAGCAAGTGAATAATAGTCTCCAAAGGGTTTTCCTAATTTAAAATAGCAAGTTTCTGGAAGTTGAGAGCATCCCAACCCTTGTTGCTGCCATTAATGTTGGCAGAATAGTTACAACAGGTGTAAGTAAATAATTAAAATGCAACTTGGGTAATCCTGAAATGTTCAATGTGGCATAGTAACCTAGTTTATCAGGAAGTGCTATTTCTGAGGAAGGCAATGAAGTGGCTGGTTTCTTTAACAGCAAAGTAAGAAATGAGTAAGCTTTAGCCCTCAGGAAAGCAAGCTAACATATACCATTTACTGAGACATGGCCAGCCAAGAGATGCTGAGTTTGATATTTGTCATTGCATATATCTCAGTCTTTTCAACACTGCACTTTAAACTAAGCTTGGAAGCCTCTGGTTGGTGACTGATGGAGTGTGGAATTTATGATACAGCCACTCCAGATGTTTCACAATCAAAGGCAGATGTAATAGACAGGCATTTTTCCATGATGTTCTGAGCCTCTGGATAGAATTCACGAATTAACTACCCACTCAACATTGTGTGCGTCGAATGAAAAATTTCTCACATTTCTGTGGCTCTTACGGCAAAGGATTAATGACATCACATGGTAGGCCTCTTCCTAGCATTACTGAAGTACCCTAAATAAAAGTTTTGAAGTTACCGTCCGTTGCACAGACGACGAAGCCAAAAGAGAGGTCTTTAGCCTGCAAACTAAACAATAGCCGAAACTAGCTAACCCAATTCCTTTTAAACCTTTCTTTTTCATCCCGATCATTATTCATGCTGAGTGAAAGCAAGTCACTGTGCAGAAAATATATTCTGATTACTGCCAAAATCCAATCAATTGCAGATGGTTAATATACAAGATAACACAGTGCACTGTCCTCAATCCTGGGGTGAACCATATGCGCAGGCAGCTGTACTCACCCCCCACCCCCCCCCGGTTTAAAAGACAGTAGGAATAGGCTTACCAACCCAACAAGAATCAGAAAGCAGACCGGAGTCTTGGGGAGGGGAGAGTTATTCGGGCCAAGGGAAACTTGTTTCATGGTTTCCATTTGAATCCCTGGAATTTCCCTGGCATGCCCTGGAGCTGGGCATGTTTAGCCTGGAGAAGAGGAGGTTAAGGGGTGATATGATAGCCATGTTCAAATATATAAAAGGATGTCACACAGAGGAGGGAGAAAGGTTGTTTTCTGCTGCTCCAGAGAAGCGGACACGGAGCAATGGATCCAAACTACAAGAAAGAAGATTCCACCTAAACATTAGGAAGAACTTCCTGACAGTAAGAGCTGTTCAACAGTAGAATTTGCTGCCAAGGAGTGTGGTGGAGTCTCCTTCTTTGGAGGTCTTTAAGCAGAGGCTTGACAACCATATGTCAGGAGTGCTCTGATGGTGTTTCCTGCTTGGCAGGGGGTTGGACTCGATGGCCCTTGTGGTCTCTTCCAACTCTATGATTCTATGATTCTATGATTTCCAATTACACCATCTCAGGTAGCAAGATTGGAGAACAATGTTAAGTGTAGCCAATGCTGAGATAGACGGACCAATAACCTGAGTCACTATAAAGCAGTTAGGTACACTGAAAGTAGTCTAATATTCTTTTGGACATGGAACACTTTTGCTGCTCCTTCTGCCCCTGTCCCCTGAACAGTTTCTGATCAATCAGAGGTGTCCCTTGTCTCAAAGCTAACTATATTATTATTTAGAAGGAAAATCACCATAAAATACTGTATTTTTCGCTCTATAAGACACACCCGACCATAAGACGCACCTAGTTTTAGAGGAGGAAAACAAGAAAAAAAATATTCTGAATCTGCGTAGCGCCTTTCCAGCAAAGCGGGAGGAGAAACGGAAGGGGCTCCATTTCTCCTCCTGCTTCGCTGAAGGGGTGCTGCGCAGCTTTCCCTCTCTTCGCAGCACTTCTCCAGCGAAACGAAGTCAGAACAGCAAGAGGATCGCTGTACCTTCTAATTGGCAGGCAAAACACCATCATGATTTCAATTGGTATGCCTTTTTCAAGCCTTTTGCCCACTGATGCACTTTATGAACACTGCCTACAGAATCAAGTCACTCAGCTACCTGTTATGAGCTGCGGAGTCAAACTCTGTAATAATTCAGAGATGTAGTTTCGAAGCATAGACGAGCAGGTTCAACACTATCTCCTTTCAACACCTTAGATTTGCTATCAGTTTCTCTCGAAATGAGGCAAGTTGTCAAGATATTTAACGGCTCCATTGTAACACGTTTTCCCTTCTCCAGAAAGGCAATTGGATTTCAGGATATATGGCATTATCTATAGCACCATCTCTCTCTCTGCCCTGCTATCTTCCATCCCAAGAAGATTCCACTGAATACCATATTTCCGAGAATCGGACTCGTTCCCCGTTATAATATATTACATAGCATTAGGTTAAGAGTCAATCTAAAATAACGATTAGGATCTCAAAGCCCTTTATGTACAAAATAAAAACAGCAATGTATGGTCAGCTAAGAGAGTCCACAAGCGAGTAGGCTGGGGAGTTATACAACTACTAGGACATTTCCAGGACGTGGGTGGCGCTGTGGGTTAAACCACAGAGCCTAGGACTTGCCAATCAGAAGGTGGGCGGTTCGAATCCCCACAACGGGGTGAGCTTCCATTGCTTGGTCCCAGCTCCTGCCAACCTAGCAGTTCGAAAGCATGTCAAAGTGCAAGTAGATAAATAGGTACCGCTCCGGCGGGAAGGTAAACGGCATTTCCATGCACTGCTCTGGTTCGTCAGAAGCGGCTTAGTCATGCTGGCCACAAGACCTGGAAGCTGTACGCTGGCTCCCTTGGCCAAGAAAGCGAGATGAGTGCCGCAACCCCAGAGTCGGTCACGACTGGACCTAATTGTCAGGGGTCCCTTTACCTTTACCTTTAGGACATTTCCAGGCCTGCTTTTTTTTTTTGTGAGAAAGGAAGCTGGATAACCGTAGAATAAGCACCAACACAGCCTCTTTATTCACCCTTGGAATTTGAACCCAGTAGTGCCTGCATGTTATACAGGTGGTACTAATTTTAAAAAGTCTCTTTGATCCTAATAGTTGCTCGGAGGCACATTTTCTAAGGTAAATGGAATAATCTGAAGGCTGCTGGGCAAGACTTTGGAGTGTAATCTGAAGGTACAGATCCTTGGAGTTGGCTGGACAATGTGCTCCTCACGCCTTATGACATGAGCTCCAGTGTTCTGCAACAGCCTTCAAACAGTTGCCAAGGTTACCGAGAGTGAGGGTTTATGGAGCTCTCCCTGGCAATAAATACTACAAATAAAGAGGCTGAGACTACCCAGTGAGGCTGAGACTTCTTCTGGTGTCCTCTGTGCCTGCCAACTTATCATGGAAGGCTTAGATGATGCAGTAGACAGCAACCTAGACAAGAATTTATTGTCTCTCTTAAACACAGACAGAAACAGTAACAGAAAGCTCCTGACTCTACCCAGAAATAACTAAATACAGTCTGCCTAGTGACTGACTCCACCAAGATGCAACTATATATTATGCCACGTGGTAACTAAACTATGTAAAGCTACCTCTCCATCCACCAAATAATCTCAAGGAGTGGGCAGGTTCACAGTGAGGCATAGCCTATGTAGTCCAGAAACAGTTGGGTTCTGCTTCCGTTTGATCACTTGATGAATTTAGCAAAGGCCCATCCCAGCCCTTTCTCATTTCATCAAACTATTGCTTGTTCTTATCCTTTGCTTTGCTTATTCTTCAAACGGCTATAGGGTAAGGAACTGGATTGCAGAATAACACCTCTACAATTTTTGCATTGCGGTCGAAAGAGGAAAGATTAGAAGGTTCTTCTGTTCCAAATTGAATCATAGAATCAGTGCACCTGTAGGTGTATTGGTGCCTTTTGTGTCTCTCATTCTTTTATTCAGTTCCTTTTTTCCTTTCTGGGCACTGAGCCCAGATTTGTTTAATTTTCCTTGCAGAATGAAGAGTTTTCCCAGACACTGTATCCAGATAGATGACCATTTTATGAGTTAATAAAAGATAAAATAAAATCTGTCTCTTGACTACCAGCAATAACCGGCACTTTAAAGGCCTTGTCCTTTTCTTATTTTTATAGAGGTTTCATTTCAATTAGAACTACTGGGTATCAAAATATATCAAGCTTCTGAAATTAACATAATATTAAGTTAAATAATTGATGAGGCCCTGCTAATATTAGCTGCAATATCCTTCCCTAGTTATATAAAAGAGGATCCATCTTCTATTGAGCAATATTACCACTATGTAAGACCCCATTACTATGCTTTACTAAAACCTTTCCGAGACTTAATTAACATGACAAAAAGTAAGCAAAACTTACCGTGTATTCTGATCCAAATTTGCCCAATAGGAAGAGGAGAAAGGGGGGGAAAGAATAATGCCATAATTATTTTATTGTTCATGTTGCTTTATTAAAATGTAAAAATACATTAATCATTGTGCTGACATGCATATTACATTTCCTGTGGATTATATGGGAACAGTGCAGAAAGACTGTATTTCTAATTGTTTCATCGCTGGTGAACGTGGAAGTTTGATTCCTGGAGCACCAGGGCAGCAGATATTTTTGCATAATTTTGCTCTCCCTATCATCCCATCCAAGAGCTGTTAAGGCACCCCAAGGAGACAGGTGGTAAACTCATCACCTGCATACATGAATAGAAAACGGATAAGCATTCTACAGCCTGTTTGTAGCGGAAGTCAGGGGAATGCCTTGCTTTTATTTTGTCTTAGATATCCTAGCTCTTTCTCAATACTACCGGGATATTCCAGTTTCTGATTCAGTTTATAAATAGGACTCCAGTGAGGTCAATTTCAGGAAAAAAACCACAAAACAGATTGAAGCTGCCCTGACAGATTAGATGCTGATTTCATAACGTATTCCTATAAGGTCAAATACTGTCCTTACAGAGGAATACAATTTAGGTTAGGCACACTCCTCAGAGGGCTTAAATCACCATTCCGTACCCACATTTAATTACCGGAATTACATTTGTATCTGGCAGATGATTTGGTTTTGTGCAGATAAACCTTTTGAAAATAAATGCATTTCCTGCAAGTCAGCACATTGAGCTCTCACCCTCAATTCATGCCCCCACCTCCTACTCTCAGCAGATACTGCGGAGGTGAAGGAAAGTTTGTCCCCCAAGCAATAACTGTGGGAGGAGAAATTGGCTGGCTTCAGCAAAAATATGCCAAAGCAATTGTTGGGGGAAGGGTGCACTGTCTCTGAATCCTATTTCCCCCTCACACTTGGCACTTCCTTTGGCAGCAATAGCAGGGGTCAGACTTTGTATGGGCATGAAGACTCAACAGCTCTTGGGACACAACAGAAACCTCCCGAGAACTATCCTCCCTGACGGCTCTAAGGAACCAACAGAGATAGAGAGAAACATAAAGAAGCTGCCTTACACCAGGGTCTGCCTATTTGCTTATCTTGTCAATAATGATGATGAATACCCCGTGCATCTGGCTGGGTTTCCCCAGCCACTCTGAGAGGCTCCCAGCAGAATATTAATAATAAAAAAGGGACAACATCAAACACTAAAAACCTCCCTAAACAGGGCTGCCTTCAGATGTCTTCTAAAAGTCAGATAGTTGTTTATTTCCTTGACATTTGATGGGAGGGCGTTCCACAGGGCAGGGGCCACTACCGAGAAAGCCCTCTGTCTGGTTCCCTGTAACCTCACTTCTCACAGTGAGAGAACTGCCAGAAGGCTCTCGAGAGCTGGACCTCAGTGTATGGGCTGAACGAAGGGGGTGGAGACGCTCCTTCAGGTATACTGGGCTAAGGCCGTTTAGGGCTTTAAAACACCAACACTTCGAATTGTGCTCAGAAGCATACCTGGAGCCAATGTAGGTCTATCCCATGGATAGGTAAACTAAGGCCCGGGGACCGAATCTGGCCCAATCGCCTTCTAAATCCAGCCCACGGACGGTCCAGGAATCAGTGTGTTTTTACATGAGTAGAATGTGTCCTTTTATTTAAAATGCATCTCTGGGTTATTTGTGGGGCATAGGAATTCGTTCATTCCCCCCCCCCCAAATATAGTCTGGCCCCCCACAAGGTCTGAGGGACAGTGGACCGGCCCCCTGCTGAAAAAGTTTGCTGACCCTTGGATCCTGAGTAGCCACTTTCTGGGGTCCCAGGCACTGGCTTCTCCAATCACCCTGAAGGGTGAGTGGGTATAACTGGAGGTGCCAGGGTTTGAATCTGGGACGGTTTACCTGCAAAGGTATGCACTCCACACCCTGAGCTATGGTCCCTTCCCTTGTGTGATCCTAAGGAAACTCCAGGGCTACAGTTGGCAAGCTCTGGTAATATCCTGGCAGCCTCCCAAGTGCCATTCCACTTAGCATCCCCGGGAAAATGGTTAGTGAGAACCCAGGAAGATGAGCATCATGGCTTGAGGGCATTTGGGAAATTTTAGTTTAGAGAAAAGGCAAATAAGAGTCAACATGATAGGAGCATATAAAATCATGTATGGCATGGACAAAATGCACCGAGGAAAAATTTCCTTCCTTGCTCATAACATTATAACTCCAGTGGGCATCCAGTGATGCTGAATGTTGGAAGATTCAGGGCTGGTTTCAAAAAGTGCTTCTGCACACGGTGCACAGTTAAATTACGGAACTTGCTCCCACAGGAGGAAGAAGAGAAGAAGAGTTTGGATTTGATATCCCGCCTTTCACTCCCTTTAAGAAGTCTCAAAGCGGCTAACATTCTCCTTTCTCTTCCTCCCCCACAACAAACACTCTGTGAGGTGAGTGGGGCTGAAAGACTTCAAAGAAGTGTGACTGGCCCAAGGTCACCCAGCAGCTGCATGTGGAGAAGCGGAGACGCGAACCCGGTTCCCCAGATTACGAGACTACAGCTCTTAACCACTACACCACACTGGTCCCAACCTAGATAACTTTAAAAGTAGGATAAATCTATCAACAGCGACAAGCCACAATAGAGGCAGCAATGCTTCTGAATGCCAGCTGCTGGACACCACATGAGGGGAGAGTGCTGTTGTGCTCAAATCCTGCTTGTGAGCTTTCCATAGGCATCTGGTTGGCCACTGTGGGAACAGGATGCTGGACTAGATAGGCCACTGGTCTGATCCAGCAACGCCCTTTCTTAAGTTGTTACGTTCTCCTGGCCTCGCCCCATTTAACAGTTCCTTCTGCTGGCTGCAACTCACTTCACTGCAACTAATGTAATTCTCCCACCCTTTGTGAGCTGAAGGCAGGTGTCTGTTCATTATCCTTGGGTGCCAGGGATGTCCACCAGTGTCCTAAGGGAAGGGTACATGCGCAGCCCTTACCTAGGAAGGTGTTCTAGCCCACCACTTTTGTCCTGCAATAATATGGGTTCTCCTAGTCTCCCACTACCACCAACATGCCCCTATTTAGGCCCTGGAGATGTCTCATTCATACCTGCCGCTTTCCAAAGGGACAGATCTAGCAATTAAATAAAGAAGATATGGCAGCTGAAGTTGGCATTTCCGGCAAACCTTTCAAAATCTAGTACCTGTTGTGATGTGGAGCCTCAAAGGACAAATGCACCCAAGGGCAAACATGACCTTCACCTTAAAACAACACTTCCCCTCTGTTCTTTAAAACGTACCTGTAATTGTGTATGGGTAGTAATTCCATGCCTTCTCTGTAACATAAAATATTTTGGGGACAACAGCTCTTGCCCAACTTGGGAGTTTGCTGCAAAGAGAAACAAAAATTTAGATCACAAGTACGAAGAACCTTAATACTGACTTAGCATGAGGATATGTTCAGGGAAGAAAACATATTACAGTGGTACTTTGGGTTACATACGCTTCAGGTTACATACGCTTCAGGTTACAGACTCCGCTAACCCAGAAATATTACCTCAGGTTAAGAACTTTGCTTCAGGATGAGAACAGAAATCGTGCAGCGGCGGCACGGCAGCAGCAGGAGGCCCCATTAGCTAAAGTGGTGCTTTAGGTTAAGAACAGTTTCAGGTTAAGAACAGACCTCCAGAACGAATTAAGTTCTTAACCTGAGGTACCACTGTATCTTGATTTTTGTCAAAAGATGCCCATTTCTGATACAAGAATACTAAGCCAGTTAATATTTGACTAGCTGTTCCTTCTGCACCTCCCCAATTCTATTTTTATTGACTTTTGTTGGCTTAAAAAGAAAAATATTCAACATAAGGAGTTGCCGGGGTGGGGAGTTGGGGATCCCTGCTTTTTAGCCTGTGTTTTATTTGTCTAGAGTGTTTACACTGGGGCCAAGCAGGTTCTCAGGGGTGTGGCCCACCCCAGTGACATCAGATGCCCTGACTCCTATAGTGGAGCCACCTGACTTGACCCCAGCACTGCCTCCTGTCATTGAACTGTTCCCCGCTCCCAGGGAAGCAAACGAGGCTAGACTGGAGTGAGCTGGTTGTGTTGACTCCACTTCTAAGGATGTGGTGATGGCTGTGATGGCATAAGCAACAGACCCAGAAGACTCAACCTACTTTTAGGAGTGCTCACTTGCATGTCCAGTCCCGTGGCTTGGGAAAACAGTGGAAGTGACTGTTCCAAAGGGGAGCTCAGGGGTCATGTCAGGTGTTGGGACTTCTTAGCTTATGCCTAGCCATGTATCCTAGAGCTTTGCTGTGACATCTGAACCTGTAACCTGATTTATGCTGGTGTACTGCAGTGAATTCTGGAATAATCATAATCAAGCCAAGAGTCTGGAGTCTACAAGTGGCAGCCAGGGCTGGTTCAAGAGCTCACATATCACCAGCAGTTTTTGTTCCATCTGAAACTTTCTACCTTCAGGGAATACTTTCCACATCAGCGTATGGGAAACATACTGGTGGTTTTCAAAGACTGAAAATGAGGTGTTATTTGCTCACTGAGATTAGAAAAAGGGATACTTTTGAATGGTAGGAAGGTAAATTTAAATGAAACCAGGGGTAGAAGAAACTAGTAGAGCTGTTCCTGGTAGTTCTGCAACACACAATGCTCCACAAGAAGGAATCTCCTTAGGGTTTTAATATAGTTATTTCTTCTTCTAGCAGCTGGAAAAACAGAAAATCTAAAACCTAATTCCAGGTGTTTGAGTAATCCTCCTGAGGAAATACAGATTCAAATGTTTTCTCCAAGGCTTCAAGCTCACAGGCAAGCTTCTCTCAGTTGGCTTCATATTTTATTCCTGTGCATGTCACTGGAGCGCTAAGTGTTAGCTCCACCTCCCAGCTCACCTCCTTATTCTCCCATATCCTGGCCCATCTGGCTCTTATGTATACACCAGGGATAGACCTATGACAAGTGCAAAGCATGTCCTCGTCCACAGGTGATTTCGGGGTAGGGAGAGAGAAGTAAACAGTGTCTTTTCTTGGAACTGGAGACTTGTACATGCTGAACTGCTTTGCGGCAGTTTGCACACAATGGCCTGGGGTGCAACTATGCTTAACTATGGGCTTAATGGAAACAAACAGCACGCTGCTCAAAAGTCCCCACTTGACTTTTTGCTGACCATATTGCAAGAAACCACAAGCATTGGGCTTATGGTGCTGTCTCAACTCAGGTTCATGACTTGTTTCCTTTCAAAGAAGCCATAAGTAGTAGCTCAGGCCTGGCTTTCTGCTTGTGGGTTGTTTGGGAAAAACAAACCACTAGCCTGTGTTCAGGTGATAAGACAAACCAAGGCTTGCTCCCAGGGTAGCATGACCCTGGGAGCAAAGTGAGAACTTTGATTTGACTATGGTTTACAACCTAGGGAAAATTAGCTACTACTTTTAAAGCTTTGTGTGGTATGAATGTAAGTGCATCTGCTGAACAACTGTTTGACAGAGCCTGTGTACTGTCCTCAAGTACTCTGCTTAAATAAATATGAATTATTTTAGCTAATAAAATTGAAAGACATATGTTTTGTGCAATGCTTTCCTTTTGCTCTTCAGTTTTATTTGACAAACAGTATTATTTTGACCTTTTGTTATTTTGCTCTCATCAAAGGCTGACATCTTATAATTACCTAATAATAATTCCCTTTAAAATACTGCTGTGGTGGTTGACTGAAAGCACAGACATTAAGAGTACATTATCTACTTACATTATCTACTGTATATTGATTTAATACAGTAATATTAATGGAAATCTCCCTGGTAGAGAGTTATGATCTTCTGCTTCTTCAAGAAATTGTTGCATCTAAGACAGCACTTTAAAAACTTTTGACTTTCAGGGAGAAAATACTTTCCACATCAACTTGTCAGTAGGGAGGGAGGAGAAATTTGATTCAGTTCACATTTAAAGGCAAACCTACCTAATTTGCACTTTTCAAAACAATACACAAACCAGACTTCAAAATGCACACATCTCCAATATGCATATACAAGGATAAAACGTGCATGAAAATGTATATAGTGGAAATAACATACAACAATGAATTATATTAGGCAACATTGCTTATTAAATGTGGATACTATGATGAATTTGCTGGTGAATATTCTTCTTTTCCTTATTTTAAACTCACAAATTGATGTGGAAATGTGGAGAACTGAGTTTAAGATTAAGAAAAATGAGAAAGTGAGAGAAACTGACATTGACAGATCTGCCCTTCCCTCCTTGTCAGTAGAGAAACTATTACACATTTGGCCCAGAACCCATGCACACTGCAGAAGTTAATGGATCAGACTCTAAATCAAACTCTTGGTCACTGACCATATCTCTTATGTCATTCTTGCTCTGAATGAATTACAGGTACAAAAAGAGGTACACTTCTGTCTGTCTGTCTGTCTGTTTTTTCTTGTAGGACTAATTGCAGTCGTTAAGTCGTCAACAGGTTTACCATACACATTGAGTCAATCACCCATCTCCCACTACCCTTCTGAGAAAAACCCCACGCTCCCACTATATAAGGGTCTGGTGACTTCTGTTTCAGTGTATCTGAAAAAGTGGGCACGCACACGAAAGCTTATACCCAGAACAAACTTAGTTGGTCTCTAAGGTGCTACTGGACAATTTTTAAATTGTTTTATTTGTCTGTCTGTCTGTCTCTCTCCCCCGCCCCCTTAAATAGTTCACAAAAATACATCAGGATGCAAGATACATAAGAATACATCTTATGGTTATATACTGCTGGGGGAGATTGTTAGTTGTCCTGGCTTCAGCTCAAATGGGGGAAAGGCTGCTTTTGGAGGTGTCAAAATATTCCCTGAAGACCAAAGTTTACAGCAACTAATACTATTTTTCTTTGCTGTTGACTGATTTCCCCACCTCTTGGCTTCTGGTGCCATTACTTCCCCTTAACCCTCTCTTCCTGTTCCAGGGAATGTAGCCAATCAGGGATCACACTGCAAATGTGATGTTGTCACAATGACGTATAACCAGTCAGATTTGGACTCATCCGTGGCAGTAGTGATGGATGGCTATCTTTCAGGAAACTTGGCCCACCATTAGTGATCTTCCTATTGAGGAAAACCTTATCTTGTAAGAGTTCCCTAGAACTTAGTTTGAAAATTGCCAATCGAAAACTTTTGGCTAGACCTAAGAACAAACTGAACTTCAATAAACCTGTTGGAACTAGATTGGCTTGTAGCTTACAAACAATATAGCTTAATAAAGGCCTTGTATCAAGTTTCTCAGAAAGTGGTACAAACTCGAATTCAATTTGGGTTGAAGCGATACAAAAATAATGAAATGTATGAGGTTTTGGAGTTCACTACAAGGTAGAATGAAACCTTAGGGAAAGATTCCCTATTTCTTGGTACAGTGAACAGACCTGCAAGTTTTTAGATGTAAAATTAATAGGTAGGTTCCATCTGCAGAGCACAATGCGATGCATTTAGTGCTAACTCACACCCTAAGCAATTTCATTGATTTGAAGGGAACAATGCATTTAACACAAAGCTTTCCAATACCAGCCTGCAACTGAAACTGTGCTGAGCAGTGAAATATAATTAGCACTCCTAAGGCATTTGAAAGGATGGAGCAGAGGTGAAAAAGAAAAAAGGATGGCTCAGAGGGCAGACAGTCAGTGGTTTCTGTAAGAGAGAGCTTAAAACTGCTTGAATTTACTAATAATGGTCCAACGAGTCATCCATCATAGTGAATCATCTGGATGTGTCATTTCTGACCAATATAATTCCCATATTCATTTTTAAAAAACTAATTAATTCTTGACGCTGCTGTATGAGCAAGAGCAATCTCACTCACACACAATATTATATACTTGTCATTTCTAGCAAAAGTGTCACTTCTAAATTAATATAGAGTCAAACCAAGAGAGCCTTGAAATAGGCTGCCTGAAAGGAAGTCCTTTAAAATGCATCATATTAAAAACTGCTCATTAAATACTGTACAGGTAGCTTGCATGGTAGAAAATATTAAAATTATGGACAGAGGTTTTTGTACTAGAATATATGGCAAAAATGTATATTAAAAAATAGTGGAAACTTTCCGCTTCGAGAACCATAAAAAAGAAGACATAAAGCTGTGTTACTTTGCTAGTGCATTTGCCTTAGGCAAAAATCAGTAGGTAAGAAGCTCACACTTGCCTAAGGGCAATGTGCTACAGAAAGAAGAGAACCATGAGAGCAAAACAGTTTGGTTGCTATGAAGTTGAACACTGCAAGGGAGAAAGAGAAAACACAAAAGAGATCACTCCCCTCTTTGCTATATGTGCCCTAGGCGCAAAAGATAAGACGAAAGGTTGGATCAGACACCAACTAGGATGAGACTCTGCATGCACATACCATGTTTCGATCTGACCATTTCTCCTTTACAGAGTTAAGGAAACGTCCAACATTCTTTCCTTGAACAGGATTAAGATAAAGCATTCCAGTCTGAATTCTTACTCCAGCTGGGACACGTACATTGGATTTCATAGGTTTTACGTATGTACTCCAAGGTCATTTTGTGCACACCCAGAAGAGTTAATGCATTCCATGAACATGGACTGAACATGTTTACTAAGACCTGCCATTAACTTAAGGTCGAGTACTAAAAATACAGCTGTTTTGTGAAAAATATTAACCAAGTTAGATATTTCTCCATCACAAAGGGGGACTACTTTTGGTTTTGCACAAATTTCCAGCCCAAAACATTCTGAACAAATCTTTGGAATTTTGCTTATTCATGCCTCTTGCCAGTAGAGATTCTCCTTTAAAAAACTGAATGAACACACTGTGGCGATCACACAGGGCCCCCGGACGTTTCACTGTCTATTGATCCCTGTGCCACCACTTTATTTCTCGCTGCCACCACCCAGGCCCTACCTGGGACAATACTGAGTCCAGTCAGGGTTAAATTGAAACATAAACTTTTGTTTATTTATTGCAGTTTAACAAGTGTGTGGTTTCATAAACGGTATCAGTCCATTACAATCATGGGGTGCCTATCCAGACCTATAAATTCCGCTACCTGCTCTCACTCACTAAACCACCTCTCCGATATTTTCTTGTCTTCCTAGCCCCTAACTGTTCCTGACTCAGCCTATTTCGCTACACTAACTTAACCTACCCACAAACTCTATCCCAATTCATGCCCACTCCAACCAACCACCCAACTCCCAACAAACTCCTCCATGAACCCCTCCAATGAACTCTCCCTTTGCTCCTCCCAGAGCTGGTTTTATAGTCCCACTGACTCCACCCTCCTGGATCCTGACTGGGCAACCTGTTTAACTATTTCACCTCCAGCACACTCTCTGATGTTAACGTCACACACACTAACCCAGCGGTCAGCAAGGTTTACCTCACCTGGGTCGGTTCACTCCAGTGGAGAGCCTTCTGTGGGCTAGATTGTGTGTGTGTGTGTGTGTGTGTGTGTGAATGCGTGCGCCTGCGATTTCCAGGGTCTGCACAGACACGATTTCTGGCACTGCAGAAGCGAGTCCCTGCACCACACTGCGCCAGTTTAGCACAGCACGCAGGGACTCGATGAGCGGGTGGCTCGGTTTAGGGGTGATTTGTGGGCCGGTTAAACGACCCCCCGTGGGCCACTTGTGGCCCATGGGCCTAAGGTTGCCTACCCCTGCACTAACCTGTCCATGTTTTTATATTCATATGTGTGTAGTTGTGAAGTATTGTCCTAAGAAGCACCACTGTGAAAGCTGGATAACCTGTTCCGGTTCTTATTTGTTAGAAGTTAACCCTAAGTTTGGGTCTGAAGCATGTTGGCATAACGTAATTTGCAAGTGGACTGTGGTTGGTAATCTTGTTGCTAGGCTGTGAAAAGGACAGAGCTGACAGAATTCTGGGGTAGCACTGCAGTGACACAACGGACAGAATATTGCTGTCACAAAGAAGCTCAATAAAAGTAAATGGACCTAAGGGAACAGAAGTGAATGTGCAAAGCAGCAAAGTTTGGTTAGGCTGCCAGTAGGAAAGCAATTGAAATAGATTAAACAACACATTTTGAAAAAGAGCAATATAAATCTTTCATTTAGAACCAGTCTTCAGTCTGAGCAGAAACACCAACCCTTCAACATTATCATGTGACCTCGGGATATTAATATATTTTGCTTAAAGAAATTGCAGAGCACAAAGAGGAAAATAAGATATCCCCCAATCATGTCCTTCACTTTACTGTTATAGGTTACTGATGCTCAAGGCTATATATATATATATATATATATATATACACACACACACACACACACACATATATATATATATATCCATAATGTCACCTTGCTTTGCTGACATAAACCTGTTGCCCCCCCCAATGAGCCATTTCTCTTGTAGAGTGATGTTTGCTTATACTTCCACAAGCAATTCTCTGTGCATTGTGAGCCAGACTGACTTTATGCACACTGCTGATGTAGACAAGTAGAACCATCGTGTCAGACAGGATTTAATTTTAAAGCACCTTTTCCCAATACTGCAGTTACTGATTTAAGTGTTTCAGGCAAAAATGCTTTTTTGAAAAGAAAAAACTTGGCTTCAACTGGAAAGATGACACCTTCTATCTTCTAATATACTTTACACATTAGAGAATCTGAGAGACCATGACAAACATGAATTAATTAGTCCTCTCAATCCTTTTGAGCTTAAAAGCCAAGAATTATTATCATCAGCTTTGGTGGGACATAAACCTCAAGAAGGACTGGACCCTGAAGCTATCCTACAGCATCTGCTCATTGGGAGTTCAATGAAAGTGCAATCCTGACTTGAACTTTTGATAGCCAACTTTTCTCCATGCAGGAAATCCTTATCGTCCCAGAGATACATTAATGTGGACAAATCTAGTGTGTAAAATAAACATTTTCACAACATCAGTGAACTTTCCCTAGGGTTGTTCAGCTTATAAATGATCCATGAGTGGAATTTTCTTCTATGCACTCCAAACATTTCTAGCTCTCGTGATTCTCTACAGCAGTGTTGGCCAAACTTCGGTCTCCAGCTGTTTTTGGACTACAACTCCCATCATCCTTAGCTAACAGGACCAGTGGTCAGGGATGATGGGAACTGTAGTACAGTAGAACCTCTATTTACAACAGCCTCCACTCGTGGACGTTCCAAGTTGCGACCATGACAAACCCAGAAGTGGCAGGTTTGCCGCCGTTCATGCCTGAGCAGAAGCGGCGATATCGCCGCCCGCGCCTGCACACAGCTACCAAAACAGCTGGGGACCCAAGTTTGGCGAACACAGTGTCCAGAAAGTGTTCAGAAAGGTTGGCTTGGGTCAGAAACCAGTCATTATTCTTGGTCATCACCCATCCTTCTCCTCCTCGAAGTCCTCTGGTATGTATAAGACACTTGCGGCTGGGCATTGTCTCACATATTGCACTGAGAAGGCAGAACCAAGGCAAGTCTCTTGCACTGCCCGTTTCAAATCCCAGAGCTGGAGAGATCATCCACCCACCTGACCAACTCTTCCACACTGGAATTTGGGGAGGCCTGATGTCGTACTGAGCTTTGGAACAGCAATTCCTTGAAATTCACTGGGAGCTCCAGGGAGCGGAGAGGATTTGTATGTTGCTGCACGTCCTGACTAGGACACAGGCTGTCACCAGAGGCAGTTCCCTTGGTGACTGGATTTATGGTGAATTGCTTACACAAATCCTTATCTTCAGTGCACTTTAAGCATCATTGTATCTGGAGTCCTGCCTGGTCTTCATTCATGTCACCTTATAGTTTGTTTTCTCTCCGGCATAATTCTTAGACTAATCTGTACAGAAAGGGGAAGCTGTGCTGACTTTTGTCTCACATGCCAGCTGCTAAACTGTGACCAGTGGTCTGCGAGCTTCATTCAGGTGGTCTGTGGGATGTCTGTGATGAACGCTTACAATTTCGATTCAAATTGGAATATATGAAGTAAAAGAAGCAATAGAAACAGAATTAAAAATCATATGCAGAATCTAGCACATTAGAATTGCTATAGCAGGCAGAAAAATCATTAAGATTGGCCAAGACCCTCAGCAATTTCCAAGTAGGCCCATAGAGGGGGGAAGTTTGGGAAGCACTGAGACAGAGAGTTGTGCAAGTGCAACTGTATCACATATATACCGGGCATAAAACCTAAACAAAATGTCTTAAGAAGAAATGGAGAAGAGGAAAGTACAGTGGTACCTCGGGTTAAGTACTTAACTCGTTCCGGAGGTCTGTTCTTAACCTGAAACTGTTCTTAACATGAAGCACCACTTTAGCTAATGGGGCCTCCTGCTGCCGCCGTGCTGCTGAAGCACGATTTCTGTTCCCATCCTGAAGCAAAGTTCTTAACCTGAAGCACTATTTCTGGGTTAGCGGAGTCTGTAACCTGAAGTATATGTAACCTGAAGTGTATGTAACCCGAGGTACCACTGTACTGTATTTTTCTGTCTATAAGATGCCCCCATGTATAAGACATCCCTTATTTTGGGGGACTCCAATTTAAGAAAATGGGGGGAGATGGCCCCTGTGTATAAGACACCTCCAAATTTTGGACATTATTTTTAGGGGTGGAACCTAGTCTTATACACGGAAAAATACGGTATGTCATTTCCAAAGCTACTACTCTGCCCCCATGCCACACTCCTTTTCAATGGCAAAGGCTGCACATTTGGAAAGAACCTTCACCCCCATGGTTTCTCTCATAAATTCTATAAATCAGTGGTTTTCCACCCCCACCCCCCGTGCTTGAAACAGAACAAACTGCACAAGAAGACTTTACCTCCCAAATCTGCATAGATGTTCCAGGACAATGCAATGGCAGAAATGTTTACCTGTTCAGATAAACCCGTTTTTCGGTCAGTTGACCATTCCCATAATTCGGATCTTCATAGGGTTCGTTCTGCACCACTTCTACCCCTTCTCCACGATCACTTTGCTCGTGGCTGTGTTTACTGATCATGTACAGCTGTCCAATTCTGTACTGCAAAGCAAAAGGAGAAGCAAAACATTTAGGTCTGCCGCAAAATCATCGGGGAAAGAAGTGAACCTCACCCTAGTAATCCGCATAATGAAAAGTATTTCTTGAAGAAATCTGCTAACTACCCTGAGAATGGCTGATGGGGATAAATAATCGAGATGCGTCTGTAGAACTTTTATACACAGACCCTTTCCAAAGCATTTCTAGCTATTAATTTAACATTACAGCATCATAGGGCTGCTTCAGACAGTTGTAATTCGCTCTACATGGAATGGTTCTTAAAGACAAAGCTGTGAGGAGCATGCAACCGAGCTCACACACACACACAGGCGGCCCCTGGATCCTAACAGCAACTCACAGCAAGTTCATTGACAGGAAAACGTGGCCTCACAATCACACAAATTGCTCCTAGATGTGTCAGCTTAGATGGGCCTGTTCAAACATTTCTTTCTTCCCATAGCTGCCTCTATTTGGGCCACTCTACATACAGCATCTCAGCCCACCTGAGACTATTAAAAATAGTTTTTGATTATAGGAGAACCTGAATGGATTTGTTCCAGAAGTGGGCAGAGAAGGAATGAAATATCTAAAGTAACATGAATGCATTATTTTTCAAAAGACCTTGAAGATTCCTTTGAACTGATTTGTAAATAGTAGCCTAAATCCCCAAGAGATTCATCCTCAGGATGGCAGGGACAGTATGATGCGAAACAAAACTAACTTCTTCCTCTTTTTCTTTTGGCAACGATTTATTATTCAATTACCTGCTTCATTTAATTAACAAAATTTATATACCAGTTGATTGTAGTAAAACCTCTAAAGTGGTTGACAGGAAATGTTAATATTATCAATAAAAACAATTAAAAACATTTTAAAATAACTATAATTAGGAGTAAAATACACTTATTTCAGTTAACAGAATGCATATACTGCAAAATGTATATAATGTAAAACTTAAAGGACATCAGTTGTAAACTGTCCACAAAAATATTAAATAAGTGCAGAAGTGCAAGTGTTTCACAACTTTCAGAATAGACTTTGACTTCAGTTAAACCTAGTTAAATTCAGTAGCAGCTGAGATTTTTAAAATTAAACATAAACCAAGGGGGGAATTCAGAGTAGTGCTAAATGGGGTTATGTGTGCATGGAATGGCTCTGCTCATGTAAAAAGGCTTTCCCTCCTATCCTCCCCCCTAAAAAAAACCCCCCACCTGTTCTGGGCTTTTCACCATCACTCTGGAAAAGAAATGGGGGGGGGGATGAGGAAGAGCTGAGGGGGAGAAGTCCTATTGTGTGCATGTAACAACTTAGTTGAATCCCACCCAAAATATTTGCAAAAGTCAAGTCTCTATTTAGTGGGTACATTTCAACATTAAAACATTTTAGTAAAAACCAAGTAAAGTAAAAAACAAAACAAAAATATCAAGTACACATTGTACTTGATCTGTTAAAATGCACATTTCTGAAAGTACTGTGTTAAGTTAAAACTGAGATAATCCAATTACAGATAACAAAGAGTTACAGAATGGCCCTTCTGCCTTGGGTATTTAAAAAGCTGGTGCTTATATTGTGGCATTAACCCTGCAGATGAAGTGTTATATCATTATTACAAACTGTGCCTACCATAGCACAAGTGGATTTTTGTTATACATTTAATGTATTCATAATTAGAACTCGGCTACTAACGTCTACTTAAAAGCTTGTGGATCATTTAACCTACGGAGATGTTTTCTGTCTAAAAAATTGCACAATAGCAGATTATACTCTCTGTGGAAGCCAAGGACGATTTTGCAACTGATCGCCATACAGATTACATTAATATATTGTAGCATATAGAACTAGCATAGAATTCATCTGAACAACAGGAAAGGCAAGAAAGGGGGATGGGTTATAAGCTTTACTGTCAACAGAGAGTTCCCAGGTAGAAGCTGTCCTAGCCATAAAATTATAAATTAAAATGTGAACAACGGATGCTGCCAAGCAGAGATGGGGAAATTCAGTCATTTGCTGGGACACATACTGGTCCCATGGAGAACAGTAAGGTCCAAAGTGTCCCAGCACAGCATCAGAATATGTTCAAATGTTCCAGGGATATAAGTGGAGCACTTGTGTATCTTTGGTCTGCAATCCCATTCCAACTGCTCAGGGTCTGAATGGGCTGGTATTTCAGGTGTCTGAAATGACAGCAAGAATGGATTATATACGCACATATTTTTTAGGGCTGAAAAGAGTGTAAATATGTAGCACAATCCAGCAGCATCTAGGCACTTTTAAATTATATTCAGGGCTTTTCCCCCTTCAGCCGGAACTCTCCAGCAGCGGCAGAGCATATGCCCGCGCTGCCCAGGACAGGCGCGCTCCCGAGGGGGCGCGTGCATAGGGTGCCCTCCCAGGCATGGGATAGCCGTTCGGGTGCCAGAGTGGCATGTGTGCCCTGCCGCCGGGGGCGAAGCAAGCCACCCATGGCGGATCTTGGCCACACTGCCCACCCACGACTCCCAAGCCTCCCCCAAGCTGTCAAAACAAAGGGAAAAGGGGGGAATGCTGTCAGCAAAGCAGCGTGAAATGAAGGACGTGAGGCAGGAGTTGATAATGCAGGTGAGCTGTGAGCTGCAAGCAAGCTGCCGGCCAGCTCTGTGGAGGCTCCTTTTATTGACACAATATGCAAACCCAGGCAGATACATTTTGGGCTGTGACCTTTACACATCTTCCAGTCCCGAGATCGCGGGGTGGTACAAAGTTATTTTGGCACCTATTTCCACCGTGTCATTTTCCCCTTGCACAGTGTATGACGAAAGAGACAAAGGTCACAGACAGGACACCGCAGACTACCGAGACCACAAAAGGTTAGACAGGGGGCAAGATGTTCAGACAGCTGTGGCTTTATCTGTGAGGGGGAGTGTGCCCTGCACCTCAAGGTCACGCGTGTAGGCAGGTGAGGCTGCCCGTGGGTGGGGAGTGTGCTTCGCACCCAGCAATCATTCCTACAGCGGACCAGCTCCCCCCCTTACCCCGACGGCTTGGAGTAGGCTTGGGAGTCATGGACAGGCAGCGCACTGAATGTCACCCACTTCAGTGAGGGCACCCAGGGCAGTCAGCTCCCACCGCCCCCCCTTCCTACACCCCTGCTCTCCGGAACTTGGCTCTGGCACCTCTCAGGTGAACACTGTCGCCATTCTAAGACAACAAGGGAGGCGTTCATGGAGAGTTCCGGCACCTCTTTTTCTAGAAAAAGAGCACGGGTTGTATTACTTTCAAGCGTACAGTGGTACCTCAGGTTACATACACTTCAGGTTAAAGACGCTTCAGGTTACAGACGCCGCTAACCCAGAAATATTACCTCGGGTTAAGAACTTTGCTTCAGGATGAGATGAGAACAGAAATCGCGCAGCAGCAGTGGGAGGCCCCATTAGCTAAAGTGGTGCTTCAGGTTAAGAACAGTTTCAGGTTAAGAACGGACCTCCCGAACGAATTAAATTCTTAACCCGAGGTACCACTGTACTGGGCAGAGCAATCCAAAGCCTGGCTGGGGAGCAGCAAAACCCAGCAAGAAGAGGGGCAGACCCGCCATTGCATCCAAAGCCCCAGCAGTCGTGCCATCGAGGGCAGAAGGATGTGCTTGTCCCTTTTCTTGCTACGCCAGCTCCTGACTGGCAACTGAGGGGCCCTTGGGGACTCTGCTGGCGCCTCGCCATTTTTCAGTGCTTTCTGCCACAGGGTGTGCTGCCCCCCCCCAAAAAAGTGCTCCTTTCTGCAGCCAATGCTACATACACTCCTACTGGCCTCAGACATTGCCACAGGAATGGAAATGGAAGAGGCCGGGCAGCATGCAACATATCTGCATACCCTGCAACATTTCACAGGCGAGAGCAAAGGCGTTCCTGAGCATGGGTACCTTCCACAGAAAAAAGAGATTTGTGGAAGGGAGAGACACGGAGACGCGAGGGAGAAAAAGTCCAAGCTGCATCTGCAGCAAAGGGAGGCGTGACATTCAGTTCAGGGGGTTCAATGTACCCTTTCGTTCTCAGAATGATTTACTGAAAACATCTACAAGGAAGATTTATAGGTTGTTCACCTGAGCCTGTCTGTAAATGCATTCTTGCTCTTTTTTTAAAAAAAAAGCACTCTGTAACTCTTACTTAGCTAGCTCAGAGGAGGAGGCTCAAGGCTAAAGCACGTGGCTGCCGATCAGCATGCCTGGATATGCCTTTAACTGAGCCTGTGTGTATTTAGTGTCAGCACCGAGTGAAGCACCAGCGTTTTCTGCAAGACATCCTTGTGGTTTTGTGACAAAGCCTACAATTAGAATAATTTTTAAACCGGGAACCTTCCCTGCTCCGGAGGCAGCTGCAGGATGGCAGGGAAGGGAACTTCATGTTCCGGAAGGTTCCTCCCACAAAACAACAACAACAACAAACCAACACCCTAAAAGATGTTGGGAGGAGGGAGGAAAAGCAGAGGACTGCCCACCCCACCCCACCCCAGCATCTGGCTTGGAGGGGAGATATATAGTATAACTCCCACTGCTGCCTTTTAAAGCACTGCTTAACACCCCCGAGTGTTCTGCAAAAGGTGGAGGGGGTGCTGTGAGGTATAATAGGACTGGGAATAGCCTAATTAGGGCAATGAAAAAATCTATTCCAAGTTATTCCAAGTCAAGTTTTTGTTTTTGTTTTAATCACATCACCCTCAGGAGCCCCAAAGTGAATATGGGCAGCGAATGAGGCTGTGGAGAGCAATGCAAAGGTTACAAACTTTTTTAAAAAAATCAGTGTTACAAGGTGGCTGAAGGTTGTATGTTTGTATTCTTCATTTAAAGAATACAAACATACAACCTTCAGCCACTTTGTAACACTGATGAGGCAAGAACCATGCCACATTTCCACCACAGTAATACACGTAAAGCTTGCTGGATCAGGCCCCATCTTGTCTAGCATCCTGTTCTCACAGTGACAGCTTAGATACCTGTGGGGAAACCTGCAAGTAAGACCCTAACACAAGAGCACTCCCTCTTCCTGTGGCTTCTGGTATCTAGAAGTATTACTCCTCCAACTGTGGAGACAGAGCATAGCCATCATGGCTAGTAGTCATTTATAACCTTGTTCTTCTCCACTGGATACAGGTGGCGCTGAGGTCTAAAACCATTGAGCCTCTTGGGCTTGCCGATTCAAGGGTCAGCAGTTCAAATCCGCACAACGGGGTGAGCTTCCGTTGCTCTGTCCCAGCTCCTGCCAACCTAGCAGCTCAAAACATGCCTGTGCAAGTAGATAAATAGGTACTGCTGGTAAACGGTGTTTCCATGCGATCTGGTTTCTGTCACGGTGTTCTGTTGCGCCAGAAGCAGTTTAGTCATGCTGGCCCCATGACCCGGTAAGCAGTCTGTAGACAAACACCGGCTCCCTCGGCCTGAAATCGAGATGACCGCCGCAACCCTATACAGTGGTACCTCCGGTTATGAACTTAATTCTCTCCGGAGGCCCGTTCTTAACATGAAACCGTTCTTAACCTGAGGCGCGCTTTCGCTAATGGGGCCTGCCTCCAGCGCACGACTTCCGCTCACATCCTGGGACAAAGTTTGCTTCCAGGAGCACCTACTTCCAGGTTAGCAGAGCTCGTTACCCAACGCATTCAGAAGGAAGACACAAGGAGTAACCAGAGGTATTAATGTAGTCACCTTCAACTGGACTTCACTGTCCAGGGGTCCTTTACCTTTTTTTACATTTCTCCTCCATTAATTTGTCAAATCCTTTTAAAAAACCACTAAAGTTGGTGGCCTCCTGTGGGAGTGAGTTCCATAGTTTAACTATGTGATGCATGAAGAAGGGCTTTCCCCTTGACAATTTCTGCAGACTTACTTTTCCAATTTGGGGCAACTTCTTGTCACCCCTTTCCCATGTGAATTGTGGTTTTTTAAAAAAACAACCAGCATAGTGCTAGCAAGCAGCAAAAAATGGAAATACAATTAATGGGTAGAGCTACAAGGCTCTGGTCTGAAACGAGCCCACTTCTCTTCCAAATTGGCATGTACTTGCCAATTTCTCATGTACTTGCAACATCTGCTGCCTTCCATCCTTTAAGCCGTGGTAGAAATTACATTGAGAAACATGGAGAGCTCCCTTCATCAAGAGAGCAACTATTCACTCCCGAGGATGAAACATCAATAACCGCAAGAGGGATGTGCTAATTACTGGAGATTGTTATTTGTCCCAGACTATATAACTGTACGTTAATTGACTTAGATGTCATTGTATCAGCTTCTTTGGAAGGATTATTTAATGGCATTCCATATGCAAATTGTGTATATCTGTATGGTACTGAAAAATCAGAAACTGTACTATACGCATTATTGTTGTATATTTTTTAGAGAGATGGAAGAATCAAACTTATTTCACTTTTGTTCCCTTTCCAGGAAAGTCTCTCTCTGTCTGTCTCTCTGTGTGTGTACACGTGTATTTTAGTATTTTAACTTTTCATATATTTTAAACTATGTTTTCTTGATTTTCTTGTTTTATCATTTTGTAACCCGCTTTCATGTTGTTATTGTTTTACAATCAAACAGTGTACAAATTTTATGAAATAAATAAATTATATTTTTAGAGCAAAGGGGGCACAAGCAAATGAGAAGAGCTGAGCCCTCCTGCATCTATCACTTCCTTGTTAGGTCTTCCCTCAAATACTTTTTCACCCAGATGAAACAGATTGGCTGAGGAAAGAAATATATGAAGAGAGAAGACTGAGATAAAGGGGGGAAGAGTTAATCATCCTTATCTACTTTTGCTCTAAAAATGTCCCAGCCCTTTGCTTTGTAAGTAATTGAAGCAGACCTGGTTTGAAACAAAAAAGATCGCCAATAACATGCCTGATTTGGACCTTACTTCTTTCTTTCTTTTTCCTCTGAAGCTGAAAAAGATTTTTTAAAAGTTAAGTACTGCAAGAGTGCCTGGTCATGCCGCTGGTGAATAATGCATCTCTAAGTGCATTCCATTTGTAGCCAAAATTCAAAAAATAAAAAAGGAGGAATGACAGGAATCTGCTAAGGAGACGTGTGTCAGGTGAATTCAAAGTTCATATGAACGCAAGAAATGTTTTACCCCTTTAAACTGCAGAGATATTTCAACTGTTTAAAAATTACAAGCTTATAAAAAACTTAGAAAATTGTAAAATTGTTTTTACAGTTAAAAGAATACTTGGACATTTATATATTTTCCACAAAACTGCACACACAGGGCTTTGTAGAAAAAATAATAAACTACGGGGTAATATCCAACATTAGTCGAAATAGGTTAAAGTTAAACACTCACAATGGACTGCAAGGAGATCAAACCTCTCCATTCTTAAGGAAATCAGCCCTGAGTGCTCACTGGAAAGACAGATCGTGAAACTGAGGCTCCAATACTTTGGCCACCTCATGAGAAGAGAAGACTCCCTGGAAAAGACCCTGATGTTGGGAAAGATTGAGGGCACAAGGAGAAAGGGACAACAGAGAACGAGATGGATGGTTGGACAGTGTTCTCGAAGCTACCAGCATGAGTTTGACCAAACTGCGGGAGGCAGTGGAAGACAGGAGTGCCTGGCGTGCTCTGGTCCATGGGGTCACAAAGAGTCGGACACGACTAAACGACTAAACAACAACACTCACAAATTTGCAAAGTTCATTATTCACTGACTTCCAAAAACAAAACAAAAAACATAACCCCTCAAAGCAAAATATAAAAAGAAAATCTGAACTCCAGAGTCCTTTGGGGACACAGAGACGACATACACCTGCATAAGAAGACAAGTTCCGGCGGATTGAGCGGATGAGACCAACAGTGGGTCGAACGGTCAAGAAGGAGGCTTCTGCACATGCTGTAGAGCAGGCTTCCTCAACCTCGGCCCTCCAGATGTTTTTGGCCTACAACTTCCATGATCCCTAGCTAGCAGGACCAGTGGTCAGGGATGATGGGAATTGTAGTCTCAAAACATCTGGAGGGCCGAGGTTGAGGAAGCCTGCTGTAGAGGGAAGTGAGGGGCAGATGAGGCTCCTCAACCCAGAGAAGGCAGCCCATTTAGGAAAAGGAAAACTCTTATCCTATATCCTTGCGGGACATTTTTGGGAGAAGAAAAGCCTAAGGGGTAAACCCTACACAAATCCAAAGTGGAGTGCCTAAGACGGTTGGATAGCGCCTTGTATGCCCCTCCTCCCGGCATCTCCTGCAGCCAAACTAGTGCCAAATGTATTGCTCTGCTTTCCCTGTGGACCACATAAACAAGGCCAGGGTGTGTGTGTCTGTCTTGTTATCTGGGCAGATCAGGACCTCCATACATACTGTCCAGGCTTGCACCCTGCGGAGCTCACTTTGGTGCTGCTAACGCAGTGGTTTCACTTCACCCCCGGAGGCGCACTGCATTGTCTCTTGAGACAGATGGATGCAAACAACAGCAATATTCTCCCACCAACCCATGACTGAAAGCCGGGTGCCAGCTGGAAAGAGGCAACCTCTACCTCCCACTGGTACTGCCAACTTTTAAAACCATATTACTCCTATAGTGAGGGACGCGGGTGGTGCTGTGGGTTAAACCACAGAGCCTAGGACTTGCCGATCAGAAGGTCAGCGGTTCGAATCCCTGTGACGGGGTGAGCTCCCGTTGCTCGGTCCCTGCTCCTGCCAACCTAGCAGTTCGAAAGCATGTCAAAGTGCAAGTAGATAAATAGGTACCGCTCCGGCGGGAAGGTGAACGGCGTTTCCATGCGCTGCTCTGGTTCGCCAGAAGTGGCTTCATCATGCTGGCCACATGACCTGGAAGCTGTACGCTGGCTCCCTTGGCCAATAAAGCAAGATGAGCGCTGCAACCCAGAGTCAGTCACAACTGGACCTAATGGTCAGGGGTCCCTTTACCTTTTACTCCTATAGTGAAATATACTGAAAGTTTTCTTTACTGGTTACAATAATTAAATTCATGGTTGCCAGAGGCAACTGTATTTGTGGACCTATACTATGAAGTGTGTGTAATCTTTTTCTTTTCTGTTAAAGAAAGAAGAGCCATCTGCTTTGAAAAAGAACAAAGCTTTTTTTTTTTTACAGATATAGTCTAAGAGATAAAAGTAATGTTTTACTTTGCTCTAGCTTTCAACAAGGCAATTTTTGCAAAGCCTATTGTTCTAAATCGTGCTTCGGGTAATCAATTTCAATTATATTTAAAAACCCGTTGATTGGAGTTCAGTTACCATCTGAGCAAACAACAAAGTGGTTCTTCGTGAGCATGAGAAACACAGAGTAGCTCAAAGTCAATTCAAGGTCTCATTTTGAGTCGAATGCTAATTAGACAAAAAAGTAGAATGATAGGAATTGATTTCAATGTTTCTGTGAGTGTCGTGAGGTGGCAAGTCTCATCAGCTGCCAAATTCAGCACCAGCTGAAGTTTCTAAACCATCTAAAGAGGCAGCCCTATATATAACGCCTTCCAGTAATCCTACCTACAGGTTATCAGAGCACAGACAACAGAAGCTGGGTTATCCCTATCCAAAAAGAGGCGCAACTGGGCCACCAGCCAAAGCTGATAGAAAGTATTTTGTGTCACCGAGGCCACTAGAGCTTCAAGATATAGCAAAGGATCCAGGAGCACCCCCAAGCAACGTACCTGCTCTTTCAGAGGGAATATAACTTTTTGTGAACCCTGTTTATAATCTGCATATGCCTAGGCACTGTACCCATAATTGGGGCACAATTAAGTACATCATCTTGCAGTGTCTCCAATCAAGAATCCAGAGCCTGTGCAGAACTTTGGAAGAACGTGTGGACGGTAGGAGAGGGAGGCCACCAGTCACAATCCCACACCCTTGCTGTCTCCTCACTGAGATATGTTATATGAGCAGGGCTCATTCTCCGTTAAAGCTACCGCACAAGGCTTTAAAAGTTCTTGCTTGTAGAAGGTGTCTCCTTCCAGTACTTGATTTTCCCGTCCTACTATGGCCCCGCAAAAAACTCCATATATCATTCCAGGAGGCCCTCCCCAGCTCTCATGAGCTGTTTTCCAGCGGTTACGGGGAGTCTATTTGCATAAGCTGTTTGAGCATAGCAACAGCATTCCTAGAGAAACTCTCATTTTATGCCTATTCTAGCCCTTATGACTAGAAAATGTTTCATAGGCACTCTGTAAATAAAAAATGTTATACGGGAATTGGTAGGCATAGATTTCGGAATGGGTTTTAAGCTTGGAGAGCAATCTAGTCCATCTCCTGGGTGTAGTGAATGTACACAAGGGGATGTAGGAGGGAGGGAAGCAATTTCGACACAAAGGGACAATTAATCATTGATTTACATATAACCTCCTCCTATATTCAAATATGTAAAACGTATTTGCTCATATGCTACCCTGAGAGTATACTGGGAGTCCCAGGGGGAGGGCCGAGTTCCTGCAAGATCTCAACAGAGCTTGATAAGCAACTCTGAGAGCTCAAAAGCTCTTTCTGTGTTGGGAAAACCCTGCACCAAAAGAGCTTTTATGCTCTCAGCCTTCTGCGCAATCAGGTGTGTGATTCCAACCAGCTGGTTGCCAACCATGTAAAGCTGACATCGCGTAATTTAAACATTTTAATTTTAAGTTGTGAGTCGACTGCACTCCTTCCCTGCTGACCAGTCATATTTGAAGGAAGGACAAGAGCTGCTAGCCAATGGCATAAAAAGTGTGGGAATACACAGACAGAAGACAACCCACCTTGATAAATATATGGTGTTAATACTACTACTACTACTACTACTACTACTAATAATAATAATAATAATAATACTTATACCCCACCCATCTGACTGGGTTGCCCCAACCTCTCTGGGTGGCTTCCAATATAATAAAAACACAGCAAAACATCAAACATTAAAACATCCCGATACAGGGCTGAGTTCTGAAGTCTTCAGAAAGCTGTGCAGTCGTTTATCTGTTTGACATCTGATGGGAAGGTGCCACTACAGAGAAGGCCCTCTTCCTGGTTCCCTGTAGCTTCACTTCTCGCAGTGAGGGAACTGCCAGATGGCCCTCGGAACTGGCCCTCAGTGTCATGGAGGTGGAGACGGTCCTTCAGTTATACAGGTCTATGCATAAGGCAAAGAGAATTTAAGTTGGGGTTGGGAAATTAACAATCTGCCAACTTTCTCCATTGCACTCCACACATTTCCTACCTACTTAAAAGGTTGATCCACATGCTGACTTGAGTGCTTTTCTCCATATTCTGGTGAACCACAGGACACCACCAGAGAAAACTGGTTGAAGCCATGCCTAGCTGCCACCAAGCCTCATTAGACTGTCTTAGATACTATGGAACTGGCAGACCACTAAGCTGTACTTGCAACCAATACTAGGTCCATACACCGTATCCCCTTCTCCAAGGATCTTCTCCCTCACAGCAGTATCCAGGAATGAGAATCAAGGGAAATTAAAGGTGGATGGGGCAGGTTTGTAATCCATAACCTATATCCCTTCAACATGTTAATCCTGCCGCTACTGCCACTGCTATCACATCTCTTCTTGCCACAACTTGTCCTAAATCCCCAGACCAGATGCCAGAGAACTTCTGATGTGCCAAGTTGCTGGTTTATGTGTGGTGGGACTCCCCAGTCCTTTCCACAGTTTTCTAACACTTACATGTCCTGACAGATATGCACTAAAGTGTGCTCACCCTCTGGCTTTTCCTCTGCTATTAACTGTGAACTAGGTCTCTCCTTCCTACACGGGTAATGGTGGCCGGGTAGGGGTGGGAGAGGCAGCTGAATTCTGATGCACTTGGATGAATTACCCAGTGATTCTACCTCTCCCTGCTGCTTGTAATTGGGAATAGAATCTTGTTTTATCGTCGTTTTTTATGTTATAAATAAATCCAGATTAAAGAAAAGAACTGGCTGTGCTTTGCTTTGACAATGCTTTATGTGACATTTAACAATTTATGCAGCTGTTCTATCCCTGCTGCTTAAAGGTTACATTTGCTAGCCTTGTGTTTCCCGGTGACACAAAGAGAATGCACAATTAGAAGTCATATCCCCTAAAAGGCTCCAAAGGATGCTAAATCCACTTTCTCCATTGTGTGCCTCTCACAGCTTATTTTACTTAGCGCCAAGAGATAAAAATGCTTTAGAGTGTCCATCCAGAGTCTGGCTTCATTTGACATCAACACAATAGGCCAAAACATATATATTAGAGTGGGAATTATCCATCTTCTGCATTATCGCCTGAGACAAACCAAAGCTCTTGTGGTCTTCTAATAGCCTGGCTCCAAAAGAAGAGTGCTGTTATTAAATATTATGTTGTGTATCACTAAAACACACTCAGCATCAGGCAGTGCATTATGTGTCAGACAGATTGGAGGGCTTCCCTTTTGGAATCAGAATCCCTTGGTCCTTTGTTCCAGGGTGAGGTTATGTCGCCCTCAGTGTTTGAAACTCCCAGTGTTCTAGGCGCATTTTGTGACAGGGAATTTCATCAGCGCGAGCAGTTTCTGAGCTCTGGGCGCAGTACTGCACCTAAGATTTTCAGATTAAAACTGCAGAGTGGAAGGAAAGGAGGACCTTTTCTGTCTTCCTACTTCCAGGAGTGGGAAGACTGGAGATGAGACCCTCTTAAGGATATTAAGGGGATAGGCAGGGGAAGGACTAGACCATGTGGGAAATTGATTGTGTGGGGTTACCTGCCCCCCCATTTTTTATTCAGGTTGGCAGCCCTGTGCAGAAGACAATTCAGGAGCTTTCTCATAATGTTAGTCAAACCAAATTTAACCTCCATAAATGGGGAGAAAAAGCCAAGGGCTAACACGAACTATTGTTGTATGTCATATTCCCTAACCAAAAGATCATATTTTTACAATAAACTGTTTGAATTTAGCTCTGGTTTAACTATTTTTATGCTGAGGGCACATGATTGAAGTTAGCAGATGTAGGATTGCAACAGAGCTGGGCAAAGTATTACTGCATTAATAACAGTAGTAAGATGTGAGGAATTAAGGCAAAAGGTAGAAAGATCTACAGCTCCCTTCCAGATGACCTGTTTATTAAGAATTTGTTTGCAAAGTTTTCAAAGAAGTTATAAGATGTCCCATATGTCGTGAGCGTTCACTGTGTCTCAAGCAATTGTTAATCCTCACTTTCCTTATGACAAAAAGTCCAGTATTGGGACTTAGGAGTTTATTGCGCAAGAGCACCGAATCAACTTTCATTACACAACCTGATTTTGCCATTATGTGATTGAATCCCACCCAAAACCAGTTGACAGTCTGGAAGTGCCCTAACAAGTTTTTGATGGCATAAGCCTCCATGCACAAAATGTGAAAAGCTTATGGCACAATAAATCTGTTAATCTTTAAGGTGCAACAAGACCCTTTGTTGCTTTCAAAGCAGACAGACTGTTCTAAGTAATGATTTGCAGTGCAAATGGAAAACTAAAGCAGACAAACAGCTTTACACATTGTGGTTTGGTAAGCCCACAGGCTGCTCTGTACTATTGATTGTCTAAATGTCTGGAAGCTCAAATCATGATCTGAGTTCTAAAGCAAAGTTAATATACAAGCCATGGGTTGGCAATAAGCAGAAAAAAGCAATGAAAGAAAGGGACTGTTAACGTTGGTTAGGGCTAATCATCGAGCCTACCTACCCGCAATGAAGGCAGCAAAGAAGGCTGCCTCCATTGCATCCTCACGAGCTTTTCTGGATAGTGTGGAGTCTCTTACAGGCTGGCCTGAAGAGCATTGCAGAACCAATGGTAGCTCGCTGTGATTAGTTTGCAAAATATTTTGAGGATAAAATCGCTTGCATCCACAAGGCTAGGCAAATTCGGCCCTCCAGTTGTTTTGAAACTACAACTCCCATCATCCCTGACCTCCTGTTTTGTTAGCTAGGGATCATGGGAGTTGTAGGCCAAAAAATATCTGGAGGGCCCAGTCTGCCTATGCCTGATCTTGACTCTGCTGTTACAAGCAAATGAATCTCAAGGGATATGTGGTCCTGTTGTGTTGGATGAGTTTATGGGCAAGGTGTTTGGATCTGACAGGGCAACCACTTGCACTGTGGACCCTTGCCCCTCTTGGCTGATAAAAACTAGCAGGGATGGGAGAGGTGGCTGGGCCAGGGAGGTGATTAATGGGAGGGGGTGGTCCCTACCTGCTTGAACAAGGCAGTGGTAAATTCACACCTCAAGAAACCCGCCTGGATTCTGAAAATCTAAGAAACTACTGTCCTGTTGGCAATCTTCCCTTCTTGGGCAAGACTTTTAAGCGGGCGGCCGTGGACCCAATCCAAGCGCTCTTGGAGAAAACTGGTTTTCTAGATCCATTTCAGTCAGCATGTTGGCCTGGTTTTGGCAGAGAAACTGCTTTGGCTGCTCTGTTGGAAGATGAACTTATGCTCCCCAGTCATTGAAAACAGGCCCCCAATGCAAACACACAGCAGCAACTTAAAACATGTCCTATGTGATTACTACTACACACATGGAGAGGCAGTTGTCTAGGGATGCTGGGATGTGATGACTAATTAGCGGGTGGCGCTGTGGTCTAAACCACAGAGCCTAGGGCTTGCCAATCAGAAGGTTGGCGGTTCGAATCCCGCGACGGGGTGAGCTCCCGTTGCTCAGTCCCTGCTCCTGCCAACCTAGCAGTTCGAAAGCACGTCAAAGTGCAAGTAGATAAATAGGGACCGCTCCGGCGGGAAGGTAAACAGCGTTTCTGTGCGCTGCTCTGGTTCGCCTCGGCCAATAAAGTGAGATGAGCGCTGCAACCCCAGAGTCGGCCACGACTGGACCTAACGGTCAGGGGTCCCTTTACCTTTACTAGAAGCATGGAATGCTAATGCTGGACTGACTGCATGATGAGAGGAAAAGGCAGCAGATTATTTTATGTAGCCAGAGCTGCCAAATATTAACTTTATAATCAGCTACTGTATGTATACTTTGTATACCTTTTAGACACAATCTTTGATTTATATAGTTTCTATACAGTTTTGACCAAAGTGTACTGCAAACTTACAGATCATACAACACAAAATAAGAGATGTAGCAACAAAAGAAGAGAAAGAAGCAGCAGTTAAGACATCAGAGGCAGAATTGGAAGGCTTGCTAAAATATTGTCATCTTCGACACCTGTTGAAAGGCAAGCTGTCAAGGCCCAAACACACACCTCCCTAGGCAAGCTGCTCTACAATCTGGGTGCCACTGCCGAGAAAATGCTGCAGTGACTTTGCAATCACCAACCGTCATTTATTTTGGGCAAAACTGCAGCACTTACGCAGACTACCTAGTTTAAAAAATCCTGCTTGGGGAAACTAGACACAGGGGAAATGTCAGTGGCCAAAATCTTTCTCCACTTAGCCCAAACCTTTAATGCAAAAGGATTTATCCCAAAGTTGGATGTTATGCTTTATCCAACTGCTGTCTTTCAACATAAGCCCTCTGTGTATCTCTCTTCAGTAAATAATCACACGTTGCTGCAAAGCTTTCAATTGAAAGGTGGCTATTTCTCAAATGAAGAATGTTGTAGTACAACAAGAAGTCTGGTACCCTCTTAAGATTTCTCATCTAGGTGTAGATGAAGCAACATATTGATGTAACTTTCTTTACCAGTTTTACAAATTCTGGGACACTACTGTCACTACTGGTATTGTCTGGGGATGTTGTTGTTGTTTAGTCGTTTAGTCGTGTCCGACTCTTTGTGACCCCATGGACCAGAGCACGCCAGGCACTCCTGTCTTCCACTGCCTCCTACAGTTTGGTCAAACTCATGCTGGTAGCTTCAAGAACACTGTCCAACCATCTCATCCTCTGTCGTCCCCTTCTCCTTGTGCCCTCAATCTTTCCCAACATCAGGGTCTTTTCCAGGGAGTCTTCTATTCTCCTGAGGTGGCCAAAGTATTGGAGCCTCAGCTTCATGATCTGTCCTTCCAGTGAGCACTCAGGGCTGATTTCTTTCAGAATGGATAGGTTTGATCTTCTTGCAGTCCATGGGACTCTCAAAAGTCTCCTCCAGCACCATAATTCAAAAGCATAAATTCTTCAGCGATCAGCCTTCTTTATGGTCCAGCTCTCACTTCCATACATCACTACTGGGAAAACCATAGCTTTAACTATATGGACCTTTGTTGGCAAGGTGATGTCTCTGCTTTTTTAGATGTTGTCTAGGTTTGATAATTTTGATTTGTTTGCATTTGAGTTACAGATGGTCAATTCAGGATTGTTTATATTTTTTTTGCATCCCTTATTATCTTTTTTGAAAGCACTCATTAATTGCATTTGATTCTTTCAGATAGAATACAGTTGTTCTTACAAGAAAGGGCACCAGCCTCAGAAGTGGCATGAAAGCTACACACAGTTCATTCCTTCAGCTTTTATGCCCAATTAAATCTGGGACAAAAGGAATGTATGGACAGTTGAGCAGTGTCAGAGAAATAAGCTTGCAATAAGATCTGCATGAGAGATGGGTACGGCAGTGATTGATCCTATGACAAGAACCTAAGATAGATGAGCTTGGTGCATCTGTCTCATTTTATTTCTATTGGTTTAGCTTTTTTTATAACTATTTTTAACCAATCATAAATCTGGTCCTCAACTAGAATGACAGTGTCCTTTTCAACCTAATTGCCCAGACACAGAAAGATGAAGTGGAAAAATCCTGTTTTGTATAAATAGAAACACTGAACTAAATGTGAACACATGGGATCTCAGTTCTTATGCAAATCAGGCATAATAAGGCAGATATTAGTATTCTAATGAGTTCTGGTGCCTGTACAAGGTGCAATAGGTGACTGTGAATGAAGAAATATAATTGAAAATATTCCTGTTTGGGGAGAATATTTACATATGTACTGACTAATTAATAGATTGATTTTCATAATTAAGCTGGCTTATTTTCTTTATAATTTCCCACAAGTTAATATATAGTTCTCTTACTTTCTGTATGAAGACTGATCCAAATAAGTAACTCTTGACCCATAGCTCAAATTCCTTTTTCTCAAATTTACTAGCTCTGGCTGAAATACATTACTTTGGGTTGTTAATGTCTTTGGTGGAAAATACTTAAACTAGCAGACAACTCAATGCCAGCTTTACCTAAGAGTTTAAGAAGTCAAAGCTCTCGTTATTTTATTGTCTCAACATCAGCTCTGCTATGTGGCAAATATAAATTAGTGGCAGATTAAAATCCATCTGTCCCTGTATTCTCTGCAGGCTTCTAGTTTATAATAATCCACAGCTCAGTGAGGCTGGGGAGTCAGTTAAGAGGAAAGGATAAAATGGTTTACTGTCCAACTGCATGAATATTTAATCTAAAAACACACTGTCCTCAACATGAGAATAAATCATATTCACTCATTTACGTATGTCCGAATCCACCACACTGGTGTAAATCATTGCAGTCCTTGAAAGAAGTGAATAGTCCAACAATAAACATACGAGGGGCATTCATTAAAGATTTCCCCTCACGTACTTGCCGTGGACTGAGGCAAACAAAACTGGGAACAGTTATTAGTCCTTCTCTACATAGCTACCAGCAAGAGCCAAACACTTCTCCCATCGCTTTATGCAGCTATGGAGACCTCGTCTGTGGAAGTCGGAAGGTTGCGCCAGAAGCCACGACTTGACGTCAGAAATCAGCATTTCATCGTCTGGAAAAAGCTTGCCCGTCAAAAATAACTTCATGATTGGAAAGAAGTGGAAGTCAGATGGTGTGAGGTCGGGAGAATAAGGAGGGTGAGAGAGGATTTCATAGTGTCAGGACCATGCTTCCGTCTGAGCAACATGCGACCTGTGAACCGGTGTGTTATCCTGCAGGAGGCAGACACCTTGGGTCAGCATACCATGCATCTCAATTTTGATGGCCTTCTGCAATTTCTGCAGCAGTGAAGCATAGTATGTCCTGGCAATTGTGGTACCCTTTGCCAGGAAATCCATCATCACTACTCCACACTGGTCCCAAAAGACCATGAGCATGACCTTGCCCACTGACAGCTGGACACGTACCTACTTTGGAGATGGTGAGGCAAGAGTGCTTCCATTGTTTGGACTGGGATTTAGTCTCTGAGTCATAATGATGGGCCCATGTTTTGTCCTGAGTAATTAGTCTGGCGAAGAAGTCATCATGGTTTTTGTGACACATGGCCAAAAGAGCCCGTGAGCATGTGACTCATGCCTGCTTCTGGAAAGGCAGCAGCAGCTGGGGAACCCACGGTGCAGACACCTTTCCCATGTGCAAATGGTCACGGATGATTTTTTCATTATAGCCCACACTGATCTTGACATCTGCAGCTAATTGGCGAATGGTTATGCAGCGATCCTCCAAAATGGCAGCCTACATTTGCCAGATGGTGTCTGGTGTCTTCATCAATGGCAGACTGTGGTCGCCCAGGAATGGGAGCTATTCCACCAAAGTCTGACCACACTTGAACTGATGATGCCAGTGCTTGACTATGTCACACTATGGGGCATCCTCCTCATAAATCCCTTTCATCTCATCGAACGTCTCCCGTTGTGTGCACCCTTTCAAGCACAGGAACCTGATAACCACTCTGAATTCAACTGGTTCCATTATCAGAAGTTACTCCACATTAGCACCCATAACAGAGAAACCGCTAGGAGTTCAGAGCTACAAATTAACACGTTACCTATGGAGAGATGTATCATTACACATGTGCAATTTTATCCTCCTACGATAACTGGAGGTGGGTCAGGGGAAATCTTTAATGACCCTCATAATTATGCTGTCCTAACATCCACTAAGACTTCATAGAAATTATATTTCTATGTATTATTATTGTTAGTAGTAGTAGTAGTAGTAGCAGCAGCAGCAGTAGTATTTACTGGCACTTCACAATAAGGTCCAAGGGAAGGCTGCAACAATATTAAACTACAATTTTAAAATCAGTTTAAACAATTTACATAGGGTGGGTCCTAAAATATATAAATCTCAGGTGTCAAAAGCCAAGATAAATGGGTGCATCTTCAGCATATGAAGGAAGCTATGCAACAAAGGTGAGAGGCATACCTCCGTGGAGAAGGAATTTCATGGTTTGGCCTGTTACACAGAATGCCTGCTCCTGGCTGGCACTCTTAACAACCTTTAGGAAAAGAGGTGGCCTTTCAGATATTGTACTATACATCCATTGCAAACTTAAGAAATTTCTTGTTAAGCAACACACCATGACGCACGATACCTATAAATCCCTTTTAGCCAAGCCATGTTCCTTCTTATTCAGAACAGTTCCATATGGAGACTTTTTGGGTATTAGGCATGTTCTTTGTGTATAAACGGGACGCGGGTGGCGCTGTGGGTTAAACCACAGAGGCTAGGACTTGCCAATCAGAAGGTCGGCGGTTCGAATCCCCGCGACAGGGTGAGCTCCCGTTGCTCGGTCCCTGCTCCTGCCAACCTAGCAGTTTGAAAGCACATCAAAGTGCAAGTAGATAAATAGGTTTACCTCCGGCGGGAAGGTAAACAGCGTTTCCGTGCGCTGCTCTGGTTTGCCAGAAGTGGCTTAGTCATGCTGGCCACATGACCCAGAAGCTGCACACCGGCTCCCTCGGCCAATAAAGTGAGATGAGCGCCGCATCCCCAGAGTCGGTCACGACTGGACCTAATGGTCAGGGGTCCCTTTACCTTTACCTTTTGTGTATAAACACACACACTAAATCCAGAGGCAACACATGCTGACCAGCTGCCTGCCCAGGATTTCTACACAAGATATTCTGACCATAAAGTGTATTTTGAAAACAATTGCAAAGAAGGTACACTGTCAACATGTGGGGGATAGCAAGGGGGATGGGGGTGGGGAACTGATGTGAGACATTTATACCTTTCTTGAGGAATACTACTACTGCGACTCAGGCTATGTGATAAAGCTTACAGCGAAAGCAGAGAAGCTGTCTGCATACAGACTCACTTGTAGAGTGACTATATCTGGAAATCCAGGTGAATTTCTCCATAATGGTTGAATATGAACTTTTGCATCTTCCCTTGTGGCAAAATGAGCAACCTTCCAATGCAGAAACAGATTTTGCACTCTACTGCAGGCAGATAGGGGACAGTTGTCTTCCTTTTCAGATTTAATTTTTTTTTATTACAGATGTTGAAAACTTAGAGGAAAATAAGCATTATTAACAACAATAAAATACCATATGGACACCTGCCTGAGACAGAACAATAAAATAAGGTATATACCTAAGCAATGACCCTCATTATTTTAAAAATATACGGAAGAACTAAATACAAAATCTGTAAACTATGGGGTCAGTTATTAAACAAGAGCATGCCGAGTTGTGGCCTAGGCTGGCCTTCTGATCAAGGATGGCTCTTTAAGTCAGCAAAAGATTCTATGAACAGAAGGGAGAGGGAGACGAATTTTGGTTATTCCTTTCCCCTCTACAAATACCCAATCTGCTCCAAAGTGTAGTGGAACCCTCCAAAGCACCATGGGAGGTAGAGTAGAGGCTTCAAGAAAAAGAGAGAAATTGCTACAATTGCCTGCCTCTCATCCATGGAAGTCTTCATTCTATGAATGGATTGGGAACAACTCACAGAATTCCGATAAAATTGTTTTTTTTAAATGCAGTTGGGAGATCTATAATGCTCAAAGCATACGTAGAGCTCAAAACACTTGCTTCTCTCTGTCCCATGTTATCTTGCCTCTAAAGCAACTTCATTAAGCATTAGCATGCTACAAATCATCAATCTAATCACAAATGTCTCCTTGAAGAAGAGAACTTTCTGATTTAGACTCAGATTATCACATATGACTGAAATGTAATATCTTGATCTCAGAACATCTAAATAGAGATTTAACGACAGCCTGACCTTTAAAATCCCTCTTAGGTTCCTGCAGTTAGAATTGCTGTTTACATTGCATGGTATTACAACATAAAACAAAATGAAAAGAATGAATCATTCAGTGAAAAATATATCAACAAGATGTACAACAGCATTGCCACAGCAAACAGTAAGCCACATCATAGGCTCAAAAGCTTGGGGCCTAATAAGATTTCTCCAAAAAGGGCATGTCCTTGTGGAGGAGAACTCTGCAGGCTAAATAACTAATGAGTTTAAAATAAAGGGGCAGACTTTGTTAAAATGAGCTTTTCAAGCTTGTACAATTTTATATAGGGAAACAGCTTGGTAGTTAGAGGTAACTCATTCCTTCTACTTCATGAAAATAAATTTAATAGAATCATAGAATCTCACAGTTGGAAGGGACCCAAGGGTCATCTAGTCCAACCCCCTACAATGCAGGAATCTAAGCTAAAGCGTCCATAGCAGATGACCATCCAATCTCTGCTTAAAAACTTCCAAGGAAGGAGAGTCAATCACCTCTCATGGGAATCTGTTACACAGCCAAACAGCTCTTACTGTCAGAAAGTTTCCCCCAAATGTTTAGTGGAACTCTCCTTTCTTGTAACTTGAAGCCATTGCTTTGAGTCCTACCCTCCAAAGCAGGACAAAACAAGCCTGCTCCCTCCTCCGTGTGACAGTCCTTAAGATATTTGAAGATGGCTATCCTGTCTCCTCTCAGTCTCCTCTTTTCCAGCTCCTGCAAGCATTCCTCATAAGGCTTAGTTTCCAGACCCTTGATCATCTTGGCTGCCCTCCTTGACACCCGTTCCAGCTTGTCAACATCCTTCTTAAACTGAGTTGCCCAGAATTGGACACAGTATTCGAAATGTGGTCTGACCAAGGCAGAATAGAGTGGTACTGTTACTTCCCTTGATCTGGACACTATACTTCTGTTGATGCAACCTAGAATAGCATTAGCTTTTTTTTGCTGCTGCATCACACTGTTGACTCATGTTAAGCTTGTGGTCCACCAAAACCCCTGTATCTTTTCACAGGTACTGCTAGTAAGCCAGGTGTCCCCCATCCTATATTTGTGCATCTGGTTCTTCCTGCCTAAGTGCAGAACCTTACATTTGTCCCTATTGAAATTCATTTTGTTAGCTTGCACCCAGTTCTCCAATCTGTTAAGGTCATTTTGAATTCTGATTCTGTCTTCTGCGGCATTAGCCAACCCTCCCAGTTTGGTGTCATCTGTAAATTTGATGAGCATCCCCTTAATTTCTTCTTCCAGGTCATTTATAAAGATGTTGAACAACAACGGACCCAGGACAGAACCCTGCGGCACCCCACTTGTCACTTTTTCCCAGGATGACGAGGAACCATTAACGAGCACCAGTAAATTGATCTTATAAATCTGAAACTTTGAACTTTGAGAATACATGGAACTGGCGGAAATGACTGGCAGAATCCGGGACCAGGGAGAAGAGTCGGTGGAAGAAGATTGGAAGAAATTTAAAGACTATTTACAGAAATATTGTAAAATTAATGAATGTTAGAATGATGTTGGATAGAAATTAAGTGGTTTTTAGCTGCAATACTATAAGGGAATATGAAAAATGGATTACTAACAGGTAAAAATTTAATGTTACAATATTTTAAGATTAATGATTAGGATAGACAAAGAGGGGAAGGATTTGCTGAACCAACAAACTGAACTGGAATACAAAAAAGGGAGGTGTGAGGAGGTCCGGGAAATAAGCTAATGAAAAATAAGTAATGGAAAGATTGAGTTGTTTTTAATTATTTTTATTTTTTGTGTTTTTCTTTTTTCTATTTTTATTTTGTAATATTTTGAAAATCTTAATAAATATCTTATTTTTTTAAAAAAAGAAAGAACTTTGAGAATACAGTACTCACAATTTTAATGGTGTGAAGCACTTGCTCCCACAGAACAATAATTTAAAACTTTATTATATACCTTAAGAACGAAAAAGGTTTGTCTGTTGCCTGCAATGAGATATGCAACATGTGCCGTTTTCTTCAGCCTTCCTGGTCTTTCTGAAGTTTTTATGTTAAAATTCCAACATCAGCAGCCCAAAAACAGGGTCAGCTATTACCGTCACCAGTATGTCAGACAATTTCCAAACCACCACTGAGTTGTGCTCTACAGATCAAAGTAGCATCCCCTATTATCACGGTGCCTCTTTTCATAATGATGCATACAAGAAGTGCAGTGAAAAGGACAATCACGCCCAACAAAATATATAAAAATCTATGGATGCAAAAAGTACAAATTTTTCACATAAATAATTCAACATGCATACATCCAAGTTTACACAACTTTCTAGAGCAACTTTGAATAGTAAAGACAATTACTTGGAATCCAAACAGCTTTCACTCAAACACACACTTGGCATGTGTCCAAACTGATATGATGCTGCAGTTACTGTCTTTTATCTTTGAAATCGCAAGCATCTTCAAAAATGCAAGGTAGTTGTTACCAGGGAAAGGGGAAATTTCACAGGACTAAGAGCTGGGGGGAAATCACTTTAGCATGTGTTTTTTAGCTTACACTGCATGAAAAGAACTAGGATTCTTGTAGCTTTAATAATCTTCAAGAATTTGCTCCTAAAATTTGTCTGCTTCAACGTAAAAGAGGAAATGGAGAGACAGGGCGTAGCTATGCTAAGATCTGCTGAAAAATACAGCAATGGAGAACCTGACAGGTGCATTCATGTGACTTGACCTTCCAAAGTTAATGAGATTCCTTCATTAAGTGCTGGTTGTGCAACTTAATGCTACCAAGGGATTTATTTACGCGAAACACAGTGTTTCTTGCTCATAACTGAAATAAAGTATGCTGCCTGTCCTTTTACCAGAGCTCTTCTCCCCACTTTGTATTTTATATAAGCCTTGGATACAATGGTTTCTCAATGATGCCACCCTGACAACCTAAGGTGGGCCTCTAATCAGGGCCTCCATCAACCCACCTCCAGCACAACCAACACTCCCAGAACACCTGTCAAACTAGACCCTATGTCGAGGATGCCCTCTAGGCTACAGTTCTAGCCTGAAGAGAGCTGCACTGTTTCTCTACCACTGCCTTCTCAGGACGCATTGTACCCTATAAATCCCTTTTAACCACACCAGCTTCTCTCTCCGAGCCTTCCATAATGGTAAAGTCTAAAGTTTAGAAAGATTGGCAGCCGATAAGATTATGAAGCTGTTTAGATGTTCTCATGCGACTCGAGGCTCACCTATCCGAAAGAAGTTCCTTCAAAACTGCATAGGTACTTAAATAATCTAAGCATACATGATGGGCTCAGTGATGTCCACCGCTGTCAGCCCAGTTGTAGAACTGACTTTCACTTGTGTAACAGGGCCCTCCAGAGCAGATATGGGGAGGGTTCCGTGGCGAGGAGAAGAAGGGAACGTCCCGTTGCGTCAAACTGGTAAGACGTGGGATATCTTGGCACCATTTCTGTAGGTAAGATCTATACAGTTCCACCTCACCCATGTTTGTATCATTTAAAACATTCTCCCAGTCACCTGTTTGTCACTTCTAGATAAGTGGTAGGGGAATGGCAACTCAACAATACAGAGGTGCCGGAACGCAACAGAGGTGCCGATGACTTCCAGTTGAAAAAAAGCCCTTGGTACTGGTCTTGGTGCACTACTATAATTTCTCCTCGTGATTTCCAATTATTTTTGTTATTACTTGTCTCTGCGCTTTACAACCTTAAAAAGTGATGCTGGATTACGTGATAGCAACTTATTTACTTAGTGTTTTCTTGTCACGAATGCTATTTCCATAAGAACAATTTCTTTGGTTTGATGCGGGAAATTACTATTTTCTTGTCATGAATGCTCTTTGAAAGCAATCTGGAAGAAATAATGCATGAAAATCCAAGTGTTGTTGTTTTTTATTCTGAAAAAATGTCCCCATATGTAGAACGATGCATTGTAAAAACTTTCCAGATGTTACCAAAAATAGTAATCAGTGCTTCTTCAAGGTCAAATTCACACTTGGCACGAACAGAGGTTCTCAAGATTTCCATGTAGCAGAACTTAATCTCTAAAACCTTCCTGTATGGAAAATTGTACTCCGCATAATTTTAAGGACCAATAACTTCAGTTTCTCAGGAGTTCAGAAAAACTGATTTTTCTTTTTACACAACTGAACAGCTGTCCTGTTTCCCCAGGTGCAGATGACCCACTGCCCAGCTGTTTTCTAGGTCTGGGACCTGGTAGGGCCTACAAAGATTTTTTTTAGCCATTTCCTTCCACAACCTACAAGTTGAACAATATTTATAAGAACCCTTCATCTGATGTTTGTTATGTTATAATTTGGGGTTAAACATTAGATTCACTATTAATTTTTGCCCTGTGATGCCTTCAGAGAGCATTTATGAAGAATGAAACAGCAGCTCGCAAATGAAAATTAGTTTAGTTTACATACAAAGCTTTTCCACTCATTAACCATAATAAGTCATAATGAACAGAAGCGGAAAGATTTGTATAACATATTAAAATTGCAGAATGGGACTGTAAGAATTCCAGTAGTTTTCCGTTCCACTTTCTACACAATCTTGAACCTTTATGCAAAATTTGTTACTTTCAACTGAAACTTAAGCAAGCTTAGTGGGCGAGGATTGCTGGCTGACCAGCTGAGGGGGAAAACTGGGTACGAGAGGGAATGAAATTGAGTATCCTGAACATGAGAATTCAATACTGCAACATTCGGTTGTTGCACCCAACTGAAAATGCAGGCTATTACTGTTTCCTACATCATCAAGGTCATCAATATTATAATCCCTTCTACTCTATAAGTAGAGACTCCTCACGCTAGCATTCATCATGTACTAACAGGCAGAGTTATCAAGAAATGTACTCCACTTTTGCAGTTTGCACCCAAATACACAACTCACCTAATTACTATGCCTGTTATCTGTGTAATGGGAAATACTATATAAAGTAGGAAACTGTTTGGGCTCATTTTCTATCTAAGAAAATCAGAAAAGTTAAGACAGCTGACTGACTTTGTTGTAATTAATATTCCCAAAATGGTTTTAGGACAGGCAAAGTGTTGATTATTTAAGACACAATTATTCACAGACTTACGAGGTCTGCTGAAAAAGCAGCACTTGCCTGGTGCAGGAAAAAAGCTCCCAGTCTCTCCTCATGTGAAACATGCCCCCCCTGCAAACCGTAAGTACATGACTGATCATTTGTGTTGTTTTTTCGAACAGTACCTGCTAAGGGCCAGATCCAGCATAGGAGAAAATGGTGACCTGTTAATCACCGGGGTCCATGAGGTTCACTCAGGTGTTCCCCAGCATCTCTCTGGATTTTTGACTGAGGATGGGAGATGATGATAATGATGGTGATGGATGGCACATCCATCACACTGAATATTCAAATTGGTTTTTAATTGTATTTTTATTGCTTCTTTGATTGTATCTTACCATATTAGAATTTGAATTCTATGAAATTATAATTGCTACAGAAGACAGAAAAATCAGCCAAGATGCTCAGCAATTTTCAAGGGGGTCTATGGGGGTTGGGAACCACTGAATTATGCCCTTCCCAAAGGTATGAAGTCTATATCTGAGTGGGGAAGACACAGGTGCCAACCAGTTAGTCTGTTTAGGCAGCCTACAATCCAATAGTTTGCTGTGAGACCATGGGGCTTAGTTTGCTGTAGACACCAATTTAGAAGCAGCATATCCAAGTGAATGTAAGCAGAGAAGTCAGTGTTACTTGGGTGTTCCAGAACTCAATAAGCCAATCTACTTAAATCTCTCCAAACCCAAGAATTTTTGGAAAATCCCCTGGGGTTTGCTATTGGAGACCAAATAAGAGGCTAATCTTTCCTCCATATTTTAACCATGGCTAAGGTCCTGTATTATCCTTTTAATCAAGGTTTGAAAGTGGTTTGAAAAAGTGGATTGAAACTTGATTAGTGCTAACCATGCAGACATAAGCTTTAACCATTGTTAAGATCCTAAGCTGAATGGGGCTGGTGATGGCAATAGGAAACACACCTCTGATGGAAAGGATTTGCTGAAACAATTAATAGAAGTGGAACACAAAAAGGGAGGTGTGAGGAGGTCGAGGAAATAAGGGAATGAAAGATAGAGTATGGAAAAGAGACTATGTATGTTTTTAAATTGTTTTTGTTTTGTTCTATTCAGGGTTAAGGTTAGGGAGTGGGGTTTGTTTAGTTTAGCTTAATGTGTTTAGTTTTGAGTTTAGGTTGTGCTTTGTATTGTTTATATATTGTATTGTATTGTTTTTCTCTTTTTGTTTTTCTCTTTTGTTTTTTCTTCTGTTTTTTGTTTGTTTGCCTTTTTCTCTCTCTTTGTAATCTATAAAAGCAATAAATATTATTTTTTTTAAAAAAGGAAACACACCTCTGTTCTCTTAAAATGGCATTGGGCCTTTGAGAAGTGTGATGTCTTACTGCTGTCAAAGCATCTCAAAAATCAACAAGAAGTCAACAAGCAAACAAGAGTCACTACTGTTCTCCAAATTTCATACTGGTGGTTGCTCTTGTCAGAATACAAAATGCATGCTACTGTCAACCAGGCAGGCTTAGCTTTAAAAGAATAAATGGACTTAATTACTTGTGATTGCTATTCATTTATTTAAATGTTTCTAATCCACGTTTTCTTTCATTCACAATTGCACCTGAAGCTGATTATAATAAAACAGAAATAAAAAATACAAATCACAATAAAGCTGTAACAACTCTGCATTGTAAACAATCAGATTTTTAAAGAAAATAGATAATTTAAAACAACACAGCCCCATAAAAGTCTGCCTGCAAAAGAAAAGCTTTCTGAAAGAACAAGGAAAAACCAGCAGTGAGGGAGCCCAACAGCTCACCAGTGGGAGAGCTTTCCACAGTGCAGATACCGTGACAAGGAGAGTCTGTCCATGTACCCTCATGAACCTCCACACCTTTATAGAAGGAGAATACACAGGAGAAGAGAAGCTCCGTAAATGATTTCTCTAGACCATTTAGCCCAGGAGGGAAATGAGCTGGAATTTTCTGTATTAGCGGAGGCTTCAATCCCATATTCAGAGGCAGCACAATACGGAGCAAATTGCAGTACTTCACAAAGATGACTGCTGCATTAGTGGCTGAGAGCTGAACTCTATCTCAGAGAAGCAGCTGCAGCTGGCTGACCAGCCTAAGCTGATAAAAAGGCACTTAAAAACAGTCCTGCCACACTGGAATCAAAAGAACAAGTTGTTTGCAACCCTCAGGCTGTAAACATTGCGAGTGTAACCCCTTTCAATCCACTGAACCACTCTACTGTCCCACCATCTCTAACTTGAACTACCATCAACACTTCCATCTTGTCTGGATTAAACGTCAGTTTAATTCGGTTTTTAAAGTACTGGCAATACTGCATGTGTTCTGACTCATCAGAAAGTTTGTTTTCAGAAAGTGACTTGCTGCACTAAGCCTGCAAATCTCTTGCAGCACAACCGGGTTCAGGAGGAGCCTCTGACCTGGAGCTGTGGGTGGTATCATGTAGGGGACCTGGAGCGGTTTTGAAGCTCCATGTGATGACCCCTTCCCCCTTAAAGGAGTAAACACAATTCCTATTTGCCTACAAATTTTCATTCCAACCTGCGTGTGTCACAGGCAGCCCTGTTTCCATTCTGCTGCACAACACCTTCTGACAAAAACTACAGTACATTGTTCAGTTTGCTGTCTGCCGTGACAGAATTAATTACATTATTATCACGTGGTTACACACCATTCATTGAAATGCAAGGGAAACAAAGCAAAAAAAAAAAAAAAAAAAAAGACATCAATTACTTTTATCATTTGTGGACTGAAAATAACAACTACAGTGAACACTGACTGCATTCGCTGGCTTGATTTCCATTCCATGGGAATGAATCAGTGAGCGCCAGCCATTTCAGCATACATTTCAGTTTTTGTTGGAATTCTCAGACACTGTTACCTACCAAAGCCCACCAGAATCTGTGAACCCTTAAAACTTGGGTTAAGGACACTTTTAACAGGTGGAAATCAGCACTCTCAGAGCTGCATCATAAGAAACGGTATGTCCATTTTCAAATCCATCTGTTCCCCAACACTAAATTTTGCAAACATTGTGTACAACATGCCACCTCTCAAGGGCACAACTGTTCCATATTTTAGACTGCTGTTCAGCAGGAATCTAACAAAAAGTGTGGAACTGCTAGCATAGATTTGAGAGGAAGTCTCTAGGAAAGAGACTGACACCAGAGAAGAGCTCAAAGAAAAGATGGAGGCTACCACATCCAAAGTATATGTTTCCAAATGTTTGTTCATATTATGTAAACAACATAGGAGATTGACTAATTCCAAGAAAGAATCGGCAGAAGCACATTTTCTGCCACTCTGATTTAAAACTAATTATAGATTCTAAAGGAGACATGCTGTGGTTCAATCCCTGCAACATTAATTACATATAAACTTTCTCTTTGCCCCCCTACCCACCACTGTTTTCATTTTATGTTGCTTTTTAATGAATTCTATGTGATACTTAAGTAATATGAACAATTGTCTTCGAGTTGTGTTTTATCAGAAAAATAGTTCATCTTCAGAAAACACATCAGGTCTCAAGCTCTTTTGTCAAAAGAAGGAACAGTTTCTACCTTTCTGAACGTATACAGAATTTTGTAAATAATTTAAAAGAGAATCATCATTTCAGAGGACCAACAGAATCATCCAAACTCTCCTTAAACCAGGCTATGGGGGGCTGGATTAGGCAGGTGTCCCTCTACCCAGCTCTTTCAGCTCAGCTGGTCTCCCACTGGCGGGAGTGAGTAGAAAGCTCTGAAATGGGGTGTTGTGATGGCAAGGAAGAGTTGAACCAGCCTGGGATCCACTGGATTCTGAGCTAGTATCAATGCCAACACAGAACAACATCAGGGCTTGCCCCCCACCCATATTCTGCTGCTGCTTCCATGCAGCAGAACTCTGCTGGACAGAGAGGGAAGAAGGTGGTTTGGTGAAAGATTTAGGGCAGTGGTTCCCAATTAGCTAATTACTGGGGACCCCCTATTGTGGAAAAGCACAACTGGGAAAGTATGCTAAACCATTTTCTAACTTTGAGACAGCAACGTATTCTTTTCTTGAAAAGTAACATTTGCAGACAGCTCTCCCACATCAGTGCACTTAAAGAGTCTCAACAGCCCCTGAAATCCAGTTCCTAGTAGCTTAGATTCCTGCTAGCAACTCTCATTTTAGCACTGATGATTAAGTTGAACCACCACAAAACTCGGTAATTAACACCTAAGGGTTTTATTAGCTGCATCTTTTTCAGAGTCCGTAAGGCAGTTGTTTACCTTCTTTATGACTAATATAAGTAAGCTTATGTGACCCTACCAAAGCAACAACTAGACATGACTTAAACACCTACATTTGGAACACTTTTGGATACTTACTGGCTGCAAGCCAACTGAAGCCTACTTTGGACAAATTCCAATCACAGGGAAATGAGACCCAAGCTATAACCTTGAAAACTAAATAACCTGAGACCTGGCAATCCTTTTTAAATAGGCAAATCACTGCATCCACAGCTTCTGTTTATTCAATTTCTGATGTAGCTCCCACTGAGAAGCCCAATTTTGAGTATATTTCTAGAACGCAGAGACACAAATGCTTTTCATTAGCATTTGAAAGGGATGACTTTCCTAAGCTTTATGATTAATGAAAGTTAGGTGGACATCCACAAGCTCTGATTTGCTTCAACCTATTTTTAAATCAGCATGACACATACCATATGGCCTTATATAATCTCTATCAAGGCTGTCACCTTCTTGAATCAGTACTTTTGTTGCAGTTATAAAGCAGATTCCACATAAGAAATTGAGAGCTCAGAATAATAATTTTCAAAAAGTTACACACATTCTGAAAAGATATTCTTGGATTTGAGCCCTCGTCTTTCATTTATCCACATACTGAAAACTCAAATTAATCCAACCTGACTTTTTTCTTTTCGATTAATCCAAGGGACAAAATAATGAGTTCTTTTACTGCTCTCAAATTCCACTGGAGGACTAAGATTACAAATAAAGCAATGAAAACAAATATATTTGTATGTTCAGTAAAAATCAGATTATAGCCCGGACACTTAATATGTGCTGCTAACTAATCTAATAAAATGAAACAGACCAAGAGTCTGTTTTTTAAAGAAAAAATATGCTGGCTGATCTCTGGTTCTACCCCTGCAGATCCACAGAACAGATGACAGCAATTTTTGAGCACATATTTACTGGCAATTTGAAGGAACTATTTTACGCTACTATGTGGGGAAATGCTGTAGAATACTTGAACTTATTGAGAAGACTGTAGAAAATGAGAACAATTAAAACATTAATCTCAAATCTAAAAGATAATTCAGCAAACCAATACTCAGTTGGTATCACAGAACTGTAGAGTTAGAAGGGACCCCAAAAGTCATCTAGTCTAACCACTTGCAATGCAGGATTGCTGGGATAGCTCAGTTGGCTCAGCATGAAACTCTCCCGGTATGCCCCACGGAGGACCTTAAGGTCCATAAACAGCAACACCCTAGAGGTCCCGGGCTCTAAGGAAGTTAGATTAGCCTCAACCAGAGCCAGGGCCTTTGCAACACTGGCTCCGGCCTGGTGGAACGCTCTGTCTCATGAGACCAGGGCCCTGCAGGATCTGATTTCTTTCCGCAGGGCCTGTAAGACAGAGTTGTTCCCCTGGCCTTTTGCTTAGAATCAGTTTGATTCCCTCCCCCTCTTTCTTTTTCCTTTCTCCTCCTGTGAAGAGGCTGCATCCTAATGTTTTAATGTTGTATTTTAATCTTGTTTTTAAATTGTATTTTAATCAGCTTGTTTTTATTATTGGTTGTTAGCCGCCCTGAGCCCAGTCTTGGCTAGGGAGGGTGGGGTATAAATAAAATTTAATCTTTTATTATTATTATTAATCTTAGGGTTGTGTGTTCGAGCCCCATGTTGGGCAAAAGATACCTGAATTGCAGAGGTTTGGACTAGATAAACCTCAGGATCTCATCCAACTTTACAATTCTATGATTTTATGAATGCAGGAATCTCAACCAAAGCATCATGAGAAGAGACTATGGTAAAGAAAGCAAGTGATTCAAACAAATAACCACCAGTCTTGCAAGGACCATAGAGAATTTACTTGATAACATAGGCTGCTGGAAATATATCAGGGCTTTAATAAACCCAAGAACTACAGTGGGTGGAAATCTATTACCTTCAATTGACTTGTGAAAAATGATAACTGCAGCCAACTAAATTCTTAGGCCACAAAAATCAAATTCATTGCAGAAGGTAATCAAAATATGTGTTTATGTGGGATGGTGTTGGGGGAGGAGAAGGAAAGAAAATGATAATGAATGCTGGATATCTAGCTCTGCTGGACAAAAAAAGAGGAAACATTACAGTATTTCACTTTAAAACATTTAATAATGATACCACAAGTCTCCAGTGCCCTGTGTTATCAAATAAAATATTGCTATCCTTGGAGTTTTTTTGTTCCATATAGAACACTGTATTAACCTTTGACATTTTGTCAGCATCCCAGATGGGACAGTTAATGGGATATTTATAGGTATAAATAATAATTCAGGTGGAACATTCATTCTCCCATACCATCACATATGAAGCAGGTACCGAGAATCTAATTCCTTCTCTGCCTCTCTATAGTTTTGGATGGTTAATCTTTATTATTTCATCTACATCATTTGTGAGCCATATCCTAAATTATTTCATTTTTTTGTTCATTTCTCAAAAGTATGTTTGCTATTTGTACCAGAATCTTTTTAGCCTCACCTGTGACGTTAATGGTAAACTGCTCTGATTTACCACAATTTCTTTTGTAGCCTGATGCTTCACTACAACATCTTTATGACTTCTTTATATTTTTTAGAGAGTGAGATTACCAGTATTATATTATTTGTTAAGTAAAGACCCATATTGCACCCCATGAATATCTGTTCTTTCCCTTAATGCTAAAGCTACTGGCTTGATGGCAGCAGTGAAAAGTACAACATTTCAATGGAACTGGGCGGAAGCAACATATGGGGTAAGGTTTAATTCTAGAACAGATTCTCTGTTCTGATCATGCACGAATACAGTCATACCTCGGGTTGAAGTAGCTTGGATTGAGCATTTTCGGGTTGCGCTCCGTGGCGACCCGTTACTTCCAGGTTTCGCCACTTGCGCATGTGCTCAAAATGACGTCACGCGCATGCGCAGAAGTGGCAGACACGGGTTGCGTTCACTTCAGGATGCGAACGGGGCTCCGGAACGGATCCCATTCGCATCCAGAGGTACCACTGTAAAGAGGCTATCTTACAAGAACTAGGAGGCAAAAAGACTGGATCGCTAAGATTAACAATAATTAAAATATATAAACAGATAAAAGGCCAAAAGTTGCAATTTTGTGACCCTATGCAGAATGAAGAATAGCCCTAATGCAGTAGTTCTGAAACATAATTCACAATAAACAAGGACTAAAATTTTACATCTACAATAGGTAGGCATGAAAATCCTGTCAATTTCCTGGGAGATTCTGCAACAGTTCAGTACATAACCTAGAAAGCTAGAAGAGCTAACTAGAAGCAGTGAACACCAGTGTGCTATAGTACTTTGAGTCTTGTACCAGAAGAGGTGAAACCTCAGCTCAAATCTCCACTCAGCCATGAAGCTTTCTGACAGTCCTTTGGCCAGTCGCCATCTCTTAGTCCAACATATCTGACAGTTACAGTGAGGATGAAGGGGGTAGGGGAGAACCATATATACCACCAGAAGCTCCTTGGAGCAATACCAAAATATATATTTCTTTAAAATGCATAAATACCATTCGCCTAATCTATCTAAATAAATCTTCATTAAGAGACAGCTTTCAGCTTTGCTAAAAATCTGTGCTTTTTCATGGCTATTTTTGCTAGCATTGGGCAGCATGCAGGACTTTTCAGCATGAAACATACACCCGCCTACGAAGTATAAGGATCACTCAAGCCCTGCATGGAAACTGGCTGTGGATAAATATTTCCTGAAGCAGGTTTTGGGCTATTTGAACAGTGTGGAACACTACCAAAAAGCAATTTTCATTGCCGATTCATTATTCCCAGTAGGTGGCTTTTTTTGCCTCTCTGTTCCAATCAGCAGTGTCACAGGGCAATTGTCTCCTTTATCCTAGAACTCCCAAAGGAAAGAAACTGGTACACAGCTAGATGAACTGGCAAAAGAGGTTATGGCCTGCAGAGCAGACGGCACGATCCATATGCTCTGGCAAGCTGACATTGACAGAGAGCAGGGAGGCCCTTTGATCCCCTAAGCTTTGCAGTCTGTACGAACAACACGACATAAGCAGCAACCCCAAGGATCATTGAAGAGATTTGCCCAAATTTCTGCATCTCAAGGTGCGAGAGCTGGAATGGTGGGATGCTACAGGAGACCCAAAATCGAAAGAAGTGCCATTCCAAGTCCTACCAGCTTCACTCTTTTCCAATCCTTGGTTTTTGGAGTAGGAGTTTCCCTCTCATTTATTTCAGCTGGAGGGAAACAATGCCAACTCAAACTATGATGCCGGCTGGCCACCCCACCCCACCCCACCATTCCTGGATGTGCCTCCAGGAAACACTTCCTCTTTGCCCTTGGGAGCTGGCCATGGGCTCTTCTACTATGTTATGGAGGAGGCACCCAACATCTCTCCTCCTGTGAGGATAGACTGTTTTCTTTCTGCCCCCTGAATGGAAGATCAGATGGATCCTGTGGCCCCATGGACCACAGGATTGAAACTAAAAGGGCCTAAAAGAAGATTGCTTGTTGCAAATGCCTGTGAAATGTTCACAGAGTTGTTTGTGTAATGAAATCCAGTCAGAGAGCCCTTCTAAGTAGGCTTTACAATATTAATACTTTTCTTCGAGCAATGACCGGCTGGAGCAAGATCCCTCTGCCTGATCTTGGGTGATTCCCCTCAAGCACTGCAACCCCATACAGCTCCCACTGTTCAGGGGAGCCTAGGTAAAGGGACCCCTGACCATTAGGTCCAGTCGTGACCGACTCTGGGGTTGCGGCACTCATCTCGCTTTATTGGCCGAGGGAGCTGGAGTACAGCAAACCAGAGCAGCGCACGGAAATGCTGCTTACCTTCCCGCCGGAGCGGTACCTATTTATCTACTTGCACTTTGATGTGCTTTCGAACTGCTGGGTTGGCAGGAGCTGGGACCGAGCAACGGGAGCTCACCCCATCGCGGGGATTCGAACTGCCGACCTTCTGATCGGCAAGTCCTAGGCTCTGTGGTTTAACCCTTCAGGGTAGCCTACAACACTCTAAATAGGTTTGTTTTGGGGGGGGAGGCGGGTTTAAAGGAGATTATAGAAGAATGGTGGAGAAGAGTAAGGTCAGTTGCACAAACTGTGTTTCACTCACACAACCGTTCAATTAAACCAAGAGTGTTTTTTAAAGAGACAAAACGTACTGCTAAGCAAGGGAACAAAGATTAAACTCTGAATAAATCCTACAATAAGGGTGTGGGCTATCCCATCCAAAGGCACAGACTATCCAAAAGGATTAATGAGCGAGAACACGCCAAATGACAATTGAAACAAAGCAACTTGTGCATCGTTAATAAAACGGCTGACAAGCCAAAACACCCTGCTCTGAAATGCACAGTATATAAGAAGGTTCTTATTATATAGCTGTTCATTTTCAACACATCACTGCCACGCCATACCTTGCCACTGGAAGCAGAACAGAACCTTTCAAGTTCCAGGGTTTGTGCCATAACAGAGGAATCGTTTTTCTTTTCTCTCTTGCGCAGCACAGGCAGATCTGTTTCAATTAATTTATGACATGTCCCAAATGCAGAGGAGTGGGTGGAAGCAAGTGCTCTTGCTCATGGCTAATATTCTCTGTGTCTGCCAAGTTAAGATGATTAGGGAAAATAACTGTTTTTCTTGAGATGTATGGTATAGCAAACAACATCTTGTATTTATTCTAAAATGTCTACCAAGGCCTAAATATAAATTGCCTCTAGCTTTTCTCCCCCCCCCCCCGCCCTTTTTCTTTCAAGAGATCAATGCTCTCTCTCTAGGCTTAATTTTGCTGCCCTTCTGATTAACTCCCTGAAAGACTGTGTAGCATTCTTAAACTTCTACTTGCATATTAACTCTCTTAGGAGGGAAAAACCAGCCAATAATCAAAGGAAAGTATGTTGATTCCTTTCAGGCATTCACTGAAATATGAAGCGTTGTAATCAAGAGGGATATACACAGCACATCACTTAAGTAACTACACAAAAAGGATTGCGTATTTGGAGGTTTTTGAAAAGAAAGGTTTATGAAGGCGACTTTGGCCAGCAGAAATGGAAACAGACCATTTAAGGAATACAAAATGAAATATGTGACAACCCTCCCACCGCCCTGCTCTGCTACACATTGTTTGAATTTCGTATCACTTCCATTGGTGTTTTTTCTGGCCGACTGAAGCACAATTTAAGATGGATGTAGCAATCCACCCACTTGCAGTGACTCAGAAGGCTAGGTCTTGGACCGTCTAAAATAATGGAGACAGTAATACGATCTTTCTTTGTGCATGGAACTCATAACTTTCACACCTCCTCTGAGCTCTTGCTTGAAGCAGGCAATTTTCTCAACTCATTTCCATTATCATTTCAAAATTAACCCTTAGCTCATTTCATTTCGGAGTATGTTGGCTGCATTGGGCAATTTGCCTCCTAAGCAATATTCCTCCAGCCAAGCAAGCTGAAATCTTGTTAGATGCAAAGCGGCTGCTTTCTTTTCTTCTTCCATCCAACAGACTGCTCTTGCAATGCAACATGATACAAAAAGGGTCTTGGACAAATAAGCTGCGGTTGCACTTTCCCTTAAGAACAAGGAGGTGCGGAATAGCTCGGTGCTTCTGGATTCTATTTACCATGCTAGGACTGGTTGAATACTTCAAACAGGATTTGGCCATTCACCAAAAATATTTCTTAGGGTTGAAATGGGTGATTCAGCCACTCCTGTCCAATGCAGTTAGGTGTATCTAGCCAGCTATTCTTCTTCTTCTTCTTCTTCTTCTTCTTCTTCATCATCATCATCATCATCATCATCATCATTATCATATCACATATTTTTCCCAGTTGGGGACTCAAGAGGGCTCACATAGATAAAATAGAACAAGCTAAAAAAATTTTTTTTAAATCACTAAAGTATAATCAAACACTTATTATTACAATATTTCTCAATGGGCTTAACTAAGCAAGCCTAACAGCATACTTGGTAATACAAAGATAGACACTTGGTGCACTGCAATCTATCCCACCTTTAGATCCAAATTAGCAGTCATAGCACCAGAATGGTTCCGATATTCAAATTTCAAAAATGTCTACCACCCCATGTTTGTTTATTTATTTACTAGCCATCTCATACATAACATAGTTTGGGAATTCCAAGAAACTAAACAAACAAAACACCAATGCAGTCTTGAAATCAGTGCAGTTTTGAAAGGTTAAGTCCACCATCTTGATTCAAAATGGCATCTAATTGTATAAAAACATAGATAAAACACCACTCTTTGATCTCAGGAACTGTCATGCAAAATCTGGTTACAAAATCTTAAGTGGTATCCAAAATGCATAGACAACAGCCAGGGAAACAACTTTCTAAAACATATAGTAGATTTATATTAAATAATCTGCATCATCCAGAGTTGAGGAGTCACCACCACAATTAAATGGGTAAAAAGGCACAACTGTTATATTACAAAGCAAAATTAGCAGAATTGGAGGCAGTACAGCTGTCTAAATCTCACCCTTCTGTCCTGAAGTCCAGCACTCTCTACAGGCTCAGTTGCTGGTGGAAAGTAACTTGATTCATGCATGACTTTAAAAGAATTGATGCATTATTAATTTATGACAGTAGTCTGCAGTAACTAGCTTGCATTTCTAAGTATCTACCACAATTGCTAGCGCTATTGTGATTTTTAGAATGGTAAAGTGTTAAATATTGAGTTCCTGCTACCCTCTCATGGACTCCTGTTCAATGTGATATGTTGACATCTGGAACTAAGGAAAATGCAGCTGGTGCCAGATCTCAGCTGGAACTCCGTAACACAGCTGGAAATGGAGTTACGTCTATGCAAGAGGTCTAATCCTATAGGATGTTAGATATCTTCCTTGCTTGGCCAGGCTCAATATGCCATGAAATGCAGCTGGTTCCCCTAATTCAGCTGCAAAATTACACTTAACCACATTACTCTTCTAGAAATGAGCCCAGTGAAATTATATTAGTAAACGTTCTGTGTATTTTAATAGCTGTATTGTCTATATACTTTACAGCAATGTTGCTGCACTAATAGGTCATTCATTACAAGCAAGAGGAAAAAGTTTATGTTAACATCTATTATTTAATTAAGCACCGGCACAGTTGTGTGCATGTAAGTAGCAGCAGCTTTCCCAATTACATTTACAAATTGCTGCAGAAATCACAGTAGCATTCAGCTTTAACCATATGAATAGAAAATAAAACAAAAGTTTAAATGTACTTTTAAAAGAACTCAGACTATGCTTTGTGGAGCAGTCACACCACAAAGCCTGTGACCCATTAAAGAAAAACTATTATAAATAATTTTGGAATTTACAATTGGAGATTTTTGAAAGGGAAAATCAGAAACACGTATACTGTACTTATGATGATATTCCCCTCCAGCCTAAGTCTGTGGGAAACAAAATGGTGGTATTAAAGATTATTCTAAGATATGAAACGATTAAAGATTATTCTAAGATATGCGGATAATTCTGTCCAATGGTGAACAAATAAATGGCTGTGGTCCAAATAACTTTTTGGCAGTCCATCATTGGTAAATTCCAGATCTGCATAAGTATGTGCTTTCGAGACCTATATTGTGCACTATTTTCCAAATTTGTAATTGGAGCATTCTCTTCCTTATGTGTGAGAACAACTGTATATTATTCTAAAAACACCTCCACCCAGAGCAGGACCTGTTCTGTAAGTCCTAAAGTTAACACCACTTCCTTCCTAGGGAAATCCTAACAGCTTTTCTATCCTGTTCTATTTTGACTGCTGTATTGTTGCTTTCAGATTGCATTATATATCTATGTATATATTGCTGCTTTTGTTGTTTTTTCAACTGTTGTAAACATTTAAATTACAGCTAATAGTGTTATAGAAATAAATAAGGACAAATTCAAGGTTATAGTAGAGTAGGTCATAGATTGCCAAAGATGAATAGTGAATTGGTGGTTGACATCAACCAGCCACTTTTACCAGCCACTGTTTTTTCCTTGGGAAATTGCCAAGCTGCAGTGGCCTGAAAATGATGAAAGGTGGCTAAGCTTTTGACACTCTACGAACGGTAAGTAGCAGCAACACATTGCATATAGCAAAAGTAACCTAGAGCAGGGGCTATATATTTGTGAGGGGGTGGAAGCATAATAATTTTATGCCTGAGTCAGAGAGCCACGTCTGTCATCTTTGACAGGAAGACAGATGGTTGCCACTGAAAACTGATTCCTTTGTGCCCTAGAGCACTACAAATTGCATATTATTAAACTGCATCAGCCAGCAGCAAATCTCATGGCCTGAAGAGTTCTTAATGCTTGTGACATGCGTCTAAGGCTTATGAACTGCAGTGCTGTCAGCAGCCATTACAGAATGAATAGGTTTTGTAATAATAATAAAAAAGTTCAGCATGCTCCATCCCTACAATTATCATCATTAGTATGATCATGCTAAAGCACTAAGTGATTAATGAGAAGACAACCCTGTTTTAAACTTGACTTCACATATTCTAGTGCTTGAATCACGAGTTGTTCCAAGTGCATGTGCACATGGAAGACAAAAGAGAAACTTATACAGTGGTACCTTGGGTTACATGCGCTTCAGGTTACATATGATTCAGGTTACAGACTCCGCTAACCCAGAAATAGTACCTCGGGTTAAGAACTTGCTTCAGGATGAGAATAGAAATCGTGCTCCGGCAGCGAGGCAGGCACCATTAGCTAAAGTGGTGCTTCAGGTTAAGAACAGTTTCAGCTTAAGAACAGACCTCCGGAATGAATTAAGTTCTTAACCCGAGGTACCACTGTAATGGGAAATGGGATGTAGCCTCATCTGACTCTGTAGCCCAGAGAGGAGGGAACCTGTGGTTTTACAGATATTGCTGCATTACAGCTCCCAACATCCCAGACCATGGGCCATGTACTCTGGGGCTGATGGGAGCTGCGAAGTCCAACAATGTCTGGAGGGCCTCAGGTTATCTACCTCTGTTCCTGCTAGAGTCCCATCCAAGAACATTTTGCTAACAAACACAGGGTATCAAATGAACGAGCCACTCATCCTAGCTCACCTCTGCAACTTGCCAGCAGCCTACACCTGATGACCAGCTGACCTTCTTACAGCTGGAGGTTGTTTCTCTGTGCTCTGGCACTCAACACAGTCCTCTGTGCACCAGTAGCAGTTTAGTCATGCTGGCCACATGACCCCGGAAAGCTGTCTGAGGACAAACGGCGGCTCCCTCGGCCTGAAAAGCAAGATGAGCGCCACACCCCATAGTCGCCTTTGACTGGACTTAACCATCCAGGGTTCCTTTACCTTTACGTTTGTAATCTATACCACTTCTGGAGAAGTGTTATTTACATTCTCCCTTTTCCATGGTCCACTTATAGGAAAAGTACACCATGTATATACCAAAGAGGGGAGCAACTTTGTGGTGGGTGTCCTGACTCTGGAATAGTCCTCTGAAGAAGGTATTCTTGGCATCAACACTGTATTATTTTTGGTACCAGATCAAAACTTTTTTATTTAACCAGATGTTCTAAGTAGCTGCATTTGAGCTGCCTGTATAGTTTTTATTTTTGTTTAATTGTTTGTGTTGTTTTTAATTTCTTGTTGTAATTTTTAATGCACACTTCCTATAAATCAATTTGTGGATAAAGGTATGGTATATTAAAAATAAAATAAAAAGACCCTGCCATGTACCTCTCTTTATTTGACACCAGCCTCTTCCTCAGCCTCCCCATATGGTCTGCACACTGCTGCTTCCTAATTGATGCTCTCCACTTCCCCGATTATAGATTTAATCCAGTAATTGCTTGGCCCAGTCTGAATGCTGTCTATATACATAAACCGTCTTTAATAAACTGTATAAATCAATTGCTCTGGTTTATTTTCTCATTACTAATTCCGCTGTGGTGAACTGTGCTAAAAAATGTCACAATACGCTTCATTCAGGTATATGTGTGTATTGCTATATGTGTGGTACATGCGGCAACAAAATGCAGAGTGATCCTAGGCATATTTACTCTGCAGTAAGTCCCACTGTGTTCCGTATATGCTTCTGAGGTAAGCATTCACAGGATGTCAACCACTGAATTAACTCAAATTTTTGTAACACGCCTATGTAGCTAACATTTGCAGCTGTTTTAATGTTTGTGCTCTGTTTTGAACCTCTGGAAGAAGCCATTTGTATTATTTGATTTGTGGGGAGAAACAAGTTGATTTTTAAAGTAATCTGTAATATCATGAGCTGTCCCACAAAAGATGGGCTTAAGACACAAATTAATAGGCATAAAATCTGGGGGCAGGGTGGGGAGGAAGGCCAGTGACAACACCAGATGTTAAATGCATGCTATGTACCAGCTCATCCCTTCTGTATATTTGTTTCAAATAGCTATTTCATGAGAAGAAGCTAAACGTTGGCTTTACAGTAGTAAATGTTTTCATATCTTTCTTTTTAAATACATCATTTTTTACCATTTTCTTTTCTTGCTATTCATTAAGTACCAGCATAGATGCTTGACACCAGTGGGACTACGGCAGTATAAACGAACATTTTATGATCCAATGTTCTTCAATCAAGTTATGACTATAAACAAAGAGATGAAGCAACAATGAATCTACAAAGCAGAAAGGAATTGTTAAATTCAGTAAGCATGGAAAATTAATTCCTGTATTTCACCTCCCACAATAATGGTCTAGAAGCAGGAATGCGAATCACACATCAGAGACTACACTGCAGGTAGTAAACTGAACGTAGAGTTGTGTAGCTTTCATGAGGAAGAACATTTTGCAAACTGCTCTTAATATCTAATTCTATTACTAACACAGCTGTTGAAAGTGAAAAAGTAACATCCAGTTCCCATAAACATTTTATCTCCCTTCACATACAATCATAAGGGCAGAATTCAGTGCAGCCTGCCTGAGTTATGTCTCTATAGATTTGGGGCTAATAGCAACCATCTATATTTTGAAGACAAGGCATTAAAGCTCCATGGAAACTGGGTCCCCAAGAGTTTCCCTATCTTTCTTGGCACTTTCAAATTCCTCATAGATTAAACATGATGGCTGGTCCCCAGTCACACGAGGGAGCAGAGGTCATTTTCTCAGTTGTAATCTGAAAAAATACTGCAAGTTCGCCTGGCCTGGGCATAGCACCATAATATCTCCAGAAGATAATAGTTCTGTGCAGGAGCTGCATGACACAGGAAGGATAAAATTTTCATTTTCATATATTAGTTCTCTGCACCTCTTTGATGTAGTTATACAGAGGAAAGTGGCATATAAGGGAGAAATATGGAAGAGAGGTCCACACATTCATTTTAAGCACAGTAGTTTTATAAATGGTGCTCACCCAGATTTGGAAAAGCACATATCTTGTACATGCCTATTTTAAAAGAAGGTTACAGTGCATAGAACACTTCTGTGCAAGGAAAGCTAAAGAAAGACACAAGACATTTAGGGATCATGTGCTTGTGTCTTTCACAATTGAGTCTCAGCCCACTTAGAACTTCAAAATGGACCCTCGCTTTAAGAGAAAAGTTCAAAATTACTAGGTACATTCAAACAGAAACATTTGATAGACACAGTAATGATGCCTCAGGAAAGAACATCTTTCCTCTATAAATTTAGAACAGTCCAATTTAAATAAAGCTGAAATCCATACACAGGATAGAGGGGCCTGTTTAAAATAGCTTATGATTGTTAGGAGACTTTTATTGCAAAGAACATAGAAAAATCTTTTTATTCATGGTTTAAAAATAAAGAATTCAAATATTTCACAGAGCATTATGGACAAATTGTTATATTGTAAAGTAGAAGTGATTTGTTGTTCCTCAAATCAAATTATCAAAAAAAAGAAGAAAGCTTTCTCTGTTATAAAACAGGAAAAAATATGTCTCTTACCCTATTCCAACAAATACATTTAAAGTAAACCATTTGGTCTTTTGTTTTGTAGCACATATCTTTCGGGGCCATTCCCCAATAATGATGTTCAGGGAAAATGTTTTTAATATCTAGACTATAATAAACCTAACAGATGCTTCTATTATGCATTTGATATCCCATATATTATTTTCCCTATAAACTAAGAGAGAAGCATGAAGAGAGAACACATGAACACACCTCAAAAAAGCAGAGACTGTTAACAGCCTCATGTTTCTAACTCTCATCAGTACAAGTCAGCATACCCAATGGTCAGAGTGAATGGGAATTGTAGTCCACCAATAACTGGAAGACCACAGTTCCTCCATCTCTGGTCTACAGTCTATGTATTTTGGACATCTACAGTAACAAAAATACAGTTCAAATACCAATGACATTTGGTAGCTTTGTAGTGAAATCCTGTGCACGTACACGAAATGTGATTTAGGACTGGATTCAACTACAGACGGCTCCCAATTTACGCATGGGTTACGTTCCAAGGCACCACATGTTTAAGTGACACGCTGTATATTTGAAATTGAAACACCACTGAAAAAGCCTGAAACACCCCATTCCACCTCTGCCCCCTTTTTGTGACGTTTTTGGGTTACTTCTGGGTTTCGTGCGATGCACGTGTGCAGTCATGCATATATCGGACACACCTAAAACAGTCGCTGCCTGTACTACTAGCAGAAACCAGCGTGGTGATCCTGCTAGCTAGGACAACAGGGTTTCCCCCATGTGCCATCCCCAAATCCACTCTAGAGGGTCAGGAGTTCCCCCAGAGCAGCACATGGAGGAGAGGTCATTCTGTTAGGCAAGCAGGAATGCATGTGCTGATGGAACAATCTCCTTAGCACTATTTTGAATTCCACCCTAACTGGTCTTAGGTTACAACCCTATATTCATTTACCTGGAAGAAAGACCTATTAAATTCAACAGGACTGACCTCTCGGGAGATATACATATACATAGGATTGTGCTATCAGCCAGGTGTTGGTAAACCAACAAATTTTGTTGTCTTAGTAAAACCATTCTTTACTAGGTTTTATTTTATATCTTTAAAATATCAAGCAGCCTGGTACTGACACATTATTTTTTGCAATCTTTGTGGTGTGTTGCTGTTATTCAGCCACCCTGAAGCCATGGTTTGTTGCGGGCTTTCTGATTATTGCTTGTTGGGAAGCAACAAACACGATAGCTTGTTCTGGCGTAAATAGAAGTAAAAGTTTCCTTGTTTGTTTATTCTACTCAGGCCAAGAAGGGGCAAAGTGGGGAACGACTGGCACCATGCATCAACATGCCTCTCTGTCCTGATAACTCTTGATAAACCAGATAGTCTGATGCTATCATGGTTAATAGCCACATTCTGTATTAATTATTGTGCAAATTATCAATATGTGCACTGTCACCATGGCTATATAATTTCCATGTCATGAAGGAACAATGTTCATCCTAGTCACTACCAGCCCTTGGTTCTGAAAAGTTCTGAGCACTTGTCTTCAGTTAAGACTAAGGAATCTTGGCAGGTGTTCCTATATGTGAAAAAAATACAAGAAGCAAATTGAAATCCTTCATTTAAAAGTTATTCCCCTGTCATTACCCCTAACTCCTAGTACACCACTATCAGTTTTCAAGTACAGAAACATAACCAGACTTGCTCAGATACAAAATTCAGGATTAAGAATCCTGCTAACATATTACATTTTTAGCTGGCTAATTAAGTAAATTTATAATAATCACACTTAACACTCATTTTAATATTATATGCCCTCTACTTATACTATGCATTATTTTTCAGCTTCATCAGAGACCAATACTAACCTTGGTAGTTAAGAATTAAAACAGGTTTTGCAAAGGCAAAAGCGATCCTACAAATAGCGTTTAGGAACGATCAATACATAATTGTGTTAATCTTCTGCTTTAACAGTACTTGAAAATGCAGTATTTTGCCTATATCCACAAAGTGCAGCTAGATAGGAGTACAACTTTTTCCAGAATTGAAGAATACTACAAGTACGAAAGAGCAAGTTTCACATCTAAGTGGAGTTGTGGGAGTTCTAGATGCGTGCCTATTTCACGTACGTCATCAAAGGTAGAACAAGTGTATATTTATCAGCAAAGCGTTTTCCACAACTGTCAGTGAGTTATTAAGGGTTGATTTTCAACACTCTGGGGCCTAGAACGTACCAGTCTCTTCACTACCCAAAATTACAACTTCATAAATATGACCACCTGTTATGCTGTTATTTTGGTGCCATTGCATCTATTTTTATTTGTCTTTACCACCAAGCATGACATACAATACCATGGTAACATAAACAGAGGTGTCTGTATGAAGAGGTTAAGCTATAAATAGTAAAGTATAGTCTAAAAGTAACCAACCTATAGACACCTGTTCTTATGACATAACACTTCCACTACAAGATGTTTTGCCTTATTCCAAGATCAATGAAATGTGGAACAAGTCTGAGGAAAATAGAGGGGCAGAGAAATATTAAGTAGAGCATGGCACAGATGAGATGGGAGAGGCAATCCATTATTATAGTCAAGTTCTTTTTTTGTTCAAAACAACTGCTATGATAGCATAGCAGCAAATGAACCAGAGCAGTTGCTCTTAACATACAAGTCTAGCTTCACTGTTTAGAGCAGTCATAAAGGGAAGCATTCTTCCTCTTTATGAAGCTAAGAAAATGCTGTTTGCAGAACGCTACGGTAGTTTGCAAACTGAAAAAAGCTTCCAAAATTTTTCATCGTGAGATATAGATCCAAATAATTTGCTACTTCAAGCAAGATGCATTTAATCTTGTATAGCCTTGATACCTTTTTTAAAAAGAACCCAAAGCACTTTGTCAGAAAGCTGCTGGCAGGATCTCATCCCAAACAATGCAAAAACATCCATCAGATTGAAGAATTAGCCTCGGAACACTACAAGCAGCAGGCTGAAATGACTAGGATAACAACAATCTTCTTCGGAATCATGAGAACAGGCACCAAAATTGGGAGGTATAGAAGTTACAAGTTTTGAATTTGACAAAAGTAGAGGAACGAAGGCGGTACAGAGAAACAGAGCCTGGTATTGGAAGAGTGAGCAGGGGAAGAGGTGGTGAAATAAAAAGCAACAGAACAGACCGTGAAAGATCTCCAATGAGTTTGATTGGTTCTACAACCTACCCTGGAAAGGCCATTTTCAAGAGGATAAACAAGGAGGCTTGGCAAAACAGCAACAAAGTTAAGCATACCTTAAATCTATTGTTTAACTGGATTGTGTTCAAATAGAAGAGTCAGTTAGGGCTGCCATACGTCCGGAATTTCCCAGACATATCCGGAATTTCTCTGTCAGAAATAGCTTCCAGGTGGAATTGGTAAAACTCAGGCGTATGGCAACTCATGTCAGACTAACCTGATCTCGTTTTTTGACAGAATTACAAGCCTGGTAGATGAAGGGAACGCAATGGATGTAGCCTACCTTGATTTCAGCAAGGCATTTGACAAGGTGCCCCATGATATTCTTGTAAAGAAGCTGGTAAAATGCGGTCTTGACTATGCTACCACTCAGTGGATTTGTAACTGGCTGACTGACCGAACCCAAAGGGTGCTCATCAATGGTTCCTCTTCATCCTGGAGAAGAGTGACTAGTGGGGTGCCACAGGGTTCTGTCTTGGGCCCGGTCCTATTCAACATCTTTATCAACGACTTGGATGATGGACTCAAGGGCATCCTGATCAAATTTGCAGATGACACCAAACTGGGAGGGTGGCTAACACCCCAGAGGACAGGATCACACTTCAAAACGACCTTGACAGATTAGAGAACTGGGCCAAAACAAACAAGATGAATTTTAACAGGGAGAAATGTAAAGTATTGCACTTGGGCAAAAAAAATGAGAGGCACAAATACAAGATGGGTGACGCCTGGCTTGAGAGCAGTACATGTGAAAAGGATCTAGGAGTCTTGGTTGACCACAAACTTGACATGAGCCAACAGTGTGACGCGGCAGCTAAAAAAGCCAATGCAATTCTGGGCTGCATCAATAGGAGTATAGCATCTAGATCAAGGGAAGTAATAGTGCCACTGTATTCTGCTCTGGTCAGACCTCACCTGGAGTACTGTGTCCAGTTCTGGGCACCACAGTTCAAGAAGGACACTGACAAACTGGAACGTGTCCAGAGGAGGGCAACCAAAATGGTCAAAGGCCTGGAAACGATGCCTTATGAGGAACGGCTAAGGGAGCTGGGCATGTTTAGCCTGGAGAGAGGAGGTTAAGGGGTGATATGATAGCCATGTTCAAATATATAAAAGGATGTCACATAGAGGAGGGAGAAAGGTTGTTTTCTGCTGCTCCAGAGAAGCAGACACGGAGCAATGGATCCAAACTACAAGAAAGAAGATTCCACCTAAACATTAGGAAGAACTTCCTGACAGTAAGAGCTGTTCGACATTGGAATTTGCTGCCAAGGAGTGTGGTGGAGTCTCCTTCTTTGGAGGTCTTTAAGCAGAGGCTTGACAACCATATGTCAGGAGTGCTCTGATGGTGTTCCCTGCTTGGCAGGGGGTTGGACTCGATGGCCCTTGTGGTCTCTTCCAACTCTATGATTCTAAGTGATGTTTTTTTGCAAATTTCCTTAAAAAAATAGTGGTGGGGGGGAGCTCAACAACTTTTGTGTCTGGATTTTCATTTTTGAAATATGGCAACCCTAGAGCCTGTATGTATATGTATACACTAGCCTACAAAGTTACAATACACTGATCAATTAGTTTTAACTTATTAAATTAGCATATATTTGCACATGATTAAGTTTTGAAAAATCACTTCTTTTTTTACAATGATGCCTTGTGCAATATGCACTGTCTATTCCTGTGTGAAGTGAGGAAGGAATGTTTCATCTAAGAAAATTAACTCAATTATTGTTTTGCAAACACCTGTGTACGTCTTACATTTTGTGCATCGAATTAAGTAGACTGGAAGAATACATGTGCTAATCTTTAAAGGTACTGCAAACCTCTGTTTTTGCTGAAGTACAGACAAGGCTGCCCCTCTGGAAATGAGTTTATTGTGTTGATAACTGCACTTTTACATATTTTTTTACTGTGACTTTGCCATTGTGTCTCCTGTACCTTCAACATTTAAAAGTTTTGTTTTAATATATTACGCCCGTTTGACTATTTTCAAACATAGGATTGAGAGCCTATATAACAGCAATAAGTAATAGAATGTATTGCCGAAGGGTTAAACTACATGTTCTTTGAAATGTCTTTGGATCCCATGGTTGGGATTCCCCCCCTCTCTCCCCCCCCCCTTCCACTCCCGCTCCCTAAAAGCAGCACTGGTAGGCTTGTGTTCTTGAGCTGTTGTATAGTTACTTACCAGCTTGTAAACCTCAAGGTCAGTTTAAAGTCATGCACTCAGGAAGGCCTTGTGATGTAAGCAGATACGAGTGCTCAAGAGAGATCAGATCTCTTTGTTCAAGCAAGTCTTTTTGGATACTTGTGGGCAGGGAAGGTAAAATACACACAAAGCAACACCAAAAGTAGAAGAGATTTGGATCCGCTTCTTTATCAGTTCTGAAAGTTAGCTGGCTGGAAACTGAACATGAAAGGAAAATTTACACTTTTTTTTTTTTTTTTAAGAGTAAAACTGCGAAGAGGGGAAAGGCCGTAGCGGTAGAGCATCTGCTGGCATCTTTAAGTAGACCTGGAAAGACCCCTGTCTGAAAGCCTGGACAGAGACTACCAGTCACTGAAGCCAGTTCTGCGCTAGATGGGTTAATGGTTTGGGCTCAAGTGTAAAGCAACTTTCTATGTTCTGTAAGGGTGGCGCTGTGGGTTAAACCACAGAGGCTAGGACTTGCCAATCAGAAGGTCGCGGTTCGAATCCCCACAACAGGGTGAGCTCCCGTTGCTCGGTCCCTTCTCCTGCCAACCTAGCAGTTCAAAAGCACGTCAAAGTGCAAGTAGATAAATAGGTACCACTCCGGCGGGAAGGTAAACGGCGTGTCCGTGCGCTGCTCTGGTTTGCCAGAAGCGGCTTAGTCATGCTGGCTACATGACCCGGAAGCTGTACGCCGGCTCTCTCGGCCAATAAAGTGAGATGAGCGCCGCAACCCCAGAGTCGGTCACGACTGGACCTAATGGTCTGGGGTCCATTACCTTTACCTTTATGTTCTGTAAGATTAACAAATTGAATAAACTAATGCTTTATTTATATCAGCCAAATGCTATTCTTTGAAACAATACTTTTTCTGAATTAAAATCTAGGCATGTTGAGAGTAAGAATCCAGAGGCTAGTTTTGTTTCCTCCTGGAGTCCCAAAATCATCAAGGTGAAACACAAGTTGACTCCTGATCTTCTTGGGCCAGTCTGTGTTTCAAATGCAGAATACTACATCTGATTGTATGTTTGTATCTATCTAATCATTGGCAGTTCTCAGTGGTATTACACCAAGACAGCAAATATTTTAATTAAGCAGACATGGAATAATGATCCATTAGAGAGGGCTAAACTGCCTTTATCATTCTTTACAAAATATTCTTCACTTTCTCTTAAGACAAGTGACCAGAGACGATGCTACCTATGGAACACTCAAAAATCCCAATGTGCTCACTGGCCTAAAAAGGTTGCCAGCCCCTAGTAGAGTGGAATAACTATTATTATTAAAAGAACCAATGTTAGGGGAGGGAATACCTATATTTTCCAAGGGGCAGTTCCAGTGTTAGAAACTGAGATATGAAAGCTAGGAGCTAAATGGCACCTTAAACCTAGCGTTATGTGCACAACTATGTAATGTCTAGGCACATTTTTTTAATAACAAGAATACAAAGCTGAAAATGAATGAACTGCAGCTAAAGTATTGTGTTCAGTTGTCACATGGTCTAGTTCTTCCCCTGCCCTCACCCCCCCCCCAATATCCTTAAGAGGGTCTCTTCTTCAGTCTTCGAAGAATAGCTGGAAATGGTGAGGCAGAAAAAGGTCCTCCTTTCCTTCCACTCTGAAGTTTTAATCTGAAATCTTAGGCGCAGCACTGTGCCCAGAGCACAAAAACAGATTGCACTAATGAAATTCCCTGTTGCAAAATGTGCCTGGAACAATGGGAGTTTCAAACACTCGGCAGTTCACCAAGAAAATAGTAAGGAAGATCTCAAATCCTTTTGAATGCTTCTTAGGAGAGCTACAATGATTAATTCCTTAATACTTGTGATGTTCAATTTAAACATTTTATGGATTTATAGAATGGAGGTTTAAGTATGCATTTAGGAGTTACTGAACTGAAATAAATATTGTTATTCATACTATAGCTGCTGATTATATTTAGACTATATTTGTTTGTTGGCTTGTATGTGTATTTTTAAACATTTAATTATATACTGCACATATGCATGTGTGCACTATATATATAGTCAGAGGAAGCATGACCAGAAAGAGAGGAAGAGGCGAATAACTATGGCAGTAGAGTCCATGTGAACAGAAGAAAGTGAGACAATGAAAGACCAGAGAGAAAACTGCAGTAATCAGTGTTAGAAATAACTAGGCTGGACATGCATTAGAGTTTGCATGAAGGAAAAGGAAGGCTCATACTCTTGTAATGTTGTAAAAGAGAGAAGCGCCATGAGTTTGCATAAGGCTGCATTATGGGGAGGGGGTTTGAGACTGCTCAGCCAAAAAAGAAGCTGGCTCGCATTTTAGTCCAACCTGTTTTACAACTGCTGTGTACCAACCTGAAAACTTCATTGAGTTATCCAGTACAATCCCAAAGTCTCGTTTCTGATCAGTCACTGCCAGTTCAGACTTCATTTGTGCCTTTTCTTTGCCTCAATATGCATCACTTTACACTTGCTTATATTGAACTTCATTTGCTATTTTAATGCAAATTAAAATAGAGGTCCTTTTGGAGATCTGCTTATTCCTATTCTCAGCTTCTGTTGCTTAACCAGTTGCTGATCTATAAGAGGACGTCTCCTATTATTCCATGACTACTAAACTTACTCAAGAGTCTTTGGTGATGGACTTTATGCATAACCTCCAAGTGTCCTGTTTTAAGCGGGACATCCTGGAGTGACAGACGCCAGCCCAGCTTCACGGCCTAGGACCCTCGTACCTACGGAACCACCTCTCCCGGTATGCCCCACAGAGAGCCTCAAGGTCCATAAATAGCAACACCCTAGTGGTCCCGGGCCCTAAGGAAGTTAGATTAGCTTCAGCCAGAGCCAGGGCCTTTTCAACACTGGCTCCGGCCTGGTGGAACGCTCTGCCTCATGAGACCAGGGCCCTGCAGGATCTGATTTCTTTCCGCAGGGCCTGTAAGACAGAGTTGTTCTGCCTGGCCTTTGGCTTGGAGCCAATTTGATTCCCTCCCCCTCTTTCTTTTTTCTTTTTCCTTTCTCCTGCTGTTATGAGGCTGCAATTTCATATTTTAATGTTTCAATATTTTAATGTTGTATTTTAATCTTGCTTTTAAGTTGTATTCATTCAACTTGTTTTTATAATTGCTTGTTAGCCGCCCTGAGCCCGGCCTTGGCTGGGGAGGGCAGGGTATAAAAATTATTATTATTATTATTATTATTATTATTATTATTATCCCAATTTGGGATGTCCTGTTTTGGCTCCTGTGCTCTGGCACAGGTAGGAGGGGGACAAGAAGACAGGCAAGCAAGGGGGCGGTGGCAGGGAGGAGGCAAGCAGGTGAGCGATTGAGTTGTGGGTGGTGCCCCGATTTGCCCTCCCAAAATGTTGGGGGGTATGTTTAATCAAAAGCTCTTTGAAAATCTCAGCACACAGTGTTGACTGGATCACCGTCTATATGTTTACTGATATTTTAAAAGAGCTCTCAAAGGTTAGTTAAACTTAGATGAGCCATACTGGTTCTGCTTCTGCAAGACCTGTTTGTCTATATTCTTGGTACTCTATCTTTAATAGTGCTTTCTACCAGTTTTCCTGGAGCAGACTGTAATTTCCCAGAACTCCCCTGGATCCTGTCTATTTCCAGTGCTTACGCATGGAGGCTGATCTTAGGGACAAGTTCATCTGAGCTATTTAAGAACTCTTGGATGGATGCCATCTATGATTTAAAACAGTGATTTGTCTGTTTTAAATCTGTCAATAAGGCCTATAACTTCATCTCATTGTTTATTTGCCTTCCTAAGAAAGTTAGTTCAAGGGCAGGCAGCTGCTCTACATCTTTCACTGTGGAAAGCAATGCAATGAATTCAGCTGCTCTGCAGTCCCTCCCACCTTTTAAGCACACCTTTGACTCCTTTGCTACCCCACCTCGCTAGCTGGCTTCTTACTGCTAACAAATTTAAATATTTTGCTGGTGGTGGTTTTAATGTGTTTAGCAAAGTGTTCCCCAAATACTTTTTGTTGACTTGCATTTACTTTGCCAAAGTTTATGTTCCTTTTTGTTATTTCCGTTTGGACAAGACTTCAATTGTCTGAAGGAAACCTTGGCCCTGGAGTAGTTTTCCTGATAGTCAACACATTTTCTAACTGGACTTCTATTATTGTGGTTTTGGCTAACCCTAAGGCATTCTGAACAGATTTGATCTTCTTGACTTTCACGTTTCACTTTAGTTAGAAGTGCTGTGAGTCTTTAGCCTTGGAAAATTTTGCAGTATGTGGCAATAAGATCCTGTGGTTGTTGACTTTGAAGGTGGATGCAAGTTTAGGGATTCAGTAAGCTTTTAACTAGCTTGGACTGGTGGAAGTTTCATGAGGATGCAATGATACATGCTTTATTGGTAGCTGTTTATTTCTTTATTTTTATTTGTCCGTGTAATATTCTTTTCCATAATACAATGCCCTGTTACATTTCATATAGGATTGCTGAGTTTATCTCTTTTTAACATTTCTGTGCTTTGATTTAAATATATATTTCCAATTTATCTTATTTTTGGTTTAACTGGTCCCTTTCTGATTACCACCACCAGGTCACTGAAGCAAGCTAACTGGAGGGAAATTCAAGAACTAATTTGAGATAGCTGTGGACAGTAGCTAACCAGTAGATTCCATGAGTAACAGTTTAAGGACAAGTTGTACATGGTCATCTTGCTGGTGATGCCACTGTTCTCCTTTAAGAACTACAGTATGTAGAACATTATTTCTCAATTAGTATTCTAATGGCACACTTTGAGAAAGGAGTGGCCAGGGAACTCCTTTACCTGAAAAGCCCAGATAGAAGATCCTAAGAGAATGAACTGTCAGCTGATTATAAACTTCTTTTTATTATTATTATTATTATTATTATTATTACTACTACTACAGTGGTACCTTGGTTCTCAAACTTAATCCATTCCGGAAGTCTGTTCCAAAACCAAAGCATTCCAAAACCAAGGCACACTTTCCCATAGAAAGTAATGCAAAATGGATTAATCCGTTCCATACTTTTAAAAACAACCCCTAAAACAGCAATTTAACATGAATTTTACTATCTAACGACACCATTGATCCATAAAATGAAAGCAATAAACAATGTACTGTACTATAAAACAAATAAAGCAGCATTGTAGATGATAAAAATTAATATTAAAAAAATTTCTTACCTGCACTGATGATAGTCATTGTTTGGATGGGGGGGGGCTTTTATCCATTTCCGCAGTCACATAATCAATCAATCAAACAAACACAGTCACAAAAACAAATTAACCGAAAAAGCCTCAAAAACAAAAAACGCAAAATAAATAGCAAAAACAAAAGCACCAACTATACCGTAAGCTCCACATATCACCTCAGAACACTGCTATTGGAAACAGAAGGTTTGAATTATAATTGGGGGGGGGGTGCAAATTAGCAGCACAACAGGAAACCCGGAAACAGAAGGCTTGAATTACAATGGGGGAATGCAAATTAACTGCACAACAGTAAAAACGGAAGCTCAGGACTCAAAACAGAGCATGTTCGGCTTCCGGGGAAAAGTTCGAAAACCGGAACACCTACTTCCGGTTTTACAGCGTTCGGGTTCCAAGTTGTTCATGAACTAAAGCTGTTCGAAAACCAAGGTACCTGTGATGGCCTGGGATTCCGATTCGGAGGATGAAACAGAGGAATCCCAGCCTGCACAGGAGTCCCCGCCTCCAGGGCCGGCTGAACTGGGGCAAGGCCTAGATGCTGAAGAGCCTGCACCTGTGGCAGTGCATCAGGAGCTGGCCCCAGGTGAAGCCCTTCTGGCCCCAGAGGGGCTTGATGACTCAGTGACCACAGGTGAGCCTCCTCCAGGGCCCAGTAACCCTTCGGCCTCTCCTGATCTGCAGAGGCTTAGGGCAGAGAGGCGAAGGGAACTGGTTGCCCCCAGGAGGAGTGCTCGCCTTAAGGCCAGAGGAGGCGGGGCTCCTGGGGACCGGGACCGCCCCTGGCCTTAGAAGAGGATAAAAGCCCAGTCAGCCCGGCCCCAGGTTGCGGGAGCAACGTCGTTGTTGGCTCCGGACCTTCCTGTGCTCCTGTTCCCTGCTCGGCTTCCTGTTCCTGACTATCCGGTACTCCTGTTCCCTGCTCGGCCTCCTGTTCCCGACCATCCGGTGTTCCTGTTCCCTGCACAGCCTCCTGTTCCAGCATTCCTGTTCCCCGCCCGGCTCTCTGCCTCGGACCTTGCCCCTCTTCGTGTGGACTCTGCTACACCCAAGGTACCTTACCCCGGGACCAGCACAGTTTGCTCCCGCCACACCCGCACTTCCCCTTCGTAGGGGTGCGTTCGGGAAGAGCCAGAGGCCATGGCTGAACAGGCGGCTGCACTGGTGGCTTTGGCCCAGGAGAACCAGGCCTTGAATCACACCGTGCAGCAGCTCAGCGACGCGGTTGTGGCACTTCTTCATCGCTTGGAAGCCCTACCGGCTCCTGGGGCCGGCGCCCGGCTCCGGGCAAGTACCCAGTGGCTTTGCCTGAGAAATTTGATGGAGCCCGGCCAGCTTTCCCATGTTCCTGGCCCAGGCCAAGCTGTATATTCAGGGGCGAGCCCGGAACTTCCTGACGACCGCACCAAGGTGCACTTTTTGATAGTTTGTTAAAGGACCAGGCGGCCAAGTGGGCGTTGCCGTTACTCAGGCAAGACTCCCCTTGCTGGCAGACTATACGGGGTTTGCAATCGTTTGGAGGCCGCGTTCGGCAACCCCCAGAAGAGAGTCAAGCCAACCGGGCGATTCGGCGTTTGAAACAGGGCAAGTCCACGGTGGCCACATATACCACGGAGTTTCGGCTGTTGGCACAGGACTTGACCTGGAATGACTCGGCACTGCGGGACCAGTATCTCGAAGGGCTTTCGGACGAGGTACTGGACCAGTTGGCCACAATGGACCGCCCCACCACGCTGGACACTCTCATTCAACGGAGTCTACAAATAGACGACCGGTTGGAGGATCGTCGTCAGGCCCGGGGTCGCCGACACTTCCAGTTCACGGCACCAGCTTTTTCCGGCAGCCCCACGGTCACAGCTGATTTAACGGAGGAGCCTATGCAGCTCGGGGCAGTGCGGCCGCGCCTTTCGCCGCGGAGAAGGCGCGGCGTCGGGAGGAAATCTCTGTCTTTACTGTGGCGGAAGTGGACACTTCGCTCGGTCCTGCCCTGAGAACGCCAGCCGCAGAGCCGCCAACCCCAGTAGCTGATGGCCCTAGCTACCGGGGGTCCCAAACCGTACAGAATGGGCCCGCACCAATGGACTTGCAACATCTTATGGTTTCAGTACGTTTATACCCTCCAGGTGGGCCCTGGATCCTCACCCATGCTTTGGTAGATTCAGGGCAACCCGCTCCTATATGGACGCTGCTTTTGCCGCCCATCATCAGGTGCCACTTGGAACAAGCCAGTACCGGTCCAGGTGGAAGCGATTGACGGACGACTTCTGCGTTCAGGTGCCGTTACTCAGGAGACCCAGCCCTTGGTCCTGTGTCTCCAGCAGCACCGGGAGTTGCGGACTTTGGACATTGCCTCTATGCCCCGCTTCCCCCTGGTGCTCGGGATGGACTGGCTGGAAGCCCACACCGTTCCGAGTGACTGGGTCGAACGGACCGTGCACTTCCCAGACCCATGTTCCCATGCGCAGTCCGGTGCGCTGGCGGGCGCGCCTCAGAGGAGGCAGCACCCACGCTCCCAGCCGTGTACCAGGACTACCAGGACGTGTTCGAGGAACGGGGGCAGACCAGCTGCCGCCACATCGGCCTTTGACTGCGGCATAGACCTCCAACCCGGAGCGCCTTTACCAGTGAGTCGCTTATATTCCCTAACAGAGCCAGAGCGCGAGGCTTTGCAGGACTTCTTGCGCAAGAACCTGGAGCGTGGGTTCATTAGGCCTTCCACCTCGCCTACCGCGGCACCAGTGCTTTTCGTTAAGAAGAAATGTGAGGAACACCGCCCTTGCCATGATTACCGAGCCCTGAACAAAATTACCGTCCCAGACCGGTACCCCTTGCCCCTTATCTCGGAACTGCTGGAGCGGGTGCAAGGGGCACAGGTGTTCACCAAGCTGGACCTCCGGGGGGCCTACAACTTGATTCGGATCCGAGCCGGGGATGAGTGGAAGACAGCGTTTGGGACCCGGTACGGGCAGTTCGAATATTTGGTTATGCCTTTCGGTTTGTGCAACGCGCCTGCTGTGTTTCAACGCTACATCAACCACGTGTTTCAGGACTTGTTAGACAAGTACGTGGTGGTGTATTTGGATGACATACTGATTTACTCCCGTGACCCGGCTTGCCATGAGGGACATGTCCGGACCGTGCTGCAGCGCTTGCGTGAGCACCGTTTGTACGCAAAGCTCAGCAAGTGCGAGTTCCATCAGCGGACTGTGGACTTCCTTGGTCACCGGCTCTCTCCAGATGGGGTGCAAATGGACCCGGGGAAGGTGACAGCGGTTCAAGAATGGGCGGCACCCCGGAACCGCAAGGACCTGCAGCGTTTCCTGGGGTTCGCCAATTACTACCGGACCTTCATCGCTGATTATGCTCATCGCACCACCCCGTTGACCCGGCTACTGCGCCCAAAGACGCCGTTTTCCTGGGACAAGGAGGCAGAGGAGGCGTTTCAGGGGTTGAAGGCCTGTTTCCAGAGGGCACCAATCTTACAACATCCTGACCCCTCTCGACCCTTTGTGGTGGAGACCGGCGCTTCCAGTACGGCTCTCGGTGCCGTCTTGTCTCAACAGATTGGTCCTGAAGCGCCACTCTTACCCTGTGCCTTCTATTCTCGCCAGCTCCTACCAGCGGAGCGTAACTATACTGTGTGGGAGCGGGAACTACTGGCCATCAAGGTAGCCTTTGAGGTCTGGCGCCACCATCTTGAGGGGCACGACATCCGGTGGAGGTGAGAACCGACCACCGGAACCTGGAGTACCTCCAGACCACCCGCAAACTGAACCAAAGACAGATCCGGTGGGCGTTGTTCTTTTCCCGGTTCCAGTTCCGGATCCGCTACATCCCTAGCTCTCAGAATCAGAAGGCGGATGCCCTGTCCCGGAAACCCGAAGACAACGCAGACACGGTACAGCAAGCAGAACCCACCACGATCCTACCTCCGGCCGCATTCCTGGCCACCCAGGAGGCGCAGCCACTGCAGGTTCGGGTGCGGGAACAGCAGCGGGTCGACGCTTGGGCCCAGGAACGACTCCGGGAGCTGGCTGAAGGGTCCAGCCCACAGTATCCGGGGCTGGTCCTGCATCAGGGCCTTCTGCTGCACCACGGTCGTCTGTCACATCCCGCCAGGGCCACTACGGCTGGAGGTTCTCCGGATGGCCCATGATGCCCCAGCAGCGGGGCACTTTGGACGGTATCGGACCACCCATCTGGTCAGTCGAGAGTTTTGGTGGCCCCGCCTGAAGGCTGACGTGGCTCGCTACGTTGCTGGTTGTGATGTCTGCCGGCGCGCCAAGGGACCTACCGGGCGACCCCCCGGCCTACTTCAGCCATTGCCAGTTCCACCGCGCCCCTGGCACACGGTTTCGTTGGACTTTGTAGTGGACTTACCCTCGTCTCGTGGCTGTACCTGCCTTCTGGTTTTCTCCGACCATTTCACCAAGATGGTGCACTGCGCTCCCTGTCCATCTGTACCCACAGCCAAGGAAACTGCTCAGCTGTACCTTCAGCATGTCTTCCGCCTGCATGGACTACCTGAGCGCGTGGTGTCCGACCGGGGCGTTCAGTTCACATCCCGGTTCTGGCGAGCATTACACCAGACCCTCGGGACAGAGGTCTGCCTCTCGTCAGCCTACCACCCACAGACCGATGGCCAGACGGAGCGGGCGAACGCGGTGCTGGAGCAGTACCTCCGGTGTTACTGCAGCTACCAGCAGGATGACTGGGTCGACCACCTGGCATTGGCGGAGTTCGCCTATAACAACGCGGTGAATGCGTCCACCCAGCAGACCCCGTTCCAGGCCAGTTATGGTTATCATCCACGGCTGTTTCCAGAGGTGCTGCCGGCATCCGCGGTCCCGGCGGTGACGGAGTGGCTTCAAGAGCTCCAGTCCCAGCAACAGCTTTTGGTGGAGCAACTGCACCAGGCCAAGGAAGCGTACAAAGCCCAGGCCGACCGCCACCGCCAGGTGGGGCCGGAACTCGCGTCGGTGACCTGGTTTGGCTCTCCACTCGCCACCTCCACCCCTCTCGACCTTCGCGGAAGTTGGACGCCCGCTTCACCGGCCCGTTCCCTATCGTAGACCAAATCTCTCCTGTGGCATTCCGTCTCCGGTTACCCGCAACCCTGAAGGTTCACCCGGTCTTCCTCAGGTCCCTTTTGAGTCCGGTGGCCCCACCCGACGAGTTCCACCCGGACCGTCCCCGACCGCAGCCAGTGTTGGTTCGGGAGAGCCTGAGTACGAGGTGGAACGCATCCTGGACTCCCGATACCGCAGGGAAAGCTGCAGTATCTCATTGACTGGAAGGGGTACGGACCAGAGGACCGTTCCTGGGAACCAGCGGCCAATGTCCACGCACCTGCCTGCCTCCGAGAGTTCCATGCGACGTACCCCGGCAAGCCGGGTCCGGACCCTCGGTTGAGGGGGGGGCCTGGGAGGGGGGATGGTGTGATGGCCTGGGATTCCGATTCGGAGGATGAAACAGAGGAATCCCAGCCTGCACAGGAGTCCCCGCCTCCAGGGCCGGCTGAACTGGGGCAAGGCCTAGATGCTGAAGAGCCTGCACCTGTGGCAGTGCATCAGGAGCTGGCCCCAGGTGAAGCCCTTCTGGCCCCAGAGGGGCTTGATGACTCAGTGACCACAGGTGAGCCTCCTCCAGGGCCCAGTAACCCTTCGGCCTCTCCTGATCTGCAGAGGCTTAGGGCAGAGAGGCGAAGGGAACTGGTTGCCCCCAGGAGGAGTGCTCGCCTTAAGGCCAGAGGAGGCGGGGCTCCTGGGGACCGGGACCGCCCCTGGCCTTAGAAGAGGATAAAAGCCCAGTCAGCCCGGCCCCAGGTTGCGGGAGCAACGTCGTTGTTGGCTTCGGACCTTCCTGTGCTCCTGTTCCCTGCTCGGCTTCCTGTTCCTGACTATCCGGTACTCCTGTTCCCTGCTCGGCCTCCTGTTCCCGACCATCCGGTGTTCCTGTTCCCTGCACAGCCTCCTGTTCCAGCATTCCTGTTCCCCGCCCGGCTCTCTGCCTCGGACCTTGCCCCTCTTCGTGTGGACTCTGCTACACCCAAGGTACCTTACCCCCGGGACCAGCACAGTACCACTGTATTATTATTATTATTATTTGATTGATTGATTGAATTCATATACCGCCCTTTAACTGGAGGTCTCAGGACGGTTCACAGAAAAGACTTACTGGACTCTCAACTTATATAACTGAATATTATGCTCACTGTTATGATATTGGCTATCTTCCTGCACTACTGAATTATGTTCCTTAATATTGGATGTTTTATTGTGTTGTTTTACTGAAATCGAACTGTTTGGATTGATGCTGTTAAACCATCTTGAAGGTGTTATCGAACAGAAAATGTGGGATAAAAATATTTTTTAAAAAAACAACAATAAATACTATTGTACTTCAAGATAATGAATATGCTAAGCAGAATATATTTTCCTACATTTCATGCTCTTGCTTAAGAACCAGGAACGATCAACTCCTTAGGGCAAATATATACTCAGATGTTCCAGCGAGTGCCATAAAATCAATACTGAATTATACCACAGGGAATGTTTATATTGTAAACAATTGTTAGTTCTTTTTACTGGCTAGATAGGAGTAACATTCATTATGGTTGTATTTTTTGAAAAAGAAACTGGCCTCAGGCTTACAAACTGGAGTGTCTTCAGCCTTAGGTGGGCAATCTCGTTCAGCTGAAATAGCGATGAACTAATTTAATGAGATATGTCATCCAACTTGGCAAGATTGCCCAAAAAAACATGTTTTGCAAGATCTACCTTCGTTCTCAGGTAATACCAAGCCAAGCCAAATCATGGCCTGGTGCAAATGACCAAATGTGGGCTGCTCAAGAGGACAAACCACAGGGCACACCTTGATTACAGCCCGTGATTTGCCTGGTAAACAGCTAAACCATGAGCCAAGCATTAGCTGACACATGAAGTCAAACTGCGGTTTGGTTCAGCACAGCAGCATAATGATCAGTGAAGAGAAAGTCATACTTTCCAGGGGCCTGCATGTTTGCTCATTTGTCTCTTGGTTTGGTTTAATGGGCCTGTGAACAGACCAATGAAGTTTTTTGCTGATGTGTAAGTAGCTAAGATAGGGCTGGGCGATACCTGGTTTTCAACATCACAACATATCACGATGTCTGAAATAAGGATGGAGCTATGTAGAGGCATTGGCTGGCTTCATGGTTTTCCCCCAAATTGTGATTTTTGCATAGCACAAACACATCACGATTTGCGATATATTGCCAGGTCAAAAATTATGAAACCAATATCCCGATATGGACTTCAAACCAGTTTTGGACGATATATTGATATATCGCCTAGCCCTATAGGCAATGGGACCGACAACAAAATGTTGCCGTGTGGAAGCCTCCTGTTCACCGTATTCCATTCCACTTCCCCCATTTCTTATTCCACAACAGTCAGCTAGCATTCCATGGCCCCTGAGCACACTCAGTTTTCATTAGGTTTTGTAACCCCCCCCCCCAGTTATTTATTTTTTATTGTACTTCCACAGATCTCAGGATTATCCTGAGCCTGCTGATCTGTCTCTTGCGCACAAATGGCATCATTGTGGTTACATGAGCATTGGCACTCAGAAGACTTGAATCAAGTCTTCTGTCAGTATAATAGATATGATTTATCAGAGTTCTACATGCATTGTGGGGGGGAAACTGTAATCATAACGGAAATTTTTACCACAAAACTACTGGAGATGAGATTCTGACATTTTACTCAACTCACTCAAGTCACATGAGACTTTGAACAAATATATTAACTGTTCAATGAAAAAGTCCCCTTTGATGATTAATGTTTAAAGGTCATATGCTCATAGCCTTTTAAAAAAACTAAAGGAAAGTAACAGGATAGCAATGAAGCCAAGGGAAGCAACAGTTAGTTACTAACATCTTAATCACCCAATGTTCTTGTACATTTACCATTGCTTTCTGCACAAAACGACAATAGTTAAAAAGAACATTATCAAGATTACTTAGACTATAGTCTCAGAAGAAGAACATATTTCAGAGCCCTCAAGAATCACACTCCAAGGCAGGCTAATTTAAATCAATTTTCAAGTTTTCTATCAAATGTTTACTGAACAAAAAATGCATAAAAATTGGTTGCTTTTGAAACTAATTAACTTCTATATTACCAGGGTATAATCCAAAATTGCTTCTCATGCAACTAACATGTATTTTCCACTACACAATGTAGAGATGAAGCAATTGGCCCGTTCTATATAGATACGTAAGGACAGATACGTGAGCTCTATCTTAAGCCTATCTTAAAATGCATCTTGGTTCATCAAGCTATGATCTGATTTTATACGCACAAGCCAAAGGTGAGGCCCAGGTTTGTGTGCTTCTGTTTGCCCTTCATGCATGGGGCTTCCCTGCCCCCTACCTTGGTTTCAGGCAGCCAGCCAGCATGCCAGTTTTATCCAAACTGAAAAATTAGATTGTGTTTGCCCTGCAAAACAGAACTAGAAACCAAATTTCCAATTCTGTTTTGCGGAGAAAGCACAAACCATAGTTTGCCAACCAAAACTTCAAACTAAGTTTTATCTCAAACCAGGAAAGGAGGCAGGAAGTGCAAGAACAAGGAACAAAGGGAGGGAGAGGCAGTAATCAAACCCAATAATCCAGCTATGCATGATGTCAAACTGTTTGATGTCACATCTAAATCACCGCAGTGTGTTTGATAGTTTTAAGTGGTTTAGAATGTAGGCTTTGTTTGTATTACATTCAGATATCATTTTAAACTGGGCTATTTTATAGAAACCCTATCACAAACTTCCAAGTAATATAATTAAAATTAACTGTTATTGAAGTTAAGTTTTTCCTCATCCAGGGTGGCATCCTGTTCAGATCTGAAAGTATGTATAATTTCAATGCCTATATGCGAAGTTGTCCATAACTTGTTGCAAATAGCCAACAATTATTAATTCATTGTAATTGTTTGGGACAGGGAGCTCAGCACAGATACTGTATAAGAGTGAAATATATTTTTAAAATAAAAAAAATGTCCAGTAGCAGCTCAGAAACCAACTAAGTTTGTTCTTGGTATGAGCTTTCGTGTGCATGCACAAATATAGACTAACATACATATGTGGAAGTAATGTCCATTAAGTTCAATAGGACTCATTCCCAAGTTAGTGTACATCAGATTGCAATTTTATACACAGTATAAAGTAGCAGCAAATTGTACCAGTGCACATCCACAAATCTTTGTTAAAAGATGGTTTTGCATTTGACACATTTTGATGGCACTACAGGAATACTTTACTTAAAAAGTCTACTTCAGCTGCCCTTGAAGAGGCATCAAAGGTTTTCAGATATTTACACAACACCTGGGGTTTTAATTCTGACTCATGCAAAACTATTCTCTTCAAACTACTAGGCATAGAAACTTTTGAAAATGGGAATGGGCGGTGAGCAGGGGTCGCTTTAAGGTTGTAAATGTCCACAAATGGCTAACCCAGATACGCAGTGGGGGTTTTTTATGGACTAATAATTCATTTGGAATTATTTGCAAACCCGTTATAAACACTAGAATGTTGGCTTTGCTGGGAAGGCTGGAAAAGATAAGAAACTACTGAAGGAAAAACCAACACAACAACCAATTACATGTACCTCCCGCAAACACAGTATGAGCTTGCTAGTTCCCAACAGGTTTACTGTCTGCAGATGTACAAAATACTATGTAGCCAGCAAATACATACAGGTACAAAGTAGATTGCACTGGAAACCTCAAAACTGTATTTCTCTTTACTGTAGTCGTTTTACACAAGGCAGGCAGAAATGTGGTACTTTTGATACATTTCACTGCTTCTTCTGCAACAACCGAAATGTTTCATGGTAGATAGTCCAAGCAGGCTTCCGAAACACATGGCGTGCAAGTGCTATGTTTATTTATTTTTTACAGAAAAAAGATACCTGCAACAATCTACTAGTGATATTCTTACCACTATTGTATATATTTCTGCATCAAAAGATGGGAACAAAGTTCTATGGAAGAATATGTTCAAAGCTCCCCCTTGTGGACTACAGTACTGTCAGGTATGTTTTTTTTAACAAAAATAAAATGAATGTATTTGCGCATTGCCAAAAGATGAAACGGAAAATAAACTTCCATGATAAGGACTGAATAGCAATTAAAACAACAAGCATAACATTTTAATATGAATCTGAAAACAAAGGGGAACTTAGATGTTCACTGCATGTACAACATCACAACTTTACTCCAATAAATATAAACATTCATCAAAGCTGTAGCTTATGTACTGAAGTCTTGTTGCCTTCCGAGTATAAAACTACCATGATCAACATACTTAATGTTGTTTTGCCTTTGTCTGCCATTTGCTCTCAATATGTGTGCTTCTATTTAAATATGTGTGTGCTACACTCAGTACCTAAAATACACTGTGCTTTAGTAAAATATATCAACAACGGAATGGCTACATTAAAAGTTTCACTAGAAGAATTGAAGCTCACTTAGAAATGCTACTTTACATAGGAGAAACTTTGGAAAATTATCACACATCTAAACTTGAAGTATGGAAGGAGCACGTTTTGAGAACAGGATGACTTAACCAAATATTTTTATTTTTTAGAAATTTCACTGGATTAATTCTTGCCACATGGATTCCATTCCAAATCAGTCCTGCTCAAAGTGTGCGTACCTGCTTATGTTTGCATGTGTGTTCTTAGCAAAGCTTAGTAGCCAATCAGAACTCTGATGACACAGTAAATTGGTATATTTACTTTTTGCTTGCATGCACTTTCCTTCCATCGCAACAGAAATACGACTCCATGAACCAGAGTGGAGGGAAAAATCATTTCATAATAGTAGAAAGAACCCAATAAAACACCACGGTCATTTATTAACTCTTCTCCACTCCAGTCACATTCGGGAACAATTGTTAAAGCGCTAAGCATTACCATCTACTGCACTTACCTCTTCAACTGTCAAAGGCATACAGATCCGATACTCCTTCATGAGCATATTCCTTCACATTAAATGCAAATCAGCAATTTAGGAGAAACGTAATCACAGTGCACCCCAACTGCAGCAACAACAAAATCTTGTTTTATATCTTTTTTTAAAAATCAGCAAGGTCTACAGCACACTGTAGTATGTGTGCTTGACAATGTATGTAGAAATTGCCACTGCCACCATCCAGAAAGCTGATCTAGCAAAAAAAGGGGAAAAAACAGAATTTCTTCTCTCTTCCAGTTTTCCTGCTTCAAACTGAGATCATGTGATTTTTTCACTCACACATACACAAAGGAGTCTCAAACATAAAATGCTATCATAGTGAATGGAGAGAAATCCACTGGAAATGCATTAAAATCGACAATTTCTTTCCAGTTGCATCAAGACATTCCTAGAGCAGCCGAGGTGGGGGAGGAAGTAAAAATAAATGAAATAGTCCACAGATGTTAATGTCACCAGCAGCAGCGGCAGCACACGGGATCAGCAGCAGCAAAGATGCAAAGCTTATTTCCAAGACAAAGGGTTTATAACGTTTCCTTCCCAGGCTGGTAAACAAGGCTCTCTCTCCCCGCCTCACTGTACTAAAGCTGATGTTATGCCTTTCAGCATTACTGCACCCTGAGGGAGAGACAGGATGTGTCTTGGCTTTTCCTTCCACCTTTGATCGTTCTTGAGGGCTGGGTTTCCCCCACCAGAGCTGTGTGTACGTACTGGTCGGGTCCTATCTGGCCGTGCTGAGAAGTCTCTGCAGCAGCAGCCTTAGAAAGGGTGTGAGTGTGTGTCTGACATCAGCAGCCACAGCAGGAAGGATGGCCCCATCCGGCCAATAGGGAAATGGCATAGGGGGAAAAAAACGCAAACGTTTTAAACAAAACAGCATGTCTCTGCTGAAGTGTCAGCCAGCACAAGGAAAGCAAGCTGCAACTGAATTCAAATAAAATCCAAAGGGATAGTAGCTTTCTGCCCACTCTCCACACATATCTCCCCTCTCCTTTTGGTTCTTGCAGATTGATTTCAGGCCATTTAGGAAAATGCAAGGAGCAGCAGTTGAGTGAAACTGACATACGGTATATGACTAATTTCGAGGCAATTCCAGACAGCGATAGCTACTAAGCTGTTCCTAGAGATCTGGGGGGAACCTTTGCTGGATGTGTTTAGAAATAAAACTAAGCATGAGATACATGCAAGAAGAAAACTCTTCTTCACTGGAGGCAACAACACCTGCAAAATCTTTTATGCATGGCATTTTAAAAACTATTTCTGTTGTAATAAACCAGGAACAGTTATGGTGGTGGTCCCACCTCTACTCACACTTCCACCAGCCATTTTATGGTGCTCTATTGCCTGCTATGGGACGCGGGTGGAGCTGTGGGTTAAACCAGAGCCTCGGACTTGCCGATCAGAAGGTCGGCAGTTCGAATCCCCCGATGGGGTAAGCTCTTGTTGCTCAGTCCCTGCTCCTGCCAACCTAGCTGTTCAAAAGCACATCAAAGTGCAAGTAGATAAATAGGTACCACTCTGGTGGGAAGGTAAACGGCGTTTCCGTGCGCTGCTCTGGTTCGCCAGAAGCGGCTTAGTCATGCTGGCCACATGACCCGGAAGCTGTACGCCGGCTCCTTCGGCCAATAAAGTGAGATGAGCGCCGCAACCCCAGAGTCGGCCACAACTGGACCTAATGGTTAGGGGTTGCTTTACCTTTATTGCCTGCTATCTGTGGAGCCTTGGGGCATGATGCATTTCACACAACAGCTACAATTTTGCTGGAGTGTTTAATAGTAGCAAAGGAGTGTCTTGTGGCCTTTGTGATTCCTGACAAACCTCTAGAGACACTCAAACAAAAACAAGTGACTCATGGAAAAAAAAGAATCCCTTAAGAGGATAATCACCCAAAGCACCTGAAGAGTTTTAAAGCATCAATATACACGCCAAAGAAATACCTTCAAAACCCTCCATGATTGCCTGCCCCCCATCTGAAACATCTCTGCTCTTACATCCCAACAGTTCTCTTCCTGTTTCACTTGTCCAGCTCCACCAACCTCATGAAAGGTCTCCTGCTCCTTGAAGCAATTGCACCCTTTCTTCCTTGACTCCTCTAATTGCTTGGAGCTGCCTCCCAGAATGCCTCAGTGCAACCACTTCCTTTGTTTCCTACAAATCCCACTTCCAAATTCATACTTTCTTGGAAGCCTTTGGAACAACCCCATAGTCCCAATACCATATTGTAATGAAGGCAAAGTATGTGTAATTGAAATAATCACATATCCCTTCACCAGGGGCAAAGCTAGGCTTTATTTCACCCAGGTCAGACCCAGTTCGGCACCCCACCATGGGCATTTGAGCGCGCGCACACACACAGCCCAGCTAGTTTCCCATAGCTACAGCTCTGCCTTCAGCTGTCTGTGCCGGCTTCTATTTTCCATCCCCTTTCTTTGGCAGTTTCCTATGGGTGACATCCAGTTGTGACAGCCTGATTGCACAAAGAGCTTCTTCTCACAACAAACAGGACTTCCACTCCTTCCCTCTGCACACACATACACACACACTCCGGAGGAATCTTCCAGAGAAATTGGGGACAAGTGAGGTTGTGACTTATGAAAGGCTGAAGGGTTATTGGATCGTACCCTATATAGCTGTTGTTAGATTGAAAGCCAAACGAGATAGGGAACAGCCAAACTTCTTCTTTGTAAATGACCATATAGATAATGCCATTAATATGTCTTATTTGCATTCTATGCTGATCTGATTTCAGAAACAGCAACTGCACTGGTCTGCAATGGCTTGGAAGCAGCACAGTAACAGCAGCACAGATTCTACAGTAGCTCTTCTGCTTTTAATTGTGCAACTTCGGCAGAAGCAGAACAACATCTCTGCATTTGTTTTCACTGTTATATCTCATGCTAGAATGTTGTAGGAGAAAACAGCCCTTGCATGAGTAGAAAATGACTTCTATTCGAACTATTATTTTTTGTAAGTCGTTCTGAAAAAAGCAGAGGAAAGGTGTTCTAGATAAATAAATCTTACTGCCATGCTGAAATAACTTCTGAAAGAAACTAAAAGCAAGTGATGAAATATGGATTATGTAAAAACTGGTCATTTTTCTTTTCTACTTCCTCAATCTTTGAGTTAGGAATCCTGAACTAGTAGGCTTTTGTTCTGATCCATGACAGCATTTTGCAACAAACTAAAAATAATAATGATGATGATGATGATGCAGCTATTGAAATATTAAGCTTGTATTCTTAAAAAGAAATGTGCAAGTCCTTTATAAATATAAAAGGACAGCACAGGACATACAAAAACAGGATATAACAACCTCACCCATTTCCTTTTTGAGCAGCATTTCATTAACAGCCCTCAACTCTGTAAAGCAGCCATAGCTTCTCATATCAGTTAGAAATGCCTCAATGAAAACACATTGCCATTATTATCTTCTTTTAGCAGGCATAATCCTTTTCCACTTTTGAAGCAAGCAATGTGCAAAAGATAAAAAGCTGATACATTTTAATTATGTTTGAATGTCAACATTTAAAGCTCATTCATTAATATGCATAATAACTTATATTCTCAAATTGCCCCTGAAAGTTATGTCATGTAAATTATATGTGCTTCTCAAAATGTCACCGTGATCTTGAAGAACCAGCAACCCAAACATTTAATATAAAAATACATCAAGTACTAAATATAAGCATGAGAGACTAACAGTGAGGTCCTAACCACATCTACTCAAAAGCAAGTACTATTGAATTCAGTGGTGCTTTCTCCCAGGAAAATGGGTAAGGATTGCAGCCAAAGGTATTTCTATTTCTTTAACACTTTTGCACTGAAACATCACCACAATTGGCATTGAACCTCCTTTTAGTACATGAAGACTTTTGTTAGAATGCCAGCTGTCTTTTTTTCTGTCCAAAAAATAGATGAAGGTAGTACTTTCTACTAAAGAATACAGTGCCTGAAATCAGTTCCCCAAACTTGAATTTACAAGATGCAACTATTAAAGTTAAATTTCCTTACAAATATCAAACAAATTTTGAAATTCAGATTTGCCTATATGCAACCTTAGGATCTGTAAGCCTTAGTCCAGAGACAAACACTGCCATCTAGTGGTAATATAAGCCACTTCAACTCTTGCTTAGCTCTTCTGCACTCCAATGCACACTCAACTAGAAGGCCCACTGGTGGCTTGCCTTAACACATCTAACAAACAAAAGCCTGCTCTACTGTTACCCAGAGGAAATAGCTATATTTAGAATTCAGGTTCTTTTATGGCTGCAGTACATTATAATTTTAGATTACGTTGACTTTTAATGCAGCTATAGATTTGGCTATTGAACCACAAAAAATAGAATAAAGACTACTCTCAAATTACTATGTTTGACCATATTCTCACATTTTTTACTGAATGGGCTTCTTGCTTTACATGCGCCTGTGGTGCAAGCAAAAGCTTGCACTGCAGCTACTATCATAGTGTCTTACATGAAGTAAACAGGGCTTGGGTAACACTCACAAACTTTGCATATTGAAAGCAAGGGGAAACCTGCCCCCTCTGTTCAGTTCCTAGGTAAAACTGCATCAGAATGTGGAGCTGCAGAGGGTCTCTGCAGGCTGTAGGGTGGGGTGCAAGAACCATGAAAACAGAGGTGGATTCAGGGCAGCACGACTGGTTCTGCCATAGTGAATGATGAGCCTAGGGGGTACAGCAGGGCGTTGCAACTATGACATAGTGAATTGAGCAGAACAGAAGGCGAGAGGCAGGGTTTATGCCAAATTTGGGTCTTGCACAGGGCGCTGCTGAAATTCAAAAGACCAAAGCCCTTCCCTGATGAAAAATCCCATTGAATTACTTGAATGAGTTCCTTCATTGCTGAAGGATAAGGGTAGGTCTGCTCTCAAAATCAAACAATAGCCCCAACACCCACACAATGCTCCATGCAGCATAGCATTGGCTCAGTCTCTTAGTACCAGTTTGTGCTTTTGAAATACAC